AATAAGTCTGAGCCAGAGAGGAATTTGTGAATTTGAAAAGATGTGGAAATTGACTGTTTGTGTCAAAGCAACACAACGATCCAGCTCAGACTTTTTACCAGTTGTTCTGAAATAGTAAATTCAGCACAGGTAGGCGTACAAAGACAATCAAAGCTGGAAAAACAGGAAAATTACAAACAAAAAAAGCTTCTTTAGGAACAAAGAGACTGCAGGAACAATCACGGTACAAAAATTGAAAGCCTGAAAAGCCAATTTTAAAAAAGAGGGATTTTTATAAAGCAGAATACCCTCAGAGAGTGAGTGTGTGTGTGCTTGTGTGTGTGGGTGTGTGCTGTTGGTCTCCAGATGTGTACACACTGCCATCAGTCTGGCAACAGCAAACACCCTGAACCTCTTGGCCAATGTGTGAAGTGTGCCTCCACCTCTGGCTCCTCATGTGGCCTCCAGATTAGGTTTGTTCAGGGCAACATTTGTTTAATCTAACAGCTCGACTCTTCAGAGACAGGGTGACACCTCAGAATAAATTCTTTTTCACAAAGACCAAAAAGGAAAACTCACCTTGAAAAACATCCTAAACTTTTGGACTACTTTAGGATACTGCTGAGTACTTACTCAAACAGAATAATCTTTCAGTGAGAGGTATTGTGAGAAAAGCACTGACCTTTAACACAGGAAACAAGGTTCAGGTCTGTGAAGTGCAGTAACCAGTTACTCTTGTTTGTTCTTTTACATGGTTGTTAACATTAAGAAGCGGAAACAGACGCTCTGAAACAAATTCTGCAAATTCTGCTTCTTGACCTCGACATTTTCTCTTAAACCCTCAAAGACACGCAAAAGTACATTATGTAGTTCTCTATATACATACTCCGAAACTTCTGTTATGTGCCACAGCAGTTTTCAAACTATGAAATAATGCGCACAGGTCATAGTGCAGGTAAACTTCACTGTAGAGCAAAAGAGAAAAAAAATCTGATTCTTTGGATCTTCTTCCAACTCATCTACTTTTCATGCAATTTGATTAAACTGAAAATGATTTGCAAATAGTGTCAGTGCCAGACCAGCTCTGTTTGAAGAGCACTGCCAAAGCCACACAGTCCAGAGACACACATACTTTGCTGAAAACTAAAGACACACATAAAAAGATTTACAGAGCGGCTCAGAATTTGGATGGTTGGTGTTAAAACAAAACAAAGAAATGGGGAAGAGATAAACAGAAATGCAGCTCCCATATGTCTCACAGACTCCCATAGACTAACAAGCGCGCTCACAAACTTCGCCTTCACTCTGTTCATAATGTGGCAATGCCGAGAAGTCAATGAACAGCTTAAGTCTGACGTATGCGTTATGACGGGCAGGTGAGCGGCGGCTAAAACAGCTGGGGCTGTGTGATGCCATTGAAGGGAAACTCTGGGTGGAGCTGTCAGAATAAAGCTGCACTTGTTTCACAGCAGCAGAAAGTCGAAGCCTGGCTGTCTGTGTGCTCTGCTGCATGTTTCACATCATACAATGAGAGCTTGTTTACAAACCGGGAGGGTAAAAGAGCTCACGGAGAATATGAAACACACACACATACCAGCACACACTCTGCACTGAACGGGGTGTTTCCAGGTAGAAGAGGTGGGACCTGGCACAAACAGGATACAGGAAATGGGCCTGCGCCTTGAAAGGGTCAATCAAATGATCCCTGCAAAATAATGGACACAGTGTCACTACTGTTCAGAGTGAGGTCATGCTACGATGGCCACAGCAAAACATTTTTCAAGAATGTCAGCCGTAAGTGCTGGTCAATCTAAAGAGTAAATGCAGAGCTTTTACTACAGGTTAAAGTATTTTGTGGAAATCTTTTATCGGAATTTTCAGTTGAATGTACTCAAAGCATTAAAAAACAAAATCCCTTTGTGCAGAAAAGTGTCCCCTCGGACTGATTTGTTATGTAACATTGTTAAAAAACTGTGTGGACACAGCATGGACTGCTTTTGCTACCTGAAATTAAAAAATGCAGAAAAAAAAGAAGCTAAAAAAGAGAACAAATAACAGAAAAATGACAAACTCTTGAAACATGATATTTTCTTCGCTCTGTCCTCAACCACCCAGACAGTCTTGGTCAGCCTTGTGAACCATATATTTGTTAGACGGAGCATTTTTACCTTGTACAAGAATGACACACTCGTTCTAATGCTGGCCTGCATTCTTCACAGTAATGGGAACAAAGAATGGACTGGAGAGAGAAGTGAAAAGTAATGAACAATTTTGAAGCATGAAAAGAAATGCTTTCAGAAACTTTACTCTTGTAGAGGTTTCATTCAAAGGGGCAGCAAGACCTCCAAAAGTGGACAAGGTGACTTCTATTCCTCTTGTAAAATTGCTTATACGAGGCTTTATTAAAAGATTCCTCCAGTTAATTAATTGTGATGAATACATGCAGCTAAAACACGTTTCAGTCTAGCTGGTCTGTCAGTGGAAAGTGTTTCAGCTGTGGTAAAGAGGAGCTGCCTTCTGCCTGTTGGCTTCTTTCTGTACTTCTAAAACCGTACAAAGACTTGTGTTGTGAATGAATGTGTGGGCTTGTGGGCCAAAGCACTTAGGAATGGGTGTGTACTGTCACAGCCTTCAACACAGGGGTATTTATTTGTATTTGTTCAAGTTCCTGGAGGTTTGCTGTTAGGTCGGGGTTTCAACTGTGTCAATGTGTGTATGCAGAGTAAGAGAGCCCAAGATGTCTCACAGATTTCCATTAAATAACCTCAAAAATATGACACTAGGTAAGCATGTGGACTCCCTAACAGCTCCTGTAAAATGTTAATTATTCTGTTTATGCTTATTTAGTGCTTATTCACAAGTGAAGTTTGATGACTGATCAATGGAGATACTTTTAGGTTCCTATGAGGAGTTTTTTGCTGGTTATGAAACCAACTGAAATGACCATTAATGTCTCTTTAAAGCAAACAATGCTGTGAACAAGGAGACTGACTACCTTTATATGGTTGATTTTATAGTTTGAATGCCTGAAACGACTGGTGCAGCCTGATTTTACATTCATGGCTGAGACTCTTGGTCAGTGATACATTTGACAGTTATTAATTTGTCTGCAAACTGTAATAAAGTTCTACTTTCTAGTTCTTTTCAAGCCTCTAAATGCGATGAATTTTTGTTTTGAAATTACTCAGCTTATGCCTGACACTTTTCCATCGATAGACATAGCTTGGGGGTGTTATTTTTCACACAACCCAAAAGTCCTGACTTCACAAAAATAGGCTGCAGTTACATTAGCTGCTGTTATGATGTTGCTCTCAGCTTAAAATTGAGTCTTTAAAGGCAGTCTTTGCAGATAGAACGTATGTTAAGAGTTATTGGTGAAGTGATGTAGCCCTTAGTAATATAATGTAGTGGGAAATTGCACTTAAACATGATAATAATCAATAATCATTAACTCAAACTAAAATGAACATCATTCCACAGACTTTCAACTACTTTACTCAAAATGATGCTAATATGTTCAAAGAAATGCATGAATCATGCACTACAGTTTAGCTGCTACCACTTCTGTGAAAAATCAGTTTCTTCTACCAATGAGAGAAATGAGGTACAAGTTTTGGAGTATCTTTACTAATGATGTGCTATGTATGTCATTTCTAAAGAGTTTCATACCATTTACCGTACGCCATTTCAAGAATAATGATGTTAAAGTAATCATAAGGGCATTTATGGGAAATGGGAGCTGGAAATGGCATCAGAGGATAATAGCGTTATCATACAATGAGCTTTTAAGGAGCAACGCCATTGTCAAATGTACTTCTGTTCAATGCTGTTTCATAATCTACATTAGTTTAAAGTGTTCTTCATTTTTATAACTGGAGTCTCGATGTTCTTTTTCCACGGAGGACATTTTGACTTGTTATAGTAGAAAAGGGACAGCTGTTCATAACAAGTTTTCCTATCCTACTCCTTGTTGCAAAAGTAAATCAAAATTTTTCAGTGTTTGCTGACAGAACTATTGACATTTTTTTCTTGTTCATCAATTTCTTATAACAACTTTTTTCATTTTTTAAATAAAGACATCAATGTAAAAAGGTAGAATTGTTCCTGTTGAAGAAAAGACAGCTCTGTTACAGTCACTGTCCTAGTCTGCAGTGCTCGTGTGACAGTAGGACAGCATTAACATTACCTGTGACATGACAAAATAACTAGTGTGAAAACAACATAGTCACTGAAGAGTCAAACACAAACCAGGATATGCCTTCTTCATAAAAGTCTAAACATGATGACTGTAACCACATTACATAGTGAATCATAATTTTTCCACACTTTTACTAAGAAATGCTAATGAAGGAGGTCTATTTTGGGATAAGTCTTGGTGTTGTTGACTCTGAATGTGACGTATTATTTCCCCTCTAGGTTGCCGTGATGTCACCATGGGAAAATAGCTCACGGGTTTTCATCCTCTCTCTTCATTGGTAGAGGAGAGGCAGCATTTTAAGTAGATGTATAATAAAATTCTGACTTCTATAAATCTCAGTTCCTCACTCCATCACAGGAACACTCCAACTGTGAAGGTGAGGGCTGTCCCCTCTCTTCCAGTGTCACTTTGGTGTTACTTTGAGGAGGTTGAAGTGGGAGGAGATATGCAGATGGTGCCAGTGGGGCCCTATTAGTGGAGTCAGAAGTCCACCAAACTCACAGTGGACTGTTGTCACTTACACTCAGTCCACCACACCCACAGCAAGAGTCAGGGTCAACATTCATAGGGTGGCATTTTGCTTTACAGCTCAGTCAAGAAAAGGTACACTGCAGGAGCTGAAGCCTCTTTTGAGATTTTTTTGAGATTTAAGATACTTTGGCAAAGACCTTGCACTTCCATCATTTCAAAATCAAGAAAATACAGCAAAAAATCTAGACCTTTCATGGATGGAAGGATCTTTTTTTCTTCTTAGAGATCACTTTTTTTCTCAGATTGAGGACTCCTTTGTCTAATTTTTGGAGCAACACACGGATATTCCAGGATGTATTTTGCAACAGCGACGAGTCCTATTTTGTTCATCACTCTATTCTTGTCAGTGGTTGAGACAAAATCCTACAGACCGTTCCAGTTTAACCAGTATAAAGCTGGGCCGTATCCACACCATGACCAGGGGAAACCCACCAGCAGACACAAGTGAGTTTCATCTGGATCTTATACTGGCAATTGTTAGATATTAGAAATTATACCAATGTGTCTAACTTCCATTTCTTCTTCTTTTGTCTTTTCTCCTAAAGGAATCACTGCGCCTATGTGGTTGAAAAGACTGTGTCCTTCACTGTGCAGGATGGGGCAGCACCCTATGTAAAAGCGGAGTACAACAAATGTTCCTGGGGTCAAAAATGTCCAACTCTTCTGTAAGTTTCTAGCAATTATAGCCTTTTGTCACATAGCCATTGACCAAAACGGGTGTATTTTTTTTTTTACTTTTGATAAAAAATAATAGTTAAATGTATTTGTCTGACAAATGATTGATAATTCCTTTCAGGTATAGACTGATGTACAAACCATTCTACAAGGTGGCGCATAAAACTGTCACTGAACTGGAGTGGCGTTGCTGTCCTGGTTACTCTGGTTATGGTTGTATGGAGGGACATCCGATTTACCAACATCCCATGAAAATGATGCCACCATTTAAAGGCCCGCCAATGAAAGGTCCACCAGTGAAAGGTCCCATGTTCAAGGGTCCACCCATCAACACTGTTATGAAGGCCAACCCCTGGAGCCAACCCAAAGGACCTCCTATGAGCAGTTTTAACTCCTACCAAATGCGCCACTTTGGGCCCCCAAGCTCCTCCTCCTTTCCAGGCAACCCCTTCAACCCTTATACCCGTCAGCCAATGCCAGAACCATTGCCAGAGCCATTACCAGAGCACCAGGAACCACATCACACAGAGGATGAGCATGGGCTTGAGCATGAACATGAACATGGGCATGAACATGAGCATGAACACGAGCACAGCCCAGGACCTGAGGAACACATACCAGAGGAAATCCCTCTTCCTTCCTCTGTTGAGGAACAGCCTGAGGGTGAGCCCATAGGTTTGTCTTCACTTGACCATTCTTTCAGTTTTTAACTTTGAAATGCGTCAACACTAAATGATGGGACAGGTTTACAGCTTTTCTTTCTCCTTTCTCTTTATAGGCCAGTCTCTTGACAGTGAGACAGAGGAGCGAATATTTCGAATGGAGGAGGATGTGCAACGTCTAAACCAAGGCTTGGAAACCCTGAGGGGAACTGTGAATGGACTGGAAGAAAGTCTACGAGCCTCGCTGAGAGAAGATGCCAACAGGATGCTGTCAGCTCTACTCTCAGCTGCCCCTGGTCATGTTCCTGCTTCAGTAGCATCCTCTAGCCCATCCACTGTTGGGTTTGTAGAGATTCCTGTGGGAAATCCTGCGACAGAGGGTCTAGATGGCAGCCATGTGTTTCCAGGCCTTACAGAGCTGAGTGGAAGGGTGGAAGAGCTAAGGGCAGAACTGCACGCCAAGACAGCAGAACTGCAAGAACTGAAAGCAACAGTGATGGGACATGATGGAGCACTGAAGAAGATGTCCAATGGAGCAGGAGTGATTTCAGATGCTGCTGACAATCGTGGAAGAAATGCCTCACAAGCTCTGGAGAAGCTGATGGACGCCAAGCTGAGTGAAGCAAGGACAGAAATTCTTGGTGGGTTTGAGAAGCGTGTGGAGACTGCAGAAGGGCGATGTGAGGAGAAAGCTGGGGATGTGCGTCGTCAGTGCCAGAGGGAACAAGGTGAGAGGCAGGAGCAAATGGAAGATGCTTTGGAGGAGAGTAACACAGATTTAAGAGTACAGCTGAGAAACCTCCAGGAGCAGATCCATGGTTTTAAGGCAGCAGAAGGATGCTGCAGTAGTGTAAGTGGCCTTGTGAAGAGGGTGCAGCAGTTAGAAACATCAGTGGCAGGCCTTAATCAGTCCCAAGGGCACCTTAGAGTGGCACTGAGTGGACACAAGGACCACATAGAGGGGATGCTTGAAGGGCGTCTTGGATATGTAGAGGACATGCTCAACTTGACAGGGAAGATTAAAAATGATGAGCCTGGAAGGAGGAGTGGTGTCGCAGATGGATCCACGACAGGACAGGGCCTGGAGTCAAGAATGGAGGGGAAGATGAGGAGTCTGGAGTACCGCTTGCTGGCAGCCTTGGAGGAGTTGGGTAATGCCACTGCTCCAGCGCTGCTGGAGGGTCATGCTGTCCCTGCTCTTGAGACAGAACTAGAGTCACTCCAGGAGAGACTAGAGGTGGATGTGGACAGACTGCAAAAGCAACTGAGTGGCCTTGAGAGTCTCTGCTCTTCTTCGTGTTCCTCACCTCAAAAGCCAGCCTCCATCCAGGGAGACTCTGCTGCGCCAAGTGCTAACCTGGCTCAGGAGCAGGATTTGAAAGCGGTCTTGGACATGCAGGAAAACCGTATGAGTAGCCTCAATGCCACACTACATAACATCCTGCAGAGACTAACCCAAAAGGACCAGCAGGATCAAGCAGAGGGAGAGCTCACAATCCTCAAGTTCAATGTCCGCTCAGTCAACCACACCCTAAAAAGCCTCCAAAAATCCCTTGGGACAGTGGCCCATCAAGTGGGTCAAGCCAACAGCTCCTGGTATGAGAGAGAGTCTCGTCTAGCCCAGCAGATAAAAGGTGTGGTTCAGCTGGTTGGACATCAGGCCTCAATGCTTGGAGCTGGTGATCGCAGATTGACTCGTCTTAAAGGTGAGCTGCAGGAGATGAGAAGGCGGCTAGCTGAGGAGGTTCGGGGCTGCCGGAGTACAGCTTTGGGGGTCCAGAAAGTGGTAACTGAGGTCGGAGGACGTGTTGCCAGCGTGGAGGACCAGTGCAAGGGTCTGAACTCCTTAACAGAGGACTTAGAGAGAATCAGGGAGGAGCTGGAGGGACATTCCAGTGGGCTCCTCCTGCAAGTGAATGGGACTCTCTCCAGCCATGCTCAACAGCTGTCTGAGCTGAGAGCTGAACTCAGAAACTGCACCTCCAAGGTGGAGCCAACACAACAGACTTTAGAGCTGGAGACTGAGCTGAAACGAGGGGACACCTTCACTTTAAATTAGTTCAGTTTGTATGGACGATATATTTTTGAAAGATGAATGAAAAAGGAAAATGTTTTACTGTTTTGTTGGGGGTCCACTTACACCACATTTCATATTTGAACTGTAAAATATCAAGGTTTTGAACCTGCACTGATACGGATGTTTTTGGTTAGCTCAAAAAAGGCAGCTAATTCTGACCGCACTAATATCACAGAGTTTTGAAATCTAATCATGAGGGTACTGATGTCAATTATTTAGAGCCTTAATGATCGAAGAAGGAATACACAGCAGCAAACTGCACATATTCTTTTAAATGTCACAAAAAGTCTTGAATGAAAAGCTGTTTATCAAAATTCACATGTTCAAACTTTTGTATTTTTTGTTTTTTACGCCTACATTTTAAGGTTTCTAGATAATGTGTTTTTATACATGTTCATGTGTCGAGTGTTAATTCCCATTCTAATAATTTGAAATGCCTTAAAATGTTTCTTTGCCAAATTTGTTAGATGTCCAAGTTTTTCACCATGACAATCCAATAAAGAAGTTTCTTAATACTTGCTCTGATGATAGACCTTTAAGATTTGACATGTAAACTTTTTGTTTACTTTTTGTTTTTTTACCAGCAGCCACCCTACACACAGTAAACCCGCCTCGCAGCTAACTCGGCAAGATAGCTCTTAGTGTTGCCTATTTATGACAATGGAGCGACAAGACATTTGTCTAGCCCTGTTTTTATAGAAGGCTGGCATTTGGGTGCACCGCTGGATGAAAATGAACTTTACACAATGTATCCCGCAAGTGCAAAGTGACAGTAGAGCACTTGGGGCACACTGAAAATGCCTGAATTCACATCAGACTCCACTTTAGCTGACCAACACACACGCCACCTTTTTTTAAAATACAAAACTCCTGTCCTGTTTCGGATATAGACGCTTCACAGACTCAAACACATCTATAACACATCTATATAAACATATCTAATCACAGCAGACTGAAATAAATCCTCACTTGAACACCCCTGTGTGACAACAAGAGAACTGTGAATCCAGAATAGATTTTAAATTGAAACGTTGCCTTCAGAATTGAGATCAAAATCCTGGGTTATTGAAAGATCCACCGCACTAATTAAAATTCCTCTCTGAACACCAGACGCTAATTTCAGAAACAAGTCATATTTCACAGTAAAGTTGAAAGATACTGATGCAGAGAAGTGGGGAAACCACAAGAGAGCAATAGAGAAGCATTTATACTGCTCACTGCTGGGGACTGGAGAGGTTTGACTTGACTGTTATGGCAGTGTGTTACAAAGACTACAATTAAAGTTTATGGCGACAGCCCTTGCTTGCCAGAAGACAAATCATAATGGGATATAATGACAAGGTGATTCAGAGGAACAAGGAGCACTCAGCACAGCAGCTTGATATATATCTCACTGTCTCTTTGTGTAAGCAACAGACTTCACAGCCAGCTGTCCGAGCATCTTTTTATTGAACATTGCTAATAACCCTCCCCTGTTAATTTCTGGATCCTAATCAGACAAACAGCTGTTTGGATAACAGCGTTGAGGACGATGAACCCACTGCTGGGACAGGTGGAGAATAATAACTACAGAAGAGAGCAGACAGAGAACTGTGACAAATTCATGTTGGAAGAGTTGAATAATGGCGCAATACTGAGACAAAAACATCAGTTTCAGTAATGATGCAAGTTAATGCACACACACATACAGAACTTTTACAGAGGAAGATGAAGAAAAATGTGCTACACTGTATGTCGACCTTTTCTCTTCTGCTACCTAAAGTGCAAAGACAAAATAAATCCATTTAAAGAATTATGAAAGCATAAACAAGTCTTTATAAACCCATAAACAAAAAACATATAATTCTCTCTCTGTCTCGCCTCATGAATTCCACATTCTATCAGACCTCAGTTACTTCTTCTTCTTCTTCTTTTCATGCCTGCTCTAAGTTCACAGCTCTCAAGGCTCCGACAAAAACAAATTAATCTTGTTTGTTCCCCAAGTAGACACATGAGCAAAAGGGCAATTGGAGGCTCTGGTAAATTTGTCTCCTCTGACTCAGAGTTTCATCTTGAATCTCAGGTCACTCATGGATCTGTTAAGTTTAACAACACCCAGACTGTCACTGGAAAAGGAGTGCTGTGGGTCCAGACAACAAAAGGGGAAGCTGGCACAAAGAAAGGGCAGAGGATCTTCGAGAAGAGGGGCCTCCAGTGGTTTCAAATGTGAATCATGCCATAAAGTGTCCTCCATTGAATTTAAAGGTGAGAGCAGTAATTTTATCCTTATTACAGTGATGGCCAGAGAACAGATAGAGGTGATTACAGTTGGCTCACATATGAGGACACTCAGGACAGGGCTGCCTTAAATCAAAGACTCAGAGCTTCTTGATAACAAGCTTCAAGATTAGAAATTTTACAAGATGCAGTAACGTCTGAAGCTTTTGTCCTCCAATACAACAGCGAGCATGGCAACCCGGGGTTTTTAAACAATGTGAAATGTAGCATCGAAGATGTTTCACAGTAAAGTAGCAGATTTAGCACAAAGGCTATTTGACACATGAACATAGTCTCAGCGATGTCACCAATTTGCTTCCAATTGCCACCACTGACTCTTCCCAACTTTTGGTTGTAAGACAAAAGAGGTGAAGTCGGGGCTGGCTACAGCGTGCCTTCCTGTCAGTCGACTCAGCTGTCCCTCTAATTTGCAGAAGAAAGAACTGTCAGACCATGATTGTTTTGTGGGCTTTCGCGTTGGCTTCATTTTTTAAGACCAAAGCCTGCCACTTGCACTGTAACAAGCTGCCAACGGTTTCTAGTACTGGCTTTTCTTCGTCCAGGGATGTAACTTAGAGTACTTATCTCATCGCCTCTATATGTCCGGCACACACACACAAAACAAAAACAAGTCTTTGCTTGAAGAGCATTCAATATTCATATTTTTCATGCTTGTGACATTAACACAGCTGATACAGAGCAAAAACAGCCCTCAGTTTCACATCCATGCTATCCTTGTTGCCGGTAGAAAAAATGAGGTGAGAAGTGCTGCTCACGCCAGCAGTCAGAATGAGATAATCGGATGACATGCATGCCAAAAATCAAGTCATTTTAGGAGTGTCATGCAGCCAACAGGCTTCTCGCGTGAAGCGCCAGGATAGAGTACAGTCTGGATCTCACCATAAGCCAAATTAGGGGGCTGACATGACCCTGTATGAGGAGAAGCCAAGCTAGCCTGCTGGTTCTCCTGGCAGTTTCTCATTAAAGAGGCAGAAGTGACTGGCATCCAATGTGGCTAGTGACATTACTCATACAATGCCACTTAAAAAAAACACTGACATATCCCTTTAAGAGGAGCTAGTAGGTGGATAAGACCAGTTTCCTTCTTGGTTTTGATGCTATAATAATATGGTCATCCTCCAGTTTTAGCTCTTTACTTCCATAGGTGAGCTTTATAAGACAGATTTCAATATGGGAGCAGTAATGATGTCAACCTTCCCACAGGTTAATTAGCAGTGCTGCTTTCTTGAATGACTAATAAACAGAATCAACACATCTGTATTCAGTGTGAGAAACCAATCAATTTTCCCATGGTTTGAGTCAGATCACACCTACCTACCTTCCAACCACCAGGATGTTTTCTCTGTTTCTCCTTCATACTCTTGTATAACAAGAGGAACCAGACAACTACTGATGTAAAAAGAGTTTCCTCTGCTGGGGGAAACACTGGAGCGCTGCTTCACTGAATCAATGCAATTAGCAGAATTATGAATGAATGACTTTGAATAACAAGCTGTTTCAAATTAGCACCAGAGGATCTGAGTAACAGAGCAGCTTATTTAATGGTGCAAGCTCTTTCAAACCAGGTTTCTAATATTGAAAAGGGCTTGACTTGATTTAACCCACGCTGCTCATGTACTCCAAACACTTTCCCCTTTCGCTCTCATCTTTAGGGCTAAATGTTCAGTTCACTAATTAGTGTTAGTTGCTACATTAAAGACAGACAGAAATCTGTGTTCATCCATCAAACACGCTCATTATTCAACATCTCCATTCAAATTATTCACTGGTAAAAAGGCAGACACAAATTTCCAGCGGCACCAATTAGTCACATTGCAGCAGTTCATCATATTAATAGTCAAGTGTAAATCTTTGTAATTCAGCTTTTTGAAAGGTTGAGGGACAGGCTCTGCAGTCTAACACTGCTTAAGACATATCAGTTAAAGAAGGTAATTATAACAAATATAACAGGTTATTTACAGCATTTATCAGGTTTAGGTTCATCTGTTGAATGTTAGTCCAGAATTGACCATCTTTTAGCTCAGTTTCTTGCTCTTTAGTGGCTAAGTGCTACACAACATTGATCAGCATGTCTGTTGTATGTAACCTAAGAGGTTTTTTACAGCGGGGTATTTTAGAGCTTTATAAATAAAAAAATTAATTATAAAAAAAGCTAACTGCTGCTTGACAGACTTTGTCATAGGAATCATGAGAACACACTAAAACTGTTCAGGACGGAGAAGCTAATGATTGCTGCAGATTTTTGTTAACATTGTCTCTCCATTCATCAACGCAAGTGACATCTTATTCAAGTATAGGGTTGGGAATTGATAAGACACAAACTCAAAACTTCTATACAAAACCCATTGTCGTCTTTCTTAGTAAAATGAAGCCACGTCTTAGATCGTTTCTGCCTACTTTTTGTACCATTCGCCATGTTTTTTTCCTCAAAGTCGCTGTTCTCGTTCGTGTAGACTGGCTCTCACGAGACCGTTTTTCAAGGCACCCGGAAGAAAGGAATCGTTACAGGAATTGTTAAGATAAAATATAAATGATGTCGATGGATTGAACCATTTGGAAGTGGATCTCAACAAGAACCGGTTCTCGATTCCCATCCCTATTCAAGTAGGATTGAGAAGGCTTGTTATAGAGCCTGACATGAGTGAGTTTAGCAAAATAATCTTCTTAACCAGCAGCCATAGCTCCAAATGCATCTCAAGACAGACACAAACATGACTGCACAACATGAAGTCTTGATTTTTTCCTTTGTTTGTCTGAAAGGTTGTTTTATGTTATGATGAATGATGCTGCAATCAGAAGCCTCCTGCATAAATGAGCAGAATACACCAGTACGGTGTGTGTGAGGTTGTTTGTGTGGAGTGTTATTATGTAGCAGCCTGATGTCATTTGCATTTAATTTAATCAAGGTGAACACAGTGGACGGTCATGCCTAATGGCGAAGCGCTCCGGTGCAGCACATCTTCGCTCAGAGGTTGCAGACATTAACAAAGCTGTTGTTCTGCCTCCAGACAGTGGCAGAGGTTTAATGAAGTGAAGACACTTTTCATTCATAAAAAGCTGCTGTGGACCACATAGGGGAGACCAGGGATTGTTGTCACACTTTTTACACTCTTATATATTTCTTAGAATCAAGACATCATATATAAACAAAACGTGTACCAGATAAAAAACCAAAGTCTCAGGTATATATTTCGTATTCATATCATTTGTATATCTTTATTTATTAGCTAGGGTCACCTGCTGAGTGCCCTCAGCATCACGTCACGTTCTGTTTTTCTTTAAAATTCCTGACCATGTCTTCTCGCTTTCTCCTCTCCTCTTTTCTCTATAAAAATAAAGTCAAAATTTCAATATGACAACTGCTAAAAAGCAGACTCTCTGTTAATTTTAATCCCTTTTAAACATGTGACAACTAACACTAAAATGACTGAGACATGTTGCCCCAAACTACCACGTTTGCTAATTCTAGCTGTAGCTTAAAGTTAGCCCAAAAACAGAACAATGATTGAGGTATGACAGGATGCCTTAATCTCTCCTCTAACAAGTCCACATGTATCACTGCTTGGATTTTTATCTGGAAGAAGCTTAATTTAAAGTATATAAAGTTAAGTTTTCTTTTTACTTTGGGTTGTGCGAAATGGTTAATTGGCGCTAATCTCAGCTCACAATGTGCTCTTCTCTTCTCAGACAGGACACGACCCCTGACCATGTAAAGGAAGAAAACTAGTATTCCACTTTTTAGTTGCGCCCTCTGGTGGCAAAGATAATTGCAATGTGACAACTTACCCATGTGAGAACAAGCCCCAGTCTCCCCTACTGTATCCTCAAAAAAAATCAGTCTTGCAAGTTCATAGACAACTCCAGACAGATGCTAATAAGGTCAAATTCATCTGGTATAAACTTCACATATTTATTGTCATAGTTTTGCATGTTATCCTAGAATTATTACTGTAATAAAAAACTGAACATGGAAACACCACTTACACATTTACCAAACAAAATCAGCAAAGAACTAAAAGAAAAGTTCCTCCATGTCTAAAAGAGGGACCAACATCGACACAAACCTGTAGTTCTTTACAGGAGGATTAAAGAAGTAATTGGAGACACAAAGCACAATAGTAAAGTGTACAGACAGTGTCTTGTGCCTCTAAGAGTAACAGATATATCACTTAGCAGACATTGCCATGCCCAAGAGCCAAACCAAAGAAAAATGTCAAGAAAATTGACTTATCGATGCCCAGCATGCTGCTAAGAGCTGATAGAAAGTGACTTCCCTCGTACTCTTTCGTTATTTCCCCTCAATTGGATCTGATCATTTTATGCCTGCTGTCAGCTTCAATGAGTCGTGGAGGAGCTTTACACTACAGAGCAGCAGACCACCGACTGTGACTCCAAGCCCAGCTAAACGTGTTGAAGCAAACGGCCTGAGAAAGACCAGGACTCTGTGCCGAGGTATTAATATGACAGCGGTGCCCTGTGCTGCTTTGTGACAGCCCTGCAGCTTCGCTACAACTCAGCTAGCGAGCCCACGCTCCCTTAAGCAGCTTTCCATGAGTGTCAAGCCGGGAGCAGCTGCGCTCGGAGCAAACTGCATGGGTGGGTATGATAAAGTAGGATGACACATCGCTTCAGGTGCAGTTCAAATGCTCCCTAACAGGACTGGAATTACTGTGTGACCGAGGATGACACTTTATTTTCCACAGCAGGCTTGCACATTGAGTCGGTACCCTTGGATTAAGCAAAGCCAGCCTCAAAATGCCACCGCAAAAAACAACATCCTAGCTTTTGGTGTTTGTAAGTGTTAAATGTTTGTATCAACAGGTTATCACTGACCGTCATGAGCTGATGGAGCCTCTCTGCTTCACCGTAAACTACCGGACCCTGATTACAGCAGTCTAATATCATAATCATAGCAAAGGAAATTACAATCAATTTTTTCACTCTGCCTTGCAGCCTAAATTACTTCTCCACACAGCAGCATATCCCAAAGCACTAATATTCCTTCAGACCCCACTCTGTTTTCTTATTCGAAGAAAAAAACCTCACACAGGATCGAAATCTGCTTTGATATTGTCGAAACCACACGTTTATCATCCAGTTTTCTCTGCTTTCATAAGATTTGTTTACACAAATACATAGACACGTTGTTGCTGTTGATTTAGGCGGGGCCTGTGAGTGAGGAAATTGAGAAGATAGCTCAAACAATTGTGTCGAGGGTAAATAGCCGTAAGTGTAGAAACAAATGCAAGTGTGGGGACGACGCGAGGCGGGAAAGTAACGAGTGCGGACAGAGGGAACAGGGTGGGGGGAGAGGTGCTTTGAGTCATCAGTGACACTCGGAGAGAGAGAGAGAGAGAGAGAGAGAGAGAGAGAGAGAGAGAAAGGGAGGGAGAGAGGGATCAGCATTATCCTGGCTCTACCACTTTCTCTCTCTCTGGCCTGCCATCACTGTGGGCTCTTCATTCTACATCAGTGTGGCTTGCTGCATCTCCACAATGATGATGAGCTCATATGCTGAGTGAGAGTGAGAGTGAGAGTGTGAATGCGAGTGCGTGGACACCTGGCCCAGATGTGCGTAATTGGGTGCCATCGAGGAGGAGGAGAATACCTTTAACAGACTCTTCAGCAGGAGCCTTGAACAGGTGCAGTCCTCCCTGTACCTTTCTCTCTCTTCCTGTCTCTCTTTCTGTCTCTCTGTCCTTTCTGACTCCAGTGGCTGGCTGAGCTCTTGTCCTCTGCATCCTGCTCTCCACCTGGCCTCCATGAGTTTAACTGAGGACAAGCCATTCCTCCCTGGAAGGTAAGCAGAAAAGCAGTGGGGGGTCCTGGTCATTTTCATTGAACACAGAGAGATTAGACAGGAAGAGATGGCGAAGTATTGATCGTGGCACACTTGTTTGAGTCTTTGCTGTTGTTTCAAATTGTTGCTTGTTGTAGTCTAGGACATATGGAGGATGTAACGTGCAAATTTGTAGGAAACTTTTATTTTCTGTGCAAAGGTGTGATGGTGTCGTTTAGTTAAATCAGGCTGGAAGTGGATGTGAGAGGTTCTCACAAGTAGCGTCAGAGTGTTTTGAGAGCGTTTATCAGGCCCATTCAGCACAACTATGTAGGTAAAGTGACAGACTGTGCTGACTTTACAGTTGATGAAATCGCAGCTAATTAGGTGGGTCACTTGCAGGATTGGAGAAGAGGTCACTGATCATCCCACTCCACAGAAAAAAAAAGGGGGTTTGTCAAAGCAGTCACTGCACGGGCCATTCTGTCCACTTAGTTTGAGCCTGATCGCCACTCATTATATCCCCTGACATGTGTGCCGAATGCATGCATGCATGAGCTGCCTTATTGTTGTTTCCGGCACTGACATGCATGAGCGGCGATCTATTTGCTAGCCAGCTCTCACTCCGGCTTCAAAATGCAGAATCAATACGAGTCGACAGTGACAGATTGTGATCATGTCTTTCTCGTGGATGGGAATGAGATTCGACGGAGTGAGTGACCTTCAGCTGAGTCAAAGGAAACAAAAAAAAAATGTAAAAGAAGCTGAGACAAGACATTTACCATCACTGACACAGAAATATTTGCTGTGCCATCTTTAATCAGAGCGCGGTTACGTAATATGTTTGTTTCATGAGGGGAAGCGGTTGTGGTTGAGTGATGATGACTTACTAGGGTGGCAGAATTGTATTTATTTATTTATCTACTTGTTTTGCATCCTTTGCCGCTGCTGTCCTTCCCACAAGCATGGAGATAGGGACTCTGATAGATATCGAATCTGTACTCAGTGTACCATGTTTACAACCTTGACATGCCCAATGGATTTACTGTTTGTATCAGATCTTTTGTGTTAAACTACTTCCCGACCAGTTTGAGAAGTTCTTTCCAGATAATCCCTCATTTTTCAATTCCTACCATCTCACTAATTCAAGACAAAACAAGAAATCTGTAATTGCAACATGTCGTGCATATCTCTGTATTATGCATGCAAAAAAATCAGCTCATGTCCAAAAACATGAATTCTCAGGTGTAGTCATCGGGTGACTTATAGTTCACGACCAGATTACTGTGCGCTGCAGTGCTGACCATCATAAACACATTATGTCCTCCACATTCATTACATAAGTTATGTCACAGCTCTGCACGCCCTGCATGTCTACAAGAGTCGCCTCGAGTCACTCTTTGTCATGTTGCTTAACACGCTGTAAATATTCCACTGTGATGGCATCTACTTGTCACTGTCAGTCACTCTCACATGAAGAGGCAGTTAAACACGGCGAGGGTGAGCCTTCAGTCGCACAAAGGTCCCGCATAAGCTTTCAGGGGATGTGCCTCGCAGCGCCGTCTGTGTCAAATGTGTTTCAAGTGAAGATTTAAGTTCAAATTTCACAAAACGCTGTAATCCTCTCTGCCAGCCGAGACATGTTCCTTAAATATGACAAAAAAGAGACACTTTCTGATGAACCTGATTGGATAATGAGATGCTGACAAGAGAAGAAGTTTGCCCTGAGAAACGTTGACGACAGCTTTAATTATTGCTGTCAATTAAGAAGTGCATCCATAGCTATCCTGTCAAAGGAAAGCACCAATCGTTTGCTGATTTAAGCGAAGACTAAAGTTTGAAAGTGCAGCTTTTCCTGTCCCTTCTGATAGTAAGTTGTAAACAAAGTGAATCGTATCCCTCTGTTTTTGAAAATTAAGGAAGCAAATTAAGAAGCAAACGAGCCCTGATCCAGCATTAGGTTTGTTTGGGTTTTCATTAGGAGATACTTTTGTCTTAAAGTTTGACTTAACCCTTTCTTGAGCTTGCTCTGATCTGCTGGATGTTGCTGTGTTTCTCAAGGATCAGTTAAGCAAATATGGCATGCATCATGGACTCAGGATGATAAATCTGAAAAAACTGAGATAATCATCTCACATAATTCAGAAAAATGTAGAAAATTTTTACTCTTAAAAAAGATTAAATGTGTTCTGACATTTTTCTGGACAAAACAAGCCCTCTGAAGACGTCACTTTTGAGCTCAGGGAAAACGTGAAAAGAATAAAATTATTTTCTCCACATTACAGGCAGAGTGATTGCTAAGAGATGGAAAAAAAACCAGCAAATGGAAATATAAATTAGTTGCAGCCTAAATGCGGACATTATTTTTCTGATATGCAATAAAAGAAAGCTCTGTGATGGAAAATCTGAGAAGACGTTTCTGGAGACGCTGCTTCTGCAAAAATAAGAGGGATGAGTGTTATTAAGTAAACAACATTAAAAAGTGCTTGCACTAAAACAGCAGTCTAAACATAATGCATTTCATGACAGGAAAAACTCTGCAAGATTGATGGATTAAAATTTACATTTGGCGCCACTTAAATACACGCACTTAAATGTGCAGCCTAACTCTCTAAACTCGATTAGCTAAGAAAAGACAAAACATGTTAGAAATTGTATTCGAGTTACATACTGACATTGTTTTTAGATGTGAGCAGATGTAGAGATGAAAAAAGGACAGTGTTGTTGTGAAAGGGGAGGTCAGTCAATCCAAGCACACAAGACACAAGATGATACTCAATATTCAGCAATAAACGAATACATGATTCATAATGTCAAAAGTGTAAACATAGAGCTGGATGTGTAAGCACAGCATCATGATGATGTTAGAATCACTGCAGCCATCATTATTTTATCTACATGATGGTGTAAAAATGTGTGTGGGTGGATGAAAAGGTCATCGGGTTATAATTATGAAAGCCGTTAGGTCCATGAGTTAGTTTTTTCTTTCACCCTGTAAGAGCTCCTGAAGTTTGAGAAATACTTTGAGTTTTATAATGCTCAAAATCAAAGCGGTGCCACAAGTCTGCCAATCTTCGACACTGTCACTTCTCATGAGCTCATGCATGTGCTCTCTTTGCTGTTTCACTTAAGACTTCCTGACACGCCTGTCAGCCTTTAAATGGTTGTTTATCTCCTTTGACCACAGACACTTTAAATGTGATGAGTGACACTTCCAGTGATAACATTAATCCGAAACATTTGATGGCATGCAGGACGCAGCCGGGAAACTTTTTACAAACTTATTACTTGTCATTCTGATAGACTTCAAACCGAACAGATGAATGCAAATCTCCATTTTGGTAGATTACACATTCAAAAAGGCTCTGCTGAGACAGCAAACTCCAGTGAATGGGTCAGGGGAGGAGAAGGCGAGGTGCTAATGTGCATCCAAAAGGAAAAAACGGGATGTTTAGCCAGGTCAGCCGGCGATAAGTGATTTACCCCATATTATCATCATCATCCTCATCATCATCCAGAGGGCGATGTCCCGTTCATGTCTCAAAGGCGGCTAATTAACCTCAACTCAACAGAGAGTTATTCAGCCGCGCTCAGAGACATGAAAACTGTGGTGTCACAGCTCAGCCATTCTCAAAATACTCAATCTGTCACAACGGACCAAAGGCTAAGTTCAGCTGGTTAAGCTCTCTGGGTTCTCCAAGTCTGCCTGTCGCACTCTCATGGCTCGTTGGGTCGTCTTGTTTTAGTTTTCTGATTGCATAAACAGACACAAAAGATGAGTTCAGCTCTTCTTGTTTCAAAGCAATGTTGCATGAACGGTGCAACCAAGGCGTTTGTTTGTTAAATCTCAGAACATCAATTCATCTAAACTCTCATTAAACAAAAAGGAGCTCTTCTGTAAGCGAGTAACTTTGGGGGATTGTTTGATAAATTGAAAGGGAAATCCAGCTCACTCAGGCTTGGTGGAGCCACTGGAGCTTAAACTCGGCACACTGCAGAGTCAGAGAGAGAGAGAGAGACAGAGAGAGGGAGAGAGAGAGGGAGAGAGGGAGGAAGAAGCAACAGCACACTAAGATCTGTGCTCAAGGTGTGATTAATACTCGCTTTGGATCCTCTAGGCATGACAGTCTGCACAAGAGCATGCATGAGATAGAAGATCTTTGAGTGTGCTGCATTTCTGTCTCAAACCTTCTTGTATGGGATGCTTATCACCCAGGAAACATGCAGACACTAATCGCCTCGTGGACCTGGGTTGTCTTTCAGCTGATAGAATATGATTGCATAAAATCTTAAGAAGAGGAGGGACTTGCTTGGCTCTCTCAACTCCAATCAGAACTGACATTGAATCTGCAACAATACAAGATATGCTTTTACTATCAGTTTAGTTGCAATATTTTGAATGTGCAAAGAAGTGCAGCAAAGATGCATCGGTGAAATTGGTCGTACAATCTTAAACCTATGAGGATCAATAATTATTATTTATTTCTTTTTATTTTATCTGTTACTCAGTTATCTTTCCCAAAGCAAGCATCTATGTAAAATGACATCAGCAATTTTTATATCTTTTTTTGTCTTTTTTCTGTCTTTTAACACCACTTAAAATAAATAAATACATTTCTCCCCTGTGAGATTATTAAAGGAACATCTTGTCTTGTCTTATCTTTCATGGGCACAAGGAGAAATCAGCAACAATATATGGATTCCCACTTTTTATACAAGGGCACTAAGGTCAAAGTAGACTGAAAGTTCCACATAGGAGCACAAATCAACTTCTCTTAATGAGTTTAAATTAAAACTTTGAGTTCTGTAGACTTTGGTTTAAGATTTTCTTTTAGGGAAACTGGCATCAAAGTGAAAATTTACAGGTGTTTGCTCTATGTATTCATTATCAAAAGATACATTTTTTATAGAAATCATTTATTTTTTTAGTATCACTTTTTACCTTATTTTATTAATAAATTCAAGTTTATATTTTATTGTCTGTTTTGGTCTATTTTAATAACTTTCATTTTTCTTGTCCTGATGCAAAGAACTTTGAGCTGCAATTTCATTTGTATGAAGAGTGCTATATAAATAAACTTTGATTGATTGATTGATTGATTTAAGTTTATGAAGCAAAAATATGAACATAATGTTCACAACAGTGTAAGTAAATAACTTAACTGACCATAACTGATGGTGACAGCAGACTTTTTGGACTTGAGTGGCACTAAAACTGGTCATTACACTCGCTGTGCTGAAGCTCCTCCGCCCAGACTGACTGGACATTTTGTCATCAGCTGGTGTTGCTGGCTTGCATAGTAATGCAGCCTCAGGCTTTATTCAGTGCTATTGCTCCAGTCCTTGAGAGTCAATGTTGCTTCTACATTATCTCTGATAGCACTCTAAGTATCGCTCTGCATTTGCGCGTACACGGCGCTCTTCTCCGGCAGTTTCCATTCAACTGTTCAATCTTCTGTTAAGAAAAGTGTTGTGCTGAATAGCAATCATCGTCTTGTTTGTATATATGTAGCCATGAAGCACCTGATTGCCTGGATTATGAGTTTGGCTCATAACATAGAGCGTGATTGTGTCTGATACTAAGGAGCCATTCTAACAATCCATCAGGGTGATTTGTTACCTCCCTGATATCCTTAGCACCTGTCAGCTCGGCAATCACACCATTATCTCTAGACATGCTGCATCTGTCCCGTCACCCCACGTGTCTGTATTGGATTTGCGTGTCTTCATGATTGCATCCCTTGTAAACATGCATAGGCTGGGGACAGTATTACAATTTTTAATCTTTTTTTCTCTGCAAATTTGGCCTCATGTTACCTTCATCAGAGATCTTTTGTCTTGCTCTCTCTCAATCTCAATCCCCTGTTTTGCCGCACAGTGTAAATCCTTAAACGGACATTGCCTCTAATTCTTTCCATCTGCCAATCCTGCTTTGTATATTTCTATTTAATACAAATTGTATTCATCCTGCGCTGGATTATTTCTTTATTTAAAAAAAAGCTTTTCATCTATTTTTACATCTAGTGCTGCAGGCTGGAGGTATTGTGCAACAGATACAGAAAGAAAACAGCGGCTACCACAGACAATAGATGGTGTCTTAAATGCATTAGTACCAAAATTGGTCATGTGGTTTGAAACACTGGGACCAGGCAGGACAGAAAAATAGCTTCTGGTGCGGTTATTCAACAGTTGTCCCAAAAAACATTTGCTTTCTTTGCTAACAATGTTTCAGATGGGAAATGCTTCAGACACATCTGCAACGTTCGAGTCCACCATCTCCAAGGAGCATGACATCTTCATGGGTTCACTCTACAGCGTCTTTTGTAAGTCTACACTATCAAAACAACAACAACAACAAATCTCTGTAGGCGTGCAGCTCAATTTCTTTTCTTTTGGTTGCAGGTATTCTGTCCCTCGTGGGAAACTGCATTCTGCTACTTGTTGCATATCACAAGCGGTCAACCTTGAAGCCAGCTGAGTTCTTCATCATCAACCTCTCCATCAGTGACCTTGGGATGACGCTCTCATTATTCCCACTGGCAATACCTTCAGCCTTCGCACACAGGTATCTCCTATTGTGCTCCAAATCTCCATTTTATCCCCACTATCTTGAGAAATATCACATTCAATTCTCAGGGAAAGTCTACTTTTCTGGTTGTGGTAGTGTGTGGGCAAATTCAGCAGCATATTATGAATGTTAGTCATTTCTTACTTGAAAATACTGCATAGTGTTTCATGCCTATTTAGATGCTTGGCACAGAAAGGCTTTTTGGAAAGAGAAAAAATAATATTTCTATAAATCCTACGCAGTTCAGTAAAATGTGTTTATGTTCTCTTGAGGTGGTTTTTACTGTTATTGGAAAAAAAATTTATGTGCCGCAGTGGAAATCAAAACATCTGTTGAAAAAAAGTTATGGAGGCAAACTTTAACTCCACATGACTCATCAGTTGTTCTTGTTAAACTGAAGGTAGGCAGATGGTTAAAAAGCTTTTGGCCAACTTCAATCAAACAACATAGCAAGGAAACAGCAGCAGGTTACGCTGACGGATGTCGAAAGAAAAGTAAAACCTTCCAAATTACAGACAAGTTAAGTGTAGTACATAGCCCACAACACCAACTAAAGTGTGCAGTGTTTTCATGAAACCTGTTGTTTAAAACATCTTTCCTTTAACATTTCGAAGGCTCACTTGAAAGGGGTTTTTATGACAAAACACTCTTTGCAAAAAGTTTCAGTGCAAGACTGTGCTTTTAGAGGGGGCTCTGGTTTAAAATTAGGGCCCGACCGATTTATCGGCAAGCCAATTAAATCAGCAAATTTTAGCCCGTTTGAGACTAATCGGCCAAAACTCGCAGATTTTCGCTGATATTTTCAGAAATAAAATGCGGAGAATAAAATCCGGTTTCACTTCGCAAATGTTCCGCCATTTGAAAAGTTCCCTGACTTATCCTGTAGATGGCGCAGCGACCTCATGACAATCTTCATCCACTAACTACCTCACAGCGCAGCAGAGTGACGGATCTGAGGCAGGCAGCTCAGGGACGCACGGAGGAGAGTGGTCCACCTCAACAGTAAATAAACCAGTTTGTGAAATACACAATAAGTCAACAAGCTTCAGTTCAACCCACTTCACGATGTTCCCCGCTGTGCTGGTCTCGATCACGCCAAGTTAACGGTGAATAACGTGAACAGCAGTAGCCTACAGTATATATGCATTTTTAATAACTAATTTTTAAAAATCGGTCGATTAATAGGTAATCGGACCCCCCCAATAATCAGTATCGGCATCGGCCCCAAAAAGTCCATATCAGTCGGGCCCCATTCAAAATCAGGAATTATGAAAATTGGTTTGTTCCAATAAAGCTATGACAAGCCCATACCTACACCAGCCTTCCTAGTTATGTAGAACTGATAACAAAGATCTGTTTAGTTGCATTTCATGTCTCCGTCACATTTCCCTTTTCTCCTTGTTTGTGCACTCAGGTGGCTGTTTGGATCATCCACCTGTCAGGTCTATGCTATGTGCGGAGTCCTGTTTGGTTTATGCAGCCTGACCAACCTCACTGCCCTCTCCTTGGTGTGCTGCCTTAAAGTCTGCTTCCCTAACTATGGTGAGAGGACCATGAACTTCACTCAGGGACGATGTTACCAACACCCCAGGTTTCAGCATGAAGAGACAAAATAAAAGCCTCTTTTTTTATCTCCTGTCTGCTCAGGTAACAAGTTCTCCCCGATGCACGCCCGCCTCCTGGTGGTTGGAGTGTGGTTGTATGCCTCTGTGTTTGCTGTGGGGCCCTTGGCACAGTGGGGGCATTACAGTCCTGAACCGTATGGCACCGCCTGCTGCATAGACTGGCACGCACCCAACCACAAGCTGTCAGCGTTGTCTTATATCATCTGCCTTTTCGTCTTTTGCTATGCACTGCCCTGTACTGTCATCTTCCTCTCCTACACGTTCATCCTGCTGACGGTGCGGGGGTCGCGTCAGGCCGTCCAGCAGCATGTGTCACCGCAGACCAAGACCAGCAACGCACACACTCTTATTGTCAAGGTCAGAGGATTTAAGTGTGTAGCTCCAGCATTATTGAGTTCAGGTTGACAGGATAAGTGTTCAGAGGTTTTAAAGATGTTTTGCTGATGATGACATGTTTTATCTGCACACTAACACCTGGCTGATATGGAACTTTTTTGGGACAATCATAAAACTTAAAAACTTTTGAACTCTTGCTCGGCACACTTTGAAAAAGAAAAAATAAATTATTGTAAAATGTGACTACAAATAAGTGACTAAATATATCATAAATGGTCAATAAGGTTTAGATCTGGGCTTGATGCACACTGATGTCACTAAACTGTTAAATAGTTTACACTATTACCCTCTTTCCTGTCATGCTCACTCTTTCCCTCTGCTTTGCTTACCCACACACGCACTCGCCTCCATCTTGGCACTACAAAATGGCTCCTTTTTCTCCACCTGTGGCTGAATGATAAATTGTAATACCAAAGCTCGACATGTTGTTGATAAATAAATCCCCACTTGACACATTTTGTTTTATCCTAAACTTCTTTGCACTTTCAAACTCTGTTGCCATCAAACTGAATGCAACGTAGCAGGCGAAACATTAATTGTTTTACCACAATCATCTTGTTTTAATGATCAGAGGAAGCCAAAGTGATCATCCAAATTGGATTTTGATTACTTGCTCAGCCTAACTACTTAATCAAATAATGTTTAAGCATCTTTCTTTCTGTGTGGGTTGAGAGAGTTTGATCACTTGCTAATCAATAAACATTTATTTAACGTTTATGTATTACTGTTGTCTCTCTCTCTCTCTCTCTCTACAGCTGTCAGTAGCAGTTTGTATTGGCTTCCTGGGAGCCTGGAGCCCATACGCTGCAGTGGCCATGTGGGCAGCGTTTGGAGATGCCACGCGAGTTCCCCCGGAAGCGTTCGCCTTGGCTGCAGTGTTCGCCAAATCTTCGACTATCTACAACCCAGTGGTCTACCTGCTGTGTAAGCCAAACTTTCGGGAGTGTCTCTACAAAGACACGACCATGTTACGACAGAGGATCTACAGGGGAAGCCCGCAGTCAGATCCCAAGGAACGATTTGGATCCACTTTACAGCGCAACAAGGATTTGAGCATCTCCACACGCTTCTCAAACGGACAGCAGGAGAGCTATGGGGCGTGTCTGCACTGTAATGAAAATGCAGTGCCATGCCACCTGACCACACCCCAAAGGACAGCGTGCATCTTAAGCGGATCGACTTACAAAGAGGTGGCGATGAATCAGCTCACGGTCAAACCACAGGCGGATTTGCTCTAGTCTCCATCTTCCATGAAGCAAACAAAGACCGGTCAGGAGCTGTAAAAGACAGAAACACACCTGAGAAGATTTGCCACACAAGTGTACGCCTGTAAAGTCTTTGTATTTACTTCTGATTCAGCATGTTCCCCGTTTCATTTGTTTTAATGTACAGTTACTAAAATTCTGACAGAGCAGAAAATGAGACTGGAGAATCCCTGCTGGTTTTCAGCTTCATTAGGCAAATGCGTGACATTTTAAAGTAGCTCATCATCTTTTGCACACAGCAGGAACATGCTTTTTAGTGTGGGGATAAATCATGTTAGCGTCTGTCCAGTACAACACAGAACACATCATAAAGAAAGAGACGTGCAGAATTATTATGATGGTTTAAAGGAGATGATTCCTGGTTTCTCCTGTGAAATCACGTCTAACAGATTAATATTTAACCAGCTCTGTTTAGGACATGTGCACCTGATGTGCGTATGCAGACAACATGCTGGTGAGGATGACATGGAAGTGGTACTAAACCAAAATGATTTAGTATTCAGCCCCTGTAGGCTTGGATGTTTTCATGGGCGTTTTGTCCTTGTCGCTGCTGGAACCCGTTCAAACAGAGACATAAAATCAAACAGACAGCTGCTCTTTTCACTAAGGAATCAAACACAGACATATAGCAGCTGGTTTGAGCCTACAGGGTATGAGAATTTGATAGTAAAAAAAAAACTGCTGAAGCAGGAATACTGCAGGTATTTTACATAAGATTGAGAGACTGAAAAAGCAAAATATATTTTTTAGAAAACCTCATTTAAGTACTGAGAAAGCGGATGTAGAATCGAGTTAATATCATTTTACAAGCAGCATTTTTTAGCATAAATTTTGATTTTCTTTCACGAAAATTCTCCACAAGTTTCTCTCTTTTGTATCATGTGGCGATCTCCCCTCCAGGCTTCCTTCGTTCTGATCTTAACATCAGCTTGATTAGATTATTTTCCTTTAAAAAAGGGACTTCACTTTGTAAGAAAACACAGGAACTAGACTTCCGTGAAATGAGGGAAATATGTTATTCAAGAAGTTCACCAGAGCCTTTCCGATGATATGGTCTATTGAGAAAACCTGAGTAACACATCAAAGTCATATATTTTTATACCAACAACAACAAAAAATAGATTTTGAATAGCCCAGAGCAGCAGAAATATCAGAAGCTTCATGCTAAAATAAGTATTTTAAAAAGTGTTCATATATTTTTAATCTTTGTTTTATAATCACACTCTGACTAAGGAACAAAGATTCATCAAGTTAATGCAAATTAAGTTACAGATGCTCTCTTGTTTGTCCTCTGCTCCTTGTTGTGTTATGCTGACATTTGTGTGTAAATTCTGTAAAAACAGAGATATAAATTCAAAAGAATGATCCTTTGGATTTCTTTGGATCAGCCATGTCTGATTCTGCACGTGTCTCCAAAGGCTGACTTGTTACTCTGCCTAAAACAAAATAAATGAATAAATTCACTAACAGCACTTTGCTCGATGCTGCCTCCTTTTAATGTGGTACCGTGCTGTGTTGCTTTATGTATGCAAAGTAGGTAAAAGAGTTCTGTCTATAGTGGTATTATTATAAAATCAATTCTTGTGCAGCCTTATTTACTTAAGAAAATAAAAACATGGAATCAGTTTGTAGCCCGATTTCTTTCTTGTTTCTTGACCGCTAGAATCCAATTCATATAGGTTCCTCAATTTACTTATTTTAAAAGAGTTTTTCCATCTCGGACATGTCAGGATCAAAATTTAAATTCTAAAATATAAGGGAAACTATAAATGTACATTTCCCCATACTAACTGACGTATTTGAGTTAAAGGTGGGGTAGGCAGGCAAAAAAGCTTTTAATATCAGTCAATAGCTATTAGTTATTGATGACATTTGGAAATATAATGATATCGCTGTGTTTTTTTATGTCTGTGTAGTCAACATTTAAAAATTTTTAAGCGGTCCGCTCTTCCTGACTGTAAACAAAGCCATTCTCCTCCTCCCCCGACCTGATTGGTTGTGAGGCAGACACTGTTTCCCTGTGTCCTTCAAGAGCCCAAACAAAGTTAGCGTGCTACAATATCGGACAGTAGAAACCAACAAGAAAGTACGGAAAATTGTCTGAATCCTCCTTTGACCATGTCTGCCAACGCAAGCAAGTAACAAAGTAAATACCAGAGACTCTGGCGGAATAATGGCCGATTAAAAAAGCCGGGGCAAAATAGCATAAATGATGGGGGACGCTTTGGGGTCTTACAGACCCTGTAACCTTCTACTGGACAGGTAAACCGCTTTTTAAAAGTAAGCCAGTGTCTGTAACAGAAGTGTTTCTTGTCAAACGGGACCTGCTGCGTGTCGTTGTGCTGCTAAACTGTTTACCTCGAGTCCTGGACTATGTCGCTTTATCCTAGTTGTAGAAGTCCTGCAAACATTGTGTTTGCTGGTAGTCTGTTGGCATCTACAGTAGCACCAATGCTTTTTACATAACGTAGACTGGGCCCATTTGTAATTATCTGAAGTACTTATCTGCATTATATCTGAATTTAATTGAAATGATACGAGCGAGCAGGAGCGTCTGTTTGTGGGCGGGGCTTGCTGGAGCAGAGACAGAGGGGAGAGGAGGAGCTGAGGTGAAAACTGGTTGGGAGGGGTAGTGTTTACGTTCAAGATTTCTCCCAAAAACTGACCCTTCCTCAGATCCTGCCTACCCCACCTTTAACGCATATGAGGAGGTTTTCAAGTTAAGGAATTCTTTCACTTCTAGTTTTTTTTTTTTAATCTACAAGTATGAGTAAAAATGTGACATGACTTTCACCAGAGGTTTAATTACCTTGCTTTGAAACCATTAACTTCAGAGCAGACCGGGTTCAAATGTAATTTTCTTCAAAGGAGTGTACTGAAATTATTAAAGTCATCTTTGTGTAGCCTCTACTTGAAATTCCTAGGCTGATGTGCAACATTGCCATTGGCTGTCTCTAAAATCAGAATTAGTGGCAGTATGAGGGAGAAGAGTTGAAAAACTATCTAGTTAAGAATAATCAATCCATCGAGGTAAACATTTGTCAACACAAACTGACAGATTAGTTTGTTGGAGCTTTAACACTCATACACTCTAAAAATCATCTCCACAGCTAATGAGAAGTTTAAACAGATTGGACAAGCTTAAACTAGGGGGGCACAGTTCAAGGCTGAAATGAAGCATCTCATTAAAAGGACTTCTATACTTCTGCCTCTCTGCTGTTTTATTTTATCTCTGATTTCCTACTGAGGCAGCTTTTCTTCACAGGGGTGTTTGTGAGCACACTGACCAAAACTGTGATGACAGCGAAGCCACAGCTGGGGGGTTTACGACCTTCTGAACATGACACATGTGCATCTGAAAGCACAAATAGAAAGCGTGTCTGAGTTCAAATCTTTAAGAAATAACAAACCAGAGTATGTGTTTTTATATCTGCTAAAGTGGCCGACTCCTATCTGAGCTGAACTGAAGTGGAATAATAAGAATATAAAAACTCTCATGACAGCAGGGAGCAAATATGCATAAAGTACTGACATAGATGCAGTGTAATTTGTTTTCCCCAGCGTAAAAAAATAAAAGGTCTGCAGGATAGGACGACAAGAAGCCAGTATGGGCAGAGATGTAGCCAGAGGGGGAAGTAAAGGAAGAATAACTCATATGGCATATAACATTAAGAGAAACTGGCAGATTTATGCTACACTGGAAAACATTAGTTGGGTAATTTTTTTAGCTGATAAGAGTCATTTACTTCAGCCAGTTTTTGACTACTGTGAATTTAATGTGTGAGATTCTTAAGTTTTGACTGTGCAAACTTCTTCTCAAAAGACAGATTGGAATCGTATACTTCTCATGATCATAAAAATGACCATATTCAGTGTTTCGCCACCACAGATGGAGTCAGAGTTTACCCGGCACTGCATTTGAATATGAAACAGCTTCAGTGAGGAATCGCTTCAGAGGAAAATGACTCAGTCTATGCAGTGATAGATCCAAAACATTTTACGTCATATCTTTATCCTCCTACATATTCCACTTCTCTCGCTCATACAGTTCTCTCCTCCTCAGTTTGCATAAAACTCTGCTTTCTCTAAGTCTCTCTTTGAAAGCCACAGCATGTATCGCAATGCCAGACATTTATTATGCAGCCGTGCAACTTAAAGCACCCAGTTAATGCAGACACAAGTTTACTTTGGCGTGTTTAATCCTCACCTGAGATCACTGCCTCTTTGGTAACTCCAGGACAATTTGTGTTCTCACTTTGGTGCGTGTAACAGAGAGGTGCATCTTCTATGATGAAATAAATAACACATCGTACTATTATGTGTCTCTTTTTTCCTCTGTCAGGCTCATTTATCATACCTTCCAGCTGATATGTCCTCAGTCTGCTCACAGGTACATCTTGACATCAGGCCAGCACCTTCCTGTGGTAATCAAAAAGCAGAACATTATCACTGTGCACTAATTTAACACTCTGATTTGAGGTTTTGTACTTGAGAAAACTCTAGACTTTGCATAGTTTAGAGCTTAAAACCATGACAGAGAAAAATCTCAAATAAAGTTGTGCCTCACTTTTCTTACTCTTTTTTTCCCCTGGTATCTCCTGCTAAAAGGCAGATTTCAAATTATCACCTTAGTCTCTGATATATCTGCAAATGAGTTTATCATACCTTGTTTGATGTCACAGTTTTCTTACAGAAATCAAAAAAGTGCAGACTCCAGGTTAGCCTCTCTGATTTGATTTAACATAACTATTCAAGTGTAAATTGTAAAAAAATGTACTAATGTCTTAGATAAGAAGTCAGTAACAAACAAGAATCCAAGTCTAATTCAATACAGTGTTTCATTTTTACTGACATGTGAAATAAAAAAGACAACACAAACCATAGATTGATTTAAAAAAAACAAAAATAAAATGCATGTTTGCCATAGTTTTGTAATATTGAAGGCCAGCTTAGAGTATGACATAACCAGGCTGAACAAATTAGATGGTAACAGGTTATCAGATTTAACATTATTACTTTCTTCTGTGATTGTGCAAGAACTCTTGTGTGACCACAACTTGGCTCCTCATAACCTGCATATATGACTGTGTGATAAAATGAAATAACCGCAGATTCATGGACATTTTATGCATTGGTTGTTTTTCCTTTTTTGTTTCTCATTTCTGTTCCACTGGCCGTACTGGAGTCAGCAACTGTGTGCTTGTAGCCTGACGCCCTCTAGTGCAAACAAATGGAAGACATCAGAGAAAAAAAAAAACACTACCAGACATTTATTACTATATTCCTGGTTGATTCAAAATGTTATTTTTTTGTACATTACAACATTGTCTGAATCTAAATCAGTCTGAGACTCCGAGGATGACATTAGTGCCTAATTTACATGAATGTCAAAACAAATCGGCCAACATTTTTACTCAGGAGAAAGACAGATATTTGAAGTAATGGTGGTCAGATGAATCGTAATGTTAATTTGACTCGATAGATGAAATTACAAGCAGTATATCGTAACAGAATTCTAAAATGGTGAAATACTTCTATTTGAACTACTGCTAGGACCTTAAACGTTGCTGTCTGTTGTACTGCACCGGTGTTATGGTGTAATTTGTGACTCTATATACCGGCCATTTCCGGACAAATGTTTGTCGTAGACGTTGTTACGACTGAATTGAAAAACTGTTATCACAGTAAAACCACGTTTCGCAGTATAATACAATATTTGAAGTACTGTTGGAAGTGTCTGATTAAAACACCTGGCGAGACAGCGACACCCACAAAAAGACTTCCCTGAGAGTCACAATTCAGTTGGTTTGCTCCTTACGCCAAAACACCAGTTAGCTTAAAAATTGAGTCGCACGTACCTGTCATTTTCAAGCTTCCTCGGATTTGCAAGCCATTAACAGGACACCACCGCGTATTCAGCTCCGTTACCACATTTGACTCGACAGAATAAACATTTTACCGACTAGCTTAGCAGGCTACAACTTGCTAGCCGTTAACGATACTTGAGCAACGGTCAGTTATGGACGACGGAATGACGTCAGCTGTTAAACTTAGATTTTTAAAAAACATTTTATGAACTATTAACGATATTTTCTGATATATTAATACACGACATGGATATTTAATCGTTATTTTTCTATCATTTCCGTTCGTTTTTTATATTTATCGTTGCGAAGTGTGCTCGCGGCGATGTGCACGCGCTGACGCAAGCCTGTCAAAAGGCGCCACTTTGAATGTAAAGGTAGGTTTGTGAGTAGCTGTCTGTATAAATATTTATAATAACAGATAATATGTATTGTCCCTTAAATTTTATTTAAAGCAGGCGTTAGCGATGTTTTAAATATTATATTCTAATGTCACAAGTAGGAGGCTAACCGTCAGTCATTTGCGAACAAACACAAGTAGCTAGCTTACTTTGACAGCCAAGTGTTTTTAGCTTGCAGAGCTCACCACGCAGTCTGAGAGATGTTTACAAGTGTTGTGTTTGTGACAGGTGACAGCTACCTGGCTTAAGTCCAGATGATGTTCTACACGCTTCTCTTCACGACCAAGCGAGGCCCTCTGGCCAAGATTTGGTTGGCAGCTCACTGGGAGAGGAAACTCACTAAAGCTCATGTATATGAATGTAACTTGGAGACAAGCATTAGAGACATAATTTCCCCAAAGGTAGGTCTAAACATATCTCAGAAGCACAACTCAAACCCTGTTGTTTAATCCTGATACATTTTTATTCACTTATCTTTTGCAGATGAAAATTGGTTTACGCACCTCTGGTCATCTGCTCATTGGTGTGGTCAGGATCTACTCCAAGAAAGCCAAGTATCTCCTTGCAGACTGCAATGAAGCCCTGCTTAAAATCAAAATAGCTTTCAGGCCAGGTAAAATAGAGCAAAGGTTAAAGACACCACAGGGTTATGTAAGAGTTGTTTTGCCACTTTGATAATGTAAATAAAGGATGTGCATAGTGTGTAAGGTGTGGTAACAACTGTCAACCTGAAGTATTCATCAAAGGGAAAAGAGGCTTTATGAAAATACTCCTTGTTTTAACCTGCTTTATTTAGTTTGTGTGACACTTTCCTTTGGATAAATTAGGCCAAAACTGCTCACAGAAAAAGCTGACTACAGTTAACTCAGCAAAAACGATGCTTATTCAGCAGCCTAATCTAATTGCAAGCATAGATTCACAAGGGATGTTGATTATATTTTACCCATTACTTTAATTTGAGTTTCTCAGGTGAACCCAGTCATAACAAGTAGTCTTACACAGCAGTCCAACATTAAATCCCACCTTGAAGACAATCTTGGCATTGGGTATTTGCTGAAATAGCTTTGAATAGTTGTTGGTTAAACCGTATGATATATTTAGGCTTGTGTTTTCATCTATGTAATCATTTGGGATGCACCGGCATTTCTTTTGTTTTCTTCATTCTATTCTTAGTAGTGATGATATGCTAAATGAGAGAGCACCACCAGAGGGGGATATTTGCATAATTACAAAAAGGCCCATGTTGGGAAGGAAGCTACTCAATGTCAAATCGTTACATGTGCTTTTAATCCCTTTTATGTGTTGTATATCACTGACTTAACTCCATAGCTCAGAGTCAGCATGAAAACACATTTCTGCAGCTAGAAACATGACTGCAATTGTGACAAGAAGGTTGTGTAGTTGGTTATGTAGTGTGAGAACCTGTAGACTTGTTGTAATCATTTGGATGTCTGCCATTTGTCTGTCACTCTTAAACCTGCAAACCTGTGACAACACACTGCCTGTAATTTTTGTCTTAATTTTTTTTCTACCCTTCAGTCAGTTGTATGACAGCCTCCTTGAAAATGCTGCATCTTATCTGTATCATGTGCTTTTCTTTCTTTTAACACCAGGTCAAACAGACATGCCTGTGGAGGGGCTTGTGGCGACGATAAAAGCCATTACCTTGATTGAAGATTTCACAGAATTTGATTCCCAGATGCCAGCCCTAAAGTATGAAACTGTTTTATTCTCAATATTAGGTTTTCATGTTAGGATGAGCAACTTTACTGATGTTTTAAATTATAGTTCAGTGTTTTGAATTCTGGAAGCATAACAGCTGTATCACCTTTTCTGTCTGTTGTCAACTTTATGCTCTCTTTCCTTTGGTACACCAGCAGCATGGATGTTGTGGACCACTTTTCACTGAACCAGAGTCGAACAGAGGATATCACTATCAAAGAAGATTTCGGAAATAGCTTTCAGATGGATTTTGGTAACAAGTCCTCAGTGTTGTGTGCTGTGCCCTCCTTATCAGATTGAAGTTATTGCCATCCTTCAGGCTTTGTTGTGATCATATTGTTTATTTCTAACTTTACTGAAAAGATGAATTTGAGTTTTTATGTATTTTTGTGAACAAATCTCAGAAAAAGAATGAAATCAGTAAGGCATTATACCTACAAATGTCTTTGTGTTTAGACAAAGCTTAATCCTTTGTGCCATGGCATTCGGCTGATGTTATTTGTGACCTTTTCTTGGAGATTTGCGTCAGCAGCAGGAATTAATATATTTGTGGCTGAGATTCACAGAAAGGATAGAAGGCCTGAGACAGATTAGTGCATCGTTGGTTGTATTCTTCTCAGGGGATTTTTTTTTAAGTAAAAAAATATTTGACATTGTTCTGCTTACAAGTTAAAACATGTTTGCTTTGCAGAGCTGACATTCTCTCCTGAATTAGCATTTTTTTCTCCTTTGTTTGTTGATGTGTAGAAGTCAAGCCACAGAGCAACGAGGATGAGCTGCTGGATACGAGCTTTCAGAGCCTGGCTAAACAGGAGGATGCTTTTGGGGATGAAGACAGAATGGTCGACCTGCTTGGTAGTGACATTTGGACTTAACAACCTAGATAATTTATCAGTTCAATAAAAAGCTATATTTAAGCCACAAGAAGAGCATAATGCAATGAAAATAAGCAATCTTTGAGATATAAATTATAAAACTTGATGGGATTTAACCTCTTACTAATGAAGTCCAGCCTCATATCAGACTAAATGATACTTGTACAAAAGAAAACAACATTATGAAAATAAAAATCTCGTGTTTTGCGGAAAAAAGTGTGTACAAGATGTATGAAGCTGTTATGATGAAAAACAACAAGACCTTAGAATTAATATCAGTCAAACCCTTCTAGTAACACTTGGAAAAGGAATATTATACAGTTTCTTTAGATGTAAAGAAGAAACAACAACATAAAGAAAAAAATAAAGCTATAGAAATAAAAAAATATAGACACCTGGCACATGTTTCACTGAAGAGTCAGAAGTTATTAAACTCCATGTGGAGGTTCTCAGGAATCTGCCCTAGTTTCCCAGGAGTATGTGAAGTTTATCAAGCCGCTAAAGAGCAATGTTCTGCCCATAAACTGAAATATTTGACGGAAATTGAATTGAAATGAATAAATACTTTCTGAAACACAGCAGGCCTGACTGTTCAGTTGCTCTTAATACCCAGAAGTTGATTCTCTCTGCTCTCATTCATCAATCTTGTAGTTTATTGCGAGACAAATCTCTCTTGTGCTGCTAAAATTAGGAACTTAAATTATCAAATTATTCTTTTCCTATCTTTGTTTTGTAGTGATAAGTAAAAATGGATGATTTTTTTCTTCTTTAATGATTTTGCAGACTTCCTGACAAACTCCAGTGATCCATCTGAGTTCATCAACTTAGTGCGTGAAGCCCCTCAAAATGAAAACCATGAGATCTCTGCCCTCAATGACCAACAAGGTACAACACAGTCTCATACAGTAACTCATCAGAAGACAAACTGCTCAAAGACAAGCAAAGTGGACTCCATGTGTTTCACAGATACCAGCAGAATGGAGATTGAGACCCCACTACAGACTGAGACCAGCCTGCTTGGGATTGAGGAGTCAGCGTTTGCCCTTGAACCTGTGGCCATCACGCGTGAGCATAAAACAAAAAACTACTACTATACTGTAACAATTATACTCATCATTGACACCCAAAAGGAGCCAAAAATACAACAATTGAAAGGCTGATCTGCTGCTGATGCCTTGACAGAAAAACAGTAGAGCTTTATAACTTGTTCTCACGCTCTCTCTTTTCAGCAAACTCTGAGAGGACCAAGGGGAAAAGGAAGCGCAAGCTCATGGTGGACCAGACTAAAGAGCTGACGAGGGAGTTCATGATAAAGCAGCTTTCTGATTACTCAGATCTGGTCTCCCAGTTGGACATGGCCCCCCCAACACTGCAGCTCATGCAGTGGAGGGAGAGCGGAGGAGCAGATAAACTCTTTTCACAGCCGTGTTCCAGCATGGTAGCTCCACAGATGAAGGAGGTAAACACACAAACACAGGAGGATGCGTGTGTTGGTACATTAGGTCCATTTCTGCCCAAATAAGAAATATCGTTGAATTCCAGCTAGAGAGACAGGGATAGTGGACTGAAATGCAAAGTCACTCTAGAGCAGGACCTGAGAGCTCTGACCATATGCTCTAATCATGTCTTTTCTGCAACTGAGTTTGGTCTCATGAGCCAAGCTTTTGACGCTCTGTGGTATTTATATTTTTACTTTGGCACAGTGTGAATCTGCAGTGATAGGCTGCTGAACGCTGAAGGGAGACTGACTTGGTGCCTATTTTTATATTTTGCAGCATTCAGCACACTTGTTTGATGCTTTTGTGAATGCAGGGTTCAGTATGGTCACGACAGACTGTAGTTGTGCACAGTTTGACTCTCACAGTTGCACATTTAGTTTGATAAACTTCACCGCAAAGAACTAGTGTACTGCAAATACTTATAGAGTAAATAAGGCTATTTTGAGTCACATAATAACAGAGACAGAAGCATACAGAGCTACTGATACACCAAATGGTTGGGGATTACTATACTGTACCCTCACACCACTCATGGAAATTGCTGCTCTTATTATAAAATCTCATGTTGCTTTGCAGCTCTTCGTCAAGAGTGTCGCCCTGAAGAGAGTTAACAATGTTCATGAGGAGGCTGAGTTTATGCGCCAAGGTGGACAAGAAGGTAGAAACCAAACTGTTCAAATAGTAAAAAAAAAAAAAAGCATCTCACTCACTGACTTTTTAAGAGAATTTGTATCATGTATCGTATAGCTCAGAGAGACATCAGCGCCATCACCACAGAGAGCATCAGTGTTGCAGATTCACTGATAGATCCTGAACAACCAAACACCTCTGAGCTGACTGTCCTCGCTGATACGAGTGACAGCCACTGGGAGAAACGACCAAAGCGTGCACAGGTAAGCGTGTCAAGTGAAGAGTCTAATCGTGGTCTAGATTTTCTGCATGGTTCATTTTCGTCTCAGGTATTTTTAGTGTAGTTTTTTATCTATTGCATTTATCTTTCAGGTTGTAAACAGGTCAGAGTCCACTCAGCCGGACCTTCCATCAGAGGACTCCATGTTCGTCCATCCATCTGGCATGGAGCAGACGACTCAGTCAAGTTCCCTCCTCTCTCAGGTACTTGTGGACTCACACACAGAGTTACAAACAGAGACTGAGCAGGGAGTTTTCTCTGTTGGACTCCACACTTGGAACAAAATTAAACTAATAGTGGGTATTTTATCTGTGAGAATGGGTGGGACAGTAGGCGAGCAATGATCTATCAGTGTTTGCCAGATGGCTGGTATTAATTTCCCATGCTGCCTTGGAGATGCGCCCGGCATCACAGACTGAAATAACGTCCCTTTTCTAAACCTGCAGTCTATGCTGGAGAGCCAGGACTTTGAGGAGAGGAAGATAACCAGGCGCGCTCAGAAGCTTCTCGACACACTCAGAGTAAGGAGCTAAAAATAAACGCTCAGGTGTTTGACTCGCAGTGAAATCAGCCAAATCATCTTACACATACCGGTTTAATATCTCTAAAGCCGGCGTGTTTAAGATACTGAACTGTTATGTCTCTGCTCTATATCCAGAATGATAAAGTGAGCAGGGATTTAAAAATAAGAGCACCAGATAGGTTTAGAGATGATGTTAGGAAATTAAAATCTTACATGTGTGTTTCTGTCTGTGTGTGGTAGAGCCAGAGCAACAGCAGCACCACCTTCAGCCTGGAGGCGCTCTGTAAGGGAGGATCCCGCTGGAGAGCCGTCACCACTTTCTTCTGTTTCCTGGTCCTGAAGAAACAAAGAGCCATCGAGCTTTACCAGAGAGCGCCTTATGAGGACATCTTTGCCACGCCTGGAGCCAAATTCTGTGATTAGAAGAAGAAACAAAAGAGATAACACTTGCAAAGTTAAAGTCCTGGTTCGACAAGCGGCGTGTTTGTGTTTCTGTGTCAGTTTTAGAGTAAAATTTAATCACACAATTGGTTTCTGTGTTCAACTTTAATAACTTGAAAAGAGAAATCTTCTTCTTCTTTATTTTGAAAATCTGGGGGTGTATCAATGAAAGGATAATTTATCTAAAACTCTTTGTGAGACTGAAGTTATCTATTTATCTTTTACTGATGTTTTATAATTGTTTGTCCGATGTTCCTCGGGAGTTGAAAGTCTTCTGTGTTCAGTTGGTGTTTTACTCTGGTTCCTCTTTCTGTTTACATTTTAAAAAACACGTAATGTATTTAAAACCTGTTGTTCAGAAAAACAAAGTAGACTTTTTATTCCAGGAAAGTGTTTGTCAGGTGTTTCAGTATGAGGTTTAAATCAGTGGTTCTCAAGTCCAGTCCTCGAGGCCCACTGTCCTGCATGTTTTGGATGTTTCCCTGCTCCAACACACCTGATTCAAATGATCAGCTCGTTATCAAACTCTGTAATGGCTTAATAACGATCCAATCATTTGAACCAGGTGTGTTGGAGCAGGGAAACATCCAAAACATGCAAGACAGTGGGCCTCGAGGACTGGACTTGAGAACCACTGGTTAAGATTACTTCTGTATGTTTGAGTTCTGAGTTTGAAACGTCAACAAAAGTGTTCAGCATGTATTTGAATATTTCTGGGTTTGTACAATCCAAGTGTGTTGATATTTCTACTTAACTTAACTAGTTTAATATTATACAGCGTTATTAGCATTAAAGTTACATTCACTCTTTGTTGTTTAACATTGTGCTCATCACAAACCTTCATATACTATTTTATTTATTCAGTGGTAGGTAAAACTGGAATTCTGTGGTGTTATGTTTATGTTTCTTGTTCTTGGAGTTCATTGTGTTTACTATCTATAAAGTTCACCCCTTTGTCAGCATGAGTCATATTAAAAAGTACACGATTACAGTGTAGATGTGTTATTTTAGATGAAACTTAGCTTTAACTGTGTCCCTCTACACAATCATCCATCATGAGAGGTGTGAACACGGTGTACCAGCAGCTGAACCCCCATCACTTTTCCTCCTGTCACAGAGGGGACAAACAGAAGGAGGTGTACACCATTTAATAAAAACCCCCATCCATGTAAACACCGTCAATAAACGCCAACCTGCAGTTAAAGTCTTGCCACATGAAGCATTAGTGTAATCATCACTATCCCCTACTGTCTCTTTAAGAAGCAGCGATGCAGCAGACGCAGTCGCCTCATTTCATCTCCGGGCTTCATGGCTGCAGGATGGACTCTCATCAGCATCATCTTCATCATCAGCATCTCTTCTTCCTGCTGCCACCACCGCCGGGGACTCTTCATCATCAGTCAGCAAGTGTGGCGGGAACCGAGGCTCTTCTACGGTGTTCAACTTCCACCTGCAGAAATGGTAGAGTTTGATCCATCACTGTTCAATTCAGGCTAAATTCAGTGTTTGTTTTTAGACTCGCAGAGCCGGTGTTAGCCCTGTTAAGTAACCGTATGTAGGACACAGCTGGGATTCAGTTTGTTAGTCAGCTGTTTGTGGTGGAGGAGAGCCGAGCTGCGTCTTCTTTTTATGGGAAGTACCTGCTGGATGTCCTGTTTGGGGACGCCTCTGCACTCCCCTGGAAAAAAACAACAAAGATGCGACTTTAATTTTTGTGCTTTAGTACTTGTGTTTTCATCAGGTATATCTTACAGCGGTTTAACACCACAATGATCATTCAAGGGCAAAGCGCAACTGATGGAGAGAGCATCCCCCAGACTATCCCGTTTTCATGTTTTAATGCAGCTTTCCCACAGTTTCCTCCTCCTCCTCTTCCTCCTGTATATGTGTGTATGTGTGTGTGTGTGTGTGCTCGCCTCCACAGTAAACACGGATCCTCACACTTACGTAAGATGATTGCGTATTTCTCACCAATAACGTACTTGCCACTTGTTGCGCAGACTGAACAGAGGGGAGGTGAGATTTCCTGTCTCTGTCTCATTGTCCTAGAATTTAAATATAGGACTGAATAGATAAACTCGTTTAAAGAGAGATTTCTCAGTAGAGGTGTGATGTGTCCAGACCTGCAGGTATGTTCCAGGCCGAGATTAGCTGCGTCCCAATGGATCTTTAGAAGGCAAGGGAATTCAGGAAGATAGATGAGAACACTTTGTCCCTCTTTTTAGGATTTTTTTGCTGTGAAATAGAAGTGAGTGTTAGTGTAGCTGGTTGTGTAACAGAGCCACCTGATATTCAGAGTCTCTTTTAAGCAGCTGCGAACGAGGTCACCGAGTTCCTGTCCTCGTTTTTCTGCCTAGTTTACTCTCTGAAATTAAAAAAAAATGTGCAGGGTGGATCATTTAGACATAGATTTGACAGCTAAAACACTTTAATAATTAAAGGACTAGCTTTGGTTAGAAGTGTAGAGAGTTCATAGCTTCAGGGTATTTTAATATGTCTTGTCCTTTAACCGTTAAGTAATAATTGAATGTCAAATTACTCTGTTTAAAGCTCCTGTGGGTTATGTAACAGACTGGAATTAATACTGATTTTATGAATCAAAAATCCTTCAGTTGTGATGTGTTTAACGATGGGGTAGGCAGGATCTGAGGGAGTGCCAGTTTTTGGGAGAAATCTTGAACGTAAACACTACCCCTCCTTGCCAGTTTTACTCTCAGCTCCTCCACTCTGCTCCAGCAAGCCCCGCCCACAAGCAGACGCTCCTGCTCGCTCGTATCGTTTCAATTAAATGAAGATATAATGCAGATAAATACTTCAGATAATTACAAATGGGGCCCAGTCTACGTGAAAGTAAACAGCATTGGTGCTATTGTAGATGCCAACACACTACCAGCAAACACAATGTTTGCAGGACTTCTACAACTAGGATAAAATGACATAGTCCAGGACCCGAGGTCAACTGTTTAGCGGCGCTACAACACGCAGCAGGTCGGATTCCTGCCTACCCCACCTTTGACTCTAGAGAGTAAGAAAAATTAGATTTTACGTCTTTCAGAAGAGGTTAATGTCACGTGTAAAAGTCAAAGTCTGCCTCGTCCACAGAGGACGCCACAATCAATGCAAACAAAAATTCCTTACAGTGGCTTTAAATAAAAAGTATGATCCTCAATGAAATACAGTTTTAAGTTTTTTAAACCTTTAGAGATGAATGTGGAAATAAAAGATTGACAAAGTATTTAAAACCTGTTGTATTTACTCTTTAGGAGCAACTGTCAGGTTATTTTTTCAATCTTGAATAAGTTATGTATTAATATAGTATCTTTGACTTCTTACAGATATGTAATTATAAACTTGTGGTCTGTTATTTGCACATGAATTAATATCTTTCTCTTTATTGACGAGGCCGGCATTTCGATCAATACTTATTAATACTGTAGACTGGCTTAATCAGCAGCACTTCTCTCACTGTGTTATAGCTGGTCATCTGTTTTGGATGCAGACATACAAAAAATGGTTTCATAAGTCACTGTAGTTTATTAATTCATATAACTTTATTCAAATACATACTTTGAAAATCATTTTACAATGCATTGATTCACTTGGGCGAATTTTCCTGTAACTTTAATCTCTGTCTTTTGATGTATTTCAGTTTGATATCTGAATATTTGACTTTGAAAATCAGCTGGAAAGGCCTCTGAGTTAACCAGGACCCTAGACAACAATATAAATAGACACTTATAATTGATTAAATGCAATAAATGAACACATCTGACTGCCAGTATCTTCAGCAACAGCCACTGAATGTCACTCTTTCTCTGTTTTTGCCCTTTGACCCCATTTTATGTGACAGTTTATCATGCTCCTCTGCAGACAGGGAGCTTGCAGCTCAGAGGGAGGCAGCTGCACCGACTGTGAACTCACTGTGTCCCCTTTGTGCCAGCACAGAAAGGAGGCTTTATCTGCTGCTGGCCTAGACATTTTTTTTTAAATCAGAGTTAGGGTAAGAGTATTGTCCCTGACTTCCAGTAAGGAACACATAATGATGACACATCGAGCCACAAAGCTGCAGGGAAAACTCTGTGCTGTCCAGTCGACAGCTGCTCCTGATTATCTGTTGACTCTCATTTTTGGGATATTTGTGATTTAGATTTTCACAAGTAGATTTACAGCGTTCCCTGTGTACAGTATGTTTTTGCTGTTGTTGTTACAGTGAGGCTGTGAGGGCTTCTATTGTACCTCTGTAGAGACAGCAGTGGAGAGGTTGGAGGTCCCTCGCTCATCAATGTCTCTCACTCCAAGTCGGAAGCCCTCCTCAGGTCAGCGCAGGTACTGTTGTTTTCTTCTTTCGCCTTCCTGTAAATGTTTGTAAGACAGAAATATTTCATACAGAATCTCTAAACTGTGTATTTTTGGACCGTTACTTTCAAGGCGCTCAGCAGAGACCGGTGTGGGCAGCGGGCGATGTTCCCACAGTGATACATCCAGTACTCACACCTACCCGAATCGAGTGAGGACAGCTGATGGCAGTCCAACAGCCCGGACTTATCCAAGTACACCAAGGTAACATACTTCGGATCAGGATTTCTTTCCTCATGTAGTCTGCAGTCATTGCAATAAGTAGGAGGAGGAGGAGAGGTTCGGACATTTCGTGTGAAGGTGACAGTGAACGTTGTTGGCTGTGTGACAGACTCTGACCTCTCCCTGAGCGTTGAACAGCTGGGACAGACTCCAGCAGCTGTCTGATCCTCTCATCCACTCCTCTTCACTGTATTTAAACCAGGATTAAACAAATTTAGAGCACCTTTTCTTGACATTGCAATAAAATTTAGCAATGCTAAAACCCACAGCCTTTAAAAGAAATGGTTTAAATAGTCACTGCAGAGATATCCCTGTCAAAGAGTCAATAAAACATCATTAAGATTACTTCAGATCCCCATTTTAAAGATGCCACCCTGGTCTGAAATTAACACATTATTATTATTCTTTATTACATGCTTTTATTCAACGGTAAACCTGGCTTTGTTTCCTTGTTCTTGCTGCTGCTGCCATGTTTGAAAATAATAACACCCCTGTGCTTTTGAATGAGACACTTACCCTAAAAAAATCTCTGACAGCTCAGGTGTCACGTCGAAAATAATGCAGACTTTGTGCCAATCAGGATAAAAATATCACCACAAGGCTGCCACCTATGAGCGAAGTGCACAGGTTTAGTCTAGTTCGCTTCCTTGGGTGCAGCTTCTCAAAGTGCATCACAAAAGCAATCAGAGCTCTGCTGTTTGGGTGTGCGGATCAGTACAGACCTGTGGCTCAGGTCCAGGGGAAACCCTTAGGTTGGCATGTCGTGATATGCCTCACTGCTGCAGGGAATAATAGTTACCTGCATTAAAAACAGAGACAGTAACCCGGGTGAAACTCCTGAAAAGAAAAAAAACACGTTAGTATTAACAGGAGATCAGTAAATGCCAATGAGGAAACAAAATGATTTATAATAACCACATATTGAAGATGACATTTGAAGTGCCAAATGAACAAATTTAAAGCAGATGATACAGGTTATAATCCTCATTACAGTGATTGCTGATTGCAAAAAAACACTTTAAAATGAATTCATCGTGATTTATAATTAAAATGCTGCAATTAAATGCAATTTTAAAATGAGTCATTTCACAGCCCTGCTTTTACAGTCTGTATAGATGTATATATCAGTCTGCTAAGATTTATTTAATTAACTTTGAGTATCAAACCACCACAGAAAAGTCCATTTTAATCGATGTTTCGTTTATTTAATGAAGATAAATATTGTTTCAGTCGTGTTTAAAGTTATGGAGGTTGGGTGTTTATTTAGGATTTGCTGTTTTAATTTCCTAATGGTCCGGTTATTTCATCATGTGTTTCATCAGTTACATGGAAATCTATTCAGTTGACATGCTGAGGAAAATTTAACAGATAAATTCTCTTTCCTTTCATTTGCATGATTTATTAGTTCATGAAAATTAAACAGTGACATGTTGCCTGGCTATTTATAGTCATTTTACTATGAGGTGGTGTCTTTTCCCCTTTCACTTAAATGTACTTAAGGGAGAAAAACAACAAACTTAAATATTTATAAGTGAGGTCAGAGAAGAAATCCGACACTGAAGCAGGATTTTCTCTGCGAGTTCTTACTGGTTTCTGTTTGTTTTCTTTAACCGGACTTTCTATTTATAGTTAAGGTGTGAGTTCAGGAAAAACACCTTGTGTGAATGACCTTTTCACGCCTGTGTTGGTCCAGGCGGCAGGCGAAGCACACGGGGTGCAGCGACAACCATGGGATCAGACCTCCCACCCCGGAGCAGTACCTCACACCTCTGCAGCAGAAGGAGGTGTGTATACGACACCTACGAGCCCGGCTGAGGGACAACGTGGAGAGACTGCAGCACAGGTGAGTCTTTCTCCTCATCATGTTTCTGATTCTACACTGAATAAAAGTGACTTGGTTTTATTTTGAAATCCACTTTTTTATTCTTTATCAGAGACTGTGAAATCGATGAGTTAAGGACCCAGCTGTACAGGATGCAGGAGGACTGGATTGAGGAAGAGTGTCACCGCATTGAGGCTCAGTTAGCCCTTAAAGAAGCCCGCAAAGAGATCCAGCACCTTCATGAGGTGATGGAGTCAGTCCGCTCCAACCTGGGTGTCCGTGAACAAGAACCCAATGACCCCAAGCAATACTCAGGATTGCACACTGGAGCTCGGCCAGGGGGGAGGTCTCGCTCCTGTGGGTGTTCTCCAGCCAGCACATTGAGCCGCAGCACCACCCACACCCGGATGAGCAGCGAGGCTCTGCAGCTGGAGCGCAGCCCCAACGCTCCAGAGTCCGGCAGAGCGTCTCGCTCAGCAGGACAGACGCACCTGCTCCTGGAGGCTGCCCTCCTGACAGAACAGGTGCCACAGCAGGGACACATCCGGGCCCCCCCAACTGTTCCACGCTCTGCCACCTTTGAAAGACTCTGCAGTGGGGGGGCCGTGTTGCCCGTCTCACACTCCTGCCACACTCTCAGTAGCAGCTGCCAGTGCAGCGGCCACTCCTACCTCCCTCATCATCACCTGTTCCTGCACTTACCTCAGGAGGAGCCCCCTCAGACAGCTGCAGCCACTGCTACCCCTGTTTCTGAGCCGATCCCTACCCCTAGCCCTGCAGCAGAGAGGAAACCGGAGGTGCGTTCTCAGGCCTGCAGCCCCACCATGACGTGGCTGTGTGAGGAACCAGCTGCAGAAGAAGAGCTGAGTGTCATTTCATTACCGACGGCAGACGCCACCCCACCTGAACCGCAGCCCCTTCAAACGCCTCTACCTGTCGTTTCTCCTCCTGTGCATTCATATAGTGTCGAACCACTTCCACCTGACCCACCGGAGGAGGTGACAAAGAAACCAGCCGAGCCCCACACCTGCCAGCCCCACCCTGCACCTCCACTCCCTGTCAGACAGGAGGCCACAGCTCTGGAGATCGAGGAGGACAGCACAGATGAACCTGAAGGTCCAAATGAGGATAGTCACCCCCCTCAGCTCTGCCACTGGAGCCGATACTTTCTAGTAGACCTGTTGGCACTGGCGATGCCCGTGGTCCCGACTGTGGCATGGCTATGCCGCGGGGCGCCACGGGAAGTCTTGCCTGTGTACCACATCGGCTCCCTTCTGAGAGGGTGCTGCGCTGTGGCCCTCCACTCCCTCCGTCGCCGGAGTGCAGGCAGGGGACGTAGACCTGCCAGCATGAACGGAACAACATCGATTTAAGTATTTCTGCTCCTTCTGACGTCAACAGTACAACTCCAAACCTCTGCAGGCTCATTAACAGCAATGCTAACTTTCCTTTAGTTTAATTTATCGAATCGCTCCTCCTATATGATTTTTTTTCTGATTTAACATTACCCCCTTGTGATTTCGTGGTCATGCCTCGCATCTGAGAACGAAGGATTAGTTGTACATTATTAAACACTTTCATTACTGAAGTATACTTACTGCTTCTGCCTGCAGATTAAGTGGTTTTCTCTGTCTTAGGATTTGCATGTAGCCCACAGTTTTGTTGGGCTCTCTTGCTTGATCTACAAAAAGCCCCCCTCTTTGATTTTGAAGAATCATCCTCTTGGCAAAAAAAAAATACTCACTTCATTTCATGTGAAGAAATAAAAAGAAAAAACTGCCTGATCCTCTTTTTTTTAATCATGTTTTTGAAATGTTAATACGAGACGGTGAAGTCAAACGAGTATTAAAACCAATGTGGCAACAAAAATCCATAAAATCAGAAAAGATTAATAACGGTCGTCGCTTTTCTGACTCAGTTCTTTTTCTGAGAAGCTGTTAACACAAAGTGAATGTAGGCAGCAGGAGGTGGGAAGCTCTCATTTTTCTACCTTTTTTTTCCTTCATGAACAAACTGAATACGAAACACGCAGAGCATGTGCATCAAATGTGGTACTCAGGTGCAGAACAAACAGATCATTGATTATTATTTTTTCTTTTCTGCCAATAAATAAAAAATGGGAGTTTAAACTGTAAAGACTCGTTTTTTCATCCTTATGGGACACGTGTGCAGAGGCCAGGAGGCGTCTTGTTTGCATTTACTTTTGAATATTGTCAAAAAAAGTGCTTTTATACTCCGAATAAGAACAAATTCGTCAGCAGTTAGTTATCGGAGAGCACAGGAGTGGCGGAAACAGCATCTTTACGACTCATGTTGAAAATGTCAGATCATGTTACATCCATTATTAATCACTACATCAGAGCGCATCTCAATCACTGCGCAGAACTGGAACCTCCTCGACAGTCATGACAGCGATCTCAAAGACTTACATCAGTTGGAATTAAATAAAGGAGACATTTCTTTTTCAGCTCTCTTCAATTATTTCATGATCTTATGAAGCCAATTTTTCTGATGTTGGAAAAATGATCTTCATGTGCCTCTTCATCTGCATCTGAAGATTAAGTCATTTATTGACATTTCTCAGATCCATCTCTTGAAATATGTTTTAAAAAGTGATTGTGACACTGCTTTTTTAGAGCTTACAAATACTCAAAATTAACTCTCTTGTGATGAATTATTCATGATGTAGGAGATCTTTAAAGACAGATGCAAATGTGCAGAGGATATTCTGATTTAAGGAGATATTAATTACACCTGCTGAGAGAACAAAAGGCAGAATATATGTTAACTCTGGGCAGCGAGTGAGTTTATTTGGAGTAAATGAAGATTTAACTTCCACTGATCTCGTCCTGAAGTATCTCCTACTCTGGTTGTAAATTTACATCTTTGTACTTCTGTGAAGGTTAACGGAAAGATGAAACATATCCAAACAGCTCAGGAGTACAGATAGGTGTAATATAATAGGGTTACTGCTGCATAATATAGTAAAGAATATTATACTATCTTGAGTTTTAAAATGATGTTTCCTCAGTGCGCACACTCCTGTTTCCACAAAATCAAGCCCTTTTGAAGTTTCTGCATTTTAATACTGTTTATGATGCTTTTAGATCACGGGGTGGTAATGAGGAGTTGGGCTGGGGTAGATTTGGATATTCTTTGTTTCTTTTATTCCTTTTTCTGTGTAAAGCACTTTGTGCTACTTGGTTGTGTATGAAAAGTGCTATATAAATAAAGACTGACTGATTGATTGAATATAGTACAGTAAAGTACAGAAAGGTACGGTTTGGTTTAGTACAGTATAGTATAAAACAGAAAGGTTTGGATACCTCTAGTATAACATTTAGTAGAGAACAAGTTAGTTTAGTTTTGTATAGTATTGTAAAGTACAGATACCTGTAGTGTAGTATAGTGAAGTTTAATATAATTAAGTATAGCATAGTTTATTGAAGTATGGTCAGGTAGGAATATTTAAGTATAGAATTGTGTACTACAGAGTAAACTAGCATAGTGTAAAATATTAAAGTTTGTACAGTAGACCCATATAATATGTTACAGTTTGGTATAGTACAGAACTGAATTGTATAAAAAGGTATAATTTAGTATTGAATAATGTACAGGTTACATAGATCAGCTACATTATGTAAAATAAATTAAAAAACCTCTTGATCATAAATCAAAAGCTCTAAGATTTCACTTTTTTAAGGTTTTATGGAGTTTGTCAGACTGGAGGTTTGGCTCCAGGCAAAGAAACAGCCATGAGAGATCATTTGATCGTACATGAAAACAATAGTGACTTTTGTGTGGTTGGTACAAAATTTGACATTTAAAAAAAAATCTGGTTCTTATTCTGCAGTCTGAGAGTCTACATTACCTTCTTTTTAAACATGCCGCATTTGAGTAGTTTTGTCGACTAAACTACTTATGCTTGACCCTTGAGATTTCTTCATGTCTGCCCTCTGAAATGAAAAGAAACTGTTTTATAGCAACACAAAAATTGAGGCTGTTTCAACTAATATTAGACAATAAAACACACCTATCAGTGCTATAACAGACACATTATTTCATATACCAGCGAGGCCGCTCTCCAAAGGAAGAGAAGTAGAAGTTAGTGTTAAAATTACTCTTTTTAATGTGTTTAGAGTAGGAACAGACCTTTTACAACATCCACAGCTTGTTCAACACAACTCCTTCAAATTAAGATAACCACAAAGCCCATGATGTGCCTACAAATCTTTTTAAGGGAGCTTGTCATGAGCGTTTAGAAAGCTTTTACAAAACATCAAATACTGTCCCCAAAAGATCTTTTTCAGCAAAACAAAAAAACAAACAAAAAAACACCCTTAGATGTCTTAAAGCTATCAGGTACATTGTCAAGTTGTGAACACTTCAGTAACAGCTGAACAAGAATCAACGCTGCAGTAAAAACAAAGAGAATCCTAAATCTGCAGAGATCTGTAGGCCTTTCATGGCGTTAATGTGCTTGATTCATGAGTCCCTGCTTACAAACCGCTCCGTACTTTTGATTCAGCCCAATAATAAGTATCACAAAGGCGACCGATTCATAGAAATACCATTGTGTCCGACAACAATTTGTTCTTACTTTTATTCAAGACGTTTCATTACCCGCAAATCAATACAATTTGTTGTAAAGGCCACAAAGCCACAGGAATGAGTTTGATTAAATATTCATGACACTTATTTAAAACCTGGTCCTGATGGCTGACACGTTTTGTCAATTTTAAGTCAAATAAAACAAAAAACAAAACATTACCATAAAAAATACAAAGCAGAGTATGACAAAATACATGGGATGGCCTATGACTTCTTACAGTATGGTATCTAAAGTGTAGCATAAAGTTTGAAAGCAAGTGACATAACACAATTTGTATCTAAATGGAAAGGAGAGTGAACTAGTGAAGCTATAGACATAGGTCCTATGAGGGGATCAAGAGCAGGAATCTTCTGTTAACATTTTCCTCCATGTTCCCGAGATAGGAATCAACCTGCGGGGACGAGAGAGAGGTGATTAAGGAGGAGACGCAAGAGGGGATTACAGGATCTAGACACCCAAGCTTGTTATGCACATACTACTTAATCTCTTAACACCACTGGGTAAATTACAATGTCTGAGAGAGTATCTACTAGCTTTAACATGAGGGGGAATACCATCACTTGAACTGTGCGTGTTTAATATAATCACGGTGATGGCGCTGATGAGTTCTCAGGACTTCTCACCCTGAAATCTGAGTGGAATTTAAACAAAGCCGAGTGCACGAGTTTCAGACTTCCAGGCTTAGCAGCTCCACATCGAAGATGAGAGTAGCGTTAGGTGGGATGATCCCCGGGTGCCCTTTGTTTCCATAGGCGAAGTCTGGAGAGCAAACCAGCTTCGCTCGCTGACCTACACTCATCTGTAGAGGAGATGAAAAGATACTTCAATGAGTGGTGTTTAGGAGATCACACAACCTTTAACATTCAGTGAATATCTGTGTTATATAAGACAAGTGAGTGGATAGTTTTACTAATCCACAGTGTTATATTTTGATTGATTGGTCAATACTCCATCACTGCCGCTCGATTCAGAGACTGTTATCAAATCAATCCACTGAATGAAATCTGATTCTTTTAAACGGTGCAGAGAAGATGGCAAGAGAGGTTAAAGACACACACAGTGAGGTTGTAAAAGAAAAATCTACAGGTTTAAAGATGGTGCAGGAAGTAAACAATAGACAGAACATAGTATGGGATATTGAGATGAAGGTCCGATCAAAACAAACGAAATATGCAGCAGCTCTGACAGTGATAAGGCAGAAAAACTCAAACAGGTTTGTGCTGATTCCTCCGGCCCTGTTCACCTTGTTTCACTTCATCATTTGTGGAAATGTTCAATTTAAAGGTACAGTGGGGAATGTTTCATGATATCTAGCGGTCAGATTCCAGATTGAAATACTTCCTTGCTCACAGGATAACTACAATCCTACATTAGTCAAGGATTTACATCAAAAACTACAGTAGAAGTATTGTAGTGCATGGATACCAGCTCCTGTGATATTCAATTAAAATCTAATGACAGATTCAGAGTCCATTTATTAAAAAGACAAGGCATACAATAAAAGAGAAACAATAAGAAAATACTGGATGTACACAAGACAAACTCAATAACAGAAGCAAATAAAGTAACACCTAAGATTTCTCAATGGAACTCAGAGCATATTTACTTGACAGGTCCCAAATGTTTCACCTGAAGTGCAACATCTGAGTCCCTTCTTAAAGACTCTCACAACATCATTACAAAATAGTGATAGTCTGAGTGATCTCGCTTTATAGCACAAATGAAAAGTATGGAGAATACACTCAAGATCACTTGTTTCTCTAGTTTTACTAACTTTAGTTTTACTAACCTCGGGTCAGTCCATTACAGACTACAGTGGGATGACGCAGCTCAAGGAAGAACAGTTATATCATTTCCTTGAAGTAATAATCATCACATTAATCATTTTGCACTACAGACGCAGTAGTTCTTCTGCCTTAGCATCTCAGTATGATTGCATTTCAATGAAGAAATTATCATAAATGTTCTTCCTTGAGCTGCATCACCCCGTCCGTAATGGACTGGCCCGAGGTCTCGCTACAAACAAGCGGCTGCTGGAAGAGTGTAGGTGAGTTGTGTTTAGTCTCTTTGAAAAGAAATTAGGCAAAGTTAAACAGATGTTTGGTGGCTAGTACTATGGCTAGGACCCTATATGTACTGTTGATGAAGTTAGGTGCTGTTCTGAGCATTATTTGTGGTTGAGGTTTGTTTATGGCTCCTCAGACCGCTGTGTTATGCTATCCTGCCATCGTTGCTAAAGTTGGTATAACTAGAGAAGCAAGAGGTCGGCAACATTCATCTCTCAAGGGGGTGTCCAACTCAGTGTTACGGTGTGTGTTCTGCGCATAGTGAGCAGTAAGAGTAATGACCAATCAGAAGTATAAGCTTGGCCCTGTGATAGGCAAAGCATGGTGGGGTATCTGATGAACAGGTAGTTGTGCAAATTAGATTCTAAACAAGGTGAGCAGAACCTCAGCATGGACCTGAGTGATCTTGATTGTAGTGTAGAGTGTATAAAGTCAAGATTCATCATATTTAGAGATATAAACAAACTCCTCACCTGAGCTATTCCTTCCTCCCACCCACGGATGACCTCCTGTTTACCAATCTTGAATTTGAAGGGCTTCCCTCGGGACCTCGAGGAGTCGAAAACTTTCCCATCTGCCAGTGTTCCTGATTTAGAAAAGGAACAGGACAAATAAGGGATCAACACGCTGAAGTAAAGGATCAGTCCAAGTTCTGCTTTAAGAAACCTCCTGACAGTGAGGGGCTAATGTTAGCATCATGGGGCCGGTTAGCTAACGGTAGGTGGGGACAGACAGCCCCGTCCTCTAAATACATTACATACAAATAAATAAGTCTTTCTAAATCACTAAAACTGTTCAAAGTTATTGCTTTAAAATTCCCACCAGAGTAGCATCCGTCAGTTTAGCAGTCACAACAAGTCATCAATCAAACAGGGACGCGGCTAACTGCTACGCTAGCTAGCAGAAGAAGCAATTATAACAAACAGCCGTTGAGACAATTTTCCACCAGTTTCAGCCTGTAAGACCACTTAAAGCAAGTATATGCCAAATATACACCTACTTATCGATAAGTTAGTTTATAAATGGACTAAAATAATCTTCAAAGCTCCATGCAGTAAAGGGCTCAGCATTCACCGACACTCACCGACATAGTGAACCACGACACACTGGCCCTTCTTTGGGAATGTCCGTCCTGGAAAAAGGAGCAAAACACAGGGAAGCTTGTTCATTAATTGAACTCAAAAGTTGGGATTACTTGATTGTGATTAATTGTGAATAAAAGTAGTTCACTCCTACCATCGCCTGGAGTTATGGTTTCAATTTCTACTCCCATGTTTTCGCTCCTCGGTATCCGTCCTCTTAACCACCCGACAATGCGAGCGGAAGCTGGAGGAGGCAGGGGCGGCCTGCCGGGGAGCGGGGTGGGCTTTACACCGGAGAACACCCACCACCACCAATGCAATATGAGACACCAATGCAATATGAGCCACTTTATTGGACTGAATAAAACACTGTTATTTAGGTGAAGTTCTTGAATAGAGAGGGGGATTTTTTGGGGGGTGAATATCATTGAAACAAAATTACAGACAAACAGATTCAAGCCATCTGCAAACAATACAGATTTCCATCCCTGTAGGGTAAAGGGTGGATCCAGACTTCTTTTTATGAATGGAGTGAGTCATGCAAGGATGGTTTTTTACTTACAAGTGGCAGCATTGAGAGGGGAAAGTGGGGTAAGTTGAGCATCCCCCTGTTGCTTGGTCCAAGCCTCAATGGGGCCCTAAGCAAAATTTGATTTTGGGGCCCTCTATTTCTGCCAATAACATTGACTGTTGATCATTCACACACCTTCACATATCTCTTTGATTAACATTCCATGACATCAGGGCCGGCCCATGCTATAAGCAATAAAAGCGGTTTGGCATTTGGCAGCCCAGGGAGCTTGTAGATCGGCTATTTTTGCAACTTTTGTGTGACATCGAATGGACCGACAGTATATGTAATGTGGCCCCCTGGAATGAGTGTGGAAATATAGTGGCCCTCTCCATCATCAAAGTTGCCCACCACTTGTCTAGACTCTAGACGATCTAGAAGCTCATGATATCCCATCGTGAAAAAAATGGAGGGCCACAACCAATATCGGGGGCCCCATCACATCCCCACCCAAACCACAACCATTAGGGGGGGCATCACATCCCTGCTCCCCCGAAATATGAAAAATGGCTCATCTTACCCCACTCTCCTCTATCTTATTATATCTCAAAATAAAGATGTCCGTCAAGATCAGCAACCTCAGACAGTGTTTGTATAACTTTAAAGAAGTGTATACACAGCACAGCATAATGAAAAGAGGCATTTATTACATATTTATGTTACCACAAGTATTTACTGATGAACAGTTCAAGTAAAACCTTCAGTATTTACTCTTTTAGGTTACTTAGGAGTATAAAAACATTCAAAACAACATGTTTATATCACTACTATTGCATATAGTGGAGTTGTATTTTCTTCAGTATCTTAAGCAGCAGAAAATCAACATCCACATACAAAATTAAACAACCACACATTATGTTTTAAAGGTAGATATGTCGTGTTTTCTTGACTTACTTCGTGTAAAAAAAAAAAAAAAACTTTTTATTTCTGCGCTTCAGTTTAGGAGAGAATCAATCAAACAGACATGAGACTTCTCTGCCAGACAGTCACAAAAAAGTGCCTCCCAAAAAGTCAGACATTTGATTAAATCTGATTAAACCCACGTCACTTTGGATCTCACATTTGACCCAGAGTAGTGAATTTTTAAAGAATTTCTCACAAGTTTTTCCCCTCCTGAGTGTTGGGTTCGACTGAGTCTCTGCTCCTGACATTGAGGATTTTCATTCGACTGGACAACAGCTGTAGGCCCGCTGAACTCTGTAGAGGGGCTCTTTGATACATTTGAGCAGACAGATGACTTGACTGAGCATTTCTTATTGTGACTGAAGCTGCACTGTGAAGGATCCGACTGCTGCTGCAGGGACGCTGGCTGCTCTGAGATTTCCCTTGAGCCTGATGAAGATAATGCAGCGTCTGGTCTGAATAAAGATGAAAAATAGAAAAAAAATCATTATTACATAAAAAAACTGGTATCAACCCGAGCAACTGAGAAAACAGCCCTGCTTTTTTCCATATATTTTTTACAAATAGTTGATAGATTCAATTGTCAAAATTAAAAAAAAAAAATTTTACACCGGAATATCCCTTTAAACATGAAGAGGACAAACTAAGCGAAGACTGTTCTGTCCACAGGGGGCGCCAAAAAGTTCATCACTGGAGCTTTAAAACAAATCTGCAAAACAAAGTAACATTATCACTGATTTGTGTCACTCAGTTTTCTGATCGCATGATGACCTACAGTCCAAGATTCATTCTCTTTTTGCTCATGCTTGGATCTCAAACTCTTCAGGGGGATATGTGGTCTCCAGCTGCTTTATTCTTTATCTTCTCTACCAGCTTCTCTCTCTTTGTTTGTTTCCAGGTACTTATAGGAGGTCTTTAGTGAGTGTTCTGAGCTCTTCGCCATGACAGCAGTGAGAGTGAGCCAAAGAGTAAAGTAGAGTCATGAAGCTGAGGACAGACTGACACACTAACTCTCCTTATGTTTCTATCTTATCCGCTGGTAGTTTTCACTTTTGCTTTGACCTGTCTGCTTCATCTCTTGCAAAGATACTTCACCACTCACTGGGCTGTGCTCGGCTGCTCCTGAGGTTGCAAACGCTGCCTCTCCTTGATTGGATAGAACCAAAAAAAGACCATCCCGATCAGCAGAAGTATGATGGCAACCGGGGAGAAAAGCACTATCAGAGCTGTCACCACTTCTTCACCATGGTGACAGGCACTCGCTTTGTAGCCTACAAACCTGCGCAGAGACGGAGATAAGAATCTGGCAGACTTACAGATGAGAGCGCAGGACTCATAAAGTGAGTGAAAGAAAAACTGGGCATACTGTAGTGTCATGGTTGAGATCCCAGCAGCCAGGCCTCCTGCCAGCTTACTGCAGAACGCATAACAAGAGAAAAACAGAGGCTCCAGGTCTCTGCAGGATGGATGCTTTTCTGCAAAGTCGTCCACCACATCTGGAAGCATCGACCTGGAGCAGAAGCAGAATTAGCTGGTGTATCAGGTATGAAAAAAAAAACACATGTCACTTTAAGGGGGTAAAAATGACGAGTCAACAAATCAGATCATTGGTACAGTCTTCTGCCCGGTGTCAGGTGGAGGCAGTGTGAATGATTCATGCGCACCGCATTCAGCTCTGATCCTGATTAGATCTGACAGGGGCCTTCCAGTGGACAAGGAACTATGTGTCCTAACAGAGAACTGACTCACCAGGGTAGCAAGAATATAGTCCCCACGCTGAATCCCATCAAAATGCACATAATCATGAAAACTGGCAGGTTACTGGGAACACAGGCGACTATGGTCACGGCTGGGATGAAGAGCTGGGAGAGGCAGAATCATGGGATGAGAATGAGGTCGAAGGCGCAGAAAGTAATTGAAACAGTCGGATTATTGGACGAGGATTTCTTACCGATAGTCCGATGAAAGTTGTGACCTTTTTCCCTATTCTCAGGAGAACCATTTGCCAAAGAGGAACTGCTATGGAGGCAGAAGCCTGTGAAAATGTTGAGACCGTTTCATTTGAAATTCAAAATGGGTCCTGAAAAATTCATTAGGGGGCTGTTGCAGGGAAGCGGAGAACATCTCTACACGCACTTTTAATCCATTTCCTGCATACCATGAGTAAATCATTTTCTTAATATGAGATAATAAAGTGCACTTTCTAGTTTTAAGATTTATCCCCAGTCTTAAAGGGTTGAGAAACATGTTTTTAAAAATAAAGCAAGACACGGGAAAACAACTTTTGCTCTCGCAGGCCACAGGATAATGTTGGAGATTTGAGAGTGGGGTTCATACTTTAGCAATAAAAGTCACAACTTAAAGGGATATTCCAGCGTAAAATTAAGAGGGTCAAGCACACTGTAACACTGAGTTAGACACCCCTTCAAGAGATGAATGTTGCCAGTTGTTTATAGTGAGTCCTCCGGCCAGTCCATTACGGACTACAGCGGGGTGACACAGCTCAAGGAAGAACATTTAAGATCATTTCCTTGAAGTAATAATCACCATATCAATCATTTTGCACTGCAGACGAGGTAGTTCTTCTGCCTGAGTGTCTCGGTCTGATTGCATTTCCATGATGTTTCATGTGTTTGACCCTAACTTAATTTTACACCAGAATATCCCTTTAATCGATCATTAATAAGTTGCTGTAGTTGCTCAGACACCTTTACATGGTGGAACATCACCCTCACCTGACTATCTCACTTGATAACAATGCTCCTTTCTTAGCTCTACAAACTAAAGTGATCTCAGCTGTTTTCAGCTCCCATAATTCTGAAATGTTACATTTTCAAACATCTCTTTGAGCCCAGAGTGTTTCTAGTGAATTTCATCTTACCAGTAGAGCCAGTAGGAGGTGCTGGAACTGGGCCCCCAGCCCAGCCGCGTGACTGCAAAAAAGGGCAAAATTACCCAAGGACATCTGAGAGTTGGGACAAAAAGCAAAACTATATCATGTTTTGAAAACTATTAGGTCCATGTGAAATTTTGAAAAGCAAAATACAAAATGAACAGATGGAAAACATTTTTCCGATTTGGAAAGATATACTTCAGAAGCTGAGACTTACATGTAGATTAGAGAAAGAAAAAAGTGCATGCATATTTTAACTCAAGAGTTTTTGAACATTACACAACAGTTAGTTCTTATTAAACAAGAGGATATCTATGAGTACTGAAAAATGTAGAGCAGTAACATCAGTGGGACTGTTTACAATATGTATCACTCCATCTCAACCAGACATTTCAGCTGGCATAAATTAATACTTATACATATATCTATGGAAAAAAAGTTGCTGGTCTGTGGGTGCCACTACTCAGTAACAGTCCAGTTCTGAGAGGTCTTGAGTTACATGTCATTCTACATTTCAGCACACTGATTGTCTTCAGCAACTGGCCTGTAGGCTGATATACAGAATAACATCACTCCCTCTTAAGTGTTATCACTTTAGTGTATCAGTAACACGCTGAGTCCATCAAAGAGACAGTAGGATATAAGTTGGCATCATTGTGTCAGCTGTACCTGAAACGCAAGAGCACAGAACATAAAACCGAGTACGAGTCTCTGGTAAGGAACATGATGGATTAACAGCTTCAGCGAGGTCAGATACGGGGGTCGCGCTTGGTCATCAGAGCAGGCGGGTGCTGAAAATCAAAGCAAAATGAAACGTCAAAGAAGTGCGGAGATAATCCCAATCAGCTCTTCCTATATTAAGAGTTCAGCGACATATAACTGAAATATTTCATAACGCTATTACACTGGCTATTTTCAGCCTCGCCTATACTCACCCCGCTGCTCCTTCACCCCCAGGAAGAGGACCAGGCTGCTCAGGTAGAACAGAGCGCCCATTATCAACGCCGAGGTCAGGAAAGCTTTTTCCTGGTGTGAAAATTCACACATGAAACAGTTACAGACAAACTGACACAGCTTTTATATTCAGTTACAAACAAAATAGTTACTTTTACGCTAAAGAAAACAGAGTTAGAAGTTTTTGTCCATCATAGATAAAGTCAATCCTCTGTTTATTAAAGGGGACAATCATGGAGCAAGCGTGTGTGGTGGTGGATTGCAATGCTCGTAGGAAAGCTAATTATGATAATAGCTTTCATCATGCCCCTAAAGACATTAGTGTACGAGAGCTGAACAGCCCCTATGTTACCTGCCACTTCTCTGACACGGGCTAATGAGCTACTGGAGCTCTTGAAAATGACACAGGTAATGTGACTTTGGCTAAAAACTTCATAATTAATATTTAAAGACCACTGATAACACTTTAAGTATTTAAATAAATAGACAGAGAACATACCAAAAAATATAATACCAAATAAATACCAAACAATACTCTAAAACATAGAAAGAGCAAATCTAACAGAGTCTTAATCTTTGAAAACCTTTCCTCATAAAATTACAAACTCTGAAATAGCAATTTTGGTTTGTTTTTCTCATAAATACAAAGAGCTAATGCTGAGAATCAGAGCCTAGATGTGTAAAATAAAGCGAAATTCTCTAAACACACTCTGTGACACACACACATGAACACACAGCCATGTCTTTGTCGAGCTAAGAACAGTAAATTACAGGGTAACTCGATCTCCCTGGGACTGTGTCAGCACAATGCAGCAGTAATGCTGAAGAAAAATGAGCGTTATCTCCGCCAAAGACACCTTGTATTAGTCATTTAGGTGCAGTGTGTACCGTTTCCTTCAGAGAGGCAGTTTGTGGTGAGGATGTGCTTTGAGGGATTTCATCTGGATGCTCACAGGCCTTCTGCTTCTCTGTGTTGTACACAGTCACAACTTGACCCTGAATTACTGATGCTAACAGCATCGCCAGCATCTCCACGCTCATTCCTACCGCATGAGAAAACACAGAAGAGGATATGAGCAAAATCCAGTCACATCGGGCTTGACCTTATCTGGGAGGAAAGAGGTACAGCCTTACTGTAGGCTGTGGCAGAGTCTCTGTCTCTGTGGTCTCCCCCCAGGAACATGTTAAGAGCGAGGAAGGGGACGTTGTAGCACTGTGAATGAGTAACAGAGGAGAAAATGACGCCAAGCGGCGGCACATGAGTGCTATGAAACTCAGTAACCATGGTGACACAGCTTGGAGCAGCATGGGAGCACTAACAGAGACATGAGAGTAGTATGAAGCGCCGCCATGGTTACATGACAAATAGGAAAAATTACAGGTCTGCACTGACAGGAGGATTATTAAAACAAAGAAAGTACTCACACATTACTCTAAAGTACTTTAATTTAAAGCTGCAGTGAGAAACTTCAGGTCCATGCTGATTTGAATGGCCTTTGTGGAAAAATCATTTTGGCTGCTGGATTTGTTTATGGTCTTATTTGCCTTAATTTGGTCATAGAGGGACGTCAGTATTAATTTTCTTTTTTTTTAAATCAGTTAAAAACTCTATAAATTGGTTAGAACATACATAAAGAAACAGTAGAAATAGAAATATCTGTCAGTATATGCCAGTATAGGCTAGATTGAAACTCTACCTTGCCCTACTGACTGCAGCGGGGTGACGCAGTTCAAGGAAGAACATTTATGATCATTTTTTTATCGTTTCCTTGAAGTAATAATCATCATATGAATCATTTTGCACTGCAGACACGGTATTTCTTCTGCCTTTGCGCCTCCGCCTCATTGCATTTCCATGAAGAAATGATCATAAATGTTCTTCCTTGAGCTGCGCCACCCTGCAGCAGTTCGTAATGGACTGGCCCAAGATCTCGCTACAAACAAGCGGCTGCTGGAAGAGAGTAGGTGAGTTGTGTTTAGTCTCTAGTTTGTTTGTTTAGTTTGCCAAAGAAATTAGACAAAGTTATAAAGATGTTTGGTGGCTAGTAGTATGGCTGGGACCCTATATGTACTGTTGATGAAGTTAGGTGCTGTTCTGAACATTATTTGTGGCTATAGAGTGGCGTTTTGGTTGAGGTTAGTTTGTGGCTCCTCAGACTGCTGTGTATTGCTATTGTGTGGTCGTTACTAAAGTTGATATAACTAGAGAAGCAAGCAGTCAGCAACATTCATCTCATGAGGGAGTGTCTAACTTGGTGTTAGGGTGTGTTTGACCTTAACTTAATTTTACGCCGGAATATCTCTTTAAATAGTCTCCACACAGGAATGCCAACACAGATTTCCTGGCGAACCCAAGTGTCTCCGCCAGCGTTTATCAGTAATTGGTCCTACTGACTCGGCCCGTTAACCAATCAGCAGTCAGTCCCGCAGTATCAACAACCTCTCACAGTCAAACACACAGACACTTCTCTAAACTCAAGTGGAGAAATGCACCTGCGGCTGTAACATACATGTATTTAAACACATCTATGAATATTTTATTTACACCAAATACTGGACACTGCACTTTTAAATGGATGGAAGATTTTTTAGCTTTTTGCTTTTTCTCTTCTCTTGTATGTCGTGTGAATCATCACTGAGTCACAGTACTCGATGTACTCCAGCACCAGTAGTACCTTTAAGTGCCTCTTACACTAACTTACACTTATGAGGGTCTCGAACAGACAGGCTGCGACGAGGAACCACAGCACGCTGAGGGCCTGAGAGGTGAAGCCTCGTGGAACAAACCACAGCAGCAGATACGAGAAAACAGCAAACGGAGTGGAAAGAACCAACCTGTCAGACAAACATTGACTCAGTTTGATAAAACACCTGGAGGACGGATAGATGCAGGAAAGACAAACTAACCAACCAACCAACCAGGGAATGAGTTTGCCGATGGGGGTCCACTCACTGCGGCTCACCAGATATCCCACCAAAGGGTCCGTCACAGCGTCCCAGGCCCGACTCACAAACAGAATCATTGAGGCGTAGTAGGGCTCCATCTGCGGAAAACTGAGGTGCTTTCATTTCACAATCCAGGAAGACAACTTTGACAGATCCTTTCACATCAAGATGACTGTCACTCTTACCGGCACAACATCCAGGAGAAATATCTGCAGGGACACACCTATAGCTACCGTGGTAACCTGATATGGGACCCCACCTGCAGCATAACACAGCTTTGTGGCCAGAGGAATCCCCCCAGACCCCTGTGAGGATTAGACAGGCTGACAGTCATCAAGACGCCCTCAAAGACGATACAAGAGGCCAAAGGACATAACCATTTCTATGATATCAACCTGGTTTCCCAAAGCTGGTCTTCCTGGTGAAATTAAAACTCCACTGGGGGATTTTGCTGTTTTAGATCCCTAGGAAGCAAGAATGTTTATTTCAGTCTGTTTCTTAACCTGCTAAAGAGTCCTCACAGGACCTTAAACTTCTGTTTTTAAGTTAGCAGCATTAAAAATTAAAGATAAGTGACACTGGGCTTCTGAAAGAAGAAAAGTTTTGATTGAGAGAGTTCAAAATACACACAAGTTTTGGGGGTGTTAGAGGAGAGCAGATAAATCAGTGGAAGAACGCTGTGAGGTCTTTAAATGAGGCAGTTCAAAAAAGGTGAACGATACAGGGCGTTGGTTGTCTGCGTTGGAGAAATATCCTGACCTAAACTTTACCCAAAGTCTGCTCTAATCGCTTCATCTTTTAAACCATAACATGGACTTACAGATCCAAATCCCATGTCTGATAAATGATGGACTCACTGGTGTCCTCCAACTCTGTTTTAGGTTGTTTCTTTTAAATTATCTTCACATTTACACAGAATAAGATCAAAAGAAACATCTAAAACCTTGTGCATGTCTTGTGTGCTGAGCTGCAGACCTTTGACTCAACCCTTCTCTTTTTCCAGTTTCTGACTCTAAAGGCAGATCATGTTTCAGCAGCAAACTTCACTTGCTTTTCAGTTTTCTCAGGTTGTAATATAAATGCAGCAGCAGAAGAAAAATGTCGACTATTTAGAAGACTTACCCTCTGTGATGAATCGCTGCCCGCATGCTTTTTCAGCAACTGACTCTTCAACCTCTGAACTTTCTCTGTAAAAGTCTCCGTACAGCTCATTTTTTGGAGTTCGGTAAAGTACGTCCATGTGCAGATCTGGAGTTTCAATCACAACGGCTCCCTCCATGCACATACCTTTACGTTCAGGTGAGGCTTGTGTAACACGGGAATCCGGTCCAACAACTCCTTAATCCCTGAGTGATGTGCCCTCATCCAGCCCACCTGCTCTCGTGTACAGGAAGACTGAAAAAGAATAAGAAGCAAGGCGAGTCTGCCATTTGGACCAATTTCTTAAGTATAACCACTAGATAAAGATAAAACTTTGACTCTTTTAGTAGGTCAAAGTTCTAATTTACATCAAGCAGTGACCTTCAATCTTGAGAAATGAGACTGAAGTGCGAAATAATTGAAACGTGGTCAGTATTAACTTGATAAAAGATCATTTAAATGAAACTGAGTCTCGTCAATGTTAAAAGAACTTGATCTACAGAAGAATTCAGATTTGTGCAGGCTCTTTTTCACAGACGATGTGTAAGAAAGTGCAGGGAAAGCAAGGTTTACTCACAGGCACGAAAGAGTGTTTTATGCAGAGGTGTGACTGAGGCAAAGTGGAAAACTCTCCTTTGACCTCATCAGTCTTTTTAGAAATCATGAATGTTGTATCCTCCACTCTTATGTGATTTATTCACAATTTTGTGTTTTTGTTTGAAACTAAAATTGACTTTGGCTGCAGGTTTGTTTTGAATGTCGGGTATGAATGATAAATGAAGAAAGAGACTCTTACTCAGCATCCTGCTCGTCTTTTTACTCATTAATGAAACATTGAACATCTCTCTGAGTGTCAGGGCGGGACGTACTCTGACTTTGGAAGACAAAAGGGTGTAAATATGTCGTCGATGGCGAGTATTTTGAGAAAGTAGAAAAAGGGAAAACAGAAGAAGTGAGCTCAGGGATGATTTCCTCTGATCGGGGATGTTGTGTGTCAGCATGGACTGCTCTGACCTCTTGTGGATTGACAGTGAAACTTGACGACATCCGTTTTTTTTCTCTCTGAAACAAATGTTCACCAATAGATTATGATTTCCCTTCTTATGTTTATATTCAATGTGGACTTTTATGCTCATTTTGACAAATCTAAGTTTGAATAACTGAGCTCTAGAGGAGATTCTTGCATCATTCAATCTTTAATGACGTCCTTGAACAGCCTCAGAGTGTGAGCGTGACCGGAGATGACTCTCAAACATCCCTGTTTTATGAGACACACACTCAAAAAAAATCAACAAGTCATGAACAAAAACGAAAGACTTTCTCAAAGTAAAAATAAGTTTGTCTTTAAATGACACAGTTTTCCTTAAATTTGTAAAAATAAAAACAAATATAAATCAAAATGAATCAAATGAAGATGAACGACAGAGGCAGAGATATTCCCTCAGAATATAATCACATCAAACCTCAGTTACTTCCAGTTTTATCGTGAGCTCACATCAATCCAGAGTTTTGAAATCCTGACTTTTCATTCGTCTTTAAGCTTATTTCAGACCGTCTCACCACAGTTCCTATAAATCTGTGCTTTTATTCGCACTGTCCTTTGCATGACGGAGTCCGTACAGCCATTTAATCACTCGAGCGTTTCTCTCAATGACTGAAACTCCGTACGGAGCACGACCAGCGGCGTTCCCAGCGTCCGCTTCCTCCTCGTCGTCTTCCTCCTCCCTGCCTGAGCCCGCAACCTCTGACCCCGGAGCGCTCACGCTGCGGAAACGAGCGAGAGACACGATGTCAGAGCTCGATGTGGTCAGCTCCTGCAGGTCCGCCGGGTCCAGACCACACAGGTTGAAGAAGCGCTCCAGCTCTGTGCCGGCGCGGGAGAACCTGTCGCTCATGTCCGATTTGGAGCGGGTTAGAGAGGGGCGCTTTCTGGGGCTGGAGGGGGACAAACGAGCGATCGCAGGAGAGGAAGGAGGGAAAAGAGGCGGGCTCAGGAGAGGAGGAGCAGGGGCTGGGGTTCCCTCTGTAGGGGAGGTGGGGTTTTCAGGTTTAGAGGGTACAGCCACGACAGGTTTCAGAGGACTTGTTGCTGTTGTTGTTCGGGTGTGGAAGAGGCGCAGGTTTGAGACAGCCGGGCGGAGCGGGAACTGGGAGTGTAAAGGCTGGAGGGGCTGACGGATGAACTGAGGCGGTCTACAGGGGGTCCTTGAAGGTCCGGCCTGAGGCATGACGTCCACTCTGCGTACCGTCCCTGCAGCTGGAGACCCCTGAGAACTAGGAATGTCTACTCTTGCAGGACCAGAAGCTTTTAGCCTCACTTTAGCTGGACTGGACCAATCAGGACGAGGAGGGGGACGAGGAGGGGGACACGGTCTCTCCTTTTTCTGTGGCGTCCCTGTCGGTGTCTGTTGGGGAGAACTCTCTGCACCATCAGGTCTGACCTCTGTCTTCACACTGGGTTGGGGTCCATCGTTCACACCACTGATGAGGTTACTCAGATGCTTCAGGTCGAGCTGGACTTCCTCCTGCTTTGCTTTGGTTGGGGTTGAGGTCTTCCTGGTGGGTCTAAGAGCTGTCCCCGGGTTCAGCAGAGGTTTCTGGACTTCTGGAGGCTTCACAGGCTGCTGTTTGGAAAGAGCAACCTGACTCTTCACATATTTGGCTTTGTCTGCTTCCAGCCGCTCTACTGCGCTCTGCTTCGGTCTGCCTGCTGCTGTCGGGAACTGCCGGTAGAAGTCTGGACCCACTGGACCCTTTGGACGAAGGCGTGGGGGTGTTGCAGCCAGAACAGTCCTTGCTGGTTGCCTCAGCGGGTGTTTAAGAGCCTCTGAAGGCATTTTGTAGAACAAGTAGGCCAACCTGTCCCAGTACACGTCCTGTTTTTCTATATATTCAAATAAAATCCCTGATTCTGGTGAAACTGCAAACTTATCCCGTGTTTGTGTCCCTGTGAAGCAGCGTCATGGTCGACCCCATTCCACTTTTTGAGGAGAGGAAATTCAGCTTTTGGTCATTTGGGCTGCCTAAGGAAAAAAAAAGACATTAGATCCATTAGGAGCAGAAACATTAAGATGTGAAAATGAAGTTAATCTGGAAGTGTGAAAAACTATTTTTTTTAAGTAGCTTGTTTGTATATGATGGTATTTTCAACCTTCAGTTTCATTTTGAGGCCTTTTGAGTCCTAACTTAGGGTCAAACACACTGGGTTAGACACCCCCTCAAGAGATGAATGTTGCCGACCGCTTGCTTCTCTAGTTATACCAACTTTAGTAACGACCGCGGGATAGCAATACACAGCGGTCTAAGGAGCCATAATCAAACCTCAACCAAAACGCCACTCTATAGCCACAAATAAAGCTCAGAACAGCACCTAACTTCATCAACAGGACATACAGGGTCCCAGCCATAGTACTAGACACCAAACATCTTTTTACTTTGCCTAATTTCTTTTGCAAAGACACCAAACACAACTCACCGAGTCTCTTCCAGCAGCGGACTGCTGCGGGGTGTCGCAGCTCAAGGAAGAACATTTATGATCATTTCTTTATGGAAATGCAATCAGACCGAGACGCTAAGGCAGTGCGAAATGATTAATATGGTGATTATTACTTCAAGGAAATGATGAAGTAATGATCATAAATCATAAGTCAAGTTAGATGTGGTTAGACAATGAGCGAACACTCCTCTATTTGGGAAGATGCAGACCCCTGACAAAAGTCTGTGTCCGCCATTCATCATTATGTTAAGAGGCCTGTTTGTTTTGACTGACAGGTGGGCACATTTGAGCTATTTATGAGGCAGCAAGGTACAGCCTGAACCCAACATGTTACCCTGTTGGCCTCATGTTAGATGGAGTTGCATTTATAATATGATTCCTGCCATTTTTTGTGCAAGTAGAGACAACGTTCAGCGTCACAAAGCTCTCATAAAATACTGACTCTGAGGGAAAAGTTAATAACTCTTCTCATTGATAGTCTGTCAAATTAAACTATGTGAGAACTGACTTATTTCTTTTTAAACAGCAGCCACACAAAGAGCCTCTTGACCCCCTCCCCTCCCCTCACAAATTCACTCTCTGTGGATTCAAACAATAACCCAGAGTCATCCATCTCTCTGCAGACAAACACAATCAAACTGACACTTCATTCTCAGTCGGTAGACGGCCTGTGAAAAGAGTGGCAGAAAGTTGTGTGTGTGTGTGAATAAGAGGGTAGTGGGGAAATGCATAGGAACAGCTGTCAGCACGCTATTGTCTGGAGGCGATGCAGAGCAGATCACACTCACTGACAGCTGCTGTGGGAACAATGATTTCCCAACTTTAAATTAAGCAGTCACTTACCAGGGTTGGTTGTGAGAGGTTTTTTTAAGTATACCAAAAGTTTGAAGCTTGATTCATTATTCCCTTTAGTTTTGGGATAGGTGTTTGAAGGTGTTAAAGGTCTTAACAATGAACTTCAGGAGCTTTCTTCATACTTAGACACTGTGTGTGCTGAGCAGTCTGCATCTGCTGGTCACATTCTCCACATATTTGTCATTCCAGTCAGAGCCAAGCCAAGAAAAGTGCTGATAGAGCTGTGAAACTTTCTTTACCTTGAAAATGTTTAGAGAAGAAGCCATGTTTAAGGAGACCTACCCTGTGGTGTATGGCAGCAGCAGCAGCAGGCAGGCAGGCAGGCTGGTGTGTTACAAACCAAAGAGGAATGTGAAGAGGAGGCTCAGACTCACTAAAATAGAGCATCTAATTTGGTGTTTCTGAATCAAGTGCCAACACGTCCAGACGTATGGAGTTAATGACAAACGTGGAGAAGCAGGAAGTCAAAGAAAGAGAAACAAAAGAAGCAGGTAAACAGCAGAGAAAAAGCCCCGCATGCTCCTCAGGCCTACTCATCAGTCCTGCCCTGACAAGTCCAGGCCTGCTTATATGAAGGTGTAGACATCACTTTAAAACTCTCCTGTGTTAATTCTCGCTTTTTCCCAACAAAAACACTCACCTTAGATGTTCCTTTAACTCTTCAGAGTGTCTCCTTGTTTGGTTGTTTTAGTCCACAAACCCACCGTGCAGTCCCTGCTGAGGAGAAGGTATCCTTATGTGAAGACAAACCTGTTTGACAACTCATGTGTGCTCCTCCTGGCCCCGCCCACATCCTCCTGATTGGTCCAGTCGCTCTCCAACAAGGATGTAAACTGACTATTTTCAGTCACGTGATCCCTATATTGTTTTTTTATGCTGCCAGTAGATAAGCAGCTTGTGTGCGTGTGCTCATAAATCATCTGTACTTTATGGTGACACGCTGTGAGCTGTGTAAAGGTCAGTGTTGAGTATGAAATGAAGTACACAACCAACAACCAAGACAAACAATTAAGACACTTTTAATAAAACAATACAACTCTGTCGCACAATCAAGAGAAACAGAAGCAGTCATGATCATTTCAGCGAAACAAAGAACAGCACCCTCCACCACATATATAAAAATAAATGATCTTAAAGTCATACAAGTGTTTTTTTGTTCGGTGTTCAGACATAAATGTAAAAAAAATCAGATTTTTTTAGGATTTTACTACAAAAGCAACAGACTTTTTAGACTTTCCACGTACAAAATGAGCACATTTTTGCTTCAAACATCACGGTAACATTTGGCCATGTTGTGTTCATAACTGTAATGTAGGACTGGGCGATATATCGGTATCAGAAATATATCGATATATTTTTAAATGAGATATGGAATTGGACCATATCGCATATATGGATATAGAGACATCAGATGCTGTTGTTGACAAGCTGATGGACACACTTGTCTGTCCTCTAATGTCGACCTCAAGACAGCACTGACTGTTTATCAAAGTAAAAGAGAAAGAGGAGGAAATGTTCACTGAGTTCATAGTCCGTTCTTAGTTTTGTGCAACTGGTTGAGACTGTTAAGAAGATAAGAAAGACAGATTGGTAATCTCAAAATGACACTGAGCACTTTTTTTGTTCTGTCTTTATACATGTAAATGCTGCTCTTGCTAGGGTTTGTCATATTTAATTCTTTTGTTGTGTTTGTTGTTTGCATCTGTGGATTTGTTAGAGAGGAGAAGAAAATCTGCTATTTGATTTTAATCGGCCATTTATAGTTGTGAAAATGTGGATGTTTTTCTTATATAAATAAATTTGTTTCAGAAAAAGATCGGCCTATTTTACTTTATGGGCTATTTTTATCTAAGATTCGTTTCGTTTCGTTTTCTTCCGCTTCATCCGGGTCCAGGTCACGGGGGCAGCAGCTTCAGGAGGGAAGCCCAGACAGCCCTCACCCCAGCCACTTCCACCAGCTCCTCCGGGGGGATTCCCAGGCGCTCTCAGGCCAGGTGAGAGATATAATCCCTCCACCTGGTCCTGGGCTGGCCACGAGGTCTCCTGAGCTGAGCATAAATTCATCCTGACAGTTTAAATAGAACTATCTGTGACATGTCATATTTGGCTTTGACTGTGACTAAACCTTTGCTCTCACTTTACAAAAACAACATCAGGATGTATATCGATATATTGATATTCAGCCTAAATACATCAGAATATGACTTTTGGTCCTTATCGCCCAGCCCTACTGTAATGTTTTACAGTGTTTTATAAATTGCACATAAAAGCACAGAGATGTGGTTATAGCAGAGTCATAAATAAAATAATATTTCTCTTACAAACAAACGTGCTGCCTCTTCCTGATCAGATTCGCTGCTCTGAGTTTGCTTCTGTAAATTTGTTTTATGATTAAAATAAAAAAACTGTAAAATTACATTGCAGTTAGTGTTCACTCTGATATACGATCATAACATCGGTAATATTAAATTTAATCATGATTCATGGATTTTTCTACGCTGTAACAATGCTTGAACTCCTCTGAGGTTTATTGTGCTTCCCTTTGCTGAGCAGTGTGTCAGTGGTTCACCTTTATGAGTCTGCACGTGTGTGTTTGATTCACAACATCATAAAACAATCTGAACACCAGAGTTATGAGGGCCATCAGCTCCTCTTTGTGCACCATAATCTGGAAAACAAAATGCCGTATATTGATGTTTGTGTTAGGAGATAGCGCAGTTTTTATCTTTGTCCTTTGCTCCCAGACTGTGAGCTCGTCTCCGTCTGAAACTCCCTCTCAGCCCCGAGCCTCTCTGCACTTCCTTCTCCTCTCCTCTCTCTCTGCCCTCCTCAGGTTGTTGTTTTCGGAGCTGCGGGGGCAGAGGTATCGGCTGTCCCAGGAAGAAGCCCTCTTCCTCTGAGTCTGAGGATGAGGAGCAGGTGGAGCAGGCGTCCCCGTGTTTGTAGTGGCCTGGTTGGAGGGTCAGAGAGTTTCGGTAGTCCTTGTCTTTCTCGCCTCTCCAGTCCAGCGTCTCGAGCCGGGGTCTGTCGGGACGGGAGCGTCTGGGGCGCCTCTCTGATCCAGGGTGGAGAGCAGGGTCGGAGGGGACACGGGATCGGCTCCATCCTCGCCTCAGACTCCGCTGGTGGTAGGACCCATCTGTTTGGGAAAAAGTTACAAAAATAAACTTTAATTTGAGTGCTCTGAATTTACTGGAGAAAAAACTAATTTCTCTTTGTTTTCTTTTCAGCTGCTGTCCGTCATCTTCTCCCCTCATTTCTGTAGGAACCATCCATACGTACTATACTTTGACTTGTTTCCCTACTAAAATGTGAAATTTCAGCATAGTATACTATGACATTTTTTTCTTATACTATACTTTGATATTTTATCATACTATGCTATAAAGTTTTTTCATACTAAAATTTGCAATTTTTGTCATAGTATACTATGCTGTTTTTTCACAAGCTATACTTTTAATTTTTTCCCTACTAAAATGTGAAATTGTTGTTATAGTATACCATGCCTTTTTTCTCAACATACTATACTTTGATTTTTTTCATACTAAAATATATATTTTTTCATAGTATACTTTGACGTTTTTGCGATACTATACTATGATATTTTATCATACTAAAATTTGAATTTTTTAATAAAATTTTACTCTGACATTTTTTATCATTCCGTACTGACTTTAATTATACAAAAATTTGAAATTTTTATGATAGTATATTATTGTTTTTTTAATCATACCATTAATAAGATATTTTTATCATTCTATACTACGACTCTTTCTCATGGTAAAATTTGAAAATTTTGTCATGGTATACTGTGCTGTTTTTTTATGATACTCTGCTATGACTTTTTTTCATACTAAAATTTGAAAATTGTATCATAGTAAACTCTGACATTTTCTTGTACACCATGATTTCACCATCAAAGAATTACAATCAATAAAACAAACACAAATTAATAGGATATCATTGATAATTTTTAAGCTGGTGGGGATAACCGGTGAGGGTCGGTCTCTTAATAACTTTGGTTCATGTAAACACTCAGCTGAGAGGGAGAACTGCACGTTACTCTCCAACTCAACTTCTTATTTGTTCACAAACAGCTTTAATCTCATCCTCACACACACCTGCACCTCTCCTCCCCTGATACGCAGCAGCTTGTCCTGCCCCGCCTCTCTCGCCTGTTCGTTTCTACTTTTTTTTAATCAGCACTCTGTTTCAAATGCTTTAAAAACTCCAGGAAACTTCTTAAAACTTTCAGGATGAGCTACAGAAACAAACGGACAAATCCTTACCCAGTAGATCCATCTGCGGTGGGATGCCTTTCTGTAGATTTAACCTGCTTCCAAATCCTTCTTTCACCTCATCTTCATCCTGCTGGTTTTCCTCCTCTTCCTGCAGCTCCTCCTCATTCTCATTCTCATCCTCGTCCTCCTCGACGGAGTAGCTGCTGCTGATTGGTTCTCTGAAGCTGACCCTGGCGGTGCTGCTGCGGACCAGCAGGGGTGGAGAATCTGAGGGTCTGTCGTCTGGCGGGGGGAGGTCTGGTGGAGGCAACTCAGGGGGCATCAAGTCTTTAGATTTGATAGGCAGAGGAGGCGGGAGGACGGAGGGGTTGGGTGAGAGGGGAGGCGAGTCTGGTGAAATGAGCTGGGAGTTGATCTGTGGAGGGAACACTGAGGAGAGAGAGAGAGGAGGTCGAGTTAGACAGGGTAGTTAAACTGATCTGAAACTCTTAGAGGGTGAAAAGACTCGGTGATACCTTGCAGAACTTGGTTCGTCTTTTCCACCCAGTTCCTGCAGTCTTTAGCTGTGGAGGTTCCTCTTGAATGAAGACCAGTTAGTCCAGTATTTCCATTGAGCTGTAGACCATTTACAGAAGGTTTGGTGACACTGTCTGCTGGGAGTAAACCGTAATGAGGAAGATCACTGGGCCAAGATGGACCAAAACCATTTCCTAGATGAATGTGGGGCAGAGGAGAGTAGGAGCCTCTGGGATGAGGATGACCGCTGGGTGGGGGGAGTCCATTTTGCACTGGGGCGGTGCAGTGGACTCCTGAGAAGAGAAGTCAAAATTAAATAAGTGAGTTTTAAAGTTTCTAAAAGGTTTTAACTTCATAGATTTTCAGTTTGACACCCTACCTCTGTTTTCCACTGCAGTGTTGACACAGTCTTTTGCAGGAGTCACAGGACACTTGACGCCCTCTGGTGGCTGGAGTGGGGAACCGCACTGTGGTTGCTGCAGTTTCTCTACCATCCCACCACGCCTGTGCTGAGGCGTTCTGCCCTGCAGCGCCGAGTCACACGAGTCTGAGTTATTGGGGTCTTCGCCCAGAGAGCAGGGTCTGGAGCAGTAGATGAGCCCGGCCCGAGGGAGGAACGGACGCCCTAATAGAGGGAGTCGACAGCGGGCGCAGCAGAAACACGCCTCAACAGCGTGCCAGTGTTGACCCTCGTAGGTCATCTGACCCTGATCGATACCTGGAAGGATTTCACATGAGTCAGCTGAAGAAATTACAAGTCTCTCTCAGTTCTGCATTTATGATTGTCTTATAGTACAACACAAAACCAGTACTTCAGCAGTAATTAACACACATTTTAGCCTCTGTACTGAGCTCCAAACGTTTTTCTTTTTAAATATTGGGATATTAAACATTAAATCAAAAATATCTAAATTGACTTAGACGTTTGTAAGAGATTATTCTGCCTGTAAGAGAAGGTAATAAAACCAAACTCCTTCTTGCTTACAGATGAGGCCAGGATTTCTGTTAGATATTCACTACAGTTATCTGTGCAGATGAAATAGATTAGAAAATGAAATACTAGGAGGCTTTTAATGACTTCTCAAGCACAATAAAGTTTTCATAGAAAGACCCTCAGTAAATCTACATTAAATGAGCTCATGTTTAGTTTTTGCAGGTTATCTGACAGAGCTGTGGGTGACTTTTGATTTGTGATTTCATTCTGACGCCCCCTGTAGGCAAAAATGTGCGTTATATCACGCCGCCGATCTTGTCCTGTACGTGCCGAGGCAGAATTGTCAGACTTAAAATCCCATCTTGTCTCTTTGAACAGCCATAGGTGTCAGTCAGAGCAAATATTTGCTGTTGAAAATGTAAAGAAAGGCTGTTTCTTTGGAGTGCTGTCAATCATCCAGTCTGACACCTACCCCCTCGCAGCAGTTTCAGGCATTAAAAATCACTATGTAGAAACTGCCAGTCTTCTGACTGACGGTCTTCTCTGCTTTTATAGGTCACAAAGATGCGTCAGTATTCATTTATAGTCTGTTTATCTATTTTATTTCTCTGCAAATTTACGATTATCGAATGATACATGAAGCGCTTTTCGTCTGAGACAAACAAGATACACAGTCTATGTTAAACCCTTGCTGTCTGACGGCATTCAGTTCATATCTGGAAGATCAAACAAGGTTCAACCTGGAAAGATCACAGGTGTGATTTTTTTTTTTTTTTTACAGTAACAGTCACTTAATTAAAAACTGGCCTGACGTGCTGTGAAACGAGTCGCATAGTCAAGAGAGACTTCATTTACATTGCCTACATACTGAACAATGTCTAATTACGTTTCTACACACATAAAATCACAAGCTCTGTGCCAACATTTCATTAATAATAATCAGCACGTGTAAACAAACGTGAGGGCTTATGGATACGTTTGTTATTGACTTAATCAGGCGCTCATTGGATTGGAGAAGAAGTGACTGACGATCTGGAGTGTCAGTTAAGAACTCAATCGTGCATTTAGTCCTGCAGAAAACTTATGAAGCACAGCTGTAATAGTATTGAATATATATCTGCAGGAGAAGTTGTACTAAAAGTTTTATATTTGGTAAAAACCAACAATATGCTTTCTTCTTCATCGTGTTTTATAAGTTGTTATTAAATGGTTTATTTAGTGCTGTTAAAGCTGATGAGGGAAAATGTGTCAGCAGAGATTTTTCCTCTGTATTTAGATAACTGCTAACTGTATACAAACAACAGTAGTTATGGTTATATGAGTTCTTATTTAGTACCTATATGTTCTCCGCAGGTATCGCAGTATTCTGCATACAGCGACTCGTAGCAGGAGCAGCAGTACGGCCGGCTCTCCCTCATGATGTAACGCTGTCCGCCCAGCGCAGCCTCACACTCAAAACAGCAGAAGTGCTTCATGTGCCAGTATCTTCCCTCTGCCTCCGTACATTCATCCGCCAGAATAATCTGAGATTGAGAGACAAGAGTGAGAGTCAATCAGACAGACGGACAAAGATAGAGAGGTCACATGGTACGGCAGCCATGGTGCTACGGATGTAAACAAATCGTGGTCGTTAAAACGAGTAGTGAGGATTTGGGTTAACAAGATGGGGAAAGAAAGATGCAGTCAGTGCCATGTTGCAGGCTTAGCCCTGTCTAGAGAACTCTTGTAGGTCAGTCCGATCGGATCCATTAGGAAAGTACATCAACTAATCCGTAAAGTCAAAATAAGAGGCCATTCAAAAACATAAACAGGCAGACAGAAAAATCAACATTATCTCTCCATGCACTCTGATCAGAGAAATATCGAAACCTAGCAGTAAAAAAACACCAGAAATGAATCATCACATTTTTTTTCTTTATCAAGGCTTCCTGTTCAACAAAAAGTGTCAACTCTTGGTTGTATTTTTAGCTTTTCTGGCCTCTACTACATTTAACCTGCAGCTAAACACAGCTGCAGATAAAAGCTTATCAGACAGGTGGAGGATTTCAGTGATAAAGTCACCTCATCACAGGCCTGGCAGCGCGGTTTGAGCCTCTCAGCGTGGTGCCGGCCGCAGTAGATCTGTCCGTCCTGGTAGAAGTAAATCAGATCGACCAGCAGCTCGCTGCAGGAGGCGCACTTGAAACACTGAGGGTGCCAGCAGCTGCCGTGTCCTGCACGGCTGGCAAACACTGCAATGTCCCCGCCGCAGATCTGTCTGCCGCACTGGAAAAACAGATTTGGAACGGGTGAGTGGAGGTGTGGTGCGGAGGGAAGGAAGTTAAGAGCTTTGTCCTTTGACAAATGGTGAACTCTGCAGGTTGCACAGCAATTTGCTCCTGCAGCCCTGTAATCATTAAACCTCTGAGTGTGCTGTGGCCCCTGAGCTATGCCTGCACCTACTTGCAATTTAACCCGCCTCAACGTTATATAGAATAAGCCTCCCACGTATGTGTTTTAATACGCTTCCACCTGCATGATTGAATGTTTTATAAGGATACGGATGTTTTTCAGCTTCACACCGGCCTTTAATCAAGTAACCAGCCGTGTTTCCTGGGTATAAAATAAAAGCCTGCTTTACCTGCTGGCAAATGGCTCCAGTCATAGTCACTGGAAAGAGTCTGACGACGCCTCGGCCCAAGTTTTCTCTTTTCCTCTGCTGACTGAACAGACGCAGCTCCTTCTTCTCCTCATCATCCAGAGAGTTACAGTACTGAGGCTGCAAGATGGAAAGATGATCAAGCTGGTGAGCATTTCAAATAAATTCATTCACACCCTCTTCTCAGCAGGAGGAAAAACATCTGTTTGTAGCTCTAAAACAGGGAAAACATAAAATCTTGACCAACACAACAGTACACAACAAAATAAAATGACTGTCACAACTAAGTGTCCGATTATGAAGAACTTTATGGGATGTTTACACCTGGACAGACGGGGCTCAGATTCATTTGACCTGCTTCCTCATTAATTCTCTTTCTTTTATCATCATTATTGATCATATTGGTTTGTTTTTGTTGTTTTTGTGGAAACTGCAGCTATCAGGCGACATTTTTTTTTTCTGATTTGTAAAAAGAATTGTTGTAAATATTTTGCTGAGGTCTATTTTCTGTCGGGGGTTGTAAGAACTCCAGTTGCCTGCCTGACTGGTTACCTTCAGGCGACCTGCAAACGGTAAAAATAACAAGACAAATGAGGAGCACTAATGAGGTCATGGGCTGTAAATCATCCCCACCAAAAGGGGCCTTTAAACAGACTGATATTAGCAACCAGTTATAAAACTGAAGGTACAGGGAGTCATAAGTGATCAGCAAATACAGCGATGAATATGTTGAGTGGTCTGTTTCAAAATAAAGTCAAAGGAGTGATAGGTTTATAATTTAAACCCCATATTGGAGCCTGCAGGTGGATGTCGGTATGGAAGTGGAGTGTAAATAAAGCATAAAATGCTGACGGGTGACATTGATAGGGCAGAAGTAGAGATCCTAAACTCTGTAGTTTAAATAGGCTGCCAAATCGAGAGGAAATTTTGGCATGTGATGAAGGACATCTTTCATGAGAGACTATAAAGCACAGCAGCTGAAGTGGCCTGCCTGAACTAGCTCACAGGATTCATTCACTACAAGAAACAAAAGAGGTCATGACATGAGAGCTCCACACATCATAAAGATAATTGTGCTGCAGATGTTTCAAAATAAATCATCATAAAACATACTATAATGATATTAGAGCAGTTTCCTAATATTACTATATCCAGATTCAGCCTATATCTGAATGGATCAAATTATTTTCCCCCAGAATCTTAAAATAAAATCCCTGAATAAATTCGCTTTTTTAAAAATAGCAAACGTTTGGACTTAAAAATAAACCTAGAATCAGTTAGAATGATGAAGTATTGCTGCAGCATAAATCATAGGAGAGTAATAATCTGTAAATCTATCAGAGCGCCACACTGTTACAAACACGCTTACCACTGAGGTTAAAAACTAGATCATCCAGAGTCAGAGTGACGGGGATGTTACCTCGCTGTCGTGGGCTGGGAGCTGGTGCAGCAGCTGTTTGATCCGGTATCTCTCTCCTGGGCTGTTCACGTAAGGCACTCTGTCCTCCGGCAGGCAGCTGAAGTACTGGTAAACCTGTGTGAAGAGATAAGTGTGCTCCGATTAGGCCAAAATGACAGAGTTCAGGGAACACTTACAGCATTTACAGGCCCATTTATCCCATTAGCATCATAAATCAAAAACTGAATATGTTTTTCCCAAGGTTATAAAAATGAGTCTACGTCCAGACATGTCCAAGTGGAACCTCACATGATAACATGTCTATCTACCATTAAAGTTCTCCCTCATCTTGCACTTGTTTGTTACCTGTTCGGGCTTGAGCCCAGGTGGGACCCATGCGTACTCCTCTGAGGCGCAGCCCGAGTCGTCGTCAGAGATGGAGTGTCTCTGGAAGTCTGATACCAGCTTCGTCATCATCTTTTCCAGCTGGCCTGGTACTGAGCGCACGGCATGCTCCTCTCGCACACACTTGCAGTGTACACAGATCTTCCTGTGGAGACAAGGAAGAAAATCTATGGGCTTCACGCCTGGGGTCTTTTTGTAATGATTTACAACACAAGCCAAGACTGATCGAGTGTCAGACAGAGCGGGGAAGATGGGATCTCCTGGTGCTGCAGGAACTCAGGTGCAAACTACAGAGTTCAAATCTTAAGTTTGGATATTTGCTGGAAAAGCAGAAATATAGAAAAGAAAAATTTTAATTTGGTCTTTGGAGGTAAAAGAAAATCAGCTCCTTTGACAATCACAAACAGAAAAACTTCTACCACAGTCATGCAGACTCTCCCACATGCTGTTATAGAGTAAATTTCATCATGCGTAAAGCTGGAGACATTATGCAACTAACCAGCCCTCACACATTCTTGAGGTTGGTTTAACTAGCAGCCAAAAAGTAAAGCAACAACAGCTGACGAAAAACATTTCCAGATCATCAGTGGCTTCAAACCTGAAATTCATAAATCCCAAATTTCACTTTTGAGCTTGTTGCCTTTGTTGGATTGTACAGTTTGAGAGCGACAGCTAAAAGGGGAAGGATGACGTGAACCGAATCCTGTAGGGACCGGAAATCATCATCACCACCAGTATGGAGCGACTTCTCTACTAACTGGAACTATATTTTACTTTATGACCTTCAAGATGGGTGAAAAGTGAGAACAAAGGGACAGAGGTGAGCCAATGACATAAGTCTGCTCTCCGACAACGTGGAACAAGCACAAGAACTAATGAACAGGGTAGAGCTAGAGTGCGCCAAAGTTGGCCTTAGGCTAAATGTCAAAAAAACTGAGGTCATCACCTACAACGTTCCACCAGAACATCAACCTCTGACTACAGCAGGAGGCGCTGTGCTGAAAGAAGTCGAGGACTTCAAATACCTGGGCTCACGGGTCAACTCAACTGAACAAGATCTAAAAGTGAGGAAGGCACTTGCACGGAGAGCCCTGAACAGCATGACCAGTGTATGGAACTCCAACCTCCCCCGTCAAATCAAACTCAGCTTCTTCTACGCGACAGTAGAGTCCGTTCTCCTCTATGGCAGTGAATGCTGGACCCTGAAGCCAACCCTGGAGAAATCCCTAGATTTAGGGATTCTTGCTTCCCTAAATCTCGGGAATCTGCCAGCCAGCAAATTGGTGCTGTGGGAACCAACACATGGGCATCGGTCGAGAGGACGTCTTACACTAACATACGTGGACATACTCAAGAAGGATGCAGGAGCTCAGAGTACCAACGAACTGGTGAGATGTACGGAGAATCGGGATGACTGGAAGCGACAATGGAAGGCTCGTCTGAGGACGACCTAGAGAGAGGTGAGAGCTGAAACTGCTGCAGTGGGAATCGATGCCTTTGTATGAAGCAAACTGGAAGAGTTAGGCCAACCAGAGTCCTATCTTACTACTGACTTGGGCAATAATATTCTACCATATGGTTTATAGTCCACGTTATGAGCGTGCCTAGTCTTAACAAGTGCAGTCAAACTCCTCGCAGATGTTGCTGCGGATCAGACTATCCGCTTAATGCCCACATTAATGCCAACCTCTCACCAGATCTGCATCTGGATCAGCGCATCCCAAACAAGCTACTAGCTAACACACAGGAAATGAGGTCACTGTCATAAGCTGGCTGTCAATCTGGTGGCGGTTAAGAGAGGGAGGTGAAGACGGGAGTGATAATCTCCCTCGGCTTCAAATTACACCCTGTCTTGTCCTGGAACTTCTCACCACATTCAATCTGGCGCTGTTAGGTGTGACAGTGTGGAGTCAGAGTGAGGTGTGAGGTGTGAGGTGCCTCAGGGTTACACTAAGGTGTGGGGTGTCATGTACATGTGTTGATGCGACAATGCGGAGCCATATGCAGCATGTATTGCAAGTGTGCATCTTTGCTGGGATTGCATAACAGCCTGCCAGCTGGCACTTGTGGCTCAAGTTCACAAGGCACAAAGCTGCTTTATTCCGGCACCCAACCCCCACCAGAGCAAAAAGCCAGCGCACACACACACACACACACACACAAACACACACACAACTGCAAGTTAAGTGCATGACAGCTCTTCTTCTAATCAATCGCCTCAGAAAACCTTCTTTGAAATGTTAGCTGGAGCTGTTAATCTACATGACAGATCGAAAGTGATACTCAGCAGAAAGAGTTATTAAAAAGTTGATAAAACACGCTTCAATGTGATCAATTTCACTTTTCTTCGTCAGAGGACGCTCCGCTCGAGATAGTCAGCTGTCCTGTGTCAATGTTGAGTTGGCATCCTATACAGTAGTAGTTGCTTTGTGGGTTGAACCAATATAAATCATAGTAAACACAGCAAGTCAGCTTAGGATAAGCCGTGTTGGCATGAATTTGACCCCAGCTGTGCGTGAGAGTGTTGGCGTTGTGTGGGAGGGGGTGCCTATGTAAGTGTTTAGGAGAACTCAGGCTGATGAGACAGATGGCAAATGAACCGCATTTCACCTGGCCTCACCCCTCGCCCTGGCCTCACCCCAGCAGCACCCACCCTCTCCAGCCTCCACGTGACGAGAGCGTTTGCAGGGGGTGCCACTTTCATGTACAACCTGCAGCAACTGAGAGACAGCAAAGCACGACTTTGAAAGAGTCTATTACGGACTACAGCGGGGTGACGAAGCTCAAGGAAGAACATTTATGATTATAACGTCATGGAAATGCAATCAGATCGAGACACTAAGGCAGAAGAACTACAGCGTGTGCAGCGCAAAATGATTAATATGGTGATTATTACTTTGAGGAAATGATAAAGAAATGATCATAAATGTTCCCCCTGAGTGCGTCACCCCGCAGCAGTCCGTAATGGACAGGCCTGAGGTCTCGCTACAAACAAGCGGCTGCTGGAAGAGAGTAGGTGAGTTGCGTTTAGTCTCTTTGCTAAAGAAATTAGGCAAAGTTAACTTTAAAGTTACTTTGTCATTTCCTTGAAGTAATAATCACCATATTAATCATTTTGCACTGCAGACTCGGTAGTTCTTCTGCCTTAGCGTCTCCGTCTGATTGCATTTCCATGAAGAAATGATCATAAATGTTCTTCCTTGAGCTGCGTCACTCCACTGTAGTCCGTAATGGACTGGCCTGAGGTCTCGCTCCAAACAAGCAGCTGCTGGAAGAGACTCGGTGAGCTGTGTGAAACAAGAAACCAGGCAAAGTTAAAAAGATGTTTGGTGTCTAGTGCTGTGGCTGGGACTGTTGATGAAGTTAGGTGCTGCTCTGAGCACCATTTGTGGCTGTAAAAGACATCATGTTGAACCCACATATGAGAAAATCAACACACCCAAAGTATAGCCTGTTGTATCACACACACACACACAGACACACACACAAAAAAGACATAACCATTCCACCTTTCTTTCGCTGGCAGGTGGTTGTTAGAAATCCTGACTCCAGTGAAACTTAAAAGCAGCACATTTCTGAACGCTGCAATTTACCGAGCCCCGCTGTGCTGAGCTCAGTCCTGTTCAATTATTTGAGTCACAAGCCGCTGATGTAATGCAACCAGGCTTCATCCCCTCCGGCTGTGCGCGAACGGGGTGCTGACAGGTCAAAGAAATTACAAGAAAGTTCCCACTGAGTGAAAATCTAATCAGATGTCCTGATCTGTGGGTCGAAATGTATGGACACAGACTACTGTTACAATGTAGTCTCATTGGTTTTCAGGTCTGTGGTGAGTCGGATGTGTTGCTCTTAAATGATGAAAGGATTGTTTGATTAAGTCATAAATAACAGATAGCTGCACCCTTTTCATGGTCAGATGATCTTAAAACTCAAATATTAGTGTTTGTTGAGTGTTTTCTTAAAACTTAAAGTGCCGCTTTTTTGGTCTTTTTTAAACTTGGTGACAATAGGGATAACATCATGAATCATACTTATTATAAGTGATGAGTTATGACTTTTGAATGTTAGAATAGTTGTTAACTTTTACAAAATCAAATACAGTATGCAAACTTAACCTCCTCTTGAAAATACACATTTCTACAGTGTGAAAACTACTTCATGGTTGCTACAGCCAATCCAAAAGCCCCAAAAGAGGAGGGTCCCATGAAAAAACTCCAGACTTCTTAAATGATCAGAGAGCTCGGTGAGAAACCCCTTTAAAAACGGTAATAAAACTGCGATCACGTGCAAACCTTTCCAGGTAAAAGCAGCGAAAGTCTTCAACAATTATGTAAGAGGACTGAAAGATCCTGCAGTAGACTATTTCAACTGTTGTTAAGCTCCCAGTGAGTCTTTCTAAATATTTATCCTATAACCGTCTTTAATTTCTGTAACATCTTTGTGTATCAAAACCACACCGCCTCTACTGTAAACACACTGGATCCACAGCACAGACTCGGTTATTAGCTTAGAGACATTGAGCAGATGCTCCTCTGGACCAGAATCAACAAACTTCCTCGTAATTTGCTTTGATGAAACAGGAACACTGTTTAGAGACGACGGCACAACTGTTGTCAATGATTCTGCATCTTTTGTTTACCAGCCACAGATGATCCACTCACAATTATAAGATGATTAAATGAATATTTATCACAAAAATGGAGGCAGCAACCCTAGACAGTAAGGCAGGTTTGTGATGGGCATAAATGAAAGGGCGAGTAATACATCAAAAAACAAATTATTGATAGCATCTACCATTTATCAATCAATAATCATTCAATTGTGACTTTGATTTAAGACCACATCACTGCATTTTTCTGAAAAACTCACTGTGCTTTCTTTTACAGCCAAAATTGTCACTCTTTGTAAATATTTTCTTTGGGACGTGCAAAGAAAGGCTGTTTCTCTAGCGCGCTGTGAATCATCCCTCTTGACACCTTCACCCTCGCAGCAGTTTCAGGCCTTAAAAATCATTATATACAAACTGTCAGCCGTGTTCCCGATGCTCCTGTTTGCTGACGCCGGTCACAGACGTACAATAACAATCTCAATCTGGTTCAAAAGCAGCTTAAAAAATCCTCACAGGAGCTTTTAAACCAATATTTAAAATACTTTGAACATGTTTTTTTTATCTGCAGGGTCAAGTTTCTTAAAACACGATGACGTCTTTCTGAAATACCGTGAAGCCTCCTCGCTGAGATAAATGACGGGTAATAACAGTGCAGAGGAGAGGTGAGTAATAACAGCTGCACTTGACGTCATGTTCTGCTCTTGTGTGTGTGTATACAAGAGCACAACACAAAGTCAGACTATCAAAGGCAGACAACCGAGACACACTCACTTAAAGCCCTCTGTCCGTCCACATCTCTCAAACTTAATGACTGTTTGACTTTCCTGTCCCTTTAATCCTCTCTGAGAGTAAAACGGTTTCTTCAGTACCTGCTATAATCATCACATATCAGTCCAGCTCGGCCTCGGGTCCCATCCAGACTTGCTCTCTTCTGTAGATCTACAGGTTTTTCATCCAATATGATCCTTAAACTGTGTGCCTGTCAGTCCGTCTGTCAGTGAGAGCAGGATACTGTGTGGCAGCTCTTCGCTCATGTGATGATTCCTCTGTCCGCTGCGCTCTTTTTAATGTCCCCGCCACCCCCGACTCCCACCCTCCTCCGTAGTGACAGCGGGCTCAGACAAAAGGCTGCGCCACGCTGAACACAACAATACAGACACAACACTCACGTGGGGTTTTAAAATTAACTTGGAAAGATCAGGTAAAGTGCAAACACAGGGTGAGTTACAGTCACTATCTTACTATTAAAGCTGGCAATCTGCAAACAGTCTTTAAAAAATACAAACAATTAAAGTCTGGATGACACGAGTAGTAAACTGACTGTGCCTCTTCTCCTCCAACCAGTCTGCTCGATCTGATTCATAACAGATGGACGATTGTTGCTCAGATGCAGTTATTAATCACAGAAAGAAGAGGAGCAGATCTGGAGCCGATGAGCAATGCCGTGCCGTGCGGTGATTTGTCATATTCGACCATCGAGATGACGACTAAGTGTCTCTGGTGAATTAACCAGCTGGCAGCGTGAGTTGTAGGACTTATTTAAGTCACGACACATCTCTGAATTCATACCGGCTCATCTGACTTTGGTCAGTCAGGGGTGCTCTGCATGTTTTTACAATTACTTTCTGTTGTTTCATGTTGCTCTGGGCACTAATAGTACAGTAGGCTTAATCTTTTGCTTGCTCCTTTTCAGCTGGTGAATTATTGATGAAAAGTGCTGTTTGGAATTTTACAACTGTTTTGAAAAAGTGTCCTTCGAATTCTGATGCCTCCTTATAACCTACATCATAAAATAAAACTATCAGCAGCACGACTGGTCATTTCTTTAATCTGAAATTTGAACTAATACCAGTGCCTCTGGGAAAAATAGCAGAAGGCTACAGTCAGCCAGATTGACAAAACTCATATCATCAGAGATGTGACCTAGCAGCAGCATGTAGATGAGAATATAAAAAATATATACATGTTTTTATTTTTTACTTAAGTGAAAACGGCTGCAATAGTAAATTCAACTGATCCTCCATCTTGGTTCTTTACAAAAAAGACAGATGTAGCACTCCTGTGTCATCATCATCCTAAATAAAGGATTGCGATTGGGTTGGTAAATCTACTATCACTGTATTTCATTTAAATGTAATTATTTCCTTTCTTTTGGTGGGAAGAAATTGTTCACTCAGACTAAAATTAACTAGAACAGCGACTACTTCATGCTTACTAATTTGAGTCATTTGTTATTGTTAGTTCACTGTTAATGTGAAGCATGTTACGCAGTGTTTGAGGACTGTGATTTATTCTGTAAATGTGCGGTTGTATTAGTCACATTATAAACTGTAGAGCACGACAGGAGCAGCTTTCAGCTTAAGCTTTGGCTAATGAGGGTCCAAAAAGCAAACTACTACTGCCATAATCATGAGTTTTCATGAGTAGCAAAACAACAACAACCCAACTTCACATGTTTTACATTTATCGGGCAAAGATGGCAAACTTCTCTGACTCAAGGTTTCCTTACTGTCTTTGTCTTGTTCATCATATTTCTCTAATTTATTTTCACATTTTAAAAACAATTTCTCATGATAATTAAGTCCTATGACACAACAGCTAATACACATTTCAGCTCATTATATAGTTGATATAGCATTAAAAGCTGGCAGGGAATCCAATATGGCAGATATAAGATAATCCTTTACTTCAATATGAGCTTCTGGTGTGATAATCTATAAGTTAGTCTGACTGCAGAGGGGGAAAGTGAAGCCCTCCTCAGATCTCTATCTCAGAAACAGATGGGTCTTGTCCTAAAACTCTCTTCCACTGATTAGGGACTGAGTAATTGCCGCATGGCCACCCAGACTAATAGAGACGGCGACTTTGAACAGTTTTTGAAGCGTGGCGGGGACCTGCGGGTCAAAAGTAACTCAATTCACTCCCCGCGTGGCAGCGGAAGCACCATCTGCCCCCCGCCCCAGTTTGGGCTCTGAGTGAGAGACCTCAGGATGAAGATGGATCACTTCCCTCTCAGCGAGCTGCGGCAGCTCAGTCTGCGGTCACTCAGACCGTCTTCTCTGTCAGGGAAGGTGTGACTCCAAATTGGTTATTAAAGGAGATGCAATTAGCAGCAGACTCCGGGGTCCTGCAAAGTGACCCCCATATATCTCAATCATTTAATCACTTTCATGTTCCTCAGTCTCCTGGATTAGCTGAGATACTTTAAACATCCAAACAAGACATTCTCCTTTTTAACCTCACCCAGATGACGCTTCCATTTGTCCTCTTTCCAAACACATGATCATAAACCTCCCATACAGCAAAGTCATTGTTTTAGAGAGGCACAGATTAAAGCCACTGTAAACAGATCGATCTGTTCAGACTCACAGCAGAGCACAGTGTGGCTGGGGGTAAAAGAGCAGCACACGTGTTTTAGATTACATCCCAACTTCTAAGCTTTTGTCTTGACCTGAATAGAGGGAACAAAGCTGAGAAAAGCTCAAAGATACAATTACAGTTGTTTGGTTACATGGATACGCATTCCTGTGCCTTCTGTTTTATTCCCTCCATTACCGAGCCACAGTCAACCTCAAACATGAGTGCAAGGCCCATCTGGGTCTGTGAAAGCAGCTCATCCATCTGCGTTTCAAACTTGAGTATATGTGCAGCACAGTCTTGTAAGGGAACTTGTGAATCATACAGCCTGTTTATGACTTCTACTCCTCAAAAAAAAGGGAAAGCAGTAGTCAGAAAAGAGAAATGAGGTATGAAGTGGTCTACAGGGTTACTATCACAGCAGTAAGGCCTAATCTTATTAGCGTGATTGACAGGATTAGACTCACTGAGAGACCCAACCAGCTGGATATTCACTAAAGGACTAAAGGAGAGGGAGAGAGCGAGAAAGGATTCAGTGGGCTCAGATGAAAAGCACGCAAGAAGCAGCTTAGCAGAACAAAATAAACTGTTGTGCCTCTGACAGCTGTTAACAAGTCCTCAACGAGCAGGAGGACGAGGTGTGCGCGCTGATGTTTCGAGAGGCCTGTTTGCGAGTTTGAAAAGGCAGGAATTCAAAGAGTTGAAAGTCGTCTTTAGCTGCAAGGACTCCAGTTACAAAAACCCTCTATTGACTTGAAAACACAATATGGACATCTTACAAAACACTCGTCCATCTGCTGAGAGGAGCTGGCCTTGTGTCCCCGCAGGCTGTTGTAAAAAGTGGGCAGTTTTCTACTACAGCTACTACTCTCTGTGTGACTGTACTTCTAACAGAGATGCGAAGGACACCGAGGAGAAGTCCATGTTTTAAAGGATATTTCAGCGTGAAATTAATTTAGGGTCAAACACACTGCAACACTGAGTTAGACACCCCCTCGAGAGTTGAATGTTGCCGACCACTTACTTCTCTAGTTATACCAACTTAAGCAACGATCGCACAATAGCAATACACAGCGGTCTGAGGAGCCATAAACAAATCTCAACCAAAAAGCCACTCTATAGCCACAAATAATGCTCAGAACAGCACCAAACTTCATCAACAGTATATACAGGTTCCTAGCCACTAAACATCTTTTTAACTTTGCCTGATTCCTTTAGCAAAGAGACTAAACACAACTCACCTACTCTCTTCCAGCAGCCGCTTGTTTGTAGCAAGACATTAGGCCAGTCCATTACAGACTACAGCTCAAGGGAGAACATTTATGATAATTACTTTATCATTTCCTTGAAGTAATAATCACCATAATAATCATTTTGCACTGCAGACGCTGTAGTTCCTTAGCATCTCGGTCTGATTGCATTTCCATGAGGAAATGATCATAAATGTTCTTCCTTGAGCTGTGTCCCCCCCGCTGTAGTCCGTAATAGACTGGCCTGAGGTCTAGCTACAAACAAGCGACTGTTGGAAGAGAGTAGGTGAGTTGTGTTTAGTCTCTTTGCTAATGAAATCAGTCAGAGTTAAAAAGATGTTTGGTGGCTAGTACTATGGCTGGAACCCTATATGTACGGTTGATGAAGTTAGGTGCTGTTCTGAGCATTATTTGTGGCTATAGAGTGGTGTTTTGGTTGAGGTTTGTTTATGACTCTGTGTATTGCTATCGTGCGGTCGTTACTTAAGTCGGTATAACTAGAGAAGCAAGCGGTCGGCAACATTCGTCTCTCGAGGGGGTGTCTAACTTGGTGTTGCAGTGTGTTTGATCCTTAATTAGTTTTACGCCAGCAGATCCCTCCCAGAAATTATTAGTTGATGGAGTAATCCCTGTAAATCCCAATTTGGGTAGTTCATTTTTGTCACCAGGTGTTGAATAAAATAGACATGTCTATAACTGTCCTGGTGTTTTTTTTTTCACTTCTTTGTTCCAGGTCTGAGGAGCTGAAGCCAAATGAAGAGAGCTCAGACAAACGCTCTGAGGTGCTTCTGTCTTCCCCATGACAATAATCTAAACTAAATGCAGCTGCTTCTGTTGCAGATGTCAAAGCTTAATGGCCCTTATGAGTCCACAACTCTGAGTCTTTACGTCCTCGGGGTCAATGAGGGCTCATCGGCTCTGTGGATTCATGTGGTGTCCTGGCTGGGTCATGTTTGTTGTTGTTGTCTCTTAATGTATATCTGCACTTATCGTGAACACAGATCGCACTTAAGCAGATTTACTTCGAGGGCATGATGAAGTCCTTGCAGTGACACATGACACACACATACACAACTTGATTCATGAACTGTGAAATATCTAGTCAATATGCTTTACGCTACACAAAGTTAAAAAGTGTGCATGTAAAGCGGATGAGGCTAAAATTTTCTTGAAAAACAAGCTTTTAGAGTACTTTGTTGTTATGAGAGGTTGTATTAGATCCAAACTGCAGCAGGAGAAAGTGTTAATAAAGCTCGAGACAAACATTTCCTGCCAAGGTAACAAGCACTCCTGCTAATCTTTAAAAGAGCTCTAAGGTTCATACCTCCAGCCATGGACACGGAAGCCGGGGCACTGATCCCCGCAGCGCATGCAGGGCTGCCCTCTGTCTGGGTCCTCTTCCTCCTGCTGAAAACACAACACAAACTCTCCTCAGCTCAAATTATTTCCCATGGTGAAGCACTCACACCTTCAGGATCAACTCCGTGAGGTTAAAACAACACGGACAGCAGCACGTACTGTGTTCGCCAGACAGAGTCGCAGAAACAGCAACATCATAGTGAAGGAGTCAGATGTGTGTCCGTTAAAGCCACGAGCAGAATGCACTCAAAGTCAGTCACTCTAGCTATTAAATCAGCAGCATATAGGCTTTTTATAGATTATGTATTATGGCATATAAACTCAAAGATGGTTGCACAGTACAAGTAGAGTAATCCCCCCTCCTGCTCTCATGCTGCAGCAATAAGGAGCACAAAGGGATGAGAACGGCTGCTCGGGGCCTTCAAAGACTAAATACAGTATGAGATGTGTGGAATTTGACTTAGTAAGCTCTTGGGTAAACCTGTTTGCGAGTTCATCCCTTAAACTCTGCCTCAATTATGTTTAACTGTGAATTTTAGCAGCGCTTTACTCTGTGATGGAGTACTAATCTGAAACATGCCCTTTAAAAAGTGCTGAGTGCTGCATCTGACTTTGCCAACAGCAGCTAAACCAACTACCTCATATCTCACCTCTGATTCAATTCCTGCAGCCGAGCATGTGTGCGTGTGTGTGTGTGTGGACTCTGGACCGCAGACACAGGCCTCTTTTTAGAGATGAGAGGAAGGAAGCAGACACAGGATGAGAGCTGCACCCTTTCCCTCTCCATGTAGTCACTTTGTCGCCACTTTTTTTTTTTCCCTGGGCCTCAATTTGGGGGCACCTCATGTATCAGCTACAGTTGCTGCTAATGCCAGTGTCATTATTGATCTATCTGAGACTGTGGGTGTGGATTGTGAGAAGTTGTTATTGATATTTTCTCAACAAGGCCTGGCCGCAAAATCTGTTGCTATACTGTCCTCCAGTGTTGTCGGTTTTGAAGATGATTACAGAGGACGTTTTCAACAAGGATATCTTTAAAAGCTTGGTCTGACTCTGACATTTGTCTATGTTCATTAAAGCAACATTACATGACCTATAAAAATGGAACGCAGCTAGATTGAGGCTGTTTGCCTGAAAGCATCAAAATACATGTAGGCACAGTCAGCAGGCTTAGTTAGCTGGAGTACTTTGCTTTCTAGGTCAGTGCAGCACATACGGGAATTTATGTCTTTAACTGACCACATATACATACAGCGCTTATAAGACATCAGAATAAAAGTCTAGTATTAAGTGATGCACGCATATTTGTGTTGTGTGTCCTTTTCTTTTGACAACACTCTTTAAATGTTTGGAAACCAAGGAGAACCTCTTTCTGGGCTTTCAAAAGTGAAACTTTTTGGCTGCTCAACAGTTTGGGGTTTCCTTTGTTGTCATGTTTTTGTCATGATTGAACAAATGTTTAGCAGGCAGGTGAGTTTATGCTGCGTTTGAGTCACCTCGGAAGTCAGAAGTCCGAGTTGAAAATGACGTCACAACCAAGTTATGAGCGTTTCAGTCGGAAAAAAGCAAAATCGGAGGCAGAAACAAGATGGCTACATTTACGAAAGATATTTTAGCGCTTGCCTTGTCCTGATATAAGGCAAGTGCTAAAGTAACTTTCGTAGATGTAGCCGTATTGCTTCAGGCTTTTATCCAACTTGGTAACTGAAAGGCTAGGTACTTGGATGTGACGTCATTTTGAACTCAGACTTGTGACTTCCGAGGTAACTCGAACGCAGCATTACCAGTGATTTTTGAATTTCCCTCTGGGATTAGAAAATAAGTAAGTAAGAAAGTAAGAAAGTAAGTAAGTATGTCAGAAACTAAGTAAGTAAGTAAGTAAGTAAGTATGTATGTAAGTAAGAAAGAATCTATCTATCTTCCTACCTACCCACCCACCCACCCTCAGGCTGTTCTTTTTCATGTTTTTTCTGTGTTGTGCAAAGTCTTACCTGAAAAAAAAAAACAGTCTTGTTGGCAACATTTCATGCTCCAAAACCTGTATATATTGTGTAACATGATCTCTGCATTGTAAATTGTGTAAATTGACAATGTGACAGGCACTTGTGGATGCCTGTATCACCTGAAATGCTGGCTTTTGAGGTGTGCGCCCCTAAAAAAGAGCCAGGTAACCCCTCCCCTCTTAGACTGAATGATGCAGCACCCACACTTTCCAAAACCTCTCTTAAAGACTGGAACAGCGAATCTATTATCAAAATGACATGACTTTTAATCAATCTCATGATGTCAGTGAACATTTGCTCGTCTTTATCTTGTTCTTTGTCCGTTCCCCCTCTCTCTGAAGGGCTGTTTTTATTCTCCTGTTTTCCACTCCATTTTTAGAAGAAGAACTTAAATGCTCCTCATAATCTCAGCCTGTACAAATAAACAAAAATAAAGAGGTAAAAAAAAAAAAAAAAGCAGTTGCTGCAATTTGTCAAGACTTCAAAAAAAGGCCAAAGGGTTGAAACGTAAGTGACTGCGCTCGCTTTCCAAGACACACAAACAGCTCCTCACATAAAGATGTATAATGTTTGTGCTGTGAGGCTGGAAGAGTTTAACGAGCACGGCAATAAAATAGAGATATGTGATTCACAGAGGTACCTGTGCATACCTGCTCAGCTGTGTTTTGGATTTTCTCCTTCCAACTGCACACACCTCCCAAGGATAACAGTTCTAACCACAAAAATAGGTGTTCACGTCGAGCCTGTTTTCCCATCGCTGAGCCGCCTATAAACTGATCGGTATCTGCTGCTTTCCTTCCATTTAGGCATTAAAGGTTTGGTTTGGCTTATCTGACAGAAATCTGAAGGATGTAATGATTGTTTTTAGGAGTTTTAAATGATTTGTTTAGGGATTGATAAGCCACAGATTTGTCAAATAAGGGAATTAGTGGGAATTAATCTTTGTGTGTGTGTGCGCGTGTGTGTGCGTGTTTTAAGATTATTATGTTCCCATGTGAGTAGATACATGAATCCAAGGAACATGATAATTGCCATGCTGACTGTATCCAGTTACGAAGGAACATAAACAAGTTAGTCCAGAATAGTCCCACAATAGCAGTAAACTATAATTCACATGCTATTATTAAATGTCTCACAGTATGTTGTGTCATCCAGATCTGTCGTGCTCCATGCAGACTTTTCTGTCGCCACTTTGACTTGTTTTGAACGTTGCCAACTGAGCCAGGTATGAAAGGTTGCAAGACGGGCTAAATGAAGCGAACAGAGACTTTCTGGGTGACTGGACTTTTCACTTCTTATTTTCTGAGTAAATTAAGTTCTGAGCTGTCACGCTGACACGAGCGAAAAAGGAGGTACTGAAGTCTCCGAGCATTTCACACCGGTGAGCGGCTACAATCCTGTACACTGAACAAAAGAAAACAAGTAAAAGCTGCTGGCTTCAAATCCAGTTTTGGAAATTGTAGCCGACCCTTCCGCACACCTCAGGGTGTTACTGTCTTTCCATTTATAGAGGGGAGAAATGAAACAACACCTGATGTGTTCATATTTCCACTGTGCTTTTTGACACTCTTATCTGCTGTTTTCTAAGTGAAGCCAAACTTTATGAGAAGAATTCATCAGCAATCTCTGGGCAAACAACTTTACATTCAGCAGGTTACAAATTAGTAGGTTAGCTGTCCAATGTATAACCATGAAGTTTTACATAAGCTAATTAACCAACTGCATTGTATTTTATCTCTAATTACTAGTCAAAATTCTTAATTTTGAGAGTTTTCTGGTTTGTACATTTCAGGACGTCATAGTGGACTCTAAGAAACACTGACTGACACAATTTTTTAACATCTTGTGGAAAAAAAACGACCAAACTAATCAATAAAATAATTAAATATACAAATAATCATATCTCTATTCTTTATTTGTTAAGACATATATGAGAGGGTTTGTTGTTGAGGGTGGATGTAAGCCGGCATAGTTCAAACCTGAAGCAAGAAGCACCACCAGAGGAAGCCATTTGATCAGCTCAAAGTATAAAAACACACATATTTCTGGGCAAATTATGAGAATTTTGTATGAAGAATTACTCATCTGACTCTGCCCTCAATTACTCAGCTGAGTTTCTCCCCGATGAACTCTGGCGTTTCATGAGATGGAGGTCTGTTTACATCAGATAAAACTCACCCTGATGGCTTTGACTTCCTCTAAACAGTCATCTATAAAACTGATGAGGGCTTCAGCATCAGAGCGTGGATGCTCACTCTATTAGAGGCATAGTAATTAAAAGCGAAGCAAGGATACGATCATGACGCAATAATTAATGAAGGATTAGGAATCCGGAGAAAAGCTTTAAATTTACTTCAAGTATGCAGGACGGCTGTGGGCTGAGATAACAGGCGTCAAGTGAACACCCTGACCGTTTCTGCAACATTTAATTCACCATAATCTCACTGCAGCAGGTGCACAGTCTGAAGAAATGAAGAGATTGTTGTAATATCAATGCTTCATGATTTAGCAGCAATTTGAGAGACTGTTTTTAATAACTGATTTCCAAATACAAACTACCACTGGTTGAGCTGCCTGGAGCAACAGAACAGACAACAGATGGTAAAAATCTTGAGGGAAACTGAGTTTAGTTAAAAACACATACTGTTTTTGTTAACCCATTAGCTAGCCTTAAGGAGTTATATTTGTTAACTTCCTGTCTTTGCAGCTCGATATTCACCAGACTGAATATTTAAACCAATGCTATAACTGTTCACTTACTGTGAAGCCAAAAGATTTAGAGCTCCCCCTACTGACCGGCTGCAATTAATGTCATAAACCCAACAACCCTAATGTTAACAGGTGGAATATGTTAACGTTAAGGTCGTTGCACACCGGAGTGTTTTTTTCGTGTGATTATTTCGGACATGCATGTTTTTTTCCGAACCCATATCCTGTCAATATAAGCGTTCACATCAGCGACATTTTCCTGTCCTGCGATATTGCGGCATTTATTTTTTCGGATCACAGTTGAATTTTCTAAAGTTTCGCATACTGTGTGTCCACTTCTGACCAATCAGATTTCGTGTTCTTGCGACGTCAGATTTATCGGTATATCCAACATGGTCAACCGGCTGATTGTTTACGTGTCGGAGAACAGAGTGATTTTTGATAAAAGACACAAACATTACAAAGATAACAACCTGAAGGACAAAAAAAGTCTTCCCAGGGATGCGTCTTTTTCCCCTGGAAAGTCGCAAAATCACATCAGGCTTGATATGTATAGTCAGGCACGTCAAAATTCATCTCTGAATATTTAGTTCTTTCGCGTTCTCTATTGTGTTGGCCCTGGTGTATTAACATAGGGGTTCTATTTAACTGAAAACAGTCAAGTGGAAAACTATCTTTGCTGTTGTTTTGTACCTGTCAACAAAAAGGTTGATTTAAAAAGAAAAAAAAACTTTAATTCACTCCTCCACTCCTCTGAGTTTTGACGACAACGGCAAGGACAACCTTAGACATCAGCCACTGCCAGCTAGTTTTACATTTCCTTACATGTTTCCTTATCGATGAGAACGTCTCCTACATGTCAAGGCCACACAGTGACTTGAGGGTTTCGTGTTTGTGTTTCCTTTCAGTTCCCTACAAAAGATAATGACAATGAAAGTTTGCCTATTGTGCTGCAAACTGTGAAGGATGTGATGGGAGTGGTCCGAGGAAGTTTCTTCTAAACTAAGTGTGGGTAAAGTAAATATTGTACTCAAGCGTTCAAATCTGCTTACATGCTTTCACTCAGACCAGCATCAGACTTTTACTCAGCGTCTTTGTTTTCACTAAGGGGATAAAAGTTTTAATTTACATGGCCTTAAATTTGCTTGAGCTCTGTCTCGCTACCAAGTAACTGTGTTACCAGGTAATGGACAAACTGAAAGTCTGCCAGCTTTGTTATCTGACATCAGAAGGTCACTCTAGTCCCCAGTCAGTAATTACTTACAATAATACGAGTGAATGGCTGATTTATACACTTAGATGTCTCATTAGTCGGTCGGTAAATGCCAAAGGATTGTTTCTTTTACAACAAGTAGGAAGAAAGCACTTTAAATGCTCTCACACTGACAGACAGAGATGGTCTTTCTCCTGCTTAAATGTTGTGGTGTGGAGGAGGCTAAACATTAACACAAGAGGTCAGGGGTCACAGGCCTTTGCTGCCACGGCATGCTGACTAAATGCACCTCTTCTAACTGGAGAAGATCAAACAGACAGCCTGCAGGTCTGACATTCTGTGGATCTACACTTTTCGTGGCTCTTGTGCTTGTACAGCATCGCTTCCTGTTGCTGAGGTCAACTCAAACAGCGGCGTTAAACAACTGGATGGAGTTAAAAATCAAGCGGATTACTTGTACTTGACGTGATCATAACATTTCTGTCGTTAAGTTTGTAGAAATGATAATAAATGATAGTTTTACCTGTCTCACCTTTATTTAATAGTTATCATGTAACCTCAGTTTTTATTTTAGTTACTCTAATCCTACTTTTTAATAACTGAACAAAAAGTGAAGTTACGGTGGCCGAGAACTGCCACTGCTGCTGCTGCTGCCACTGCTGCAAAAAAATAAATAAATAAATAAATTGCAAAAAAAAAAAAAAAAAAAGAAGCCGCCACAACAGAAGTTACCGATGCAAAAAAAAAAGAAACGGTGCAGAAGAAAAAAAGCCACAACAGAAGTTAATGGCAAAAAAAAAGGCGAGGAAAAAAAAAATTACTTACTGCGAAAATAAAAGAATGCAAATTAAAAAAGCCACAACGGAAGTAAACGATGCAAAAAAAAAAAAAGGCAAAAAAAAGTTACTAACTGCCAAAATAAATATAAATAAAAAATAAAAAAATAATAAATTTTTGCATCCTTTTATTTTAACAGTAACTTTTTTCTTTGCGTTGCCACTTTTTTGTATCGTTAACTTCTGTTGTGGCTTTTAAAAAAATCTGCACTGTTTCCTTTTTTTTAATTCGCATCAAGCTTTTTTTTTTTTTTTCATCAGTAATTTTTGTTGTGGCTTCTTTTTTTGCATTCTTTTTTATTTGCAGCAGTGGCGGTTCTTGACCCCCATAGTAGGTGTCTTGATATAGAAACTACGTTTACAAGCATTGCCCTGAAATAATCTTGCATACTCTGTGCACAGAGTTTTGAACTCTCATGCCCAGTCTTATTTACTCTATAAAACAGATCAACTCAACATGCTGTTACTGAAATGCTTGTTATAGCATGAATTTGGTGAACCCAAGGATTAGTGATATTTAAATATTCTGTTATAGTGGAAAACTAGAAAGCATTTCGTAATATGACTGAATTTTCTAAAAACAGAACATAATCTCTATGAAAAAAAAAAATGTTGCTTTTTTTATAGCTGAGCAGGTACTTTACAGTCATCCACTGTTCATTTCATTCAGCCACAACAGATTATAACACAAAATTACGTAATTCAATAGTACAGTTTCTGGGAAAAGGGATACATTTTGTCTGTATCCTAACAAATCAAATCCCAGATTATGTATAATCTCAATATCATGACATGGAAATAACTGACTATAGTCCACGCCTTGACGATCTACGTACTATTTTAATGAGCATGGTGCTCACTCGTGTGTTCACTTGTAAACGATGTGTTGTAACATGATGCTAAACTCATGTAATGAGGATGAGTAATGGAGTGTAGCATCAAATATTGATGATCATTAATACTAGAGTGGACTTATTGTTTGTGTCCGATGGGAACGGACGTACTGGGTGTTTAACTACTGCTAAAGTGCATACACAGGGGATATAATGAACACTAGATTCAAAGTTAAACACTGAATAACATGAGTTTGGTTGTATTTTATATTATAACAAAGAAGTCATCTTTTTAATGTGTTACAGCTTCCATGGTGATATGTCCTGTCATTTTCACAGCTTTTAATAAGACTTAAAATCTCTTCCTCCTGAGTAGATATTACCACAATCAGATCAATAATTAGCTCAGAGTTAGGTATTAACATAAGAACTGTATATTCAGGAATTGTGCCAACTGGGCAGGACAAAGTAATTGATGCAAATGTGAGTAGAAGAGCTAAATAAGAAACAGAACACCAAGACCAAGCAGTGACAACATACAATATATGACAATAGTACACTTATCTTGGTCTTCATTGGTGTCGATTGTAATAGGAAATGTAATGTCATCATAATTCTTGTTTTAGTTATGATTTTTCCATCTTGTATAATTCTCCTGTTTGGATTTTTATCATTTTAATGCTTACTGTCTTCTTGCGGACCCCAGGAAGAGTAGCTGCTACTTAGCTGCAACAACTGGGATGTTGTTGAATAAGGGATCTCTGATGGAAAGAAGTTATTCTAGAAAAATTATAGTTTGAAACAACTGGCTTTTACTCTAAGAGATGCTTCCAAAAGAATAGGTGAAAATATTGAAAGAACTTGAAATCATGTTGCAGTCTAAATCTATGTCTCAATGAACTAATGTTGCGTGTTTTTGCAGGAGTTAACACCTTCTATGTTGAGCAGTCTTGGAGATACAGGATAGAGGATAAGATATAAAAATGTGTTTCAAATCACAGCCCGTTAATCTGCTTTTAAACGTCTCCTCGTGCTATTTCTTCTTCTCCACTCCATACTGGACAATGTCTCTCACCCTCTCCACAGTGAACTGGTCCTGCAGAGGAGCACCCTCAGCAGAAGGCCCCTTGCTCCACGATACACCACAGGAAATCTTTTCTGCCGGTGGTCATCAGACTTTTTAACTCCTCCCTTAGAGACTCTGACACCCTCAGTCAGAAGTCTTTACCTGGACTCTGCTCACTGTTTTACATGCTTACAATGATACTATATGTGTTGTTTATATTGTAAATACTTGTACATTATATCTATAGTTTTAATAATATATCTATCTCCTCTCGTTTTAATGTATTTGCACTTGAGTACTGTGACAAAAGCGATTTCCTCTTGGGGATTATTAAAGTATTTCTATCTTTTGTGTTTTACCCAGATCATAAGATGTCAAGTATTACCCTCTCTGTCTTCCACTGTCTGTAATGTGTGTTGCTGCATTAAGTCTACTGTGAGTGTAAATTTCCAAACTAGCTGTGTGGTATCATTCTGGTTGGGTTCACAGTCACTGTCTGGAAATCCTCCAAGTGTGCTGAGGAGCCAGATGTTCTCCGGCCGCACAGCTGTTAGTCTGGACCGAAAACAAGCTTCATTTGTTCAGTAATCTGCTCTGATAAGTCGGTGATTTTTTGGCTATATTCCAACGGTAGACAAATTAAACAGTGCATCAATTGTTGCTGCCATGAAACCCCTAACAGAGGGAATAAACACGTTCAGGTTACAGGTGAGAAAACGTGCCCAGGTAAGGAGCTATGACGTCAGTGAGCCAGTCCGACCCTACCTGGGGCGCAAGAAATGACTTCACACTCAAAAAGTACAAACTTGTGACGTTTGGTTTTTACATTTCAATCAAATAAAAACGTGAAAATGAAAAGTAATAAGTTTTAGACGAGAAGAAGACAAAGTGGGACATTTTAACGAGGAGAATCCGCCGACACAAAAGCCAGGTGGAGGTGGGACTAAGTTACGCTCGAGCTGTTTTCTGTGAATAAGTTAACTTCAAGTACACTTTAAAAGTGGGGCAAACAATGGCTACAAAACTTAAAACTAATCTCTGTGCTTTTAGAAGACCTTAGAGAAGGTTTTGAGAGGCAGAAAGGTGAAAATTAATGAAATGTGAGGTAAAAAAGACTCTCACCGAGCGGTTGGACCGTCGCTTCTTTGACCCGCGGAGGAACATGATGTCGGCTGGTTGATGAAAAAAATAGTTTCCAAGCGAAAAAGAAGAGGAATGACAAACCAGAGGTCTTTATATTTCAAGTTACCAAGTCTGGGGAAAACTACATGATGTTTCCCTCAAACTGCCAAAGACTCCTCCTTCCGAATCGGCGAACTACTTCGGCAACTCTACCGACAAGCTGGCGTAACTGAAAATTCAACTTCCGGTTTAGCTTTCAAAATAAGAAAAATACACACACATCTGCGATGAATATGTCTTCGATGGATAGGACGTACAAGCCAGAGTGAAAAGACTCTTTCACAAAAAACACAGGGATCATTTTAGAGAGACATTATCATCAAACAGAGCACATTTGTCCGAAATGTTGAAGCAATAGCTTTTATTTTGAAAGTCTACAGGTAAAGGTGCAATGCGCGTCGTTTACCTTTCTCGAAAAGAAAAAAAAAACACTTGTCCCGAAGTAGGTAATTATTTTACCCTGGAAACAAGGAAGTTCAGAGTTGTGGGAATACTTTATCTAGTTGTACCCAGATCTACCTAATTTTTTATTGATGAATTCTGAGCCTGGTTCAAATGCAGCACATGCAGAGACTCTGAACTTCCCAAAAGGAATTCCTGCATAAATATTTATACTTGTAGATTTCAACACAGCTGTGTTTATGGGAAAAGTGTAATATTGGGCTGCCGAAGCAACATCAACAACATGAGGAGTAAGATTAGCATTCCTCTGCAGGCCTTTCATTTCATGAGGAGGGTGACATACTGTGATGATTATTGCAGCTGAAAGGCACCAGCAGCAACGCTAAGTAGGAAAGGATTTTCCTAAATGCAAAGTAATCTCAAATTGAAAAGATTTAAAAACCATTTCAGATGAGATTAGAGATCACAGATAAATGCAGCACAAGGTCAGTAGAAATCCTGGCAGAGACTTTACAAAAATATATATACTAGTTCCTGAAACAATCCTGAGAAACTGCTTTGGATGTTGTTTTCGCTCTTACCAGCTCATACTCCCAGATGGTGAGTCAGGAGCGCTTTCTTCATTTTATAAAGCAGTCTGCTTCCATCTAGTGGTAATATAATAGAACAAGGGCTCACACAGAAAAAGCTGTGGATCAACACCTGCAGTTAGATCGTGCATTTCATACTTAACATGTGTAGAAAGGTAACTGTGCAATATGCGCAAAAAATAACAGACTTCTTTGTCTTAAAAATGGCTTTTATTTCCCAAAGTAAGGCTGCATTGAATCTGAAATGACAAACTGCAGACTCTTGAAAACATGTTAGAAAAAAAGGAACAATAAGGCAAATTTTCATTGGACGCTTAACCATGAGAAGGTCGAGGAAACAGTTACAGAATGTATTAAAATGTTCATATGCATGTAATATTTTAACAAATATGTGATTTTGAGTTATAGAAATATTTTCTTCATCTGTGTACTTAAGAAATGTACCTCTGTACAAAATATTTTGAACCTTAAAACATGTTAGATGTGTAAAAAAACTAAAAACCTGAGTGAGAATTGAATCTGAAGGATGACACTGTACGTACTTCAAGCACTGAACATGTGTGTGATGGTCGATGGACATGCACGATGCAGACTACACTCTGTCTACTAAAATAAAGATGCTGATTCATGATATCAGGGCAATCCAAAGATGTAGAAACTAGTAAATTAAAACATGAAGGCACTGTAACACACAGTCTAAAGAGAAGTGATTAAATAACAGGAAAAGGAAATGTTTGGCCAGCTTAGAAATCTCAGTAAAAACAGAGAACACTTGCAAAATGCTTAATTATGATGTTAAACAATTGGTAAAGCACCCATTTACGTGTCAGTTACTCCTGGAGTCCCAGTGACACTGTTACTACTCACTACAGCAGTCCAGTAACTGTAGACATGTTATTATAGACAAACTGCTTGATGACATCAACATCATTGCCTTTAGTATTTACAGTTTTCCCTTTTTTTGAATCAGTGGTACGTTGAGGTTTGGGTGGAGGCTTGTGAGGAGAATTCCTCATGAAGACGGCACAGATGGACAGTACCACTCATTCTCAATGAATCACCCTGGGCTTAATAAATCTCTCCTCTGTTCCCCGCCATACAGTGCCTTAGTTTAAACTGTGACCTGCTCGGTTTCCTGTCCATCGTCCTCTCTTATCCGCACTTTCATTAAATTCCCCTTCCGCTGCAGTCTTGACCAAGCATGGCGGATGTATTGGAGTGTTTAAACTCTGTCGTCTGTAAATCCAAAAACAAATATTAGAAAAAGAACTTGTTTCCCATCTGGAATAATAAGGTTGAATAACTAATGCAGCGTATGTTTTGAATAAAATATGCTGTTCTCACCAGTGGAAGCTGCTGTGTGCTGCCTGGTGCTCTTCACTTCCAGGAAGATGGTGTAGGTGTCATAAGCAAAAATCAGGCCGGCGATCAAACCAAACACCTGAGAAACAATGACTCAGAATCAGAAACACAGCAGGCTGATAAAAACTCACCGGTATTATGAAATGCCACAGTGAGGGTGAATATATGTCTGTTTTAGACTACAGCACTATCGGTAGAAACAGGTGAGTGTTGACTGCAGGTCAAATGTGTGTCAGTTGAGGTGTAGACATGCGGTTTAAGACATTAAAGCAGATGTGAAAATAGGTCAGATTAGGTCCACGCAGACCACAAATAGGTTTTTGGTTAAGAAGAGATAGGAAATAACCTTTCACTCTATGCGTGTCTGTTATATTGAGCTTACATCTGAACCTAAATGTTTACTTCCACATCTTTAGGTTTCATTCATTAGTTTTTGTAGCAGGGCTCTAAGACATGCTGCTCAGTCATTCTTGCTTCCTGTCTTTCAGTGGCAGAAGCGTCTGTTTTTTTCCACACTTTTATTATGACTCGGTTTCATTTTCTACTTTTTAAAAGCTGTATGCTGTGCTGTTTTGATGTGGCACATAAAGGCTGTCTCTTTGTGCGTGTGTGTGTGTCCATGACCTCTCCCCTCCAGTTTCCTGTAAACTCTGAATTCGCACCACTTTTCTCATATCTCAGACTCATCTTCAAATTGCCCCGTCAACAGCAGCATCCTGTTTTTGGTTACTATGACACCAAATCTCTCTCTCTCTTTTTTTTTAAAAATTTTGTTACAAACTTGAAAAAAAAAATCACATGACGTCAACAAGTTTTCATGAGGTCTTACACACTGGACTGAAAACAGGAACAAAGTATGACACAGGATTTGAATATTACTCAACAATGGCTGAACATCTTCTCAGTGGTTTTGTGTCTTCCTCTTATCAACTAAGCAAGTTGACGATAAGTCCCCTGTTTCTTTCATTCACTGACCCCGCCTGCAATACGAGCTCCGTCCCCAGCTCCTCCAATCACACAAATCAGCGATGTGATGATGTACAGCACCGCGCCAATTGCTGCACGGAACAGATCCTGCACAAAGAAAGACAGCAGAAGATGTACAATTGTGCAACTCTGAACACGCAGTACGATTGTGCAAGATTGTGCGGTGGGAAACATGAAAGACTTACACTCCACAACCAGTTGACCATTTGGAACTGCTTGTCCATCTCCATCATGAAGATGCCAAAGAAGATCATGGCGAAGACCATCTGGCAGATGGCCACGGCAGAGTAGCCTCCATACAAAGAGGCAGCGTAGCAGATGATGATGATGAAGCTGATGAACTAAAAGAGACGAAGGACAAAAGAAAGGAAGACAGATATCATAAGACACAGACTGTACTCTTTCTTATGTCATTATAGAGATCAAACATTCATCACAACCTTCATTTAACAGGTAAAAACCTCAAGCAAAACTGGAAGCGTGTTAAACAACCATCTGCTGGCACTATGTTGGGTTTGAAAGGTGGGACAGAGGGAGAGAAAGGCAAACAGTCATGATTTCTGACACCAGAAGGGTTAAACTCTCCCTGTATACTCAACAAGAAAACTTGCAGATGCTGCATAAATTCTCCCCCCCATTTGACTGCGCAACTTACTTCATAATTACTTCATAGTTTAGAAGCATTACAACATTTCACATGATGATATTGCATTACAAGATAAGATAAAATAAACCTTATCTTACCTAAGTAATGGTGCAAATACAACTTTATGGTGCTACAGTGAGACATAAAACTGCCTTTCCAGTCTGAAAGGTGGTTCTACTTTTGGAATCATTGGGACTGGGGTAGAGTTGGTTTCAGAAAATACTGAATCATAGTTACTGACTTTCATTCAAGAGTCACTGGATTTTAACTGCACCTACTTTTTATAACCAGTTCCAACGGGAAAATTTAGTGACACACAGCAGTCAGATTCTGGATCATAGCGCTCCCTCGCTCACCCCTCCCCTCAAGTGAAGCAACAGTGGCCTTTGAGGGCAAGAAGCTCCTGTAAGTACAATCCTCCCTTTATCACTTTTTCACCATCAAATACTAACTTTTTTTCACAAAATAGCCACTCTGTCTTTCTCTTGAAGCAGGTCCATTTTGTGAGGCCACCCACTGGATAGAAGAACACATATATGTAGATTTGTTTGTTCCGTGCTTCTATGGAAACATGTTGCAAGAGGGCAGCCTTCGTGGAAAAGGACTAGTGTCTATTTAGATATAAAATTGTCATTTCAAGCCAACAAAAACACAGTTTCAAGTTGTATCATATCGTATCATATTGTACTGTATTGTTTTAGGTTGTATCGTACCATATCATATCATTAGAGGTTGTATCATATCATATCGTATCGTTTCAAGTTGTATCATATCGTATTGTATCGTTTCGGGTTGTATTGTATCGTATCATATCATTTCAGGCTGTATCATTTTGTATCCTCCTATTTTGTATCCTCATTTAAGATATTAAAGTAATAATATTCTAATCTGTTGTTTTACGGGAGAGTTGTTGCAATGAGGGCCGTGGAGCATTTCAGGGAATTTTACTTCAGTATAGGTTTCACAAGCAAGGAGATACTTAATTTTTTGGCACATAAGCATCACATTGTCGTAAGAATCAGGAACTTAAAAGGATTCTTTTTTTCCACAGAAAGAACCAGGCAGACTTGGAGGAAGTTGCTGCAATTGTGGTGGGGGAAATGGGTGGATATGACGGTGCAGAGGCTAAATTTGTCAATGCAGCTGCACCTTTAAAGCTTGACTGTGCAGACTGTAATATAAATCCAATTTGTCAGGTGCATTAAAAACATTCGTGGTAGGTTGAAGTCTGTTAACTTGATGATCAATGGGACTTAAAACTTCAACTTCAACAAAGCGGATGTTGACAAAAGTTTTGATTTGGGTAAACAATGGTTAGAAAGCGTCATAAATCACATAATAAAACCATGTATGTGTATTATCACCACATGTTCACATCAGTCAGTGTGATGTTGTCATATTAACTGATCTTCTGTGACTCCCAAAAATACAAAAGACCGATCATAGCAGCGCTGAGAACAGAAGTAAATCTTTTCAACAGTCAGTGCCAGTCAGACAGTCCACAATTGATTTATTTACAGCAGCCGGCTCACAACTCCACATCAATACAATAAAACAATTTCTAACCAGAAGCAATGTTTTCTACGATGAGGCTTGATAGCTACATGGACTACAATGCATGCTGTCAGTCCAACAGTCACATGCTGCTCTCCCCTGAGATTCACATCAAATCAACATCATATTTTTCCATATGAGGGTAAAAAGTCAGCGTGCATTCTTCTCAGTCCATTCCACTGAAACGCAGCCAATGTGCAGAAATTGTAAACTCAGACAGCCCACGGATCCGAACCAGTATCAGCCTTTTGATTTTTCAATACTGCTATTGTTGCTGCAAACTGAGGGGGCGGATGCATTCACACAACATGAGAGAGCTGTGAAAATTTGATAGAATTACAACTCCCAAGGCATTTACAAGGCTAGCATTTAATGTACTTGAGGAGTATTTATCATCATATTGTCCTTTCCTCAGTTCTGAATCATAACTCCTCTCCACTGCATTGAACATTTATTTGTGCTGTTGTAAATACAGAATGTAACCAAGTTTGTTTTCACAATGCAAAACACAAATACAGTGCAAAATTTTATAAAGTAAAAAAATAATGCGAAGTCAGTTTGCATTCTGCAGTTGTTTAAAGATGCAACTCTGGGTGTGCAGAGTTTGTATGCATCGTCATGGCATCAAGAATGAAACACCATATGCAAAAGCGGTTAAGCTATAAACGTTAATCATTTATCTAAACAGAACAGTGAGCGCATTTGTATTTTTCACATCCCCTGTCATCCAACCTCATGGAGCTACTTTTAGTTCTCGTACTTATACAGCCTTTATCTCATCTTTCTGACCGCTGTTACCATTCACGTCACATTCACCCACTTACGCAACATTCACACGCTGACAGTGGAGCCTGGCCTGCTATAGTGGGAGACAATCAGACAATCAATTCCCATTTAAAGCCATTCACAAACCGGATGCGATCCAGGGTTCAGTGTCTTCCCTAAAGATCCTTCAGTGTGACTGTGAGGACAGTGATCAGACGGCCAAACCTCCAGACTGAGAGACACTGAGCTACATCCACTCCTCAAATCCAAGCATGAACACACGTTGTGACCAAAATGAACTGATACAGTATCAAGAACACAACATGTGAATAGTCAAGTGTTTTTGGTATTTTTAACACCCTTGTGTAGAGCATTTGAAAAGCTGAAGAGCTGTTTGCTTTTCGTCCAAACACAGGGATATTTAACTTGCTACAGGTTCAAATAAGACAAAAGCTCACATCGAAGATTAAACAGAGGGGATTTGTTTGAAATCCTTTAATCCCCCTTATTAAACTCTTATAAGTAGCTGCTGATTAGTTCTCTGTTGACCTCTGCGAATGCATTACTTTTTAAAAAATCTTGAGCTTTTTTGTCCCTTTCAGCACACCATAGTTAAGCTGCTGCAGCAGCATCTTCCTGCTCCCTGCTGCTGTAGCTTTGATAAAAATAACGTAATGTCACGTCCATCACTGGAGTATTTTTAGTTTGAGCTGCCACCCACAAGCTTAAAATGCAACTACATGATCAGATTGATATCAGAGGGCGACTGAATCAAGAAAGTGCAACATTTATTAGAGTAGTTGATTGAAAGGTCAAGATTATAATGTTGCATTTATTGGATTTATTTTCTACCAAATCAAGACACTGGTAAGATTTGCTCGACATCGTTAATCCAGATGAACAAACAGTTTCAAAATGTGAAATCATGAAAGATGCTGCCAACATATGTAGTCATTGCGTGCATATATTCATGCATCACCTTTTTGGCCGGTGATTAAATCTGCAAGTTTTTATGTCTACTAATGCCACTAACATGCCTATTATATTGTTCATCCCTGTTTGTTAAAGGGATATTCCGGCGTAAAGTTTATTCAGGGTGAAACACACCAAAACACCGAGTTAGACACCCCCTGGAGAGATGAATGTTGCCGACTGCTTGCTTCTCTAGTTTTACCAACTTTAGTAACGACCGCAACGATAGCAATACACAGGGGTCTGAGGAGCCATGAACAAACCTCAACCAAAACGCCACTCTATAGCCACAAATAATGCTCAGAACAGCACCTAACTTCATCAACAGGACATATAGGGTCCTAGCCACCAAACATCTTTTTAACTTTGCCTGATTTCTTAAGCAAAGAGACTAAACACAACTCACCAACTCTCTTCCAGCAGCCGCTTGTTTGTAGCGAGACCTCGGGCCAGTCCATTACGTACTACAGTGGGGTGTTGCAGCTCAGGGAAGAACATTTATGATCATTTCTTTATCATTTCCTTGAAGTAATAATCATCATATTAATCATTTTGCTCTGCAGACACTGTGGTTCTTCTGCCTTAGCGTCTCGGTCTGATTGCATTTTCATTAAGAAATGATCATAAATGTTCTTCCTTGAGCTGCGTCACCCCACTGTAGTCCGTAATGGACTAACCTGAGGTCTTGCTACAAACAAGCGGCTGCTGGAAGAGAGTAGGTGAGTTGTGTTTAGTCTCTTTGCTAAAGAAATCAGGCAAAGTTAAAAAGATGTTTGGTGGCTAGTACTGTGGCTGGGACCCTGTATGTCCTGTTGATGAAGTTAGGTGCTGTTCTGAGCATACAGAGCATCTGGTGTTTTGGTGGTGTTTTGGTTGTGGTTTGTTTATTGCTTCTCAGACCGCTGTGTGTTGCTATCCTGCGGTTGTTACTCAAGTTGGTATAACTAGAGAAGCAAGCGGTCGGCAACATTCATCTCTGGAGGGGGTGTCTGACTCTGTGTTACGGTGTGTTTGACCCTAAATTAATTTTATATATCCCTTTAACACTGCTGTATCCTGAGAAGTGAAATAATCTAGTCATGAATCACGACTAAATAAAAAGAAAGACAAGTCTCATGTTATTTAAAGAAGGACATGCTGCACAGTGCCATGTTTTATTCTCAGAAGCAGACAACTCAGTGGTGAGTCTCAAATCACAGTCTATATGATATGATGTAACTGACTCCGACACCAGCCCTACATCTGTCACTGCTGCTTCCCCTCCCCTCCGTCACAACTGTTACACAAACGTGCAGCCAGTCAGCCAGCCAGCCAGCCAGATGCATGAGTAGTTCATGTGTTCTGGAGACTGGCACAGGCTGCCTCTGAGTAGCGGGGGTTGTGGAGGCCGGGGGTCCTGCACAAAAGAAGCTCTATTCAGACCAGAGCAGGCTGCTCTGAGGGCAGCAGCTACAGAAGAGACCGTGACACAGAGCAACTCCCACTACACAAGAGTCGCTCAGAGACAAGAAAGGCAGTGAGATGTTGACACCTTTATGTTTTTCACACAGCGGCCTATCTGTTTGCTTTTAAAGATCCCGGCCATTCACATCGGTATATAATGAGCTCTTCTTTTAAAACCGACAGGAGGGAAATTGTCGTGAATGCTCGGCTAATTATAGTCAGGCGCAACATGAGAGCCAAGAGCGAGGCCGTGGTACTGAGGCACACCAAACAGCAACAGTTGCTAAGGGAAGTCACTTACATTTTGGGCTCTGTTAGTAATGCTAGTGTGGCTCAATAGTATACCGTGGGTTTGAAGAAATGGAAAGATCAGTTTCACTCATTCACTCAACTTCTCCCTTGCTCAGTTTCTCTTTTCATCTACACATTTTCCACAAAGGAGTTCCTAGTCATGAGACAATGTGGCTACTCTGTATTTATGATATTAACAGCAGGGTAAAAGATCAACTCAGGGCATGACTCATCTTGACAAAAAGCCAATGGCTAAACTGTGCCACATGACAAGCAGAATTTGCTGTACATGGGTGTGTGGCTGTTATCTGCTGCTGTTCTGCAGCTTCAAGTATGGTCATGCCTTTGACAGACAGGTTAAATGAAAATGAATCACTCAAGTGCAGTATGGCAAGACTTGCAGTCAAAACAAAGCTGGGTAAAAGGCACCTATCCCTTTTAGACTTGAGGTTTATTTTCAACTTGAAGATTTTAATCGGTGCAATCCTGTTTGCTTAGAATAAACACTCTATTTCCTATTAGATTGGACATAATCAGTTGTAATGACATTTGTCTTCCTGTTCCACTCCCACTTTCCTTCTCCCTGCACTGTAAACTATCTCAGACATGCAGCACTGTTGACAATTCCCCTAACTCGGCTCCAGTAAAAGCAGGAGGCGGGGAAGAAAACAACAAAATACAGAGAGAATCCAGTGAAGCAGAAAGCTATCCGTGAATGGCACACCAGAGAAGTGTGCGAAGCAATTCTCACATTCTTTGTTCCCAAACTTCACACACAGTCTGGACTTTCCATTACCTCTGAGAAGGGGAAAAAAAAAAAGGCTTTACAGTGGGTGGACCACTTTCCACCAACATCCGACATCCTCCTTTATAATGAGCTTGTCGAGTTATGAGAGCAGACGTTAAAAAGTGCCTTTAAAAGCAGGGAAAGTACAAACATTTCCATCTCAGTACTGTAAGTTAAGTCATTATAGTCAAATTAGGCACGCATGAGCGCTGAGAAGATGATAAAAAAACTCCCAAATGCAGAACTTAGGTGAAAAAAAATCAGGTCTGAGTTGGTCATGTGTTCTGGGAGCAAACCACTGTGAAATGCAAACAAAGGCGATCATGTGTAGTCAAGGACAGCTTAAAAAAATGCTTCACTCGCCAGGAAGTGGTTGTCTCTTGCCAGGATGTGGAACACTTAAACCCACACATCTATAACTTACTCACCATTGGATTTAAGTGTTGCTACTACATTTCCAACCCACGCTTTTATATGTGCATACAGTAACCATACAGTAACTATGAGCAGATGTGAAAGAGTAGAAGGAAGTCTCTTAATGAGCTTTTACACAGCAAGGAATTTGATTAACAGTCCGCTTTATCTACACCATATTTGGGCTTCCCTACAAATAGAAAGAAAAGAAAATAGAAGATAGCCTGCCAGGAGCTACTGAGGGCCGAGTTAACCCATTTGACCTTTTTATGTGCCATTAACGCGCAGCATTTGGCTCTTTGGTGCCAAATGAGAAAACAGAAGAGCAAAAGTGACAGGTGGAAACCCTTAACCTCTCCCTGCGTGAACCCTCACCCCCACAGACCGCATGCCTCTCATTCCACGACCACACCGTGGAGGCAAAAAGGAGGAGATGATCAAAGTGGAGGGAGAAATTCAACTTTAACACGACTTTAACCTCCAAGAGCAAGAACAGACAGTACTGTACCGTTTTGTTACAAGAAAAATCTGTTTTAGTTGTCTGAACAGAGTTAAAGTTCAACGTTGAAGGTGAGCGTATTTGAACTTACGATTTCAGCCGCGAGGATAAACCCTTTCGGCGTCTTCACGTAATTTTTCAGCCTCTCCAGGCAGCTGGGACCGGACGTAATTGTGTCAGCCATTCTGTAGTAACTAACTTATTATACAGAGAGTGAGTTTTAGTAGGAGTTTTTAGAGAGAGCCACTGTTCAGATGAGCAAACTTCTCTCCCCGCTGCTGCTGCTGCTGCTGCTGCTGCGGCTCCGTCGGATGAATCACCGTCTCCGATGAGAAGAGCCTCAGTGAGGTAAAGTTAGACTCGGTGTTGGAGCTCCGTCTCAAACCACAGCGAGAGCCGCAGAAACTCCGCTCTCTGTCCGCCTCTGAGTAAAGGAGGAGGAGGAGGAGGAGGGAGGAGGAGGTGACTGGGTAGAGGAGCTGACAGTGTGGGGCGTTGGCTTTCACTTTTCTCAAGGGGAGTCGCTGCTGTTGGCACCGCTGAGCAGGGCTTCACTACTGCTGCTGCGTTCAATGACTCCTCGTACAATCTGTTGACCACCTGTTGATGAAAAAGTGTGAATTTTGTCACTTATTCGTAAACTCACCAATCAACAGCAGTGTAAACACAGATAAGAGAAAGAATTATGACTCTTCATTCAAGTGAAATAAGGAAAAAAGTGAAATAATCTGTTTGGTAAAACCGTAAGAAAGATTTTAAATAATAAAGAAAATGTAGGGGAGACCAGAGTCAGCTGTTACAGGCTCAGTAATTCTTCTCATGGATCTACAAGCTCAAGTGGCAGCTACTGACTGTAAAGGGAGTAATCAACACTTCATATTGTGAGCTTTGAAGCCAATAAACTGCCCAAACAACAGATGATGTATGGTGCTTAAAGGGATATTCCGGCGTAAAATTAATTTAGGGTCAAACACACTGTAACACAGAGTTAGACACCCCCTCCAGAGATGAACATTGCCAACTGCTTGCTTCTCTAATTACACCAATTTATACCAACAACACCAAACATCTTCTGAGCTTTGCCTAATTTCTTTAGCAAAGAGACTAAACACAACTCACCTACTCTCTTCCAGCAGCCACTTGTTTGTACAGAGACCTCAGGGCGAGTCCATTGACTGCATCGGGGGGACGCAGCTCAAGGAAGAACATTTATGATCATTTCTTCTTGGAAATGCAATCAGACTGAGACACTAAGGTAGAAGAACTACCGCAAAAGATTAATATGATGATTATTACTTCAAGGAAATGATAAATATTTGATCATAAATGTTCTTCCTTGAGCTGCGTCCCCCGATGCAGTCAATGGAAGAGAGTGGGTGAGGTGTGTTTAGTCTCTTTGCTAAAGAAATCAGGCAAAGCTAAAAAGATGTTTGGTGGCTAGTACTATGGCTGTGACCCTATATGTCCTGTTGATGAAGTTAGATGCTGTTCTGAGCATTATTTGTGGCGTTTTGGTTGTGCGCCTGGCTCTCTGTATTGCTATTGTGTCCGGAATATCCCTTTAAATAAGATTTTAATCTGAAATATGTAGGGGAGACCAGGGACAGCTGTTACATACTCAGTAAGTCCTCTCAAGGATCTACAAGACCAAGTGGCAGCCAGTGGCTGTAAAGAGAGTAATCAACATGTCATATTGTGAGCTTTGAAGCCATTAAACTGCCCAAACAACAGATGACATATGGTGCTTAAATGCACAGGAGCAACCTGGACAGGACTAAGCACTAAACAAAACACACATTAAACTTACCAATAAAACATTGAAGATCCCTCAGGTGAGTTCAGTCCACAGCAGGACAAAGTAGACACTGATGACTGTAGAAAGTTCAGAGCTTCAAATGTTTTGACTTCATGGTCAGTGCAAACTTGGAGTGTCCCTTTTCGCAGACAGACATCATTGTTGGTCACTGCTGCTTCTTCCTCCCTTTGCAATGTACACAACTAACATGCTGTATTTTTTCAACTTGTGTATCCACATTATTTCCATCTTTATCTTTCATTAGCATTAATGTTGTGTTTAGCTGTAAATACTTTTTAACACTGTATACTTTCTAAAGCAATTAAAACTGACTCAAGTTCCATGTATTTACTCTCAATCAGCCGTCAAAGGTACTGCGTGCAAAAATGGGGATACTTAGCAATACCTAGCACCCCTGAAGTGATGATGGCCTTTTAGGACAAGGTGTTCCCATGATCAGTGGTGCCATTTTAAGGGGGAAAGTTTAGCTCAAGCCAAGGGCCTGTGACTGGCAAAGATCCAGAAAAATCTTTTATCAAAACAAATTCCTCACTCTTAACTTGTCGAATTGGCCGTCCACTAAATACAGAAGTGTACATTGTTATCAAAAGTTTGTCCATTCTGTGCTACCATAGTGACATCGCTGTGTGAGAGCAGCTAAAAAAGGATTATTCTGAGTCAACAAAACCAAAACAATGTTTATACTCTGGTGGTTATGAACTTAACTTTCCTTTTCTTCCAAGCCTGTTTTGCTAAATGCTGCTAAATGCTGCTGAATGCTTCACACTGCACCTTTAAGGTTACTTAGATTCCCCCAGACCAGCCAAGACCTCAAAATCATAGCATTTCCAACCGTCTTTGAATGCATCATATTCTTTGTAGAGGAATCTTTTTCCAGGATATGGTTTCATAGGCCAAATGGGGTCTTGATTTAGCGTTTATCACGGGGCTCAGCTGATGAGGAACTGGTAATGAACGAATCACTATTTCAAACACACAGTGAAGCATTTCAACAAGAAGCTGAGTTTGAAACAACATGTTGTATTTGCTTTGGCAACAACAGCTAGAAAGCTGCACACATAACAGAGGGATCTGCCTTTGTGTGCACAGGCTAAGCCACGAAGGTATTATACTAAAATATCAAATCAAATCATAGTTAAAATGAAAACAATCTGTCTGTTTAACCAATTTTATGTGGTAGAAGTCAAATTTGAACCATAATGTATGAGCTTTTGATGCATATTATTACAATAAGACTATATCTCCACCTAAAATATTGTTTTGAATAACGTAATTTATGTGTATCCCAATGAAAATAGTGAAATTAATGTTCAGCTTCAAGAAAATGAAGGATTTAAGTAATACTCTCCTTGACCACTAAGGGGCACTGTGCAGAATCACCCATGCCAAAACCTGTGACTAAGCCAAAGCATAGGGGTCAAACTTCTGCATACTGACTCATACTTACCTGCCTTAAATTGTGATTAAAAGCCTGTTTAACTCAAATTTATTGCACCCTCAGAGAAACATCTCAAATTATAACATTTCGGTGCTCTGTTTTAGCACAAAAACAGCATTTTGAAACATTTTTAGTCGAGCAAAACCCAACCCAAGCCAGCTCCTATGAACAGAAGTACACGTTTTTACCTTCAACAGAATAATTTCATGTTTATTTCATTTTGTTTCACATGGATCCCATATAATAAGAATACAGAAGAATTCTGGAGAGTCTTGGATTATTTTTTTTTTCTCTGACTTATCATTATCATAAATGCTAATATGAATACATCATACACAATAAACACAGCACTATCCAAAGGCTTAGAGAGAGAGTATCACAAGACATCATTCACCACTAACAACAGAGTATATTTCATTTCAGCATATTTATAAGAGCTACAATGAAGGAGAGAGAGAAAATAACAGAGGTGAGGGGAGGGGCCGAGAGGAAGAAAGAAAGCCAGGGGCTTTAACGCCGCCTGGATTAAAAGACCCTGATTTTTTTATGAATGAAAAGGGTGACTTCTTGGCTGTGTTATAGATCCATATGCTGGAGATGAGCAGCAACTCATCCTGGTAGGAAGTGAGGGTGGGAAAGTAGCTTAAAGTAGTCACCAGTAAAGCACTGCTAAGACATGAAGGTGTCGAGTCAATGTCGGACGAATCGTGAGTCACTGTGTAGTTTTTATCTGTCAGCTGCTGGTTCACATCTGAAGCAGTTAATTTCCCACCCTACCAATAAGTACACATCTCTCACCATTTGGCAAACTGGATCCTGTAAATCCAAACAGAGGCCTGGCAGTAGGACGGGTGTTATTCTATCTGCAAAGACGTCATTATTGCAGCACTAACTTTGTGCTTTGAGTAGAATATAGCAGAGCTGCTGTTGGTTCTGTTTGAGTTGTGCGTAAAACACTAGCATGGATTGGAAGTATCAGCCTTAAGACTTAGCCTCTCACGATGCTTAGGAATGCTTTAGAATATAAGGATGCATGCAGTAAACTTCCTTCATAAAAGGAGGTAAAGAAGGACTGAGAATGTAAGAGAAGTATATGGAGACATATTGTTCAAACGGCCTTTTATCATGTGTTCACTATGGCGTTACCAAAGTCTTTAGAGTGTCATAATCTAACTACAGCTCTTGTTAGTGTGAGTATGTATGTCACTGATTACAGTGTGATAGAAACACTAGTTAAAAAACTATATGACTCTGTCTTACAACTTTCTGGACCACACAAAAGGCGATCAAAACAGGACGAGGTTCATTGACAACATTTGTTTTTGATGCCGGTACATAAAATCCAAACAGTTAAACAAACACACGTCGCTAAAACTTAGTACTCACTGCCCTGGTTCACAATTTTCATACTGATAGCACACTATAGCAGTTTTCGGAAACAGCACAGCAAGTATGAGATGCTACCATGCTCACTAATTTTCTTAACCCTATGCAAGTTTTGATTTTCTATGTCAGGAATTTAGGATATTCTGTGTATATCAAGAGATCGTCCTTGCTTGACAGCAATATTTGATGGAAAAATATATATAAAAACATAAATAAAGCTCAAATAACCTACTTTAAACTCTCTTCTACCATCTATTCATCTTTACTACTTCATATTACTCTTCCTCCACCCGCTCGTTCATATGATTATAATTCTCTTCTTTAGATAGGACAGGTTTTTTTTTAAAAGTCTTTACCCACATGTTTTAAATCCTCCCAGTCATGCGGGTCAAATGTTAAAAAACAAAACAAAACATGATGAATATTTAAAAAAAACGAACAGATGCTGACTCTGAATGAACAAATAAAACACCGCCATGATATGGACAATTTAAGGGAACTGATGGGCAAGGGCCAAACTATGTGAGCTCCTAAACAGAACCAAAGGAAATGCAATTGAATAACTCTGTGCTCAACATTTGTTGTATAACAACTTATATGGAGTGCACAATTATTCAACTGTGTACATATAATCATATATTAGCATGTTAATATTTACACAGCACAGACAAATACATTCTCCCAAGTTAAAGATTACTACAGTTTTTTTCCATAAATGTAAGTCTTTTCCGTTACAAGATTTCTCTTAAATGTTCGTCAACGAATGTTTTGGTATTTGTATTCAAGTTTTTCTCGTATAACCAAACAGACAATCCTCTGTTGTCTTCTACAGTTAAATACATCACGAGAATAAACATCATGTTACAGCAAAGACCCATATCCCCCCACCCGTACCCCGCCCTCCCACAAAATCCTGCTCCCCAGCTGCGTTCCCCTCCCCAGGCCCCACCGGTTAATCGCCCTCCATGCCTCCCTCCCTCCGCCTGTCAACTCACAGATACACACACAGACACACAGAGGAGTGTGGAAATGCAGGTGGTCATCGAGAGCCACCCTCTGAAATCATGTGGTCACCCTGGAGGGAAGAGAAAGATAGAGGAGAGAGAGGGAGAGGGAAGAAAATGATTAAACAAACAGCAAACATATAATCACGCTAATAACACAGTGAATATGCAAACATGGGAAAGACTCGACAAATAAGAGATTTTATTGTTGACTGATGTTTTCAAATGACCTCTGAATCTGCAGGTGCCCTCTTTAGTGTGTTTCTTTCGTATTGAATATAATGTTAAATGTCTGAAAAGGCTCCTGGGACATCATTAAACATCTTAAAGCTCCTGTAAGAAATTTCTGGTCTGCGTTGATTCTAGCGCCCCCTGTGGACAAACTGATAACACAATTTCTTGCTCTGATTTTGTCCCTTAAAAAGTGTCAACCTGCTTTATCCATTAAATTAGTAACTTTAAAAAAAACTCTTAATAAGTCAAAGGAAATAAAGGCTGGCACCAACCTCCCACCAATTGTTTAAAAAACTGAAAATAACTATTAATAAAAAGCCAGCCTTTAAGGTCCTTTCACACCGGGGGCCTTTTTTTCATGCAATTATTTTGGACGTCAATATTTTTTTTCGAACCCGCATCCTGTCATTAAAAGCGTTCACATCAGCGACGTTTTCCTGCCCTGCGATATTGCGGCATTTATCGGTCCATTTTTCTAAAGTTTTGCATACTGTACTGTATGGCCCCGACTCAGTACATGCTATCATGACAGACATCTCAACACTAGTGTCTAATCAGAACTGAAAAGCAGTCAGTCTGCTGTTGTCAGTCTTCTCACTTCCACCCGGGACGCGTCTGTTTTCCCCCTGGAAAGTCGCAAAGTTGCATTGCACTTGATGTGTATAGTCAGGCTCGTCGAAATTCGCCTTCGAATATTTCGTAATTTTGTAATTGCGTCGTTCCTGGTGTGTAAGGACCTTTACGGGGATAGTCTGATTTCCTTATGTAGCTCATATAAAGAACTATAATGAACTAAACAGTCTGTTTTGCAACTCCTCTATGAGCTGTAAGTGATTTAAAATAACATTAAATAAGTTTTATTAGATCAATTTAATTAAAATTTTAGTTTCCATCCTGCCTGATCTGAGCCAATCACAACTGTTAATCCAAAAAGGGGCGGGGTTTGAGGGCACTTAGAGAGCCAAGGGAGCGTTTGAGGAACTTCAAACAGGTCAACAAACAGATTGAACCTGATACTGAAGGCTTTCTGTGACCTTTAAAAGCAAACAAAACCATTTACAATTACACTGATGGTGCACAGAGATACAAAAGTTCACAGAGCAGCTGCCGGGTCATGACTGATGACAACTTTTAGACCACTGCAGGACAGAGAGGGTTAAAGCCGCGCAGAAACCGGGGAAGCTCAAGGCTGTTTCTGAACATTTCTAAATCTTTGCTGTTGTAGTTGATGAAGCAGAGCCCTCTACAGCCTCTGAGCGCTACACTAAAAAGGCTCTTTCACTCAGAGTTTTCAGACCACACGAGGGTTCCTGGAGAGTTAAAAAAAAAAACTGGTGAGTTCATCCAGCTAAAGTTCAAAGAGTCCTACTCCAACCACATTATGACACACCAAAGCCGTGCTCCTGTCATGTCTTAAACTGAACATAAACACATGCTGTGTCAATGACAAACTGTTGCTGGAGGCGATTAGTCATATTTCTACAGAAAATGTAAATAAGGGGCAGGTCTCTGAATGATTTATCCAGCCTTTAAAGTACAAGCAGGGAGAAAACTTCACAGGTTTTAGTCACTGCAGTTGTTCCTGCTCACCAGATGTCACTTTGGAAGATCCCACCTGATCTGATTCACTCACATTAGGAGAGGCGAATCTGCTGTAATTATCCTATTTATATGAAGTTATGCAAAGAGGTGACCTGATCCTGGTCTCAAATATCTCTGATTATCTCAACCTGACTATTTACATCAGCTGTGGTAAACTTAACACAATTTGCTGTACAACACAAAAGCACAAGTAACTTTGTATTTAGTAACTGTATGTACTAAATAAGAGAATAATTGACAGGGTGTGGACTTAAACACTTCCACAGCTTGTTGCACAAACAGACATCTGCACAACCAGCAAGATCACAGCAAAAACAACCACTTTACAGCAGCCTGTGGCAGCTCTTTAGGGGCACAAACTCAGGTATTGTTAAAGAAAAGAGAAGAAAAATATCCTTGAGAGTCAAAAAGGCCAAAAAGATTAAAGAGAAGGTGTTTGAATCCATCTCATCATAGCACCATCGAACTGTGTGGTAGAGAGAATCCAGGTTTCTGCTGTTTTTTCTGACCTTTCTGTGGTAGACCTGTTCTCTTGACTCGACCTGTCTGAACCTGTACAGTAAAGTTCGTGAAAATATATGACAAGATTGTAAATATCATGAAATTGTTAGCTGTGCAACAAACACTAGAAGCTCTGCTGTTTGTCTCATGTCATTGCTGAGCCTCACTGCACACCAGACCGATTCCTCCAGTATTTTTTGGTAAGCAACCTACTGTAAAAATGTGTATTTGAATGACTTGTCACCCTCATCCCTTTCTGCATGTTTTTTACCATCACTACATGATTTTTCTTAAGCGTAAATCATTACCCCAGAGAACTACAGACATGAGGCCTTATTCGCACACACTGCTTACACTCACCATCCTACAGCTGCACTTTGGCTGCACAGGCTCACATCTGATTGGAGTAGGAGGTGGGCTGCTGCTCATAGCCCTGGCTGTAACCTCCATCCTCACTGTAGCCTCCCTGCTGGCCGTACTCTGGCTGATAACCTCCCTGGGAGCCGGCGTAGGGGTCCTGCTGACCGTATCCTGCCTGGCCAAAGGAATCGGGGGCAGGCTGCTTCTCCTGTGATGGGACGTATGTTCCGGCGAAAGCGGCCATCCAGCCGGTCTCCTTGAAGACGAACCACAGGTTTCCGATCCACAGGATCACGTTGATGAAGCCAAAAGCCTGTAGAGATGAGAGATAACCGAGGACAGGTTAGTTTTATTAAGCTACTGCATTTGTGTTTGCGCTCCTATTCAGATTGGAGACTGTGAGACGTACCACAGAGGTGTTGAGTCCGGAGACCTTGGGGTCGTAGACCTCACGGCAGCGATTCTCCTGTTCGTCGCAGGCTGAGATGAGGGTGATGACCCTCTCTGGATCAGTGGCTGTTTTCACATCTGACAATCCTTTGGCCCAAGCACATGAGGACACCAGCCACATGAAGGAAAACACCGCTGTTACCACAAAGTCCTAGAAATCAGAAAAACAACCTGATCACTTACACTGACAAAAAAGCAACTGGGGATCATTTCCAACGCACTTTGAGGAGATATTGGATATCACACGGCATTAAACCAGACTCACGATCTGAGGCCCCTTGCAGTTTTCGCGGTACTTCTCCAGAACGAAACAGTACGCAGAGAGAGCTGCCATAGAGTAGAGGAAGGAGAAGACAGCGATGGTGACAAAGAACTCAGCTGAGGAAGAGTAGTCTCCCACCAGGAATAGACGCTCGGGATTCCCTCCCTTACAGGTGGGAGCATCAAAGTAAACCTGATGGAGCCTGAGAATAAAAACACAAAGAGGAGGAAGATCAATAATAAGAGGAGACAAAAAAAAAACAGAAGAAAGAAACATCTGGAGCATCACTAATCGGGGACAGAGCTTCTGCTTCACTCTGACTGTTTTCACTCTGAATTTTGGAGGCAGTGTTACCAAGCTAAATTCCTGCATGAGGATGATAAACTAAAGCTGATCCAACTAAGTATGAAGCCTCACCTGGGGTACATTAGCTTGGCTTAGCCTTAATGCGGGTATAAGTGGAAAGAGAAGCCTTGCTATGTGAAAAGGTGATCAAATCTACAGCACAGATGAGGCAAAGCTAAGATTTAGCCACAGGGTCCATTCAGAGACCTAGAGACCCCTGATTTATCTGCAGTTTGTGGCATCACTCTCTAAATAGCTTTTCAAACTATCAAACGGTCAAATTATGCCTCAAAATTGTGAGGTGTGAGAATGAATCTATTATTTCAGGATCATTCATTCATCCACTTAAATCCAGCACTGAGTGGCGTTACTCTCCAGCTAAATGCGTAACTTTTAGGAGGAGGGAAGTCATACAGCGACCTTCAGACACTCTCACTAAAGCCAAGGATGTACTTAAAATACCTTTATTTATCCAGGGCCGTAACTGTAGAAACACAAACAATTACTAAGAGCTTTCAGTTGGATTTTCCCAATTTCCGAAACATACGTACCTGAAAGGATATTCGAATTGTACTTCTATGCCTAGGTCACTCTCCGACCGGTTTTTACACTCTACGCTCATCTTGAACATGCCGGAGTAACTGCCACATGTTGAGAAGGCGAAGATTGCAAAGATCTGCGGAGGAAAGATGAAGAATAAAGACACGGATGATTCATTCAGTTGTCTTTGTTAATAATTTAAGAATACAAACAAAGAGCTTCGATATGAAACAAGAAACAGCTTCTCTTCTTCTTCTGAGCTGATATCACAATATGAGCATTTGCAACCAATAGTAAAAATTAGGGCAGATACCGAAACAGAGACCAATAACTGATATTCAGAACTAATATGTGTTTACAGTCAAAGTAAAAATAACTTTCCTTCTTATACAGAAAATTTGCCAAATGCTATTATCGGCTCTGATAATCAGCCAAGGCCGATAATGAGTCTATGAGCTCGTAAAAATTCAGAATCACCTGCAATAAACTTGTAATCCTCTAACGAATACAATCAGTGCTTTCTCACCCAGCACATGCATTTTACCCAGGTGTTAAAGTCGTGCTTTTTGCACCTTTATTATGCTGTAAAATGAAGCCTGCCAGCTGTCAGACAACCTTAGATTTACTGGTGATACTTCAAGGTTGAAAAAACTGCTTATTTGAATTCATTAGAAACACGAGGAACAGCAGGTAGAATATAGAAACTGAGTTATTTTACTGAATATGCACTTTTAAATATCTGTTCATTGACCACACTTTTTATGAATAATCGCAATATTGAACAATGTTATCGCACAACATACTTTTGAACATCATGCAGGCCAAGAGTCAGATTTGCTGGTAAAAGCCAGATCCAAGAGTAAAAGAATAAAAGATTGAAGGAAAATAGTCACTTATTATTAAACCATTATTTCTAATTACGCACACAGAAAGCAAACGACACTCAAAGATTTAACTTCCTCTAATTTTCATATCCTAATAAATATTGCAGAAAGAAAACATAGAGCAATGTCAGTTTTTCCGTTATTATGCGGCTCTACTCTCTCCTGTGCTCTCACCAACCATAACCGCTAAAAGATGCATACAGAGTGTAAATCAATGCGGCGTTTTCACACAGCGAGGGCCACACCTGTTGCAGCTATAACATGACAGTCTGCTGGTGCTGCTTTCTGCGGATCTTTCATCGTATATATATAACGGTGATTGTGTGATAGTTTAGAGTCTTAAACTGCAGGTGCACACAGATCAGATCAGTCGTTCTCTGCAGCTCACACTTACAGTCATGTCAGGGGGGTGCAAACAGACATGCGTGGGGATAATCTCAGGCTCTTCCTCTCTCTCACACAAACACACACACACACAACAGATTAGGCAAGTCAGACTATTTTTACCACACCCTCCCTACACTGCTGGCCAGATCCGATTGGACGGACAATCCAACTATTAATCTGACTGAGGTGCTCCACCATCTGCCACCAAGTACTCTGTGACAAAGCTGCTGCAAAGCCAGTCACAACACCCACGCAGCCACGGCCACACCCACACACGTGAGTTCGTAGTACTGCCTTTCCATCAACACACTAAACTATTTACAGTAATCTTGTAGCTGAGGAGAGTCTGAGGCTCCTTTGTTGGGTTTACACACACCTGAAATGAGCCTCATTGTGTCCACTTTACTCATCTGCCTCCATTACTGCAGTCTTTTTTTTTTTTTCCTCTAGTGTTTTCTCCCAGAGTCTCCAACACCACACCTTCCTTTTGTTTGCTAATTAACAGGTTTTAATAACACGGTCCAAATGACTGTGGGTGTGAGGAAAGTGGCAAGATTACAGTGTGAAGGAGGAGAGGAGACTGTTAAGAGTTTATTATATATTTACAGCAAAGGAGGAAAAAAAAGAGCCATCTGCTATAGAGCTGGATTTGAATTTATAATATGAGCATTTTTCATCAATTCAATTTGATTTTATGGTGATTTTTGCTTTTCACGTATAAGAAATACCTGCAACATATAATTTCTGTTTATTTAAGGCTTTCCTTTTACACCCTCGAACAGAATAACAGGATGTATTGCTGCAGCAGCTGTGCAATTAATCAATACCTTCACCATGTGCAATATAACAACTGCAGTGTTGGCACAATCCTTCACACAGAGCGCATTCTGGGTTATTCTATCCTCAAAAATACAAGTCATCCATTCCCCTCTGTGCGCTGCCTTATTGCACCGCAAGCCACTTTTGTTTTTAAGACAATTTAATGGTTTTAGAGCTCCCAGAGTCCATATCGTGCTTTCATTATCCCTCTGAGACAGCAAGAGGTTAAAATTTCAAGAGAGAGATCAATATGGAGAGAAACAACAGCATGCTGTGCCCCAGCTGTACACTGGGTGTTGATGTTTTCTTCGTTTTTAAGGCGTTTTTGGAGAAATAGGGAATGCCTGAAATGGCTGCATTGTCAAGTATGAGATATTGAGATTATGGATATAGATGGCACTGGCATCAGAAATCACTCTGGGAAGAATGAAGATGACACATTTGGCTTTTTTAGAAGAAGGTAACACTGGACAGTCCCAATAATATTTCATTGTACCATTCTAGCAGTTCTGGAGATATTTCAATTTTTTTTATTAGGTGATGCAAGATGCAAGACAGAACATGACAGGTGGTTGACAACATATAAACAGTACAGAGAGACAATGGACACAAGACAAAATGACTAGTATATCAGGGACACATAACGTTTAGAAACATTTAGAAGATGATGCAAGGCTGTGTTTGGAGTGTGGGTGGGTGGGTGTTTTTATGTGTGTTGAAAAGTGTGTGTTTGTGGTTGTGAATTGTCCCCTCTTTTTAAATTATGATGACTATTGAAGAGACAGAGAGATAATAAAAGGTAAGCATTACGCCAGAACAATAATTAGAAAAAAATAAATAAATAATAATAATAAGCAAGAAAAAGGAGAGAAAGTAATAATAATAATAATAATAAAAAAAGGTAAATAAAGTAGATAAAGTAGATTTATAATATATACATATCTATCTATCTATCTATCTATCTATAGTATATCTATATCAATCTATCTATATATATTTATATGTATATACATATATATATACACATCTATCTATCTATCTATATATATATATATACACACACACACACACACACACACACACACACACACACACACACACACACACATATATATATATATATATAGTAAAATAAAGTGAATAAATAAATGAATGTGACAGGATATAGGAATGATAATTATAGAGTAAATTCATCTAAGTATTTATATAAGTATTTATTCCTATATAGTACATATAGCACACTCTAGTATATATTTCCAATATAGTATATTTCAGTCTGGCCCAATGTGGCGTTTTCCATCTCTATGATGCCATTGGTTTAAAACTATCTTAAATCTGGGAGGCTGGCGAGGGAACTACATCTAAGTTGGTGGCGCCATACCACAGTCAGGAGTGGTACTTTTACGGTGATAGATGAGCTGAAGGAGGAGTGCTGAAGGGGGAATGAGATGGAGGGCCAGTCAGACTGAAGAGAAACGGTGTTACACTGAGTGTTAGGTGCCATGGTAACACTGTTGGCAGCGTCGAGCAGCGAGAAGGCAGAGGCTGGTTTCTAGCCTTCCTGGCATGCCGGACGGTTTGTCAGCTCTTCTGTGCTGTGAAAACACACGATCATGCGCACGGAGACGCAAACGATCTGTCTGCTACTGATTTTCTCACACCGCCTGTCTGTCTTTGGCTGCGTGTCTCTGTTAGAGCTGAATAAAAGTACCGACTGTAGACCAGGATTACTGAGGATGAAGAAAAAGCATTAACAGACTATTACTATCCAATATTTTCTTCAACATATCTTTAATTTTAACCCTTTCAATGTTGCCTAATGCATCTAGATTGTATTATTTTGCATCTTGCAGTTATCAGCTGATATATGAGCTATGATCCCAGGATGCAGGCCCAGCTTCTTTCCTTTCCCCGAGCAAAAAAATGCTGTAAAATCTTGAAACTCGTCTATTTCATGCCAGAGATATTCAGGACCAACAGCCAAAAGCACAAAAGCAGAGACATAAAGAGAATCAGTGTAAGCCTTAACCAGAGGCCCTGGAGTATTAACCCCGGAGTCACCACTGTCTGAACAGCAGAATCCCACAGCTCTCACAAAATCAGCAGCCTCTAATAGCACATGAGGGACTACACTACAGCGAGTAAGGCTCTTACTTCATGTTCTCGCACAGCGGCGTTTTATGTTTGCGGGGAATGAGTCAGAAAGTGAAACGTGAATGCAAATTAAATTCAACATAGCAGTGAGATTCTGCACAGTTGGAGAGGCGGGAGGTGGAGAGGCTGCTTGAGTACTCGAGGGTTGAGCTCCACATCAGCTTTATTTGGGAACTCAGTGTCTTCCAACATCCATCAAATCTAGGCTTTGTCAGCACTCTTCCCCAGAGACAGAAGGAAAGAGAGAGAGAGAGAGAGAGAGAGAGAGAGAGAGAGAGAGAGGGTGGGGAGTGGGCAAACATGAGTCACACATACAGATTGCTGGTGAAATCAGTCAAAAAATGGTTCTCAGAAGCTTTCACAACTAATTTCCATCATCCACAGCCAGATTTTTAAAAATCACAAGCTCACACCTCCTCATCCCACACACTTGAATGCCTCTAACTGATTAAACCCACTTCCACTCAAGTGTCTAAATCAAATTTTTGAAGATGAACAAGCAGACGAACTGCTGCTTTCTTTTTTCACTAAACCAGCTCATTAGCTCCAGCTGCAACAAAAAAGCCAAGAGAAGCTCTGATTCTGTCACGCTGAAGCATCATTCTCATCGCCGCCTGTTTCCACAGAGAGAGGAAAGGAGGCGGGGTCCTCTCTACCCTCCTAAAACCTCTGTGTCGCTGCTCGTACGTGCCCATATTAATCCAGAAAAAGCAGCAGCAGCTCCTCCTCCTGTCTGACGCTGAGGCACGCAGGCATGCACTGACAGATGATTCATGGGCCCTGGCCTCCCGAGCCGGGCTCCTGATTGGTGGTTGAGCTCGCTGTGACCCAGGGAGGCAGCGATGAGGTGCTGGCACACGCACAGCTCCAGGGAAGGACTACAGAGTCATGCAGCACACTCATGCATCTGACTGCTCGCTGGCATATCTGCAGAGCCCATTACAGTGTGCGACTCTGTCAGAGCTGCTTTTGGCACGCATGTTTGCATCTGGATTGTGTTAAAATGTGTTCTAGCGCTGAGGATCAGAGGTGTAGCTAAAAAAATACGGCTTCCAACGCATAGCTATGAAAACCCCTCCTCCAGCCCCTCTTTGTCTACTCCTCCTTAAAAATGTGCATCTAATTATTATAGAGGCGGTGCTGAAACCCCTGCTCTCAATGTGGTTTAATCTGTCTATTATTTTGCTTTTAATTGACTCACTTTGTCTGTTAAATGCCTGAAAATTGAGAAAAATAGTGTCATCATTTCCCTTACCCCAAGGTGACCTCTTCTGCGAGCTCATTTTGAGAAGGCATTAGACGAAAACTAAAATATATACCCACTTTAGAAGCATTTATGATCTTTATGTTTTCTCTCACTTTGCTGAAAGTGCTTCAGTTATTATGTCAGGGTGCCAGAACCAGTCAGAACCAGTTCCTTAGATCACACGCAGGGTCCGACATATTGTAACATAAGATATAACACACATGTTAGGAGGCCTCGGCTGGCTGCAGGGTCTGCATGTGTAATTAGAAGAGCTGTTACCACCACAGTGGAGCCCCAGCTGTAGAGACACCACTGTTCAGCCTGCAGCCTCGTCACTGACAGAACGCTGCTGCTAACAGAGGGCAAACAGTCTGCATGACAACACTTTATATTGGGATATCTACGGCTGGAGGAGGGGGTCCTAATGTGTGAGCGTCTATCCGCTTCTTTAAAATGCTCTCGGATTACAGCAGTTCATCCAACAAATCCGAAACATATCAGAATAATTGTCCTTAAACCTGTGATGGACATTGAATGCTTGAAAAATAATCACTTTATAGTAGACTAAGAGGGAGAGAATCACCCAGTAATGTTTTAATTTGCCTGAAAACCACAGCTGTCAAACAGATGATGCGGTTTAATGTTTCAACACGATTTGAAACTGGAGTAAAATTGATTTGATAGAAAAAGAAAATAGATTTGTAACACTATAAGCAGCCTCGGATTAATGATTAATCCTGATACGAACCAAAATTAGTAGAAATCAAACTATTTTATACCTTAGGCTGCAGATCTGTCACAATTTTGAGGCTATATCTTTCATTTCTGGTGTTAAGTGATTCTCTAAATGCCAATAACACATTTTTGTATCCTATTTCATCAAGTTGTACCTTTATAATGTTTACTAAACCAAACTAAATCCATTTCAAGTCGTCTTGCAGATCCCCTCTTGCTCAGACTCGTGAATGTACAGTTTTCTGGCTCCATCATGTGGTGGAGCACACAGAGTACATACAAAGACAGATGTGATCAACCGCACTGGTATGCAGAGGTCATGTCCTCTGAGGAGGATTTGACAAAGTGTCGTTGTATTACTGTGCGAGCCGATATCTTGTGTTACTATGACTATAGTGATGTAACACTTCCTGTTTGTGGCTTTTGCACAGATCTGGTGGAGCAGCATCCCCACTATCAGGATACCCCTCAGCGGTAAACTCAGGCTGCATCTGATTACATTTAAGGGAGTAGTGACACGAAAGAGAGTGGGAGGGTAAAATAGATTCGATTGACAGGAAATCCCCATGAAACATGGTCCCGTTTGAGTGGCTTTTCCTCCTCCCTAGAGAGTAGAGTCACGTCTATGGAACCTCATGCAGCTATATGACCTCTGTGTGACGAGAGATCACAAATCCATCACAGAGAGAGACACGAGTACGTTATTTACCGCCAATATGATGAAAGTGAAACCTTAAAACAGACTTACCCACTGAAGAATTTTTATAAATCCCAGAGGTTGTTTGATTATTGTGAACTGCCCTTGGGCCACCAACTGCAAAAAAAAAAAAAAAAGGGAAAAATCAGTCATCAGTTGATTGTTTTTAACATTTTTACCCTGATTCCTGTCCTCTCTCAGTACAGCAGACCCAGTAATAATGGCTTCATGATGATGCTGATTAAAAACCTCATTACCTCGGTCTCATACACAGCCTACAGGGCCTACAGGTTTTGGTGCTGGCACCTGCTGGTGTTTGTTACAAAGCAAATATCTGCCAGCAATGAGAGTGACTCACAGCTGGTTTCTTTGTGGACCTGTGAGATGCTGTACAACTTCAGGAGAGCCAGTCTGATGTTGACTTCAAAAGGGCCAAGATGTGCGTGTGTGTGAGGAGAGAGAGGGGGAGAGAGAGGGGGAGAGAGAGCTCCTGCCAGCATTACAATTAGACAAAGCTGATTAACTGTCTGTTTTCCCTGCTCCCTCTCTCTACACTCCACAGCAGTCGTTTATTTCTCATTCATGTATGACAAAATCTCGTGATATTTATCTAATTGGTGGGATGTAATGACAGTAGGGGGTGCATTTGTTCGCAGGTGAATGCGACACCGCAAAGAAGGCGGTGTGTCCCTGTGTGCATCAATAAATGGCCGCACTGGAATCAGCAGCAGTGATGCTTTTTTCCCCTCACAGGCTCATTGTTTTCTCTATTTTTGACGCCAAACATCACCATCAAACATATCCACGCATGTACTCATAACTATCATCTCTCCGTGTAGTCAGACAGAGATGAATTTTCAGGTAATGTCTCGTTTTTTCTTGGCTCTGTCACAAAAAAACCAACCCAGCTATTAGGGAGACAAGCTGTCCGCGCGGCCATAGAGACGCACGAGCCCGTCCTCGCGCCGTGCTCCGGGCCTATACTGCGGCTCTAAAAAAACACCGAGGGGGAAATTAATCACATTCCTGTTTGTTATCTTAGCAACAGCAGGCTAATTGAGAAGCGAGCGAGCTAAATCAATTAGCAGGATCCCTGGAGATAATAGGCTACATCCTCTCCTTCCTTTTTTCGCTAAATGTCATTGCAGCAGAGCTCTCTGGACATCCTACACATTTCTCCATCTCCATCACTCCATCACCTCGACTGCAGAGGCACGAGTGGAAAAAAATGTCCAATTACATCCCGACCTGTCGTGCCTTTACACCGAGGCGATTTTAATAAATGAATAAATCACAAATTTGACTCAAAGCGACGGGGAGCCGCGTTAAAACCAATAAGGTCGAGGTAATTGTGTGAGAAAAAATCCCTTAATTGAGCGCACGACGTACAAAAATGACGCAAATCACTCGAAGATTAATCGCTGTTTAACACGTTAAGAAAATAGTTGATTTTCCCCCAAAAGCCTTACCTGGTTTACAACGTCCATCTTGGGCGCTTACTCGCTGATAAGAGGATCAGAGGGGCGGAGGGAGGGAGGGAGGCGTCTCATCTGGAAGAGACCAGTAGAGGAGGGAGGGAGGGAGGACGCCCCTGAGAGGGAAGAGCTGGGCTGCGTCACGAGCAAGAGAGAGGACGTGAGGGCGTCGTGACGTCAGAAAACGTAGTAGAGACGAGTTAGTGTTGTGTCGTTCGCTGACGATTCGAGTAGTGCATTAAACTCACAGCGCCCAGCGGTTTGCGAGGGAACGGTGCATGTTCGGTGTGAATTCTTCAGTGAACGAATCACTCACTGAGCCCAATTTACTGAGCAGACCTCATAAATAGCATACCATAAGACAGGAAGTACAACATCAGGACTTGTCAAAGCAAACCTGTTTGTCAAAGCAACACAGCCAAACACTCTCGTCTCTCTGTCCCAGAAGGTTTGAATTGAACGAATCCTGAACCGTTCACCTGTGTATCAGTTCAGGAGGTCGGAGTCGCAGCCTTCTCCCGCCAAGTGCTACATGATTCGGTGATTTGGTGAGCGAATCTTTTGAAAGGATCTTTTTAGTGAACTGATTCTATTGATTCAGTACATCTAAAAGAACTGCCGTGCCCATCACTAAGACGAGTGGAACCTTCTGTCCAATCAGATCGCAGCTTTATTCTAAGGTAGTCGTGATTGCCAGGTTGTGATGGGAAGCGCGCTGAGACTGTTAATGCTTTTGGGGACAGGAGGAGTGGTGGAGTCAGGTAGGTTTATGAAAAGGTCACAGAGGGATAGAGGATTTTTACAGGTCTTCATGGTGAAGGGATATGAATAACAGAATGATGATGAAGAAAAAAAAGATGAAGAAGGTTGAGAAGGCAAACATATTTCCAAAAGATTGAGAATGATCCCAGCAATTCAGAATGAAAGAAATTACCCAACAATCTGGCCTGGATGAAATTGCTGTTTAAAGGGCAGCATCACTGTAACAACGCGTTAGACACCCCCTCCAGAGATAAATGTTGCCGACTGCTTGCTTCTCTAGTTATACCAACTTTAGTAACGACCGCACAATAGCAATACACTGCGGTCTCAGGCCACGCACTCAACCAAAAGCCACTCTATAGCCACAAATAATGCTCAGAACAGCACCTAACTTCATCAACAGGACATATAGGGTCCCAGCCATAGTACTAGACTCCAAACATCTTTTTAGCTTTGCCTAATTTCTTTAGCAAAGAGACTGAACACAACTCACCTACTCTCTTCCAGCAGCCACTTGTTTGTAGTGAGACCTCAGGCCCAGAGCCGGTCCAAGCCTCAAAAGGGCTTGGACCCCCTCCTGAAGGACATTTCCTTTTTAGCTACATTGTTTTGCCTCACAACTACCTGAGCTTTGGATGCTCAGTGCACATTTCACACAGCAGGAGGCACATAACGGTAGCAGAGCTTTGACATATAAGTAGAGAAGAAAGCAGTCAGCAGAAATCACACCATCTCAAGGGGGGTGTCTAACTCGATGTTGGACCCTAAATTAATTTTACACCGGAATATCCCTTTAACACTTAGCTTAATTTCAAAGGAAATAAAGCTAAGTTGTTGCTCCTTTAGTGGGTGGATTTGTTCAATTTACTAGAGGAGAAAACTGCCAAATCTCACCCATTAACTTTCGCTGTGCTGGTGCGTGTTTCCAGTTTTGCATATAACAAAACAAACACACGTATGTTATAATGATCTCTTTTGTTTTCAAGGGGAAAAACCCAGATGTTGTCCATCTGTCAATCCATTAATGGCTGATTATGTAATTCACTCTGGTGTATCACTTGCAGCAGTTTTCCACATCCATTAAAGCTCTGCTGGGAGGTTTGAGACCTAAGACAACCTTACAAGTAGAGTATAGAATATTAAAATGGATATTATCCCTACAGAGCAATAAGTAAAAAAAGCAAGAAGAGTAATGTTTGAAAAAATCTCTTTAATTATAATTGCAAAATCCCCCTAAGATAAGTTTACTTAGAGTTTACACGTTAAAAATCTGTGATTTTCAATCTATTTGTACAGAGTAATCTAAAACAGCAAAAGCTGAGGGTTTCATCCGACATATTTGTGCAAATATGAATGTTTATTATGTGGTTGTTTTAGTCTAATCTATTTTTACAGTTTGTACATGTGTATAAAGTGACAAAATTCAAGTACAGTACAAAATGAGAACACACTGCAAGAATAGGTTTGTTTTTTAGAGCCTGTTTTCTGTTGCACGGAGCAAACTCTTGTGTCAGTCGTGGTCCTGACTCTGCCATCTAACATGTGCTCTAAACAGTGTGTGTGTGCATGAGATCATGTGGGTGGAAGTGTGTGTTTTGGCATTCATAAATTAAAGTGAATCTCTATCTTTCCATCGTAACATTTTACTTTGAAAGAAAATGAAATCCCAAAACCGTCACGTCATTCTTTCACACGTGCTCCCTGGTTTCTCTTTTTCTCAGTGACAGACGTAAACACACAGGACGAAATGAGGTTTTTCCTCTTCACCCCACTTTCTCTCTCTCTCTCTTTCTCTCTCTCACAAACACACTTTTTTCACTTTCACTGATCTCAGTAAGAAATCACGCAGTTCATTTCATCAGCCAGCTCATCCTCAAAGCGAGACATGGACTGACTGGCGCCCCGAGCTATGAGGTCAGCAGCGGCGCTCTCCATCTCGTCCAGGCTCATGTGGCAGGCTTCGGCGATCTCCCGCTTGGCAAAGTTTACAAACTTGGGGTCCCTGGCGTACATACCGAGACCCTCAGAGATCAAGATCTGACATAGAAAGGAAAAGCAGAAGAATGATAACGATGAAACACGGGGGATTATGTTTTTAGATCCTCATGCTCTGACTCTGACACGCACATATTACATGAAAACTATCTGATTACATCCAACGCAAAGAGTTTTATCAGCTTAGAGTCCCTCTGTCTGTCAAACTGAAATACCCTCAGCTCTCCAGCAGGAAGCTACTTCAGCTTCAGTTCATTTCTTTCCTCTGTATAATTTTATTTATGGTTGTTTGCTTCAAATTTTGGAGTTTTGGTTGTTGTTTTGATTTTATGAAGCTAGAAGTCAGAGTCTCCTCCTGCTGGACATTAGAAAGAATGCAGCTTTGCCTTCATACTTCTCAAACACGGTCTGATTCCTACTCACCGACTCGACCAGACTGTCCGCGCTGCCTTTGTCTATGAAGCCCTGGTTGGCTGGCGGCATCCTCACGCTGGTGAAGGTCCTGGTCTGGCCGGGATAGAGCCCAGGACGGGTCCCCGCGGGGAGGCTGGCAGTGCCGTCACTCCACAGCGGCTGGCTTGCCCCCGTGGCCTCATCCACCAGGATCATGGGGGTGTAAATGAGCTTCCCCCTGCGTGCAGAGGGGTTGATCAGGGAGGGAAGAGGGGTGGCACCGGCCCCGGCTGTGTTCACCCAGGAGGCAGATGATAAGGAGGACACGCTGCTGGGACGGGAGTCTGGGAGGCTTTGCTGGGTCTGTGACAAGAGGGGAGAAACAGACCAGTGAATCAAGATGGACGAGTTTAATGTGTGATATTTTTGTGGGATTGTATGGGTCACTGGATCACCTGTAGTCGGGATCTGGTAGGAGATGTGCTTCCACGGTAGGTCCCTGGGATTGGAAGGTTGTCCACGGTGCTTTGTGGTCTTAAACACTGGAAGTTAAAGGAGGGTGCATGACCTAAAACAAAAGGCAGGGAAGTGTTAGGAAACTACATATCAGCACCAAGCATGAAGAAGCCCAGAGGTGGTTGGTTCTGGATTTCCTTACAAAAGAAGACATCCATCTCTTACCTTTAGGTATAGCAGGAAGTAGTCGACGTCTGACGAATCCTGCGCTTCCATTCTCCTTCCCGTTGATGCCGTTCCCGGTGTGGCTGCCGACGCTGCTGCCGTTTTCATTGTATGAAGTTCCCACGCCGCTGGTGCTGATGGCGCTGCCGTTTCCATTATAACCAGTGTATCCATTCCCGTTGTATCCATTCCCGTTATACCCATTCGCAGTGTAAGGAGTCGGGCTCGGAGCGGCGCTTTCTCCGTTCACGTTGGTGCCGTTATAACCGTTACTGACGATACCGTTGGTGTTGTAGGGAATCTCACTGACGCTGCTCTGTCTGTTAACGTCTGTTGAGTCGGTCGGTAGAGGAGAGGGGGCTTCTGGATACTCATACCTAAAGGATCCATACAAAAAGCATTATACTTTTAAGCATAAGCATCTCAGTGTCTCAAAATACTCCCAGACAGCCGACATGTCTCGTACCTCTGCCCTCTTTGTTTTTCTTACCTCTCTACTGATGCTAGACTTGCAGCATCTCCTTCAGTGGGATAAACCGGCTCAGGTTCTACGTTTGCAGTCTCTTCTCCACCTGTCAACTCTGGGGGAGGAGGTGGAAGGGGCAACTCGCTGACGGGGGGGCTCACCCTGAAGAAGAGAGACAGAGAAAAGTTTACGTATTGACCTTTAAAGATTGACCGCATGACCACAACTTTGTAGAAATTAGAGGTCATGTACCTAACGGGCAGAGGTTCAGACTTCACAGGCTGATCTGTTACGACACTGATACCAGCCAGTTCTGATCCAGGTTTCTGGTGCTCCTGCAGACCCGTCACCTGCTCTGTGATCACACTCTCAGTAACAGGCTCCAGGCTCACGACTGTCTGCTCCACCAGAGCCTCTATCGGCGGCAGCGGCGTGGCAGCAGGCGTGGTGGCTGCCGAGGTTCCAGCCTCGCTGTCGAATATCTCATCACAAGTCATCTCTCCTTCTTCATCCTCGAGATCACAGGCCATCGCCAGACGCATCTCTGGAGCCAGATCCTGCAGCGTGCGCAGTCCCAGCTGGAAACACAGAAATAACATTAACTTACGATGTGCACTTTAGGTGTGACTACAAACATCCAAAAAGTAAAGTAAAACCTGTCTTGCTTGAAGTGTAAGTTTGTTGTAAAGGTATAACATTTGGGTTGTTTCAGGACGACAAAGCTGTGTAAAAAGTAGCACCTGTTACTGGAAAAGCAGCAAAAAATCGTTTTTTTTAGGCTGAACAGTGCCAAAATGAGGAAAGTATAAGATAAAAGTGGAGTTTTTTTTAAGATGAAATAACATGCAAAGCCTCTCAATGAGTGTCCCAAACTGCCATGATAGTTGAAAATGAGAATAGCGGGTCTCTTTTCAAGTATTTACACTGAAAACAGATCCTTTAATGACCAAAAAGACAACAGAATGAGTCAAAAATACTTATTTACAGTATGACATCTTAGGAAAATGAGGAAAGAGACTTTTTTTTACAGTACAGCTTGAGTTGTTTGTAATAAAACTATACCTGACAAAAGGAGCACTGTCTGAGTATGAAAAATCACCTGCAGAGAAGCAGCTTTGTCCTTCCTCTTAGATTTCCTCTCTCTTTCTTTTCTCTTACGAAACTTTTTGAAGTAGTCCTGAATCAGGAAACTGGCGTAAAACTTCCCACAGGTCACCTCATCCCCTGAAAAAAGGAAAACAATACACCACCGATCAAAATATGACAGGCCTGAATTAATGTTTCTTTGTTTTGAAGCCTGAAGAAGGTTTTATTTTCTATTCTTGCTGTTATGTTACAGCTCACCTCTAGGGGGAGGAATGACTTCATCAATGAGCTTGGGTTTGGTGCGTTTCCAGAGCTTCTTAATGATCAGCTTCAGCTCCTCGTTCTGCTGGTCGATGGGCCCTGAGAGGAAGAGGAGACAACAAATCTTTTAATTGAGACAGACAATACAGATACAATGAGCATGCATGAATTTCTTCCTGCCATCAAGGTCTGACCTTCAGTCTTGATCTTCAGGGAGGTTCGAACCAGAGCAAAGAGAGTGGCGTTGAAGGTGACGGTCCCATCAGAATGCAGGGGGACGTTCATGGCGACCAGTCTCTGAGAGAGCGTGAGGAAGAGAGGTTAATCCTGATTCTGCTCATGTTTTATCTTCAAGCGCTCACCTTGACTCACCTTGCAAGCGACTCGATGAGGACAGAGTTTTCCAAAACCGAGAGGCGGCTGAATCCTCCGCAGCATCGTGACGACATCGATGTGTTTTATACGACCGCTGAGAGAGGAAACCAAACAGAGAGTTAAAGACTGATGTGAATATTTGAAAACAAAGAAAGAAAGAGAAAAGGATTCTTACGTGGCCTCTGGGTCGTAGTCGGACCAAACCCTCTTAAACTCGTCCAGGTGGTGGGTACCGAGCACGGTCCAGTCTCTGGTTAGGTACTCAAAGTTGTCCATGATGACAGCAATGAACAAGTTGATGATCTACAAGGAAAAGACATGATTTGATGAGTGTGGATTCTGGTTTTCCTCTTAAACTGTTCAAAACACGGCTTGTTAATGGTCATAAGCTTAAAATATCTGGTGAATTTATTGCTACAGAAAGTCCAGAGGAGAAACCCTAAAATCAAAGCATGACAGACATGAAGAAAGCATGAACCTGGACACTGTGGAGGAAAGTCTGAGCCAAAGGAACAAGAAAGGAGCTCTAAATAAGAAATCACTCTTCAAACACACTCTTTGAAAACTTTCTAACCTCAGAGGACGACTTTCAAGAATGGGAACTCGGTTGGGTTCGTATACGGAGTAAAAAAGATGCGCCGCATGTCAGCTCCTTAAAAGTGAAGCCAAGATATTTGAAGCCTCTCCTTACTATTTATGAACTAAATATAAATCATAACACCTGCCTCATCCATGCTAACAGACGTGATAGAGCTCAAACTATGCTTTGAAATTACGGGTGAAATTACACTCTCTTATTTAATTCAGATTTATTCATGAGATTTTTTCACCCTTTATTGACGGATGGAGGACAGCTGCATACGTAGGACACATCCAAACATCACCTAAAATGTTTTATCTTCACTTTTGTACAACAGGTGGAGGAGGGAACATGTCAGCCATCTTTATAGACAGTCAGTTTTTGTTTAATACTGTGAGTTCGTTGTTGATTTAAAGTCCTCAGCAGCATATAGATGACATTTTTCAAGTGCATTTATGATTCCTGCAGTTGCATCAAGAAATAGTTTATTTAGCTGTAATTCTAGTCCCTGTTGTGTTCCTGATTCCTGCCTGTTTTCTGAGAATTAGAGCTTCTATTCACAGTTTTTATATTTCAGCGTATAAACTCACTCTTCAAGATTTAACGTCACCCTCTTTTAACTTGTCTTCTTCTTAAAATAGCTCAGAGGTAATTGAAACGTTACTAAAATCTATGTCACCCTCTTAAACCAGGATTTAGGTGTGTTTGGATTTGGTTCTTCTGTCTGGATTAACAAAATCCCTGGAAGTGGGATTTCTCTGCAGCGCTGGAGAAGACAGGGTTAGCCTTTTAAAAACTGCTACGACTCGATACTGCTGTGAAACAATCCTCTGTGCTTTCATCTCCCTCTGATCCCACCTGACCTGACAGGCTGTAAAACACACGTCTGGATTAATCTTACCTCCTCTTAATTATAACGAACACAGGCTGTATTATCAGAGGAGGGAGAGTTTGTCTTCTCAAAACGATCTGAGGACCGAGTGATTAAATAAACTGATAGAAAGCATCCCTAATCTCCTCCGCGTCCCTCACCAGGTAAGCGCAGAGCATGAAGAAGCTGATGAAGTAGATGTAGGACAGGTTGCTCCCACAGCTGAACTCCTCTCCAGGCTCGATGTCGGCTTCTGGGTCACAGCGTCTGCCGGGCAGAGCTGCCAACATAATCTCCTGCCACTGCTCTCCTGTAGCACACCTGCAGGACGCACAGACAGGGAGCTTTAGACCATCTCTGCACCTACAAGATCACTTAAATCCTGCTGAACATCTGAGTTTATTTTCCCTCTTAATAACAGAGAAAAAGTTTGTCTGAAAATCTCACATCTTTACAATCTGGTGCAATTTTTTATGTTATTTCTCTACAAATAAAACGAAGAAAATACAATTTAAAAACCTGCAGACATGTAGATCAGAGTTCATAAACTTGAAGTCATGACCAAGATTTAGGATCTGCGTCCCTCATGCTTTATTATCTCACCTGAAGAGAACCAGAACAGCCATGAAGAAAGTCTGGAAGTTACAGTTTCTGTTGATATGAGTGTCGTCATCGATGGCCACTTTTCCAAACGTCTGAAGAAAAGGACGACATAAATTAAAGGTTCATTCTGAGAAATAAAACCTTGATGGACAGTATGAAAGTACATTAGTGACTCACCTGCATGCCGATCACAGCGTAGATGAAAAAGATCATGGCGATGAGCAGACCGACGTAAGGCAGGGCCTGAGTGGGGAAAAAACAAGAAGCATTAAGTATCGTGAAAAGACTGTAAAGTCCAACATTTAGACGCTCCACACTGACCTGCAGAGATTTGACAAAAGTCCAGAGTAAAGTTCGGATTCCTTCTCCTTTGCTGAGCAGCTTCACCAAACGCAAGACTCGGAACAAACGGAAGAACGTGATGGAAACTTTTCCGCTTTCTCCTTTACCCTACAGCAAAAACAAGCAGACAAATGAATGTAACAGTGGTTTTACGTTTGTATCTTAAGATTTAAACCTTTGACATGATGTGTTGTTGTGGTCAACTCTCACCTCACCGTGGCCGCCTCCTCCCTGGATCAACATTTCAAGTAATCGGCAGCATGTGAGAAGAGAGAGGGACGATAAATTGAGTCTTACGTGACACTGTAGTTATAAAATATGTCTGCAAGTGAGATCGAAACTTACACTAAACTCAGAGACTGCGATATCCAACACGCTCCCCACAACAATCAGAGCATCAAATGAGTTCCAGGGGTCGATGAAGTAGTGCTGCAGAGAACAGGAGGAGCACAGTGAGAGTCCGAAAAGACAACACTGATGCTGTCGAAGGGTTTGTTTCAGAGATAAAACCTCACATGAGCCCGCAGAGCCAGCAGCTTAATGATCATCTCTATAGTGAAGACCACGGTGAAGATCATGTTGAGGATGTCCATGATGGAGGTGAAGAGTTTGGACTGCTCGTAATGCTGAGAGAAAAAGTGAAGGATACACAAAACATCACATCCCAGCGCGGAGGCAGGATGGTTTTTCTGTGTTTTATAAGAAAGTGTACGATACCTGAACGGCCAGAGTGAGAGTGTTTCCCAGAATCAGCACAAACATGACGTATTCAAACTGACTGGAGTTGATGATTTTCCAGAATTTGAGCTGAGACGGGTTTTTAGGGATGTAGATCTTTATAGGCTGAGCTTTCAAAGCGTAGTAAACACACTGACGCTGGAGAGAGGAGAAAAAGAGGAGAATAAACACACACAGAAAATGATCCAGTCTGAATCATTTATTCTAAGTATTGAGGAATCACTAACTTGGTTTTTGTTCAGTTCGCAGTTCTTGAATTCGGCTTCTCCTTGCTCTCGAAATGTGATGATGACAAAACCCACGAAGATGTTCATCATGAAGAAGGCGATGATGATGATGTAGATGATGAAGAAGATGGAGATTTCCACGCGGTAGTTGTAAATGGGTCCTCGGTTTATGGCGTTCGCATCCACAGCGCGGTAAAGAAGCCTTAAGACAAAAAAATACAACTTTGAGGACAACTATGAATTTATAACCAGCGTTAAAGTTGAGAAAAACAGAATTTGAGGATTTGTAAATTTTCTTCTTTAAATTAAAAATTTTCCTATGACCAAAAAAAATACATAATATTAATATTGGGATTGTAAATTTAGGATAATTTTTTAAAATATTTATTTATATTTATGTTGGTAGAAAACAATACAAAACATCAATTATAAAACAATTAAAACTATTTCTTTCAGTTGCGGTTAAAGCCTGACTTTGCTTTTTTTTCTGTGCCATAGACCTCCATTAGTTTCCAAAAAAGTTAGAGTGAAAGTTTAAGCATCAATTTCAGAAATTTAAGGACTTTTAATCAATCCAAAATATTGAAAAACTCACATTTCATCCAGTGCAGTAAGAACTGAGTGAATTAAAGTCATGACTCACTGTGGCCATCCTTCAAACGTGGACACGGTGAACAAAGCCAGCATCCCCATCAGCACATTGTCAAAGTTAAAATCGCTGTTTTCCCAAACTCTCTCTTTCACCATGGGGTGGTTCATGTCGCCGTCTTTATAGACCACAAATGTTCCTCTGAAAAACACACATGGAGATTTTATCACTCTGATTCTGTGTTAAACTGTCGTGGGTTGTGATAATGAGGGAATAAATGAAGGGAACTGACTTGCACTCATCAGGAGTGTGTTTGGCTTCATCGGTGCAGCTGTAGAATCGTCCCTGTTATACCAAACACAGGAAAGTTTTACAAACTGATCGCTTCATGATTGAAGGAGGTGGTCCGTATATGAAAACCTGAGGGCAGAAACAAAAAGACTGACAGCATGAACGTGTACCTTAAAGAGCTGCACCCCGATACAGGCAAACATGAACTGAAGGAGCGTCGTGACGATCAAGATGTTACCGATGGTGCGGATCGCCACAAACACACACTGCACCACATTCTGTCGACGAACAGAAACAAGGCACATGTGTTAGCTTTAATTACAGGTTACCATACTGAATGAGATCATGAATAAAACCTTAAACTACGAATAGTTTGTAGAGTTTACCTTTAGACCCTTGGCTCGGTTGATGGCTCGAAGAGGCCTGAGCACTCGAAGAACTCTGAGAATCTTGACCACAGAGATCGCACTCGAACTGAGAGGAGCAAAGCAGATTGGATTAATGTTAAGTAAGCCTGAAAAACAATAAAAACTATATTCAGAATCTGGAGTAACTTAATTTGACTCAATATTAGATCAGCTGGATTGTTTCAACAAATAGAAAGTTTTCTATCAGTTCCAGAAAAGTTGAGAAAAACAGAATTTGACTGTTTCCAACTCATTCTAAGACTAAAGTTTATTTGATCTAAAAAAAACCCTTCAAATCAAAAGTTAAAGTTGGAAAATGTTACTGGTTTATGAGAAATATAAGCTTGTTTTAAATTTGATGCCAGCAACATCTTTTAGAACAATCAGGGCGGGAAACACGGTAAAAAGTCGAAGAAGCATTTTTCAACTATTTGTGAAGATGAGTCGAGGGTCACCATTCTGTGAGAGACTGGGTAAGGTGATCGTTCAGCACTTACAGGAAACAAATTGAGGATTTCATCATCTACAGCACATCATATCATCAAAAGATTCAGAAAATTGGGACAAATCTGATGACTGATCTGAACTGCTGTGATCTTCAGGCCTCAGCCGGCTCTAATTAAAAACAGGAATGACTCTGGAGTGGGTGTCACCGCCCTAAAATTGAGGATTGGCCTAACAAGAGAAGTTTGAGAAACCTCTTCTTTAATGACTCCTCTTGATTCTTCAGTCAGAGGACCCTGTGTTCGTTTGTACTCACTGTAAAAAGAAAGACGTGAGCGACACGCTGACGACCAGCAGGTCCAGAAGGTTGAAGGCATTTCTGCAGAAGGAGCCTGTGTGCAGAAATGCTCCGTAGACCGTCATCTAGAGGTGAGAGGAGAGGAGGACAAAGTCAGAAACTATCTAAATATCAGCTGTTTGAGTCATTATTCACATTCTTCTTCACCTTTAGTACGATCTCCACTGTGAAAACTGAAGTGAAAACATAATCGGCGTATCCAAGCACCTGGAGAGAAAGAGAGAAATGACCTTGAATTGGCTGATCCTGTTAACTGAGAATAAAATGGACATGCAGTACAGTCTTACAATGTTCCTGAAGGAGTGGGATTTGATTGGATCCTCAGCAGCCAGTGAAATACTACTGAGGATGATGAAGATGAGGATGAAGTTGGTGAAGTATGGGTGATGGATGAGGTTATGGCACGCGACACGCAAACTGAGAATGAGAGGAAGTTATGAAGGAGAGTTTGAGCAATATCAGGGTGTTCAGGTACGTTCAGGTTTGTGAAATCTGACAGTGAGGTTATTTTAATCTGAGATTACCAGTTTTTCTTTCCCAGGATGAAGAAGGAGCTTCCATCTGGGATTGGGACGATCTTCTCTTTGGGCCCCGAGAACTCCGGCTTTAAAGGAGCGACTCCTACAAACAAATAAAGAGCAAACAATAAAAGAGTGACATACAGCTGATATCTAAATCACAGTCCGCTGTTTTAAACCTCCTTTAGACTCACCCTCCAGCCCCTCGATGGCCCTCAGCTCCTCATTCTCCTGCCAGTCATCCTCCTCGTTCTACCGCCAACAAAAGAGGGTTAACTACCATAAAAATCTCTTTAATTTGGATAAATGTGGTGAAGATAAAAACAGAAATATCCCCTCACCCCTGCATCTTCATCCTCTTTCTCTTCATCCTCATCCCACTCCTCGTCTTCTTCCTTTTTCTCCCTGAAACCACAAACAGTAAACAACCATTAGATTACGATCCACTGCAAAACAACATGATTGAAATAACTGAAATCAGCAAGATCATCGAGCTTACTCGACTTTTGTCTTCCCGCCGCCTCCTGCCAAATTGTCGACAGCGATAGCCAAGAAGACATTGAGCAGGATGTCTGACCATAAAGTCAAGGACTCACAGTGAAGAGGACGGAGTAAGACAAACTCTCAGGACCCTTTCCCTTCATTTATTTATATTAAGACTTTAAATTATAGTCAAATTACACTCAAGCAAACCCTTTTATATCCTTCCCTTCTCTGCACATACCCTCACTCCAAAGCAATAGAAAAACTCCTGAGAAAGGATACAGTTACCGCAGACGAAGAGGATCACAAAATAAATGCAGACCACCATGTTTGGGAAGATTGGACCTCCATATGCCATAATGCCATCATACATCACAGCGTTCCAGTCCTCTCCGGTGAGAATCTGTCAAGACAGACCACAAGAAAAGAGACCGCCGATTAATGCTGCGTCAAAAAGTAGAAAGTTAGAAACTCAGACGATGTGAATCACCTGGAAACACGTGAGCAGAGCCTGAGGGAAAGAGTCAAAGGTGCTTCTCTTCATCTGAGTTTCATCAAAGTTGAATTTGCCTCCGAATAGCTGCATGCCGAGCAAGGCGAAGATGATGAGGAAGAGGAAGAGCAGGAGCAGAAGAGAGCAGATGGCTTTCATGGAGTTCAGGAGAGAGTTCACCAAATCAGACAGAGCAGCCCAGTGCCTGGAAATAAGACAAAAACAAAGAAGAGAGCACTCATCAGATTTACGAAAATACAGATGGAAGGAAAACTGATAAAAAAAAAAAAGGTTTGAGCAGCAGCTACCGAGTCATCTTGAATATCCTGAGCAGTCGGATGCAGCGCAGCACAGAGATGCCGATGGGTGGGATAACTTCCAGCTCTACCAGCAGCGTCTCAAGGATGCCGCCGCACACCACGAAACAATCAAAACGGTTGAACAGAGCCATGAAGTAGATCTGCAGGCCGAAGGCGTACATCTTCATCAACATCTCCAGAGTGAAGAGCAGCAGGAGGATCTTGTTGGCTCGTTCTGATGAGACACAAACAAAAGTAAGCGTGGAGATTTTATGAATTACTGTCGAGATGCTGTAGATCAGAAGGACCTGTTTTTTTTACCTTGCATCTCTGTGAGCCACTTGGGCTGCCCGTAATGCTCGGAGGCGCTCGCCACTGTGTTGAGGAACACCAGCAGAAGCACCAACCAGTAGAAGTTGGTGGTTTTGACGGCCACTCTGCAGTTCTTCCTCATCGTGTGATTGAGCTGACACAGCTGGTCGCTGAAAAAGAGTGAAAATAGAGTTTTAATTTGCATTTTAAAAAGAGACGCACTAATACAAGATAAGATTAAGTGAAATTTCTTTTTATAAGAGTTCCTTCAATTGAAAAACCTTCCTAAAAGTGGACTTACCAGAAACTGTTGGCCATCATCTTCGCCCTGAGGAAACAAAAACATGAGATGAATTAGAGAAAGACTGAATATCAATGATGAATCAATGTTAGGATGAGTTTCTTTAACCAGTCATGTCAGCCTTTAGAGTGGTGGAGCTGTGTCACTCAAATACCTCAGATATTTTGGTGCTAGCTTTCTGGAGCCATGGGCCTCCGACAACTATCCTCAACAAGGACCTTGTACCCATGTTTTACATCACACAGGTCTCCAAAATATGTTCTGCCATGTTATTTCCTTCTACGGACCCTCCGTATGTTCACCTAAAGCTCCTTAAAATATGTCGTCCTTTGTTCTTACCGTACATGGATTTTTCTTAAGGTCAACTAAATGTCAGCAGTATGTTTAGAAACGTGGACGACTATATATACTTGAACGGTCTCAGACCAATCTTTGTTACACTTGTGGCATGATGAAGCTGTAACCCAGATCTGTAACCAGTAAAGCTTGTCAAAATGATCGTTCGTGTGATCACGGGCTTACAATCAACAATACTGCACTTCCTGTTTCCTTACATAAGAGAAGCACAGCAGCCGTTGTCATCATCCAGGTACGCTATATCATCGTCTGAGTCAGACTCTGTTACACAGAAAGAAAAGTACATGCTGTTCAAGACAATTACATAAACACACAAACATTATTGAACGGTTATTCTGAGCTGACGTACCTCCTCCATCCTCACTGTGTTTGTACCAGCCAAACTTCTTCATCATCTTCTTCTTTGCGATCGCAGCTCCTTTAAAGTCAAACAGAGGAACATTATCAGTAAGTATAGAAATGATTATTTGAGCTCAAGTGTGCAAATCCACATGAATACGTCCTAAACTAACGTTTGTTTCCTTCTTCATCCACATCCTCCGCCTCTATGAGCCAGTCCATGTAGCCGATCATGTCCTCCTCCATCTGTTTGCTCTCCTGGGCCTTCTGCAGCTCACCACGAGCCACAGCTTTTTCTCTCTCCTTGGAGAACTCTCTGAGCACAAAAACAAACACCAGAAACTAAGAAATAAACAGAAAACACGCCTGCTGAGAAAGCTGTCGAGCGGGGATGTAGCAGCTACTCACCCGCTCAACACACCCAAAACAAGATTGATAATGAAGAAGGATCCGAAGATGACCAGAGAAACAAAGTAAACCCACGGGATCTCAAAGCCGATGGCGTCGTTCATCTGTGCAAAGATACAGACACGAAAAAGTGAGACATTTCAGACAAATGTGAGCGTTGAGATACTGTGTCTGTGTCTGTGTACCCAGTAGAGAACATCCGTCCAGCCCTCCATAGTGATGCACTGGAAGACTGTCAGCATGGCGAAGAAGATGTTGTCAAAGTTCGTGATGCCGCCGTTCGGACCCTCCCACTTGCCCCTGCACTCAGTCCCGTTCCAGACACAGAAGCGTCCGCTTCCAGCAAATGCACATGGAGACGGGTCATCCTCCCACATCAGACCTGAGCAGGGGGACAGATATACATTCAGCCAGCACATAATAATAATAATAATACATTTTATTTGTAGTGCACATCCAGAGACCTCAAATGGCAAAGAAATATCACAATAAAGGCATAAAAACAGGTTATTGGTTAAAAACAAGAGAAACACCTCATTAAAGGAGGAGTAAAATCAAGATAAACAAAATGTAAAATAATTAAATTAATATTTTTAAAACCTGTCCCGATGGAGTAACACGTCTTGTGCATCCGGCCGATAAAAAGCTCCAAACCGATGATGGCGTAGATGATGATTACAAACATGACCAGCATACCGATGTGGAGAAGAGGGACCATGGCTTTCATGATGGAGTTCAACACAATCTGTAAACCTAAAAACACACACGCCAATCATTAAGTATTCAAATCATCATGATTATGTACACATGCAAATATCAGAGTAAGATCAAATGAGCGACGCACTCGGCACTCCAGATACGAGACGAAGCGGTCGTAACACCCTGAACGCCCTGAGAGCCTTGACATCCAGACCTCCAGGTTTTCCTGCAGCATGATGGGCCTCTCCTGGTTTGTGATCCGTCATGGCCTCTGCGATCACACTGAACAACCTGCACACACACACAAACACACACAGGAAATACTTGAAACTCTTGCTCTAGACAGGACATTTTACATGCAAATGGTGACCATGTGAAGCACAAAAATACCCGACGATGACGATAATGAAATCAAGCAAGTTCCATCCGCTGCGGATGTAGGCGCTGGGGTGCATGACTAAGCCGTAGGCGAGGATTTTAGTGAAGGTCTCGATGGTGAAGATGACGAGGAAGACGTACTCAACTTGTTCCTGAGAACAAAAGAAAAAGACAATGTGCGGATGTTTGTCAAAATTAGACTGACCTTTTTTATTCGTACGTCAGTGAGTGCGTTAAAAAAACACACACATGCAGAAACACTTGAGTTTCTCCTCACAGTTTTCTGGGAAATTCAGTCTTTTTAGGAGTTTTTCATGCGTCTCTCTTTACATCACGTGCGTTGTCATTAAAGGCTGATTGCATTGGCTTTCTAACCTCTTAACCCACTGCCTAACACATGCTTAAGCCTGTCGTTGAATCCCTTCTCAATGCCCTTCAGCTTAATGCTGCTAATCACTGGCACCACTGTGACTGGGCTTTTACCTTAGACTGACACCATAATCCAGCTATAATGTGGTTTAATGTAAGACGACGGTAGGGGACTCATAAAAATCTGTTATGTTAACCCAAAAATTCCCCAAAAATGTTTGATGCTACCTGAAAATATATGAAATCACAGCAGGGAGCTGTTTGTAAAACCGTCAGATTACCTCCTTTGTGCAATCCAATAAAAGGATCTATTAACATCCTGCTGCAAGAGTAAATGTGCGGCTCCATGCTGCACTTTTTCTGCAAAATATCTTGAATCGAGTCAAATGTCTGAAAACACTAGACAGGTTAAAGTTTTATGCAGTAATTTAAGCAGCAATAAGACTTTTAGTAAATATGTAAGGATGTGTTTTGGTCAAATTTCTCAAATTTAAGGGGACAAAAAAAGCTTTTCTTTGATTTTTTTGATTGTTAAATTTGTAAAATCAGTAAAAAATGATCAAATTGGTGAAGAGGAAGAGGAATACAGAGAGAGAAAAAGACATGAGGCAGATGGCTGCTGTTTTAAATCAGCCATGATCCCTGACAGGGTCACCTAAGTGAGGTCACACCACAACTTTTCCCCTCTAATACCATTACCATCCGACACAATGCTGTTACCTTCTCACTAACTGTCAGCAAATTATCCGCAGAGATTCGGTCCTTTCCATGAAAACACTAGAAGGTTTAATTTACACCTAAAGAAACATGCTGACTCCTCTAAGCGTCCTCATACGACTTGGAGAGTTCAGGAGAGGTGAAACAGGTGATCGAGGAGACTGAAACAAAGCTATAATACCTCATGTCTACAACACACTGACCGGACAGAACTTTGTAAACACATGGGCAATCTGATGCAGTCCTATTCTATATTTTCAGGGCTGTAATTCTTCACGTGTGCGATCAAATATCCAGTTTCTTCCTCTCAAAATGTCACTGCAGCCCGTCACACAAACTGCATGTTGCTGATCTTTCTGGAGATGATATAAAACTCCCACACTGCTGTCATTTCTCTTCCAAACAAAACAGATTTTGTCTGTCAGGTGACTTCTTCTGCCTTTCAGAGCAACCCCTTTTCAGCTTCATAATCCTGTTCTTACTGCAGCCTTAAACTTTTTATAACTCGAGCTCCTAAAGACTCGGCACCGCTGCAGCTTTTAGACGTAGAAACTCTGGATGATCAAAGTTTGAACATCCGTTTCAAGCTCAGAGTTTGTGTGATTTCTTCTTCAAACATTTAGTCCTTTCATCTGCCCTGTTCCTGACTGATCTTCGTCTCTATGTGGCCCTGGATCACATAGTTATAGCTGTGCATACAAATCAAAGGTGTTTTATTCTCCCCTGGGTGCTTAAATGTTGAGGGACTTTTGCACATGTGGGTGAAATAATCACGTTTTTGTAATAATATGGTGGTTTAAATGATCTTAAGTGTGTGTAAACGTGTTGTTAACTCACCAGTTGGTGATTGGTGGCATTTGAGTCATCATCGGGGTACGGTTTGGTGACACCCATGGCAACACAATTGGCAAATATGGCAAGAAGAATGAAGATATCAAAGGGCCTGGAGACTGCTGTCAAGGGTGCCACAGACTTTTGGTGGAGTATAGCCTCATGAACACATTATGCTTAAACATCATATTTATTATACACTTCTAGAAAAGGATATTTCCACTCTACGAGGGCCAGCGCTGCCATGCGGATGGGGTTGCTGAGAGTGAGGCAGCAGAGGGCTCGGGGGGCTCTCAGGGCGGACTTGTTGGCTTGCATCGCCTTCTTGGCCCCCCCTCCCCTTTTTCTGGCCGAGCCTGTCGACCCCAGGGTGTCTGATTTCCCTGCTTCGCCCACAGGTGGGGCATCTGTCGGAGAAACACATGGTAGTTTTGTTATTCTGAGATCTGGGGTGATAGACACAAGAAGGTCTTGGAGACTTAAAAAAAGAGGGTATGTTGTGATCTCTGCGACTGAATAAAATCTTTATGCACAGGTCTGATTGACCCACAACTTTCAGTGACATTATTTAATCACCAGTATAAGCCCACATCTTATTAACTAATACAATAAAGAGTGTTTGCTAAAGTAACAGACAGGTATTCCCTCCTGAAGGCTGCAAATTATAAGACCAGATGTGACCTACTTCTTTATTAGGGACAGCGTGGCACTTAGCCCAGCACTATCCCCTTGTAGGCCTGTGAACACCTGTTGACAAGGCCCTGCATGGATAAGCCTGCAGGTACATTTAATATCTCAACCATGCAAAAAGCACAAAAGAGCCAAATTACAGGGAAATGAGAGCTAAAGCAAGTGAAAGTTTTGTGTAAATGTTAAAATGAAAGCAAACTGGGCAATTTGTGACTGTAAAACTGTACTTGACACTTTAATCTGGTGGAAAAATGCTTTAAAAACTAGTCTGAACTTTATCAATAAAGCTTATCGACCTGACTTCATATAAAGATCATTATTTGGAGACAGTAAAAGTATTAGAAAACCAATCTATCAGCAATATAATAACACTTTAAGTCACCAATAAGCTTCAAATCAAAACTTTGCATGTATAATTAATAGTTTCTTGTATTCTCTCTGTGCATTTAAAACTTTAATTTAAGGAGATGGAGTTTAAGGATTGCCTACCTTTCTTTGCTGCATCCATGTCTGCAGTTTAACACCACGAAATTACTCCAGAAAACCCACCATCAACTCCTCAGGGGATCTGCGATACACGGTGGATCACAGATTTGTTCAGGCCCTAAAAACTAGAGAGTACTTTCTTTCTTTCTCGGGTTGAAATACAGCAGGACCATCTGCAGCCCGGTCATTTTACATCCACATGCAGCCCGCCGGTGCCGCTGACAGGCTGCGGGCCGTCCTGTTCACCGCCTGCCTGAAGCCAAGAAATCCAATTAAAAATGATTTCTGGGAAATTCCTCCGCGTGTAAATGAAAAGAGTAAATACTTTTAACTTTACAGGCACTTAATATGAAAACAAACGTGTCCGCATGCATATCCGCGGTGGTCAGCCGTGAGGATTAAAGCAGCTGAGCCGTTTAAAAGGATGACTGTGGAAATCTGTCAGAGGGGAGGTGGAGGTGGACTCAGGGGAAACCCTGCTGCTGCTCTCTGAGGAGTTTCATATACCATTATAACAAATAAAGAAAAAGTTTAATGCTGAAACGTATTTTTAAGGTAGAAAACAAATTTGATGATTTCTGCAACTTAGAGGTGCCAATTTCAGGACCTTGGACAGAAACAGCTAGAGCGAGCAGTACCGGGTTTGAGGCAGCAGGGGGCGCGCTTCCATCGTTATTGTAGAAAGACTTGTGCAAAGCTGAAATCAATTTCCCCCTGTAATGTCACAGTGTCCTTTCTTGTACTTGGTTGTTTTCCTAGAAGCTGAGTCAAATGTAAAGAAAAAAAACACACAGGCACAATCTAGAGTAACTTTTGATACTTTGTTTAATCGACTTTTCCAAGATAAATAAATTAACATCATAAATAAATAAATAGTTCTTTCTACATACAGTTTAAAAGCAAAAGATCAGCATTGTAGTGCAATGTTTCTCTGCTGTGTGCAGATGGTGTTATTTAAAGACAATTGAGAGATGGGTTTAAAAAGTGCTTAAAAGACAAACTTAATACAAACAAGTGCGTTTAAAGCTGCAAAGTAAACAGTGGAATTACAGCGAAATCTTATTCATCTTTTGAATTAATACGCAGCCTTTTGAGCTTAACACAGCTGTCTGCTGAAGAAATACCGAAACACAAAATGAGGTTTTGTTGAGTTTAGATGCACATGTAAGGACAGTACAGTGTTGTTTTTTTTTGCATTGATTGTCACAGCTGACATAAAATCAAAAACAATCACATGATCTTAGACTTTAAAGCATATTTTAAGACTCCTGCTCTCCATGGCGAAATTTAAACTAAAATAAAAAACAATGTTGTGTTGTGACATACAGCTTGTTTTCCATCTATAACCTTTATTGCAGATGTCTGTTTTTTTCTTCACTGACTGCTGCTTTATTTATCAATCTGTCTCATCTGTTTCTTTGTCTTTGGATTTTACTGTCATCTAATTTTCTTTGTTTTTTTTCTCTTTGACCACGATAACCACTTACAACTATGCAAAACTATAAATGAAGAACTCCACCTGACTCCAAGGTGAGACTAAAGTTTTAAATTAGAGAGCTTTCATCAGTGCGCTACAGGTTGAATAATCACATTACTGCCCCATTCAACATTAGATGGTGACTAAATATTTATCTCAACACACATTTTGACAAAATTATCTTTAACAAATAAAAAGTTCACTACTTGAATAAAATCTTTGGAGGCCTTGATGAAGAGAAACAACTTGCAAACACAAGTAAAATACCTGTTTTCTACTTTCATGATTAGATAGGTACCAACTCTCAGCAACAACAACCCAAGAAGGTAAAGCTCCATCTTCTGTTAGAAAACTAACTGTTTTACTTATTCACAGAAAAAGGACTAGTTTTCTTTGGTTAAGTGAAATCATCCTCTAATCTTACTCCTTGTGCGAAACTTTACAGCTGCTGGCTACTGTGGTATTTTTACAAATCATAAATGATAGTGTTGTCTATCTTCTAATCTAACTCTGGGTACACAGGTAGATAAGAATATTCCCCATATATCAACAATTTCCTCATTATTTAGATTTTCTTAAAGATCTCAAATGTTTAATTTCACAAGCATATTTAACGTCTAGTCAACAGAGTAAACACTAGCTGTCCGTTAACAACAGTTTAGTTAGTTTAACTGTCTACTGTCTGGTTCTGCTCGAGGTTTCTGCCTGTTCAAGGAGGTTTTTCCTCTCTCAATGCTGCAAAGTGCTACACTCATGTAGTTGAAGGTGGGATAGGAGTGGGTCTGATCTGACAGGATAGGGCTCAATCTTATCCCATCTTCATATCTGGTCTTTGTAAATAGATTAGACTCTTTTTAGTGGGATAACACTTACTGTGAAGTGATTGATGAGATCCTAGAGATGCAAATGTGATGTCTGCCAGAAGGATTTCTTTACATCCAAAACATTAACACATGAAAAACTTGACAATGATTTGCCCCTGAGGTAAAATCACATAGTGCAAAAAGTAGACACAACTTTAGGGACCAGTGTCTTCACCTTCAGTCCATCCTGAGACCTGCTGTTGTGTCTGATGTGCCTCCTCCTCCTCTAACCTCTGTCCAAGCTGCTACTGCTGCTGCTGACCTCCATCCTTTGGAGGTAACTGACTGGGATCCTCTGCAAAGGGAACAGCTGGAGGAAGAAGACACAGAGACATTTGATTTTTCCCTCTGTGCATTTATATCACATTCAGTTTGGTGCTTTTCTACCCTTACTGAAGAGCAATAATCAAACTTTGAAGAAATACATGTTTACTTTCTGTTTTTTGATAATATTTGAGCATTTAGCTGTGACTGGACACAACACCAACATATTATCCCCTGTTTATTATAGCATGGTTAATGTAGGGGTGACTTAATTTAGAGTCTGCTTCTCCCTCGGTGCATGCTCACTGTTTTATTTCCTTTAAACTCTTTAAAAAAAAATGGAGTTTGAGTTTAAACAAAACTGGCACCATGACAGAGGTGAGAATGAAACCAGCACAGTTGCCGATGAAAACACTAGAACTGTGAAAGGAAGCATACTGAAACACAGGGGGGAGCTGTGAATGTGATAAATGTCTGTGGCGGTGTGCTGAGGTACAAAGACTCACATGAAATGACATTTTCTGCTTCACTTACGGTTCTGAAACTGCTGCGCTGTATATCTGGTGAGAAGGATCCCAAATCCCTCAATGAGGGCGAGTAAAATTCCTCCCATCATGGCAGAGCCCATCATCGTCAATGGCCCACCTAGAGGAAAACATACATTTCACTGAGTCTCAGTAATTAATTTGATATAGTAAAAGTCACACTGCACAGGCTTTTCATACTTCGCGCTGCAAGGATGGCACCAGTGAGTGCACCACTTGTTATTGAGTTCCAAGGATCCTCTCTTCCTCTTAGGCGGACTAAACCACAGTCGATTGTGGAAAAGAGGCCTCCCCAGACAGCAAAGCTACCTGCAAAACCACAAAACACAAGCCAAGTTTGTGTCTGCAAGACTGGTTTCAAATACAATAATTATTTCATTGAAATAAGTGGGCTAAAATTACCAGAATACAGCTAACAGTTAGCAAGAGAATCATCAAATATCTCATAGGCCTATCTCATAAGAGTCCAAAGGAACAGCTTTGTTCTCACCTCCAATCTGTGGAGCTCGTATTCTCACTGCGTTTGCACTTCCCCTCAGTCTGTGTCCCACACCCTGAAACATGAGAGCACTTGTTGAAATCGACTTGAAAAAACAAGAAAAAACAAATGAAGACAAATCTAAAAAAGTTATCTCTATATTTACTCGAGAGACTCACTGCAGGGGCATTACGAAAGCCCTTGATAGCCTGGAACACTCCTCCTCCGATTGTACCCATGGTGAAGGCTCCTCCACAGTCATCCACAATCCTCCAGGGACTGATTAAAAAAAAAGATGAGGAAAAGTTTATGATACTAGATTTTTTAAGGCTACAGCTTTGAGCTTTTATTGCCTTTGTAAAGGCATAGCTGGAAAATGAGTTGAGGGTACACGTGCACCAATCCTAATTTTCCAGCCAATCACCGAGCTTTAAAAAGCTTGACCTGCCGATACTGATTTTGGACAATACCTTTTTTTTTTTTTTTTTTTTTTTATAACTGACAATATATACAATAGTCTTTTATTTTCCACATTTTAGAAATTAACAATACTTGTGCAACAGGTCACACTGCAGGCCTGTTTAGAGCCTCTTACCAAAATAAAGTGCACAGCAGTATTTTGCTTTTATAAATAAAGGAAATCACAAGGTTTAAGGAAGTTAGTAGAATAATCTACAGGACAAACTAAACTGGTGGGTGGGCCTGTCATTCTGGCAAAAACAAAAAGCTACAACGGCTGACTTTCAGACGTTTGCAGAGGTAGATAAGATTGGTGGATAAAATCGGTTTTATGTGTGAGGATCAGCCGATCACCGATCCCCCAAAATTAAGGAAATCGGCGCCGATCGATCGGCCGGACGATTTATCGTGCAAGTTTAGTTGAGGCTGTTTTTGGTGCCCAGGCTGCCTGCTTGAAGCTTAACCTCATCATATGAGACCTGTGCATACACTGCTCGGCCAGTGGTGCCCCATAAGACGAAGTTAAACAGATAAGAGACAGTGATGTGATGAATAGAAGCAATTTACAAATGTTAAGGTCGGATATAACAAAGTAAAGTACAACAATATGCAGGTCAGTTTGAAGATAACTTCACATACCATCGCAAAAATGAAAAACACACTGTTAATGAAATGTGTGTTCTTCTATTTAACTTTAACACTGACACATTAATGCAGACATTAGTCGTAGCTTGGACCAGGTGTTGTTGTTGATGCTGCAGACTGACCACAGCTCCTCCACCTGACCGGGTCACTTACGAAGCTCAGGATCTTCCTCGGAACCCGCTTACCCCCTACCAACACAGCCTGAAGAGGAAATTTAGAGGACTAAGCTATACCCTGGGTTGATCTTGTGGAATACGTAGAGAAAGTCGGATATTTCTAACTAATCTTACCAGGGTTCACGGGCATACTCCTCCATGTTTGCTGTCGTCGAGAGAGAGACTAGTGTGACGTCATCAGCACGCGCCCCGTGTGCTGTTTTGGGTGGTCGCGTCGTCCTCCCCGCTCGACGATAAGGAGTCGATTTTCCTCAAATTTAGGTAAGATTTAAGTAATTTAATCAACTCAGCCATCCTATAAGTATTGCCTTTTACTTTTACTGTAGTTTTGGTGTCTGAAAGGAGCACTCGAGTGTCTATTTGTCGCCTATATCATTCATTAGTTTCTGCAAAGTAACCAAACAGGCGACACGACTGTTCAAAGGAAACATACAGCAGATGATCTCGAAAAACAGAATATACCCTTTGTTTAATAAGTAGATTTCACCTTAGACTTTTCTCCGGTCTAACTTTCTTCCTCTCTACAGAGATGATTCTGCAGAGGAAGGTGAAGTCAGCTATAAACAAAATAAATGATGATCACGTGTATTTACACCAAGATTGGGATTACAATCATTGAGATCAGACTGTGACCATCTTAACTTTAGTTTAAAAGTATGTCTTAATATTCTGAGTTTCACCCTTTAACCAGAGTTGGTTTGTTGGAGAAAACTGCCCTATTTTTTGTCCCACACTGACTCTGAGCATTTGGTCAAATAGCATAAAAAAACACTAAAAACATAAATTCGAGGCTTTTCTGCTTATGTGGAATGATATATTGGTTATGTCTTTATACCTGTTGATTTGTATTTGCAGTGTGTGATCTGACTGTGCTCATGCCTGCAGTTTTGAGTTAGATGTCATTAAAGAAGAACCGACACTAATTCAGGCTTTTTTTCAACCACCTTTAAATTATGTATTAAAGGGATATTCAGTCAGGACAATCCGTTACGGACTACAGCGGGGTGACGCAGCTCAAGGAAGAACATTTATGATCATTTTTTAAATAATTTCCTTGAAGTAATAATCACCATATTAATCATTTTGAACTGCAGACGTGGTAGTTCTTCTGCCTTAGCATCTCGGTCTGATTGCATTTCCATGAAGAAATGATTGTAATTGTACTTCCTTGAGCTGCGTGACCCCGCTGTAGTCCATAATAGACTGGCTGAGGTCTCGCCACAAATAAACTGCTGCTGGAAGAGAGTAGGTGAGTTGTGTTTAGTCTCTTTGCAAAAGAAATCAGGCAAAGTTAAAAAGATGTTTGATGGCTAGTACTATATGTACTGTTGATGAAGTTAGGTGCTGTTCTGAGCATTATTTCTGGCTATAGAGTGGTGTTTTGGTTGAGGTTTGTTTATGGCTCCTCAGACAGCTGTGTATTGCTATCAAGTTGGTATAACTAGAGAAGCAAGCAGTCGACAAAATTCATCTCTCGAGAGGGTGTCTAACTCGGTGTTACTGTGTGTTTGACCCTAAATTAATTTTACGCCAGAATATCCCTTTAACTCACATGTAAAATCTTTAAAAGAAAACCTCCCATGTTGAACACTGACATGGGGAAATCCCTCCTCCCCTTTTAAAAAAAGAATCGCAGGCTTGGATTATTATTTTTTTACTCTGTCAAAAACAATCAGTCAGATGAAATCCTCAAAAATGGCGGTCGCTGTTTCCAGCTGCCCAGTATTTCCCACCATATTTTTTGTACTCTCCTGCACTTCAATCAAGATTCTTCACTCTGAGTATTCAAAACTGTACTTGATAAATTTGGGAGACTTCAAAACATTTGTGTGTTTTGATATGCATCATATATTTGAACAGGGGATATCATCCATGTCCTCACAACCCCAGCTGTTCACACTGGCGGTTGTAGTTTCGCCGTCCTCCTGGTTGCATCATGAATTAATCCTCCTCTCTCTGTTACAGGATGCCGCTTCCCCCCGCCCTGCTGGCCCGCCTGGCCAAGAGAGGGATTGTTAAACCTTCAGAGCAAGGTAGCGGAGAACATTTTACAAGAAAATCCCGGGCTTTAGGAGCGCCCTTCTGTACATTTCATTTATTTCTCATGTAATGACTGTTTTCCTCCAATCCATCCAGAGATAGATGAGGAGATTATTGCAGAAGATTACGATGACAACAATGTAGATTATGAAGCTACCAGACTGGAAAATCTTCCTCCCAATTGGTACAAAGTCTTTGACCCTGCTTGGTACGTATACACTTGGTTTCTTCAGTAAGATCTCACAGTTGACTGACGATTCTTTAATGCTCTGAGTGCTCATATAGATTTATTATGGGATCCAAAAAGCGTACAGTTTTAATTACAAATTACGTTTAAATGCCACTTTCATTTTTGCATTCATACAGCTTGTTTTGAAAATAACCTAGTTGGTGTATTGGGGTGGGGAAGATCAGATTGTAAACATTTGCATCTTCGAAAACAAAAATATTTATTTGACACAGAAGCAGACCTTTGAGAAAAGGAATTACATAATTAAAGCAGCTCGAATTAAATAGAAATACTGCACAATAAACTGAATCTTACTGTTGGCTGTGCAGTTTTTAAATGTACTCGATTATTTAATGGAAGTAAAAATGTCATTGTTATCCTCCATCCACAGCGGTCTTCCGTATTACTGGAATGTGGAGACGGATTTAGTGGCCTGGCTCTCCCCGAATGACCCAACAGCAGTGGTTACAAAAGCTGCCAAGAAAATAAGAGGTATGGTTTTATTAAGGACTCATGATATTAGTTGTTTTATTCTGGCAATGGTTTATTTTATCAGAATGTCTTCTTTTCTTTAGTAGAGGGAGGAGAAGAAAGAATCGAGAGGCAGTTTGAAAAGCCAGACAGAGAACGTGAAAGGGATCGAGAACGGGACCGAGAGAGAGAACGGGAAAGAGATCGGGACAGGGATCGGGAAAGAGACCGCGAAAGAGAACGGGAAAGGGACGAGGGGAGAGACAGAGACAGAAGGAGGCAGAGGAGGGAAGACGCAGCACCGTACAATAAGGGCAAAAGAGGTAATGTTACAACTGTTTGATAAAGCACAGTTATAATCCAATCAGTGATGCTTCTATTATGAAAGGATGATCCATGTGAATTTTCCTTTCAGGTAGAAAAGATGACGAGATGGACCCCATGGATCCAAGTGCTTATTCTGATGCTCCAAGGTAAAGTGTTCAGACTCCTGATCATCAGACGTCTCATAGACTTATATCTTCTCAGTCTTGTAAAATTATGTCACTGCTCTTTGAGGATACAAAACCAAAACATTTATTTACACAAACTTGTTCATCTTCTCAGGGGCACATGGTCAAGCGGTCTGCCCAAGCGTAATGAAGCAAAGACGGGCGCAGATACCACAGCGGCAGGGCCTCTCTTTCAGCAGCGACCGTACCCGAGCCCGGGCGCCGTGCTTCGGGCTAACGCAGCAAATCAAATACCCAAGGAGTAGGCGGAGCTACACAGAAACAACCAACAACATCACGGCTGTACAGTTTTGTTTTGTTGATTTCTCATTTACAGGATGTCACCTCTCTTAATTTTTCATTCTGTTTGTTTTTCACAGAGACTGTAAACAGTGATTTATACCACCGGTGCATTCATTACTCTGTTTAAACATGTAGGACAGGTGTAAATATGTTTTTATATGATATTAAAAATGGAGTTTGTGTTGTTATAGGGCCATGAACAGCTATCATTTGCTAATAAATTCAAAGATTCTTCTCAAACTGGCTCAGTTTCTCTTTATAATGTGATAATAAGTGTAACAGCATGAGATACAAATACAGTTATTTACAGTGTTTTATTACAAAATTACATTGTCTTAAAATCCATTATTCCTGGATATTACAAAGGAAAGTGTCAGAAAGGGATTTACAAAAATGAACTAAAGGTGGTAAAAATGTGAATCGGCGGTTTTATTCTCCCACATAGTGACAAATGCAGTCATAGTCCAGAGTGAACACTTTCTCCTCGTATCGGTCCAGCTGCACCATCGCTCTGCACTTGTTCTTGTCCCGCTGGAGGATCCGGCCGACCTGAACCGACAAGTGTAAGAACTCTGGTTAGAAACAATCCAAACAAGTATCAACACCCTAGAGCAGGGGTGGGAAATTAATTTGTACATGGGGCAATGTGAGAAACCTGAACTGTGTTGGAGGGCCAAACCAACCATAACTTCATACAGAAAAGCAAGCCCAAATAAGCGACTACGAGAGAAAGAAGCTTAAAGTCTTTTATAATAAGCGGACTTAGCAATTATAAGGCGTCTACGAATATTTTGCCGATGTTTAAACTCGTCTCTGTTCACGAATGCAGATCTAGGATGTACACACGTGCGTCCACATGGAAATAAAACAACAGCTAGGTTTTCAAAATAAAAGCAATACACTTGTATAGCATGTTGATGATTTGATTGACGGACATCCAAAGGGCGAGATGTGGCCCTGGGTTGTAAAATGCCCAGGTCTGTGCTCGAAGTGAGATGATAGGCTGCTTACCTGGCCTCTGTGCTCGCCCAGTACAACCATTATGGAGTCATTTTCACTCTTGGGGACAATGGTTTCCAGCATGTCCTGTTTCACATCTATAAAAGAGACAGAAACATCAGCTGAGCAAGTGAAAAAGTTACTTTTTCACAAGTGTACATCGATACATAATAAAATTACACGAATTCATCCATGTGCTGATTTTGGTGATTTGATTTTAATGATAAAAATACAAAATTGGAAGATCAACTTCATACAATTTTAATACAAGTGAAGTTTTGTCCACAGGGGGCGCCAAACTTGACAAAGCTCCTCACGGGAGCTTTAAAAATAAAATCATTCATTAGCTGCATCAAAGAAAAATGATTTTGATAAACATTTTTTGCTCAGCTGTAAATTTCTTTTATTCGTGCAAAAAAACAAAAAAAAAAAACAAAACAACACCTCTGTACTCCTTTGACAATTTGAACTAAGCTACACAACACAAAACAAAACAGACCCAACTCAGGAGTGAGAGCGTCACCATAGCTACCAGGCCTCAAGGCTTTACCACCTTGGTAGGTAAGATGTTATCTCAGTTCACAGGCGCAGTTTCAACACATATTGTGAACAGTTTTTTCTACAACTGTCATTAGGAGTGAAAAACACCAGAGAGAGAAAAAAAACAACACCGAGAGGGACTGAGATGACACTGATGACTCACCGTCTAGCAGTCTTCCCTCTTCAGTTCGACACACACATGTTGTCGGTGTCAGGACGTCCTCCACGCGCATCTAGAAGAAAACAAGACTGAACTTAACAGCTGTGACATTTCTCACACAGAGGCTGCTGTACTCTACAGTTTCTACTGTGTGCTTGTCTGCTCCGATTTCAGTCCATTATAATTAATCCAAAATAATAAACAGATTTATCGTTAATCCAATGAAGTGTATTTACTAAAGTAAGGGGATTAAAAATGAGTGGAGTATAATCATGAAGATAGAGGAAGCTTTTACATTGATTTGTATTTAGGGAGAGAATAGTTACCTTAGAATTGTAATATCTGCCTCCTTTGAAAGCTTTGTCTATAAAACGAACTTTTAAGTCTCTCTGCAGCCAGGAGGGGGGAGCTGGTGGTCGCCTCGCCTCTTTCACTGGAGGTTTTTCTCTGTGGCAGAAACAGAACAAATAACCAGGATGTTTACTCAAATACTGGACTCTAAGAATAATAAGAAGTCTTTGTTGTGTTATCACTTCCTGGGATCGTACCTGTCTTGACTGGATTCTCTGTGTTTCCTCTTCCTCTCATCTTTCCCGCTCTCTCTTTCTGAAGATCTGTGTTTCACCTCGCTGCCGTTGGTTCTCCTCTCCTTCTCCTCCCGTCTCTGATGATCCTTCTCTCGTTCTCTCTCCTTCTCTTTCTCTCTCTCCTTGTCTTTGTGGGCTTTACTCAGACGACCTGGTGAATGCAAAATAATAGCACAGCATTTAATAAAATGTGCAAAACACCTACAGTATTAGGACCTCAGCAGCTCAGATTACTGATATTAAAAGATGAGTCTACGTCCTGTTTTTTTTCCCACGTGACTGCTGAAATGCCAGACTTCAGGAGAAGCTGTTTATTAATCTGATAATTGATTATTGTATATAAAAGGTCAGGGCAAAATGAGAATGCCAAACTAGACTTATTCAAATGTGTTCCTTTACCTGGAACTTCGACATAATAAATCTAATCTGACAACTCCGAAGTAAAGAGAGCCACAAATAACCTGAAACTCCTTAGACTGTCACCATGAGACTTTAATCAATACAAGACTGTTTTACATGTAATTTGAAAACAGAGATCGATGTGAAAATCATCCTGTTTAGTCAGCAGGAACAGAAACTCTACATTCATTAGTATCCAGATCTGTTTCTGTAAATATTAACCTTTTCTAATTCATTTCTTCGGAGATACTCACTCAGGTCTTTGCTGTATTTGTCGTATTCTTTGCGCCCAACCAGTTTCACAGCGTACTGGCTGACCGTCACCGTCTTGCTGCCGATAGCCAGCTTCACCATGACCCGAGCGTTGTCTGGATCGACACCTTCAATCTGTGACAGAAATGAAAGACAACACCGGTAAAACAGAGAGGAACCAAACAGGCAGCAGCGCTATAACACGTGTCGGGATTTCAGATCAGCTCTACCTTGCCGTACAGATCTTTGTGCGCCCCTGATGTCACCTGCACGCAGCCACCCGGACCCATCACAAGCTCCTCCTCTTTCCCTCGCTCCTCGCCGGGCTTGGGTGGACGCTGTTGCTTACCAGGCTCCAGGTCCTTTATCGCCGATCGATCAGCGCCAAGACCCAAACCTTTAGGACGGAGCTCGTGTTCAATCGGCTTCACGTGTCTGATGGAGATATGAAATAAAAAAGAGATGTGCAGGATACAAAGGCGGTTATAGGACGTCAAAATATGACTCATCTTGTGAACTAGATCTTCTCAGGAGACAATTTCATAGATATATTTGGGTATTTTATTGCCTTTGTTACAGAGGAAAGCTGAAGATGACCAGGATATATAGGAAAAACAGAGCAGGGAGGACATGCTGCAGAGTTGAACCAGCGACTACTGTGACGAGGACTAAAGCCTCTATATGCTCTGTGCTCAGACACCTAGGCTGACAAGGTCCTTCACCTGTGCTTTTACAAAAGTTGTCTGTAGGAGCCAAAATAAATTTATTTAAAGTTTTATTTCTGTAGGTACGTCACTTCCGGGATCGTCACTAAGGGGTGTGGTTTAGGGATGTTTGGCGGGTTACTTAAAAACTCTCAGGTATAGTCAGACATGAGTTTTGATAGCACTGATAATTTTCTGTTGAACGTTTTGACCATTTCTCACTGTTTTTTATTCATCCTGTTTTAACCCTATTTCATCATATCACATTTTCAGTTGAAGGCAAAAGTATTGGACCCAGATCAGCACGTTTTCTTTTCCTTTTTGAACAATTAATCATTTTTTGTTAACACTCAAATCGGACCGATCATTGAAGCGAGTCACAGATAAGAGCGAACCAAAACCCCAGCAGCCTACATTGTCCATCAGATTATACCAGGATGTCTCAGAATAACATTTTCTGCTCAGAATACAAACATTTAAATGTCCTCAAACTGAAAAATTCAAAGCTATGATTCAAAAACTGTATACATCCCTCGGTACAATTTTATTTGGATTGTATATTTGCAAAGAAAAATTACCAATAACTCATTTTCTTGTTTCTTGTTTAGTACAACGAACAGTCAAAACGACCAGACAGTTGAATTTGCAATAATAAAAACTAAGAAAAGGCCTCACAGTTTTTATGTTTGACCTGAAAATGTTTTAAAAGACTAAGTTTTTTTCATAATAATCAAATTCACTGTCTGTTATTTGATCGGTAGTCTTATTCATTACTTCAGCTGTAAATAATCAACACAGTCCAGTGAGATATGGTGAGAGTAAGTTTGTCACTTACTGTTTAAAGGTGCGTCCGATGCCTTCCTCTTTGTTCCAGCCCATCCCTTTAAGCATAGCGAGTCCATAAGCCTCAACAGGAACACTCTCATAATCCGCCTCTGTTGACTGGTAAACAGAAAAGAATCATCTCTCAGAAAACACACCGAATACTCAAACAACCAAAAACACTGAAACTGCACAACTCATCAACAAAAACGAGCCAGGGCTAAATGAGGTGCTTATGTAATCTTTGACCTCTAGAACTGCGGGCCATGGACAGAGCAGCAGTTTATGATGCTGGTCTTACTCAGCCTTTTGGCTCCGGGCTGTCGGAGTCATCCCGGGCTGACTAAAGTCACCAGGCAGTAGACACACAGAGACCTTCATGAGAGCAGCAGCAGCTCTGCTCATCTCTGTCTCTGCTGAAGGCTTCCCTCTAAGGGAGGCTGGGAGCAGAGGACAGTGCATTGAAATGAGCTCAGGGCACATGGAGCCAGTTTCCCCCTGACTCTCCTGCTCTGACAGACTCATCTACAGTGACTGAGAGCAGATATGGGATGACAGTGACAGGGGGGCAAGAGGTATCTGATGAAAAGAAACAGGAAAGCCGTCTGATTGGTTGCCTCGCATGTCTCTGGGGAGAATGTTGACGCCTGTCTGCCACCATAACCTTTCTGAATCGTAAACACACGCATGCGCACGTTTGAGGAAACACACATGGGTGCTGCTCTGCCGGCTGACAGTCAGCACTTTCACACACTCAAATTTCAATCTGAGTCAAAGCAGCCAGTCGACCAGACATCTAGTACACTTCGGCATTTTCATATGTTTACTGAAATGCATCTCTAGCAGACTGTATTAGGATTTTTACGTCCAACCTGAACCCGTCAATGGAACAGCTTACCTGAAGCCCTGAGAACTGAACCTAATCTTAATGACTTTAAAACCAAACTGAAAACGTACCGTTTTAGTCTTCCTTTTAACTAAATTTTATATCATTAACTGTGTTTTAGCATTTATCTCTTTCTAGTTTTAATGACAGGATCGTCTTTTATTGAGCTCTTCTAGTGCTCTTATTTTAGTATCTTTTACTCTTGTTTTTATTTATCATTTCTTAAATTTCATTCTATGTCACTTTGTTTTTAGATTTTAGCCTAGACCTCCAATGTAATTCTGAGTTTTAGAATCGCGTTTCCTCAGTGCGCACACTCCTGTTTCAAAAAGCCCTTTTTGAGTTTCTGCATTTTAATACTGTTTCTGATGCATTTAGATCGTGGAGTGGGAATGAGGGGTTGGGCTGGGGTTGATTTGGGTATTCTTTGTTACTGTGTAAAGCACGTTGCACTACATGTTTGTGTATGAAAAGTGCTATATAAATAAAGACTGATTGATTGATTGATTGATTGAATCCTGAGAGCCGTCTCCTTATCGAAAATCACATCTTACAAATGCAGCAAACCAAGACCACCAGCAGTAGAGAGCTTAGGTGAAAGCATGAGTTAACTGACAAAGTGATCAGTTTAATCTATTTATTCCTTTTTAAAATTATTGTTCAGGTGGACGTATTATGGCTTGAATTTAAAGGTACGTGCACTGGAAAAAATCTAATATGAGACTACATTAAAGGAATATTCCTGATCATAAATGTTCTTCCTTGAGCTGCGTAACCCCGCAGCAGTCTATAATGGACTGGTCTGAGGACTTGTTACAAACAAGCGGCTGCTGGAAGAGAGTGGGTGAGTTGTGTTTAGTCTCTTTGCTAAAGAAATTAGGCAAAGTTAAAAAGATTTTGGCTAGTGCTATGGCTGGGACCTTATATGTACTGTTGATGAAGTTAGGTGCTGTTCTGAGCATTATTTGTGGCTATAGAGTGGCATCTAACTTAATTTTATGCCAGAATATCCCTTTCAAACACTTTCAAATACAGGGGAATGCTTGTGTTGAGTGAAGAGAGCATCACATTTAAATCAAGAAGAGTTAAGTAAAACACTCTCAGTTGTTCATCTTTGCCACAGAATAATATATCTAGATAAATTCCTACTTACAGATTCAGGTCGTAGATCCACCTTCACCTGGTCCCCGTCCTCAAAGCCATCTGGCACTTTGTTTTGCATCAACAGTGGGATGCTGAGGTTCAGCTGTCTCTCAGACTGAGGGCCATTCTGCCACTCGTCCAGCTGCCTCCTAGAGTCTATAAGCAAGAAATGTAGATATAACATGAACTATGTATTATCACTCATAGTAGTATATATCAAATATTCCTCTGTCATGTACACAGTAAAAACCATAGACTGTATATTAGATTGTCCAGGTGTTTCTGATGTTGTGTCTGGTCAGTGAAGTTTCCTCAGCACCTTCAATGAGCTCTTTGACAGCCTGAGAATCCACAGAGTCATTTTCCTGGACCGGTTCTTGGGTTTTTCCTCCTCTCTCCTCACTCTCATCCCCCTTCTCGGTTTTGTACCAACGGTTCTTCTGGATCAGAGGGATGATCAGCTCTTTGGGCTTCTGAGATGGTTTGGTACTGTAGGATGGAGGAAAGTCAGCAAGATATCAATGCCAAACATGATTGACCTTTTTAATTCAATTCAGCATACAAACACACCATCTTCATTAAGAGCACATTCACTCTACAAGTCTACAATTCTACATTTACTGGCTGTTAACCGTAAACGTTAGCGACAGTTAGCATTAGCATGCGGAGCCTACCTTTGCAATTCATTTCTGTCAATTCCAGTCAAATAATCCCTTTCGTCGTTCTTTATCGCGGCGTCGACAGTAGAAGGTTTGAATTTGTTAACAGTTTTAGTGAAACCAAAAGACACGGCCGGGTTTTTTCTCTCTCCCTGTTCACCAGAAGCGGCAGAATTGGAGACACTCGTAACGTCCGTGAACGACGCCATGATTGTTTGTAATGAAGTAGAGTACGAGCAAGGAATTATGGTAGATGTAGTTTTTTCCTTCCCGAGTTGTTTCGTTTAGTCTTTGTAAGACACCACAATTCCCATCATGCACCGGAATTAAAGGTACAACGACCAGATATCTAATTTAGGATCAATTTTTTTGTTGTTGCGATTTTAGGGTTATGATTGTGACTGAAATCAATGAGTAAATTTGGTAAAAACGACCCTTTTTTCGGATAAAAATTCGATATAAATCATGAAACAAATTTTAAAGCTTTTAAGAGACAAAATTAATCGTATTACATTTCAACTACAATACAATTTACGATTGTTTTCCTGTTGTTGGTGCATATCCAGCTTTATACCTTATCCTTTTTTTAAAGTTACAAAACATGTTGGTCCATGTATTATCCGTCCATTCAATTATTCCACTCAATCTAGTAAACGAAAAAACGAGTCAATATTTTATTTATTTTTCAGTAAAACCAAAAAATAAAAAAATAGTGTTTGTTTTCGTATTTGCAACCCAAAAAGAATATATAACGGAGATGGGAACGAAAACGAAATTAATAAACCTTTTTTATAATTATTGATTTTGAGTTCGCCTGTTTTGACGAGCATGGAGGCTACATTGAGCTTCCCATGATCCTCAGCGACAGTTAACATGGCGAAAAATGCGACATTGCGGTTCGAGCGCCGTAACAGAGCTCTGGTTGTAAATGTCTCTACAGTCAGATCTTTCTCCTTCAGCGTGACCCTCCTGACGGCTTTGAATAATACGTCGGATGCGTCCATCTCCATGACAGCAGGTTAGCCTTTCTCTACCTCTCCGGCCGCGAGTTTGTGTTGTTGTTCACGTTGTTGTTAGCTACTTTTTGTCGCGCAATGCGCATGTGTGAACAGTATAAAGGCGCCGTGGGAAATGGGAACATCAACAACCCGAAAACGAAAAGTAGATTTATTATTTTGTTATTATATATTCTGTTTTGAACTGAAAATACGAGAACAAACACGTTTTAAAAATTTTTTGATTATATAGAAAAACAAATATTTACTCTTTTTGTAGTTTTTCGTTCACTAGATTGAATGGAATTTTTTGGGATTTTTTTATTATTATTATTTGTTTTACATTTTTTGTTCTTTTTTTTTTTTTTTTTAGAATTTAAATACAACTTGCTCGTGCTCATATTAAGCTAAAATAACCGTTTATCATTCATATGAATTTAATAATTATCCCAATCTATCCATCAACCTGCATACACAGACTCTTAGAGGAATCATAATAGGGGAACCCTCATTTACAATGGCAATGAGCCTATTACAGAGGCTTTATTTTAAAGTTATAAAAAATATCAGTTGAAAGATTGAGTTAAGCTATTAAAGTCAACCAATGGGGTGGATTCTGACATGAAGATGAAAACAACTTAAAGATAAGATAAAGCCATGTGTAAAGCATGGAGTACAACATGTACTGATTACACAATAGAGAGATCAAAGCATAAATGTGCCAAAACGCTTTAGTAATCAGTGACAAATGGAGGTTTAAAGGTCTAAATTCTCATTTCTAAATTTCCTCAGGTGTGCTCAGTTCAGGTGCCCGCTGTTACTTGCTCTAAGAGTCAAAATCAGAATAAAAAGCAGTCTTCTCCAAACTTAACTTCTCCATTTTATTCCATTTTTACTGTCATAAAATGTCACCAGTCCTCGCTCATCACATAGAAAAAGTTTGTTTGAATAAATATACTCTGTGATCTGGTTGTCACGCCCGTAAACCAGGTTGTAATCGCAGGCGGAGTGAGAGGAGAGTGATGCTGCTGCTGCTGCTGTTTCTGCAGGTGCAGAGACTGAGGATGATAATAAGGGGCGGTACTTTTAACTCTTCATACCCTCCCCTTTGTGCTCCTTAACTTCCCACGGTAACCTTCCCATGTGCCTTGTGTCGTTGTTTCTCTCATCTGAAAGTGCCTTTCGGAAAATACGCACAGCAAACCTGGGCGCACTTTCTCGTGGACATCCCAGCATTTATCTAATCTAATCTAATCTGATCTTCGCCAATTGACGCTCCGTGCACTGTTTGCACTGCGACTGCAGTTCAATGACACCTCTGCTCGGACACTCAGACATTATCGACGTCTGTCTGTTGGCTTAATTATTGCGCTGGATTAATCCAACAAATAACACCGTAATTGAGTAGTGCACGGTATCTATCAAACGAGGATTAGACGGGAGGGATTTGACACGGGAAAGCGAACATGAAGGTAAGAAACAAGCCCGGTACTTATTGTTTAATATGCAAAGACTTCCCAGTCCTCACAAGTTAAACATGACAGTCTGACTGTGACATTTGTCCATCGCGTTGTTTCCCTTCAGCAGTGCGCAGCAGCTGCTAAATTTGTAAGCGTCCACTGCCAGATTTGCCCGATAGTGTGTCTGTCTGTGTGTGTGTGTGTTTGTGTGTGTGCATGTGTGGACGTGAGTGTGTGTATTATTCCCTCTCTCTCCTCTCCTCTCCTCTCCTCTCCTCTCTCTCCCTCTCTCTACAAGATCCCACAGCTCTCAGAGCATCACTGTCCAAATATCCCGTCAGCCGTGCGCATCGCCTCTCTTTGACTTTCTCTGGGATACGATACTTCTCATTGCATCCCAAAGCTGCTTCCCCCCCCTCACACACCAGGCTGCTGATTTTTATTTTTTTTAAACCCTGCTATATTGTATTTCTTCAAGTGCATGCTTAGTGTTTAACCTCAGCCGGGTCAATGTATATAGACGCGTTCAAACGGATCCTCTTTGAAAGGCTCAACTGCTTGAAGAGGATGTGTGTGTGTCAGCGCCAGGGCAGGTCAGTATTTCCCCCTAAATATGAGAAATTTGATATTCTGTTTTGTGTGTGTGTGTGTGCATGTAAACCAATCAGCCAGTGTGTGAGTAAGTGAGAGTGATGATGGAGGCAGATTTAAGGGATAAGGGTGTCATTTTGACAGTTGAAGTTTACCTTTGAGAACAGCAGGTGGTCATGCATGTGAGTGTGTGTGCGCTTGTGTGATCAAGTGAGGCACTAATCAGGTTTGAAAAGTTTGTTCGGATATTTTATTTTTAAATCTAAGGTGTTATTTTTATCCTGTTTCATCTCCCGCTGCAGAATAGAAATCATAGAAGTCAGATGGAAACAGGTAGTGCATGTTCTTTGCACCTCAGTCCATGTTCCCACTCTGCACTCTGACTTGCAAAATGTATAATGTAGTTCCCAGCCAGGTGTGCGTGCACGCATGTGTGGAAGTGTCTCACAGATGTGTGTGTGTGTGGGTGGGCTGTTTGTTTAGGGCGTGTCCCTGTTTTCAAGTGATGGATGTGTGACCCTGACTTAATGGTGTGCGTTGCTCTGAGTTTTGAGAGCAGTCAAGGTTATGCTGTTATTATTATGAATCATTAATTTGTTGGAAGGAAGCGAGGCAGAGACATGTGGTGCGTTTGAGTGTCCACACATGCTCTCATGCTGCTCTGGACCTCACACTGTTTGTTTTTCTCCTCTGTCTCATCATGTATGGGCCCCAGCAGCTCCTGATTTGCACTACAACTAAAAAAAAAGGCCATTTATTCTGGGTCTGTCGTCCTCTCATATCAATTCTCAGCACAAGTTTGAACTGACAGTAAGTGGAAATACATGTCTGGGTACGAACATGACTCTCCTCAGAGTGGAGGATGAAGTGAGGTGCGTTTCTCCTCTGTCATAGTAATGCACGTCAGCTGGGACTACTTGATTGTCTAATTATGTACCTCCTGTGTCCTTCGGCTTCATGCATATTCATACTGCTTTTAAAGGTGTGGTGAAAACAAAGTGCGCACGTGTGTGTGGATCATGTGTATATGGAGGTGGTGGGGGGGGCAGGGTCTGTTATATGTGTGTGTGTGTATGTGTGTGCATGGCAGTTTACCCTTGACAGGGCAGGGCTACGCAGGCACATTCTCCCATCTGTGGTCCAAACCTTTGCTCCCAGCCACTGCATTTGGATTCTGCAGTTGTACCCTGCTCTATTCTTAGTTCCCAGCAGTTCATGTGGAGTCTGATGTGTAATGTTAACAACAACAACAACAACAATATTATCATACCGGGGCTGTGCTTGACTCATTTCATCACTGAGACGAGTAACAAAAATGCCCCAAATTTATTACAGCCTTAATGAGTGTCAAAGAGTCGGTTCGCTGATTTAGCAACCAAACTTTGACTTGTTCCATCTTTAACATAGGAGTAACCCACTCATCATAAACATACTGTATGTTACAGGTGCCACATGACTACTATATCAAAACATGATGGCAAATCATAACAATAGCTATATAGGGTGTTCGCCAAAACTAGCAAAGTGTTAACAGTGGGGATGTTTGGAGTTTAGGCAGCTGATTTGGCATCATTCATTCATTCATTAGTTCATTTATTTATTTATTAAGACCTGAATGCCAGGCCTGTTGTGCCTAAACCTCCCACCACTAGCTGGAGCTGTGGTTAATGACTAACTGATTACGTTTTTAAGTATGTTGTTGCCATAGACTTTATGGACAACTTGGTTCCGCCTTCCACCAGTATTACAGATTTGAAGCTGAAAAGCTCTCGGTAATTCTGCGTTTTTTCTCCATTTCCTGAAACCGATATTGCGCAGTAGCGTTGTACACACCCCACCACTTGCGCAATAGCGTTTAACGCATTTGGCGGGAGAGTCGCCGAGAGTCGCTGTGATGACACTCGGCTCACACAGCGTATCCCCCAGGTGAACTACGCAATTATGACCTATACTGCAGCCCGCCGCCAGAGGGTGCTGTTCTTGGAGTGGCTTCACCCAGCGAGGAGGCAGACTCTGTTCATTCTACAGACAGTCTATGGTTGTTGCTTGACATATTTTGATTTTGAAAATGGAGGAAAAGTTCCATAACAAACCCAGACATTTGGATGTTCATGCGTAGCAAGGACTGATAGCTCTGCTAACATTGGCCACTCTTTGAAAACCCTTTGACAATGTCTGCTCATGGAATCTGTGATCCTGTGTTTAGTTTTTAAATTTTACTAAGTTTTGACCCTTGTATAGTGTCTCCCTACCTTTTAAAGTAGTCGATTGTTGGAATTCACTTCCTGTTTAAATGACAAGCAAATGAGGCGCTTCAAAACTTTTCACATACTCTTTTATGTTCAGGAAAATGGAAAATGCTTAAGAAAGAAGCAGCTCAGACTAAAGAACAAAGGTTTCTTTTTTAGACAGCTGTTGAAAATTAGAAAATATGAACCTCTTCATTTGCGAACACTTCATGTTTTTGTTCACTGTGATATTTTTACACTGTATTAGCCCTGAAAACCGCTGTATTGATTTCTACTTTCAAGTTAACATGCAAAGCCTGTGTAACACATCAATGTTAACTGAGGCTGGAAGCAGGATATGAACAGGCTGAGTCATGAAGGACACAACATATAGGGTCTCGCTCACACTATGGCAATATATTGAGTCATCACCCGATGTACTGCGAGTGTGATACATATTGGTATTGCCCCGTTCTTGCCAATACTCGCCCTTCTGCTTGTATGCGCTGAGATTCAGTTTGGATCGGATAAGCCTCCGTTAAGTGGTTAGACTCTGACTGAGGTTGCGAATCAATAACTAATCAATGATGGTGTGAGGACTTACAATTTACACTCTGCCATATTTGAAATGTCAAGACGGCAATGAATCCATGTATCCTTGAGTTAGATGTGAGTTGGACAACTGGGATCAATATCAGGTGGTGAGACAGGCAGGCAGGAGCGGGTGAGGGTCACCTTCACCCATCCCTACTGAATCAGCAGTATCTCTCTTACACACACACACACACACTCACGCACACGCACTAAGGCCTGCTTAGGTTACCAAGCTGCGACCTCACAAAAATGCTCATTATAGTGATCTGAACCTCCCCCCATTTCCCTATGAATAATACATTTTGTTATTATGATTTCCGCCAGTCTTTATAAGGTTACCACTCCCAGCTCTGTGTCCACTCTAATGTTCTATTCCTCCCTGCTTCTAGTCCGTTACTGCTTCTATTTTCAGCATCATCTTCTGTATAATTTTACCTAATTTCTTCCTGCTTTTTTTCCCCCCATTTCCATCTCTCTTATCCGTCATCTCTGTTGAGACGCTGATCTGCTCTGTTTAATTAAACTGCTCCCTCCTCCAGATGAGGGTTCATCTCTGATCGCGGCGAGGAGTGTAATGCGTCCTGGCAGATTGAGTAAGATGACCTGTTGTTGGTACAGCCGTGGCGTTCCTCAGAAGAGCGCTGTGTACACAACATGCCCCGCTAATACGACCCCCCCTGCCTTAGCCTTGATCCCCTGACGTTCACAGATACCGTTTTCAACTAAAGAGGACATCACTAAGCTTGTGTTATACTATCAGGTGTGTGTGTATACGGGTGTCACTTTAATTCTCAATACTCTTTTAATCTTACACTAAGTCCACATCAACACGAGAGCTGCTCTGATATCAAATAGATTGTGGATTTATCGATGACGTGCAGAGAGAAGTGACTTTTCCCGTCCCTGTATTCTTATCAGCTTTTTCATGTATACTTAATAATGAGTCGAGTCTTTCCGTGCGTGTGTGATAGAGGGAGACATTTTGTGTTTTGCAACCCACAAGCATTTAATCTTTTATTTTTAAATCTGCCTCTGCTGTCTGTTTTGTGTCGAGCACTCTCGTGCCCTAGATTTGGGAGCGAGTGAGCATCAGGGAGCTTTATTGCACCCCACGTTGCTCGTACAGTGTCGGTGTAAATATTTGGCAGGAGAGGTCAGAGCATGGATCTCAGATAAGAGTGAAGAGTCAGGCTGGGACAATACCACTGTGCCCTTTTTATTTCGGTCTGTGTGCCGCTGCGCTGTCTTTGAGTTTAGATGAATTAAAGGTCAGCTGTTATTTAAGATGCCTTACTTGTCTCACCTCCAACACCACCAGTGGGAGGATGCAGAGAGAGTAGGAGCAGTGTGCTTCACCACAGGTCACAGTGAAGTCCTGCGCTCTGCACTAAATACCTGCTTTTTAAACAGAGGAGTATTGTAGGCGATGTGTTGAATTCTTGTAAAGTTTTCAGTCTTTAGATAAAAGTCTAAATAAATCAAGTTATAAAGATTTTCATCATGTAGTTATTGTCTAACATCTCTGATGGAAATGAACTTTTAGGCTCTCTGAGATTTGAGCAGCATTTCACACTTAAATCTTAACAAACGTGCTGTAGAGAGCTTTTTTTTTCACAATTTATATTTTTAGTTTATTGATTTGTGGGTCTGTTGAGATTTGTGTGTCTACAATTTTAGTCAGAGTTTCACAAAGATTGGTTATCAGAGTTTGCTGGAAATCTTTGGCTGTTGGTCATGTGTTGAATTTGTACTGACTCTAGGGTTGTCAACATATCAGATTATCAATTTATGATTATTGTGGCCATGAAATATCACGATAATGATACTGTCAATATTTGTGGCAAACTTTAAATTTAAACAACATGGTGAGTGAAGCGAGGAAAGACAAGATAAGGGTGGAGAAACATGATACATGTTCATAAATTAGACTTATAAACACAGTTAACAGACACGTCATTATCAATTTTAATGATATTCATATTTCTGATTCATCCAAATCTCTGGCTGTGCATCTGAAACTCCTTTAGAAGAGACATCCCCAGAAAATGAAAGTTTTTTGCTGCTTTTATTTCGACATTTTGTTTAAATTGTAAAACTGTGCTTTTATTTTGAAGTATTTTGAAGCTATTGTGAGTCACAGAACTGAATAAAAACAGTTACCTGAAGAGGCAGGAGCTCTGACGTTACATTTGGATTGACAGTAAATCATAAAACATCATCTACAATAGAGCTGCTTTGTATTAATTCACAGGCTGTCGGCTGTTTCTTCTTTGTTTCTCCTCCATTTTATGAAGTGTGGCAGCGTTAAAGACCTCAGCTATGAACTCACGGTCTTATCGTTCGGCTATTTTTAGCACAATACCAATAGATCATATTTTAATAAGGCCAGTTACAGCTAATAATGTATTGACTTCATTGATTAACTGATAGTGGACTGGATAGTGAATGGGCTTAATTCCAAAGGTATTGAGAAACAACACCTGGGAATTTACAAGAAAAAGTCATCTATCTTCATGATTTTTGATGTTTTATTCTCTGTGGAACAATAAATAGTTTCTGTCCTTGTCTGTTTCACTGCAGCAAGTGTTCAATGATCATTTTCTTCTACTTGTGGATGAATGTGCAGCAGCTGCGCACATGCTCAGTAGAAACTCCATTATCTTACCAGTGTTCTTGTTGACTTTAGTCCGGCTTACAAAGAACTTGACGTCTTTTTTAGTTGTTTATTCAGAGTGTGTTTGTAGAGAGGCAAACAAATGCAGCTGTTTTGCATTCTGCTCACATTGTAGCTGACAAAACACAAAGTCAGTCCATCAATATTCTCCGAAATTCACTGTTTGGAAAGACAACTGCCCTGAACTTTGAGTCAGCGTGCATAAAATACCAAACACACTTACATAAATTCATGGAGCAGTCTAGCTGAGCTAATTGAACAGGCTAATTTTATTATCGCAGATCTCATTTGGAGCGGAAAGACAATGTGGACGACAGAGCGAGCATGACTCAAACAAGTCAAAGCAACAGAAGCTTTCAGAGGCTTTAAACTCGACCCTGCTGCTCAGACACTGGGGGTACAGCTGTTCAGCGACGGGAACATTTAGAGAAAGATCATCAGGCGGAGTTGAATTAGAGCAACATCTGACTGCAAAAGCTGATTGTGTTAAAGTTTCTTATCTTTGAAGTTTCTCTCAAACTCCGGCCCGCGGTCAAAGCCGATTATGTCAGAGAGCGGTCCACCAGCTGAGAGACGGCTTTGATGGGGATGAGGGCCGGCATCTAGATAGACATCAGGAGCACAGGGCGGATCAGGAGAGCTGACAGTCACTGCTCTCACCACAAAACCTCAATAATGTTACCGATACAGAGAGGATCTATCAGAAAAGGTGATTTCACTGACAAACTGAGAGTCACGTTCAAGTTAAAGGAATAATCTTTAAATTCTCAGACATGTTGTACTTGCACCAGAGCGACTTTTTACCCACAATCCTCTTGCTCCCTCATCTTAATTGATGTGTTTTGCTCACGCCCTGTTTTTCATGAAGGTCTTTCAAGATGCTCTGCACCCCAATGTCAAGTGCTATTCCCTCATGTTCTGCTTGCCTTGCTTCAAGTTGACTTTGAATAATTGAGCTCCATGGCAAAGCTCATCTGTGTAACTTTAATAAATTATCACCCCCTGAGATTCCAACCTGAAATAACTGCTTAGTTAATTTGTCCTGTAATAAAGATATTTTGCTCCAGACTGGGAGCCAGCGGGGATAAAATGGCCCTAGCTCTTTCAGACTAATCACTGGGAGGCATGAAAAGCACAGGACCTTAAATCTTTGCATTGTCACTGCTGCACTTGGGTGTTTAGTTTGTTAAAGTGAAGCTTAAATCACAGTTGTACTCTCTTTTAAAAGGAAAAAAAAAAAACTTTTATGCTTAATTAACTGAGAACAGTGAGTGTTCTCCGGATAAAACAGCCATGCGTTTATGCAATTCAGAGCTAAAAGGCATATGTCAACCAGAAAACACGATGTGGCGCAGCTGTTCATGCCACACAGAGTCACAATAGCCTCGAGCTTTTGCTTTGTGCTTTAAACAAAAATGGTGAGGAAATAAAAAAAAAAATCGCCTCTCAGAATAGCCTGGAAGTCAGGGGTGTGTGTGTTTGCCATTGACAGATTGCTGTGGTTTGAAGTTACACTGAAAGGCTGTGGTTGGAGGCTTTAGAGATTCTGAGCATGTCTCTGGTGGAGGGGAGAAGTCAGTGAAACGGGATCTGTGTTGGTCAGCTCTTTGCTGACCTAAAGGTCAGAAATCTCAATTGAGCTTTCTTTTTATAGGCTCCGATATCCTTGAATCCATACAGTGTGTCCTCTACAGGAGATCTATCAGTTTTATTGTCGGCTCCATAATTCTTCCTGAGCAGTATACATGTTGTATTGGACCATGTGGACACGTGGCTCTATGGACTTTTGGCTGGTCCATCATTTTGGTCTCAACTGAGCATCTCAAAAATGGTTTGGCTGATCTCCATTTTGGTTATGTGTTAACATTAATATTCCCCAGAAACTCCTGATTTGTTTGTTTCCTACCCAAAGTTTTTAATTTTAAGATATTTCCAAGGTGCTGTCCAACATGACTATGGTTTTATTTAGGCTCATAGACTGTATATACTATGGACCACTTGGTTCCACCTTCCACCAGTATACGGAAGCCGAAAAGATCTTGGTATTTCCGCGTTTTTTCTCCATTTCCTGAAACCAACATTGCGCAGTAGCATTGTGCGCATTTGGTGGGAGAGTCACTGAGAGTTGCTGTGATGACGCTCAGCTCAAACAGCGTATCCCCTGGGTGAGCTACGCAATCTTCGTACGCCCATAGGCTGTATTAAGTGTCAATCATAGAAAACATGAACCCCCTAATAACTTTTAAAAATGTAGCTCCACAGAAAAAAGAGGACTTGAGCACAAACCAGTCTTACAGTAACTACATGTCAACATTGCAAGCAGGGGAGAGAAAAATTTATATTCTGTGTAATAACTTTCTAAAGTTTGACCACAGCTCCATAGGGATTGCTGGGGGAGGCGGGATTTATGACCTATGCTGCAGCCCATCACCAGAGGGTGCTGTTCTCGGCGTGGCTTCACCCAGCGAGGAGGCAGACTCTGTCCATTCTATATACAGTCTATGTTCAGATTTCACAAGTCACATTAAAAATACTAAATGTTTCCTCTGTGTGGTCCGGCTTCTGGCTTCAAGACAAGACTGGAGGTCACTAAAAAAGCGATATATCCCATCATGCATTGCAGTGAGATTTTTTTTTTCATTGTTAAAAATTCTATTTTGTCTTGTACTTAAATTAACTTCTGTAAATATTAAAAACTTTTATGTTGCATCACTATCAGGTAATATTTACTTAAAAAATGTATAAAATCACCAATAATCCGAACTTCATGTTAGGACAAAACGTGCTCAGTTACAAAGCTAGTACACACCTTCCTGATTCGTCGAGATCTCTTCGTCACCAGCTCCTCCTCAGCCTCACTGGGTACCTAAACCTGTGTTTCACGTACACACAGTGAAACGAGCTCGCAGGGCCAGTTTGTAGCATCAACACCAACAGCAGGGAGCGAGCAGAGCGGTGTCAGGGTGTGTCTGCGGTGGGACGAGTCCGGGCTTCAGCAGACCTGACAGGCTGTGGCTCATTAAACCCCCGTCAGATGCAGGAGGTCAAGATAACAACAGCTACAGAGCGGGCGACACGCTCCTCCTCCATGCGAATAATGTAGACACACACCCACGCACACACACACACACTTACAACAGGACAGGATAATACCCCAGACCTATGAGTCGATTTATTTTTAGCATTTTAATCATTACTGCCAACTGCTGAGAAATTCAGAGAAATCTTAAAGCACGAAGAGACCAACGGCTTACTGAGTTATTATTCTGGATTTGTGCACGTGGAAATAAGATTTGATAGAAAAAAGTTGGTGTTTATCTTCTTATTCTCCTTGAACCACACACTTTGTGCAAGCGGTGTCATTGTGTTCTCCGTGTGGGAGGATGGATGGCAGGCTGGCTTTGGGAAACAGTGTTGCTGCAGAAGGTTTCACAGTGGGGTAGAGGGGGAGGGATTGGGGCAGTGTTTGGCAGAGGATGAGGTGTTGAGCTTCGTTTCAGGTTCAGACATGCAGACTGAGGCAGACCCTCATGTTTAATTGTCTTTTATTAAACCATGTAATTAACATCCATGATGGCTGGTGGCTCGATCAAAGCTTATTTTCATGTTTTTGAGGTCTAGATATAGAAACGGGTCCAACCGAACCCTCTGACTCATGTTGCCTGTGAGGCTAAACAGGTGAGTTTATGCCAACCTCAGGCTGTGCGCTGCCTCATGATCTCTATCTGACCTCTGTACCTTCATTATTTTCCTCCCTTATCACTTTCAGCAGGCTTTTCCCCAGAAGGTTGCTAAGCCTGGTGGCTGGTACATAAATAGACTCCATTGCTGAAGTCTGATTAGAGATATTAGAGATATAATTATAAAATGAGACGACACAATATGTTGCAGTATAAAAAAACTGATGCAGTCTCTGTGATGTCATCTGTTGGTTACCAAAGAGGGTTTTTGAAGCCAATCCATAGAGGTCGCCATATTGGAAATGTTGATTAGAACTAACCTTAGGTCGATAAAGACGAGGCAAAGAGGTGGGGCTGAGACCTGAAGACTCCTGGCAAACAGCTGCAGCACACCGGCCTGTCAGTCATACCAGCCACGCCCCTATTTATGCCAACACATAATTACTTTGGCTGAAAAAACTGTAATCTTTGGTTTTAATATCTTCCAGATGGATGAAATATTAAAAAACTCTCAACCCCTGTACCATATGTTAAAAATAGAGACATGTGCTGTTTGGACCAGGCTGTACTCATAGACTGTGTATTGAATGGACGCTGTCTGCCTCCTCGCTGGGTGAAGCCACTCCGAGTGCAGCATTCTCTACTGATGGGCTGTATAGGTGATAAATCCCACCTCCTCCAGCGAAGCTTATGGAGCTGTGGACTAACTTTAGAAACTTATTACACACAACAAAAATTTTTTTTCTATCCTGCTTGTGATGTTGACATGTAGTTACTTTAAGACTGGTTTGTGCTCAAGGCAATCACAGCGTCTCTCAGCGACTCTCGCAGAATTACCAAGAGCTTTTTGGCTTTGAATCTGTATACTGGTGGAAGGCGGAACCAAGTTGTCCATAGTATATAAAGTCTATGGCTGTACCACTTTAAATTTTGCTTCAAATTTTGACATTTTAACATGGAAGTCAATGGGGTTCCCTGGCCTTTTCAGCCAACCTCAAGTGGACACTTGAAGAACTGCGGTTTCTTGCACATAAGTCTCACTTTTTAGTATTAGGGGTTGATGCTTGGTTATGCTGAAGAAGCTATTTATTCATAATACATTTTCTCATAAAAGATGCAAAATAAAGTTGTCTTACAAAGAATTTGTAAAATCAAAGTTTTTCTACACTTCGAACAACGTTTCTGTTTTTTCTCTGGAATTAACCGATTTGTAGAAATTATGTGATGCTTTTAATGGGCGCTACTTCCTGAACTTAAGGCAGCTCCTTTATTTCCTGTCTTACGGATTAATCCAGGTGTGATTGATCATTGGGACTACTTAGACACACCTGGATTAATCAGTTTGTCCAATAATACAAGACAGGATTTAAAGGAGCTGCCTAGTCGTGGATCGGTGCATAGAGCCCATTGATTATCTCACAACTGCGTCTTCGTTCTTATGAGGGCTTCTGTAAGAGGATAAAATGGGTTGGCCTAACTGAAACCCCGCAGACAGAGATTTGAACAAAAACCATCCATCCATCTTTCTGTCACTGTAACACGTTTCCTTCTCACCTCGGTTCTTGCTCTTTATCTTCTAAACCCCCTCTATTTTCCTCCCTCTCCTTTGTCTATCTCTGTAAAACCACCAGAGACCCCTCTGCTGGCCGAGCATGAGGAGAGAGGATAAAGAAGAAGGTCTCTGTCAGATCTTCCTGTCCAGTGACTACTCAAGTAGAAAGGATTAGTCGTATTCAGTCCTTCTTTTGCTCTGTCTCGTTAAGCCTGCTGGACTCCAGGACCCAGAGGTGCTCTTGCTCGGGTTAGCGGTGGTTGCACCAAAGAAGCCCTGGGCGTGCTACCCCCACCCAGCAGGGTGGGGTCAGGGTTGTAACAGTCTCCCTGGCTTACAGGATTTGAGTCTTGTCATGTGATGATGCTAATCTCCTGATCATAATGGAACTGGAGATCAGAACTATCCATTAGGAATATTGTTCATATGTGACTACATTTTCTATAAGTTTCAAGCACATATGTTCAACGTCATGTAGTCCGTCTGAGATAAGAAGATTAATATCACTCCTGTTCCTGTCAGTTTAACCTCAATCTGAGAATAGGAGACGTAGCTCAGCTGGTTACAATCAATTATACAGTGCTAAAAGCATAAATGTAAAAGAAATCATATCGTGAAGTAAAACTTAAGGAGGAGTGGTTTAATCTTGGATATGACCATGAAACAGGACTACCACAGAGTCTGTTTGACGTCATGATGGACCTGCTGGGATCCCCTTCCCCTCATCTGACAAGGTAGGCTTCATATGTGAGGATACATGTGTGGACATAAAGAGTCTGGTACATTTCAGGGTCAGGGTTCCTGAAATGTCCAGCATGCTTTTCTGATAAAGTTAAAGGTGACAGTTATTTTAAACCCATTTGGTCCCTTTAACATTAACCTCTCTTTATCAAGGGAGATCAAAACAGAAGAAAATACAGTTCACATTAGGGCTGGGACGATATGCTTTTCTCCCGATTTGATTCTTCTACGATTTTTTCAATGCTGATTCAATTTAAATTGCGATTCTATGATGTTGTCGATTTTCTCGATTTTTAGTCTGAATTTTTAACAACAGTTAAGCGGTTGAATGATTATGATTGTCTAGTGAGTTGAAGAAAAAATCAATATTTGAACAAAAAAAAAATTATTTAAGAATTGTAAAACAAAAAATTGCGATACTTAGGTGAATAGATTTTATCTCCCACCCCTAGTTCACATTCGCTTAAATTTGCACTGAAAGAGAAGTTATCTAGAAGTCAGTTGTAGAGATAGATCGATGAATCTGTTGGCTGATAAATAGTATTTTGACAAAAGCGGTATCATATTGGCATAGACTCTTACAAGGGATGTCAAATTTTCTCAGTGAAAGTCCATTTTTCCAATCACCAAAGACAGCGTATGCAATCAGCTGTTTCAAGACTAATATTGGTCGACCACTTGATTTGTTGAGGGAGCAGAACATCCAAAGGCTGTTTTTCCAATTTGGGACTGAGCTTTGAAGATGGAGAACACAAACACTATGAATACAAGATTATTCAACATGTAAACTCAAAGATCATTTTGATTCTGAACCTAAAAAGGGATAAAAATGCTCAAATGTTCCTGTAACACTGAGCCTCTTCCGTCCCAGAATCTCAATGTCACGTCTTCTCTTTAAACCGGGTTCTCCTACCTTTTGTATCTCTGTTTCACTCTTTGTCAAGGTGACAGTGCTGCTCTGATAATGTCAGAGGAACGCTGTCCGCCCGCTCCGGACATCCCAGCTGTCAAGTCACTGTCAGCTCAAACCAATCTTCACCATGTCAGCCACGTCCTCAGCCCACATGAAACACACAAAACACACACAGCTGCTCCCCAGGAAACACGAAGCAACACCGAACTACACATCATTTTCTCACAAACCTAAACTGAATGTACGATGGGGGGTTGAGTCCTGGGGAACACACTTTGCACACAAACAGGGTGATTGTTCATTGTCCTGAAAAATCTATAAAAATCTATATTTCTGTACCAGCATCGTTCATCACTGCAGATAAGGAAAAGATGACTCTGGGTACACTGTCGGGCTGCAGCTACAGGTTCTTGTCCTGCCTGTGTGAGCCTGTGTGCATTCAATGACCCGCACCTTTATTGAACGCAAACTAGATTTTCCCATGTGACACAAGATGTGCTGGAATGTGCACTAACTCCTGTGTTTACATGAAAACACAGCGTCAGCCTGCAGCAAGTGCAGCGAACATGAGGGACTGTCTGTGAATTTCTTTTGGTTGGACAGTCATCCGTTGTGCTTTTGAGTGTGTTTGCGTGAAACAAAGAGATGGTTGGCAGGGTTGTGTTTCTTTCCACTCTTACAGGAAACACACACACACACACACACACCTTTGAGGCTTGAATTATCCCTGACAATTATCCCTGAAACAGAACAGCTCTGCAGACCTCAGGCATGTCGATCTGACAAAGGTTAAACAGCAGAACAACCTTCTGCCTGCAGTCACAGGATCTTCCTCTGGATGTTATGTAATTGGCACTTTCCCCCCCACCTTAATACAGTCTCACACCTTCTGTTCACCCTCTGATTGTGTTTCCTTTCCTCCCCAGCTCATTCGCCATGTCTAAGACGGCGGTGAAGAAGCTGCACTGGCGCTCCAAAGTGCAAGACAGCTTCGTCCCTCTGCTGGGCTTGTCAGGTGAGCTGGGAATCGCCATCGGTGGAGGAGCAGATTATGGAGAGTTTCCATTCGTCACGTCAGCTCCAGGAGGAATCCTCACCGTGGGGGATATCATCATAGAGATTGGTGGAACTCCAGTTTTAGGGATGACATTAGGAGATGTCCGCGGTGTGCTCAACTCCTGCCCCCATCCCATCCGAATCAAAACTGTGCCACCAGGTATGACTCAGCACTCTCACAAATCACACCTCTGTAAATTAGTCGGCACTTTATTGTCCTGGTGGGTGTAAATAATCTGCAATCTGTCAAGGAAGGTGCAAACAGACTGCCAGGCCTTTCTTTCAGCTAGGGGCGTTTGTGGATCGCAACACTTAGTTCTGACTGAGTAATTTGATTGAACGAAAGGCATGACATGACATATTTTTGTAATAGAAAACAGGTTTTATTTTAGCTGGATCAAATAGACACTCACCCTGTCAGAAAGAGCGGCTTTGTAGCTCAAAAACTCGTCTGTAAAACCCACATTTCAGCCTCTGCCTGAAACACTTTGTTTGGGGTGTCTTTCTCGTAATGTAACATTAGACTCAGCTGTGGGTGTTACTTTTTACACAGCTTTGTAGTCATGAGATGACCTGAAAGCCATTCAATGCCTACCTAGTCCCTGATGTAGCCTTTGTAGCATACATTAGCTATTGTTTTATTAGCCGCGAGGGAAGGTTTTAGAAGATAGAACAGCTCCGGGTTTCACTAACAGTTGAAGTACAAACCCAGCTCGTACTGGCCTTTGTTTTCAAAGGAGTTATCAGTGAAGCGGTTAGCATGAACAGCTCAGATGTCCCAAAGACAAACTTTGGGAAAAAGAAAACAGCTGTGACTTTCCTCCTCCACAAAGAGCGACAATAGGAGCAACTTTCTTGGACAAACTGAATCACCAAAGAAACAGACTTAGCAGCTTCCTGGTGGGCGTGTCTTTAACAAAGGCATCTAGTGGGTTTATCCTTTAGTGTGGTCCCAATAGGATGGCTGAACTTGATGTCAGGTGTTTTGGATTGTCTCAAAACCAGCTGACCAGGAAGGCAAAGAAACACATCCAGGGATTACATTAAGATCCATGTTACTCATTTACATTACCTAGCTAAAGCTACTGTGCGGACATTTTGATACTCATGAAACAATGCCTGTGCCTTTTTATAAAGCAGATAAGATCTTGGGAAACAAATTCTATCTTTTGAGTTTATTTCTGACAGTTACAACTTCTACTAGGAGGCAGGTGCCAAAAGAGGGGATTGACAGCAGCCTCAAGAAACAGCTTTTGTTTATAGTGGAAATATTCACAATGAGTGATACCTTTGACTGTCAAAACACAGCAGGGCGAGATTTTTGTGAATAAAGCACGACTCAGAGATGTTAGCTTAGAGACAGGATGCACCACTTTGACCACAGAGACACATTAAAATCACAGAATCAGACAGTAACTGATAGGAGCTTTAACCGACACTGAAGTTACACAGCTCATAGTTGGACAGTGAAGTTTAATGACTCCTGTGTGTTTCCTAGTAAAAGCCTAGTTTCAGTCACACTGTTAAACTTAGCTTCATCACCCCTCTGTAGTCTGTAATGGACTGGCCCGAGGTCTCACTACAAACAAGCAGTTGCTGGAAGAGAGTAGGTGAGTTTTGTTTAGTCTCTTTGCTAAAGAAATTAATCAAAGTTAAAAAGATGTTTGGTGGCTAGTACTGTGGCTGGGACCCTATATGTCCTGTTGATGAAGTTAGGTGCTGTTCTGAGCATTATTTGTGGTTATAGAGTGGCGTTTTGGTTGAGTGTGTGGCTCTCTGTATTGCTATCCTGTGGTCGTTACTAAAGTTGGTATAACTAGAGAAGCAAGCGGTCAACAGGCTGTCTAACTCAATGTTACAGTGTGCTTGACCCTAACTTAATTTTACACTGGAATATCCCTTTAATTCCAGTTTCAGTGACACTGTTAAACTTAATTACCGTATGTTGTTTAAAGGGCTATTACACCTGTTAATGTTACGTAAAAGCAGTCATGAATTTAAGGTCTTATTTATTAGCATGGCTGATTCTTCTAATCACAAACATATTGGTTGCTGATACTCAGTACACCAGCACTCTCTTTGTGTGCTTAATTGCCCATAATGATGCAGTCAGTCTTTGATTGTCTGCCCGACAGTGTGACAGCCAAACTTGTTGATGTTTTTGATTGCACTGACTTCACTGGACAACACCCAAACAATCTGTTACCCTGTTGTCCAAGCTGTCACTCGTCATAACCACGCTGAGCCCACTCCCACAAGCCAAATCTGCAGCCTCCAGCACTCTGATGCCTGATTTGCACTCGTCAATTAGTCCGGATATGTCAAGGCGATCGGTCAATATTGCGGGTAGGGGGTCAAAATTGCTGATGACACATGACAGGAGTGAGGCGATATAGTTGTCTGTCACTAGCGAGGGGTCCTTGATGTTTAGATCGGGGGGCTGGGCTAACGGATGTCTTTGCCAGCTCTGAACAGAGCAGTATGTCACTGCGGTGTCACCTGACCGCGGCTCCCGATGGCCTTGCCGGTTAGATTGATAGCTGATTTGGCCGCAGGGGTGTAAATGGGGACCTTTGCTCCTGTTCTCACTGCAGCGGCTGCTAGATCTATTATCATTTCTGAAGTCCGCCAGGCTCCTCCCCTGGCAGTTCAGCTGGGTGTAGTGCGGACAGTGATGGATGAGCTGATGCGACCACTTGCTGTACCACACCTCCTCCTACTCCTGCTAGTACAACAACAACTCCCTGTGCTCTGGGCTCAAATACAGGACACAGGGCTGCAGTCTCCAGAGGCAGGCAGGCGTTTAAAGGTTTTAGCTCTAATGCTGGCGCTCTGCAGGGAAAAACAACGAGTATGATATGATGGGTCTATCTCATTTCACTCAGTGGATTCAGCCAGTAAAGCCTCTGTCTGCAGAGCCTTGCATAAGTACTAACCCACTTTGAACTTCACTATGTCAGGGAGTTGTGTGTAATGGCGACACTAAATAGACCAAAATTTTGAAGAGTGTGGGATGGTGACTTGGGAGTATCATTCAGATTTGAAAAAAAGTTTCGGATGATTATGTATTTGTTTCTTGAAGTAGGAATACACCTGTAATGGTGATAATTATCCTTCTTTTCCTGACAGGTGTTATTGTGCATAAAATGAACTTACTGTAACATTTTGAGTTCATTGTTGGTTGCCATAGATCATAAAAGAGAGGAGAGATGAAGAAGAAGTAGCAGACAGTTAGCAAACCAGCTGTAGCAGCTCTCTGAGAGATGGTTAAGCACTTTTTATTCTTTCTAAACTATCCTTTTAACTCTTTTTATTCAGTTCAGTCATTTAAGATCAGCTAAAATTTCAAAATAAAAGCATAGTTTGGCAATATATATTTTTTAAAGCTCCTACAAGTGTCTTTTAGTTGGTATCAATTTTGGCGCCCCCTAATGACATAACAGTCTTTGCCCAACTTGTCCTCTACATGCTTATAAAGTGTCTTCTAACAAAAACAGCATCAAATTTATCATTTATTGTGATGATTTTTGGTTGAAATTTTAGAATAGACAGGGTTTCATTAGTTGTCAGCTGACACCTACCCTCTGCTCCTGTTTAAAGCCTTAAAAATTACAATTTAAAAATCATCAATCATATTGCTGATGGTATTCTTTACTTCTGGAAGAAAGAAAAAGGCATTATAATGAATTTCAGCCTGTTTCACAAATGTCAAAAAACCCTTATAGGAGCTTTAATTCCTCATGGTAATTTAAATCTACACTGAAATGTGTATGTGTATGTATGTTTAACTTTGAAATCACAGATTAAAATAAGTTGAAAACTATTTTCAAATGAAAATATGCCCTCACTGCTAGAGCTCAAAACTGAACAAGTGTTTTTTTCATATCATTTTCAGTAAAAATGTTGTAGTAGACTGAATATAAGCACATTAGTATGAAGGGTCCAGATGAAATGAGACCTATATTTCTTGTAATAGGTAAAAAAAGGATTTGCAAGCGGGTAAGAAACATCTACTTATTGAGTTTGGTCCCATTTTTTGCTTGCAATATCTTTGAATTAGATGTTGAACTGGATTTGTAAAGCAGATGTTGCTTATTTATGTCTGACATGATGTTTTTTTTAAATTTGTACCATGATAGGACAAAAACACTCTCCTAGTTTTGAGTTTATTGCGATGCAGCTTTGAGTTCTGTGAACTGCCTAACCACAAACAGGTGCAGCCATTGCCTTCAGCTTAACTTGTGCATCCAACAGATGCTGCTTTTAGGTCCGCTTCTCTCTGTGACTCAAATAGTTAAAAACCCTAAAGTGTCTGTGTGAATCCTTGATTGTTACACTGTAAAACGTAGAGGAGTCCAAGTGGGATGAAGACTTATGCAAAGCACTGAACCTCTTCTTTGTAGAGCTATTAACCTTGACATCCGACTTCCTTAGTGCTTGTCTGGATTGCACAATGTACTAGAGATCAGCTCATTCAATTTCCGAGAGCTGATGTTGAGGTCTAATAGACTAGAAAATAGCAGCTGTTTCATAACGAGATGAACAAAAGCCCCTCATATCTCCCAAAAGGCAGCTGGCTGGATTCATTTCCCTTTACGGGCGGCAGCCGTACGCAGTCAGTAATATGTACACGCAGTTGACTGGCTCCACTAATAAAGTTATAACACTGTGACGTTTTTTTAATGGTGCACAGCGCACATCCAGTCTGCTACCGGGCAAAACCACTGGAACAGACGGTGGGGGAAGGGGGTGACAGGGGGCGCACAGTCTGTAAGGGGGGGTTTCGCCAACAGAGCGGTCATCTGTCAGCGACAACCCGGAGACGCTCTCAGCCAATCCATAACAGCCAGTGACCTGTCATCAGAGGTCGTAAAGCACTCGAAATGATATTAGGAAATGAAAGAGAGAAAAACCCAGACCGCATGATCGACTCCCTCTCCCCTTGGTGACAGCTTCAACTGTTGTGTCTGCAGCAATTAACCCCGGCAGGTTGTTATGTATGCATGAGGTACTCTGAGAAACACACTTTATATTCAGTATCTGCGAGAAGTGATATAGAGAGATCAGCAAGTGTGAACGTGGAAGTCTTGGTTGTAAAATGAAAGTGTTAAATCAAGCCTGGCAGTAAAGATTAGCACTTAAAGTAAATTTCAGTCTGCTCTGGACAGGCGACAAACAAATCTTGGAGTAAATATACATCATCTGAGTGTTTGTGCTTACTGAGCTGATTCCTCTATGTGTGCGTGTCTCTCTCTCTCTCTCTCTCTCTCTCTCTCTCTCTCTCTCTCCCTTCTCACCCTGCCATGCTTGTACCTTTGCCCTTCCCTCAGGCTCCACATTGTGCAAGGATCTCAGGTTGTATCTGAGTAAGTGCTTCACACCCGGCTCAGTGGACAGCCAACTGCAGCAGGTCATCAGAGAGAACCTCTACCTCCGAGCCGTACCTTGTGAGTCCCATTATGTGCCTCTTTTTGTGCTGTTTTCTCTCTTTCTGTGCTTGTTTTTATATCTCATAGTCTTTTAAGTCTGCTTCGCGCATTTGCCATTGTTACCCCTCATACAAATTAGCACTGTTTGTTTGTTACTTAGTTAGTTAGTTTGTTTATTGTCCACAAGTGGAAATTTGTCTTTAGTCTCAACAGCAACAAGGACAGCAGCAACAGACACATAACATATACACACAAAACATCTTGGCAGCAAAAGAGGGAGGACAACAGTGTCATATACTGTACATACCAGGCAATTTAATGAGACATAGGCCTACTATCATTCAGTGCCCTGATGGCGTTAGGAATTAATGAGTTTTTGAAGAGGTTACGATTTGCCTTAGAACACGCCTGCTGAACGAAGTATAACGAACTCACTGTACAGTAGGTGAGAAGGATTGTTTACCATCTTAACAGCTTTTTTCCTCATCACTTCCTCGTAGATACAGCTGAAGTGTTTCTGTGACTTCCCTATGATTTAAGATTAAAGCTAGATTCACTTTTTTCTGCAGCTTACATCTGCCTTTTGTGTTTAGATTACCATACCATGTTTTTTTTAATCTTGAATTTAAGCTTACAAAAACTGGTTTCAATTAAACCATTTTATATAAAAATCACAGTTTTTCCAATATTCAGCTAGCCTAGTTTGTTTTTATTAGGGCGACCATATTCTGACTTCCCAAAAAGAGGACATGACTGCATGGGGGCGGAGTCACGGAGTCACACATAGTAAATTTTGAGAGTTTTTTCAGGTCGGATTGAGTGTCTTTCACGTGCTTCTAACTCAGTAAGTCTATGTGACACAAAATCGAAACTTAAGTACAAAACCGCGGACATTTGAAGGATTTTATAAACTTCCCTGGAAAAACCCGGACTGCCCAAAAAAGAGGACATGTCTGGGTAAAAGAGGACGTACGGTCATCCTATTTGAATGTGCTTGGTTAGTTTTATGGTTCGTATTCTTGTTGTATTTTGAGCCAGAAAAGTGGTAGCAGAGAGATGAAAGGATCCCCTCTAAAAAATGTACAGTATGTTTTCTATTTATTGCACAGTTAATAGAAAAAGTAAGCTACTCAGTGCAAATTTAAACATAAGTTTGAAGTGCTATACACACAATATCCGAACATTTTCTGGCTGATTTCAGAAAGTAAGAATTTCTACGTCCATTTCAAAAGCGATAAAAATTCCTTCACAGGAGCTTTAAGCATGCAGGATTTATGGCCTATTCTGAAGCTAGCCAGCAGGGGGAGCTCTTGGTCTTTTGCTTTCAGGACCAGGGAAAACTCACCGGATTTGTATTAAAGGTCCTATATTTTGAAAAATCCACTTTTTGGTGGTTTTCTACCAATAATATGCATTCCCTCGAAGCCGACAACCCCTGCCGACATAAAAACATTTCACTCTCTCCCTCTCTTGTTTTCCCCTCCTCTCTGAAAACATGAGCGCAAACGAGTCGAGTCAAATACTTGCTGACATTTACAAGAGGATACAGCAGGATAAAGTCGCATACAAAATTTGTTTGTTTATGTTTGCACACGTCGTAATTTGAGAAATTTTCCAGAGTGCTGTGCATGTGTAAAAGCAGAAAGTGGTTAAAGCAGGACCCAAAGAGGGATCTAAAAATCTCTATTAACCTTGCTCAATTTAATCTATCCAGGCACATCTCTCAGAAGTTACTGACCTCATTAATTCTCTGATAGCACACCTCATCGTTTCTACCATGCGAGTATCTTGGTGTTAATTGGCGTTTAAGCCCGCGGAGCTGTTTCCCACACTTCCTTGTGTCGATGTATGCAAGAAGACGAGAGATAATTCGATGAAGTAATGAAAGAACACATTATCAAACCTTTTCTTAAATCTTAAATTGGGTTTGAGTCGAACAGAAAAAGCCACAGGTGTAGTCGGATCGGATAATTGCGTTTCCAAAAGGCTGGATTTGTCTTCGGGGGACGGTTTTTTAAACAATCCTCACCTCTTTCGCTCGAGGCTGCTCCTTTTGTTTGGGTGGCTCTGTGTGACGGTTGCTATATTTGACAGGTTTTATTTTACTCGTACAGTTGTTGCATGATCCCCTGAAAAAGAGGCCTGTTCCATTTTCATGCTTAAGTACAAAATCAGGCACAATGGCAGCCAAACGCAGCTAGTTGTAGTACATCTGTTGCCATCTTAATCCTGTATAATATGACGTCACCGGGGGGAAAAAAAGCTGGAGGGTAGTGCAGCCGGGCAGGCTTTTCTGAGAAAGATCTGTGCGTTTTTTTATGTAATATTCTGATTTTTGTGTGTCACTTCTGCTTTTTTTCCTCACTCAGGTGGTTGTATAGTAGAGATAGTGGCCCACCTAGTGTGTCTGTAGTCTTAACCTTGACGTAGTGGTGTGGGCTCGCTGCTAATCTCTCCTTTAGTCCAGGAAGTAGGTCATGTGGGACAGTCTGCCAGCACTGCCCACTCGCTGACAGGACAAGGCACAGGTCAAAACTCCCAGGACGGTGCGAGGAAGAAAAAAGCCATCCCTCTTAGCACACGACATGCATATTCATATTAGAGTATAATTACAGTTTTATTCAAATCAAGCTCTCTCATTACTTAGCCATGCGTGCGTGCATCCTGCTTCATCTACGAGCAGCAGCTGCTCAGGGAGTGATTGCCTAAATAAACAGTTATGCTTTTAGCCGTCTCGGTAAGTGGATTTAGAGAATGGGGTGGATAAAAGAGGCTTGTCATGTTGAAAATTAGATAAGTCAGGAGTTTAACGTTTGATCAGGGGTGTTTGAAGACACAGAATATCACTACCGGTCAGTGACATGCGTCGTCGTGAATGTGGTGTCAAACTTTGGACTCGACTTCCAATCTCGCAGTGCTTTCTTATAGTAAGAGTGACAACAAGACAGGCTCAGCCCCCGGGTGTGTAATCCTCTGATCTGCTGGAGACGGCCCAGTAAGATGCTGTTGTTCTCATGCCGACACAAACACTCGCACGCTGTCCTGATCCCTGAAGATGGCTTGGAAGCAATCACGTCTCGTGTCAAAGCAGTCGTAGATATTAAGACGGATATATTCTCTCTTTTTTTTTTGTTGTTGTTTTTGTTTTTTTCTACGAGGTGGCAGCAGCGCTTGATAAATCAGGAGCTCAAAGCTGTGGAGGTTTTTCATCTGTGGCTCTTTGTGGCCCCCTTCAGACCACATGTATGTTCCTCCTGATTCAGGAGACTCTTTGCTGTGTGTTTTTTTTCCCCTCTGTGATTAACACTTTAAGTCGAGTGAGATTCAGATTAATCTGTCTCTGTAGGCTAGTTTAAGTGTTTAAATGTTCCTTACTGTACAGAAGCAGAATAGTCTGAATAAGCTTCAGTTTGTCTGTTTGTTTTTGATGCTATTTTCTCCGCTAAAACTGTGTCTCCGTGTGTTTGTGCTATTTAGAGAGTATCACAGTCGTCGAGTCCTTTGATGAGACAATGCGCTGTGATGTTTGAGTTGGCACCGGTGCAAGAAATGATATTACAAAGGCTCAGTCAGGGGGGCAGTGCATAAAAATGGATATACTACTATATCAATAATCCAGCAGGGGGGAATAAAATTAAAAGCAAAAGTGGAGGAGGGGGAGGACTGCTGTTTAATCGTGTGTGTGCTCATATTGAAGCTGACAGGATGCTCACTGTGAAGCCTCAGGGGGGCAGGTAAACGTATATACTCTACTTTCAATCGAGTAAAACAAACTCTTTCTTTCTCATTCTTGAGTTTTTTGCGCTCAGGTTTCTCGCAGGCCTCTCGTAACCCTCCAGAACTTTCCCATCCTTTTTCATTTGATCACCAGAAAAAAAAACCCATTTGTATCATATGCCCTTGAATGATTCACTTCCAGTGTCTTTGCCTAAAGGCCGGCTCCGTTTCCGTCCCCGCCACAAAAGACTTTTCTAATTGTCTTCAGAGTGAGTCAGAGATAAGAAACATCATCATTTAGTTTTTCTAATTCGCTCGCTCCAGCTTCGTCACAGCGCTGATCGTCTGTGGCCTTTTCAACTGTAGGATTCATTGTTCGCCGTTTGTGTGTGATGATCTTGACAGACGACTCTCTCTCTCCCTCTTTTTCTCTCTCTCTCTCTCTCTTTTGGTGTTGATACTGTATTCTGTGTAATTATCTCTTCAGTTTTTAAATCACCCTTTCTCCCGTGGGATTGGCGCCTACAGGGAAAGGCGTGGAGAAGGAAGAAGATGTCAATAATCCATCCTGTCCCCCCTCCCGCTGACATGTCATATATATTTCCTGGGAGGGTGCATAGATAATGAATCCCTGCTTTGCACCATTTCAGCTGCAGAGATAATGTGTGTCCTGAGGGGAGGGAAAGGCTTACACATGTCAGGTGTCACCTGCAGATTTGACATCCAATGTCTAATTACACATTTGCTCAAAATGGGTGCAGAATTTTTTTTTTTAGCATTAAAAAAGTGCAAACACAACACTTGAAATATAGACGAATAGATCAGGCCAATCATATCATGTAAGCATCAGAAAGTAGAAAGCACTATCTCCTTTTATCCCATCCAAGTGACGATGAAACCGACGCAGAAGTGCTAAAAAATGCAGTTCTCCTGTCAGAAACAATCGCAACTGAACCGAATTCAAGTCAGTTTCCTTTGTTGGCGTTTCTGATCGTACTTTCAGCTCATTTTTTGTGTCATTTGTCCTTGTAGAAGCTTGTAAACGGCGTCATTGCTTCTGCTTGTTAGGGGTGGGAGAAAAAATCGAGGTAACACTTTACAATAACCATGATTAATAAATGGTAAATAGATAGTTTATTAAAGTTTAATCATCATTTTAAAACAGCACATAGACCAATTATATGGTTATGGTTTATATAGGGTTTAAATATTGGTTTTATAACATCTAGATTAAAATGTGTCAGTAGCACTTTGTAAATGTTTAATATTTGTTTTTTAAACCATCTATAAACTTTACTTAGATGGTTATTGTAAAGTTAGGGTTAGGTTTGCAAAATTGTAAAATTTACAATTTATTAATGGTCTATATGCTATTTATAAATGATGATTAAACATTAATAAACTATCTGCTTACCATTTATAAATGGTCTATTTATTATTTGAGTTATAGTTATTGTAAAGTGTTACCAAAATCGATACAACATAGTATCGCGATATTTTGCCTGGTGATATATTGTATCGTCTCATTGACCAGGTATCGATTTTTGAAATTGATTGCTGATATGAAGTCAAATCTATGATAATGGAAAAAATAAAATCAACTGTTTGTCCAGTGAGGTTGGCAGAGGTGACATAATAGAGCAGGAGAAAGTTAGTGCAACCAAAATATATATATAAGGATTGCAAGATGTGCTACATGAAACTAAAAAACAGCATAAATAAGACAAAGGAATGCCAAATGCTAAATTAGCTAAACAGTTGAAAAAATCAGATAAATTGCAATATATTGTATTGCAATACTCACTGACTTGCAAAATGTTAAAAAAATTGCAAAAATAATGTATCATGGCCCAAGTATCGTGATAATATCGTATCGTGGGGCCACTGGTGAAAAAAAAAAAATTACTATAAGTGGGAAAAATTTCCAGCACCAGATGAGAATTGAAAGCCTCACATCTCGGATGATCTGATCTGAGCAAATACTGTGAGGTATCTCTGTTTTAAAGAGGAGGGCTTTCTTCTGAACCAATGTGTAAAAATAGAAAACACTTTATGTGAGTTACAGTATAAGTCGAGAGAAGTGGTGCAAGCTCTAATCACAGTCATTTACACCAGGTCTAAAGAAGACCAGACACTTTCCTAACATGCTAGGAAGTGGGGTCAGACTGATTTTTTCCCCTTAAAACCACAAACAATAACAAGGAAAAACTAAACCACAGCAGGCCGATCGATTATTTAGTAAATCAGGTGAAATATTTCCTGTGATGATGTGTTTCATTAGTCGTTTTTTAAAGCAGAAAATGTCTCATATTCGGTTTGTCAGCTTCAAGCAAAATTAAAATGCTAATTTTTCACCGCCGTCTCGTTTCTGTGATTCAGAAACACACACTCGGATATAACCTCTAACTCAGCGTGAACCTTTTCATGTAGGGCTTGACCCCAGTTTTTCTGTGGCTTTCAAATGAGAAGAAATAATCAGAGCGCAGACGGAGTTTGCTCAACAAAAATCCTGCTTTAATCAGAGGCCAGTGCTTCATCCCCTGCAGACTCATGCTGTACATTAAACACTCTCTGTACTACAGAGAGGAGAGGTCAGCCTGTATGTGAGGTCTCATGCTTTCTAACGTTTGTGCTGCTGATTCTTTATGTCTGTGTGTGAATGTGTGTTTGCACGCTTTTATTTTTGCGCCGTCCTGTGTGCGTGTCATTGTGGCTGCCAGAGCCGCTCCTGGGACAGCAGTGCATTAATCATGGTTTTTATAGGGTATCTGGGTGTGACTCCCTCCTGCCGGCTCCTCACTGACATCACATGAGGTCCTAGAGGAGGAGGACACAGATTCGTCCTTAGTTTGAGCTCGGTGTGAGTCTGTCTTGGGAAAAAAACGGCTTTTCTCAAGGTCAGACTGTGTGTGTCGACGCTTAATCAGTCCTGTGAAGATGTGAAATATTTCACACCACATGCCCGCACATGTATTTAATGGTTTTCATCTGCGACTCCGCGATGGTGCGACGCTTTTTCCTGCTGTGGTTTTGGACCCGCGGCTTCCATCCAGGCCAAGGTCAATGCGAATCAATTATGATGGCACACAATTGATCACCCCAGCGCTTCATCTTTGCAACGGTGATAGAAAGACTTAAAGACTTTCACAGTGGCTCATTAATGATTAATTCTGCTCGCATTGATCCGTTCATAATAAAGCAGGCTTGGTAAATGGCTGCCGTCATCACTGTGCTCTTCAAACCGAAGGCCGGATTGGAGTTTGTAGGAGGATGCTCTGTAGCTCCGGGGCTGAATGAACATCAAAATGCCTTCAATAAACGGGTCGTGTTACTTTGTGCTCCAATTAAATGTTTGCTCTTATTTCTAAGATTGTTTGAGCTTTAATTGGAGTTAGACTAAATCCATGACTTGCTGCCTTTTGTTTGTTGTTGTTAATTTGTCAAACTAATGAAACGTGAAGAGTACTTATTTGCTGAATTGTTGTCCTGTCCCACTTAGATTAATGACCTCTGATGGCATGGGAAGGTCTTGATTAATTGACGTATCATCTACATTAAAGCCGTCATAGACTTTCTGTCATTGTCTCTCACCCCTCTCTCTCTCTCTCTCTTAGGTACAACCAGACAGCCCAGAGACGGTGAAATCTCAGGTGTAGACTACAACTTTGTCTCCATCGAAGAGTTCTTCTCCTTGGAGGAGTCGGGAGTGCTGCTCGAGAGCGGAAAGTTCAAAGGTGAGGTTATAACTCATTCGACCTTTTTCAATTATAGCTGCGTTTCCACCAAAGGAAACTCCCAGAGGAATATTGAACCTTTGGTGGAACTTGGCATTTCTGCAACACAGAGTTCAAGGTCTAATTTGCTTCCTCGGGAATACTCCCAGTATTTTCTTTCCCTTAACTTTTTCTTTGGAGGACTAGGATGCTTTCTCAGCACAGGAACTGGAGTCTAATTTCTGCGGATATCATTTTAACCCCACAAGAAAAAAAAAAAAAAAACCCAGAAAAAAGCACAGTGGCTTAAGGAGAAGGATGAGCAGTTTGAAGCATTTCTGACGGGATGAGATATGATGGGATGAAGAAATTTAAATCCTCGGTCCCAGATAGATTGCATGGCTTTTTACCGGTGCTAATTAAACAAGAAAACACTGTCTGATTTATAAAAAATGTGCACAACCTGTGGACATAATTTGAACCCCCAAAAATGCAAAACATCGTAGTTGGTTGGTTACATGCAGCAGTTAACTTCAAGCTTTTTTATACGGTGGAACTTTGCTGCTGCTCCGGAGAACAGATGAGGGTCATATAACAATTTAGAGGCATTTTTGACCCCCCAAAATTCTCAAAGCTATTATTTCTGATAAGTTATGAATCCAGCACTTTGTCAAAGACTTAATATAGTCTAATCTGTTGTGAACCTGTCTTAAAACTGCATCGTAACACTTAGTTAGACACCCCATCGCGAGATGAATGAATGCAAAGAGACTAAACATAACTCATCTACTCTCTTCCAGCAGCCGCTTGTTTGTAGCGAGACCTCAGGCGAGTCCATCGACTGCAGCGGGGTTACGCAGCTCAAGGAAGAACATTTATGATCATTTCTTTATCATTTCCTTGAGGTAATAATCATCATATTAATCATTTTACACTGCAGATGCGGTAGTTCTTCTGCCTTAGCGTCTCGGTCTGATTGCATGAAGAAATGATCATAAATGTTCTTCCTTGAGCTGCGTCACCCCGCTGCAGTCGATGGACTCGCCTGAGGTCTCGCTACAAACAAGCGGCTGCTGGAAGAGAGTAGGTGAGTTGTGTTTAGTCTCTTTGCTGAAGAAATCTGGCAAAGTTAAAAGGCCTGATTCTAATTTGGGTTCAAACGTGACTCAATTGTCCTGATAACTTAATGTAACTGGTTTACTTTTAAAAGAGGTAACTAATTTGTTGACCAAACTCGAGGACCATTGTTCCTGCCTGATCTACATTCATTGAGTTTACTCCTAATCCAGAGCATTGACTTTTGTGTGTCATGATAAATGAGCTTTACAAAGCCCATAACAGGACGGCCACCCTCACATGCATATTAATGCCGTCAGGTGGTATTTAACCCTTCAGACTCCTCCTCCTCCAGTAAGGGTCAGTGTGCCGCAATGTGATCAAGAGTCCTCCATACATTAGCATCCATAATTTAGTAGAGTTTTAATGGCGGCTATGAATGTCATCCCCACTTGCCTTATGTGTGACATTGACGGACACATCACTGCAGCATAGCAATCCGAGGTTTCTGCAGCATTGTCCCCACAGTCCCCTGCAGGACGGCGGGAAAAAAAATGGTGACGGCTGGTGACCTTGTTGTTGGGTTCACTAATCTAATGTTCCCCCTCAACCTATTTTGGATCTCCATGAGCCAAATGGAGGAGGAGCAGAGGTAATTTAATTTGTTCTTTAGCAGCTGGAGCAGATGGTTAGGAAGGATTGAGAATATAGAATATATAGATCATCCCTCTATATAATGCGCAAACACTCATACAGATATCAAACAGCATATTCAACAGCTGAAATCTAAATAGATGGATTTTTATTTTCATTTGGAAACAGACTTTACCGCATCTCATTACCCTTAAATTTATGCTGATGGATTTTATTAGTGACTCGGACATTCATTTCTTTTCTTTTTTTATTTTTTCAAGGAAATGCACGGCTCACTTGGTGCATTTAATTATTACTGCAGACGATTATATAACAATCCTATTATTCTAACTTGAGTTTGAATCATTCCTCTTGTCAAAACAGGTATGTAGTCTGTCTTTTCAGGTTTTAGGGGGTGATTTTTATTTAAACAAGGAACAAAAGGACACATGTATTCACAAAAAAACTGCAAAAAACAGATTCAAATAAAAAAAAAAAATGTCTTGTTAATATGTAATTTTTATCTCTGACGCCTTGTTTTTACCATCATAAACATTTCATCAGTTATATCTTCATGCACTCTCATTTTTAAGTGCCGGTCTCTTGTCCTTCTCTCCGTCAGGGAATTACTACGGCACACCTCGGCCTGTGCACATCAGCCCAGAAAGCCCCCCCATCACCTACCAGGAGCACCGCAACCTGCTCCGAAACTTCCGCACACGCAGCAAATCGCTCAGCAACCTGGAGAAGGCTGCAGAGGAGGGCGAGAACAGCGAGGAGGACTCGGGCCTGTCAGGCGAGTATCAATACAACGACGAGAACACTAATGTAAACCTGAAGGAGATGTGAAGAGCTGTTCGACTGCTGACAGTATCATAAGAGGAGTATTGTTGTTTTACAGATATCGACAGTCCAACACGTCTGATAAGCTCTGCACAGCAGCCCGCAGCTAAATACCGCATTGTCCCCTCTATCTATAGCTTCAGTCTCTGATACCCAAATGAATCAATCATCTGCGCGATTAGTATGCTCGAAACTCTCAGAGGCGCTGTGGCCTCATTGATTTCTGGACCGCCTCCAAAGGAAGGTCAGACTGCGCGGGGTCGAGCAGACGAGGGGGTAAGCAGAGAGGCGAGGATGCACACATGGAGGTCATGTAAAGAGGAAGTTGGAAGGGAGAAGTAAATTAGGTTACGCCAATAAGCAGCACATGACTTGTTTTTCTGTAATTGGAATAAAGTTTATTATTGATTGAAAGCAGGTAACTGTTAAGAAAGCTGGTCTGTGTCGTTTGCATATTGATGCTTTTATTAGATATACAAAAGCAAAAAAGATAATCAGAAACAAGACAGACTGCTTTAAAATTGTGACTTTTTTCCAATTTACACAAAATATTTACAAGAAATAACACATTTGACTGTCAGAAGGAGGCAGCAAGATTACATTTGATGAAACTTTTATGAGACTTAAAGCTCCTGTGAGTTTTTTTACATTCATGAAATAGGCTAAAATTCATATTGATGCTTTTTTATGATATACAAAAGCAATGAGGATCATCAAAAACAAGACGGACTGCTTTAAAATTGTGACTTTTTTCCAATTTACACAAAATATTCATAAGAAATAACATATTTGACTGTCAGAAGGAGGCAGCAGGATTACATTTTATCCTGTTTAAGCATGTAGAGGAAAAGAAAAGCGAAGACTGCTTTGTCCACAGGGGGGCGCCAGAATAGACACCAACTGAAAGTTCCTCACTGGAGCTTTAAAAAAAAGCCAATGTATGACAGACGATATAATGAAATGTCTGTTTACTGATGCCTCTAATTACTCAAAATGTTGATTCATTTCAAGACTTTACAACCAAGACTTTTCGAAGCGTCATCTGCGCTCAAATATGAATGTGGTGAGTTTGAGAGTTAAAGAAATGAGGCGACAACAAACTCGAAAACCACAGGAGAAGTTTGAGATGAGACAGTGAGAGAAAGGCAGCAACACAGAGTAGTGGTGGCAGTGCATGCAGATAGGGGGGGCTGAGGTTTTGCAAAGGTGGAGGCAGGGAGCCAGAGTGGTACACGAGATAAGAGCGGAAATGTGTGGGAGGGTGTAAACGCAGGCAGAGGTCCAGATAGTTAGAGACGTGCTCCAAACAGGCAGGTAGGGCAGCAGGCAGCCTGCACCAGGAGGGGGATTTAAATGCAGGATGCAGACCAGATGAAGTTTGAGAGAGCCATCCAACACCCTGACCTTTGCTGAGTCATCTTCTGAAGTGATACTGCGTGGGTGGAGGGCTTCGGCAGCACTTGTCGTGTGCGGCAGGACTCGGGACGCCTCTTGTGGTGTTCGACATCTCTCAGATCCACGCTGGAGCTCACAGCTGAAGGACAGCTCCAAGGACAGCTCGGCATAAAATATGCTTATTTTTCGAGTGCTGGTGGAGTGGCACGCATGGTGACATGCTCAGCCTCCTTAGAGAGACGACCGAGATGCTGACCTCAGTCCTTTTTTCCCTGACAGCCCCTCAGTGGAATTGCCACCATCAGGTCCTTAAGGATTGCAGGAGAAACTTTCTCACCTTCTGCCGCGGGTAAATAATGACTCCCCTGTCCAATTTAGATTTCTCACTCTCTCTCTTGTCACTTTAATTACAGGAGGCTCTGCAGGCGTCAGCAACTCGGCCCCACACAGACACAGATCCCCTCGGCGGCCCAGGACGTCCAGCGGCGGGGATGGACGAGTCGTAGAGAACGGGATCATCGGGGGCAGGAGCAACGCCAGGGTGAGACGTGCGATGCCTGATCACTGGGAGCTGGCCTTCAGTGACCCAGGAGAGTCGCACTATGTGGAGTGAGTGTCTGCCTCGCCTTGATACCTTCTCTTTTACTACATGAGAGAGGTCATCTCGCCCTCTCATCCAAGTCAACCATGTGAATGTGTTCGTTGAATTGCTCTGACTTAAATGCAGCTTCTTCTTCTTCTTCTTCTTTTATGCGAACTTGTCATGACTGTCACTGGCAGGCGTCTCTGTTTCTGAGTGCATTGAAATCCAGCGCTGTCATATCCACTACTATTATGTTTCTGAAGTGGCAGGCTTTTCATTCGCTTTCCCCCCTTTGTGTTTCCAAGACGCAACCCAAAGAGGACCAGCTGGCAGAGTGCTCGAGCGTCAAGCCGGGAGACCGTCTACAAAAACGAATGTGAGCCTCTTTTGTTTGTTTCTTTCTTTTCCCCCCCGTCTCCTCTCTCTCTCTCTTTTTCTCTGGATGCAATTATTTCAACACCGCTGACACATTTAACCGTTCAAGGGCCTAAATGAAGCTTCATATTTGTCAAGAACGGAGGTACGAGACAGAGGCAGCTTGTTAGCGTCAAATGAGATGGAATGAGCTTTTAGCCGAACAGAGACATGTAAGTGATTAAGGCCTAAAGCTTGGAGCTGCTGGCGAGGAGCCAGACGCACTGCTGAGGCAGCCGGGGTCGACACGTGGACGGCACGTGACCCGCCAACTTAATTTCATAATTTGGTCACATGATTCGCAGTTAAAAGAACAAGAGCGCAATCTAGTTTTGAAGTCTGCATGACAGAGCTGGTTGCAAACTGCTTGAAACACATCTATTTGAAAGCCCCCAGCTCCTGTCAGTGAGACGCAGTACATGTCTCTCACCAGCAGGCGGCGATCTAAACTCCAGTTTGGCCTCATTTACCTGCAAGAGGAAGGATTTCTGCAAAATCTGAAACTAAGATAGATAGATAGATATACTTTATTGATCCCAAACTGGGAAATTCTCTTGTTACAGCAGCAAAAAACACAAAATAAAATTAAATATAAGAAGAAGTAAGTACAATGCAGACTAAAAATACTTGAAATACTAAATATATACAATAAATACAGACAATCTCAACATCCTAAGAGAAAAAAGTGAGATATGAAAAATGAAATGAGTATTAAATATGAAATGCAGAATATACAGATGTAATGATAAATAAACAGACAATTTAAGGTGCTCAGTAATGTGATGTGGTAGGAGTTTTTAAAAATGGACTATACAGCAGACAGATGTGAGTCCCTGTCTGACAGATGTTAGTTATTAAACAGTGCAATAGCTTGTGGCAGGAAAGATTTCCTGTATCTGTCCCTTCGACGGCGGAGCTGCAACAGTCTGTTGGAGAAGGAGCTCCGCTGTCTGTCCAGAGTGAGGTGGAGAGGGCGGTCAGGGTTATCCATGATGGATAACAGTTTGGTCAGTGTCCTCCTCCTCTAAGGGGGTCTAAACTAAGTATTTGGAAGTTTGCACATTTATGCATTTTGGAATGATTTACAAACTGAGTGCTATAGCAGAAGTTCAAGTCAGAATTGATTTTAATTGATCTATTTTTTAAAGATTTTCAGATACAAAGTAAAAGCAATTAAGAAGGCAGAGTTTTCAAAACAGATAGACACAGTTTTGATGCAACATTTCCACCAAAAGCTCTAGAGATTGTGTGCAGATCTACTTCTATATAATCTGGAAATCAATTTGCACTACTCTAACCTCATTTTAACCCCCCAAACCAATTAGCTCTAACTGTTTAATCTAAAAGAACAGGTCTGAAATGGTCATTTTCTCATCTTCTTCCCGTCTGTTTGTGCTTCTGTCACATCCAGGGTTCACAGACCTGCCCGGGGAGCTCAGAGGCTTCCCTGTGCACACACACATCACCAAGGGCTCCAGAGGGTTCGGCTTCAATATCGTCGGAGGAAGCAGGCCGAGAGAGTTTCTCCAGGTGTACAGCGTGACTTCGAGTGGACCCTCAGCGCTCAAGACAGGTATATTTATCGTGAACGTGAGGCGATTACTGAATGTGAAAGCTAGCTGACGTGTTTGCGACATCAAAAGGTGGGATTTTAAAGGACAGAGAGGCCGTACTTACCAGGATATTAATAGAAACAGTACAAGACTTTCCATAACTCCACAGTGAGAGCTGCAGCTACGGACATCTTGCAAAACATTTTTAATCAGCTGTGTGTTTTAACATCTTATCTCCAGTTTTCCGTCTCCGCTCTCTGGGATTATACTCCTGTCATTTTCTGATCTCCGACAGCAACTCTATATCACAATCAGTCCCTAATCCTCAGGGCCAGCACGCCATAATCAAGCTATCATAACACGTGCATATGCAACGGTACGCGTCCGCACTCACACGCACACGCACACACACACTCACAAATACCCGGGCAGGCTGATATTACCACTTTATCAACCTCATGCACAGGCTGTCTCTGCAGGGACTGATCTAGTTCATATCTGCTAATAGGCTGGTTTAGAGGGATTTGTTGGTTGGATTAGTCACCGCCCACACAAAACACATGATTGTGTTTCATTTGCAAACTACACTCGTCTGCACACTGCATTTGAAACGGTCGATAGAGTTGAAGCAGACACATACAAATATACATTTCACCAAAGTAAAAACTGCAGTTATGTCTTAAATTGAAAGGTGTCAAGTTTTAGCAGCTGGACTCTTCTTCTACTGAGTTATGGTGTTTTAGGTTTGTGTTTGGCTTTGTTTTGCTGATTTAGACAAGGTTTTCTCTGGAAAAGAAGTGTTGTTGGGATGTCAGTATATGTTAGAGAAGAGTATAAAGAAGTGCTGATAACATTCAGGTGTTATTTCTCTTCTTTAGAGTGGCGAACACCACGTCCATGATTCCTTAAAAGAAGGTCAGGGTTTAATTTGGTAGACAATATTTAGCTTCATCTCAGTCCTTCTTAAAGGAGCCCAGATATATTGCTATAATCTCTGGATTAATAGCTTCCTGTTTGTGGTTTGAATGTGTATTTATGAATACAGCAAGAAACTGTGTTCACATACAATGGGTTTTTGAGAGTACTACAGCGTCATGTCTAATTTTTACTCAGTGTCACCTGAAGACCGTAAGGTCGCAGCAATCCTGTGATAGTTTTGGGCCTCAACCTTTTTTACAGAGAAGTTTCTGCAGATTCTCTGATTTTTTAAAACATGATCACATCACCCCAGTTCTGGCATCCCTTCATTGGCTTCCCGTTCATTTTAAAATTTTATTTTTTGTTTTTAAATCTTTGGACGGATCAGCACCACCATACATCTCTGACCTCTTAAATGTTTATACTCCCTTCAACTCGTTGTCCCTAAAACACGTTTGAAAACCTGTGGTGACCGAGCTTTCTTGGCTCCCAAATCGTGGAACGAATTGCCACTCCAGATCAAAACATCCCCTAGTTTTTCATTTATTTTATTTCATTTTAAATGTTTTTTTTTTTTTACCTGCTTTTATTTATTTCCTTGTGATGTTTTCTGTAGTCTTTGTTCTTTTAAATTGTACTGTGCAGCACTTTGGCAAACTTGAATGTTTTTAAAATATGCCAAATAAATAAAACAGATTGGATTTTTTTACTAATATTATAAGTTTTAGACTACAGGAGGATTTTCCCACTTTTTTCTTTGTTTTTTTTTATTTTAAGCTGAAAAGTATGACTGAAAGTGTTGAACTTTTGCTCAAACAGTCTCTCACAGACTGGTAAACCTCTTCTCCTCTTTACCTTTGACACATTTGACCTCTCTTAAAGTCTTTTATTACTTAGACCATTCACTAGTCTCTTCCAAAGTTCAACTTTTTGATTGTTTTGTTGTCCTAACTGTCCTAAAAAAAATTATGATCAGTGTCGTCACTCAATACTTTGTCTCCACATTATTTTCTTTGTCTTTTTTGTCGTCAACAGCGGACATCCTGGTGTACATCAATGACGTTTGCGTGTTGGGAGTGTCTCACAGAGAGGTGGTCGAGATGCTCAAGTCAGTGCCTGTCGGCCACGCTGTGGACGTCGAGGTTAGAAGAGGGTACCCCATGCTCTACAACCATGACGGCTGTCCCAAACAGCCCCCGCCACAAATACTAGACAACGGGGACCCCCTCCTTCCACCCACCACCACCCAGCCTCAGCCTCTACACCAACTACCTCGCCTCACGACGCCCAGCCCCCAGCCCCAGCACTTTACTTTCAACGGGGTCCACAGCGACGTGTACCGCTTAGAACCAGGTGTCAGTCTGGACGCTAACGGAAACGCCATGTCCTTCATCAGACAGCCGTCGTCATACAGACGCTCCAGTTTGAGCAACGCCACCTCCTCTGCCCCCATGCGTCCGCCGAGGTCCAACAGGAGTTTAGCCAGGCTGCAGTCCATGGACCCCACACTCGCCAGTCAGAGTGACAGCGAGGTCGTTTCAGCCATCGGCTCACACAGGTACGAGATTCACACTCAGAACTAAAGACTAAAGAAGGATTTATGTGTGGTGGAAAACTTGAAAAGAAGCTGCATGAACTTTGACTCTCATACACGACACAATCTGAAAAGGCTTTTTAAAAATAATGCTGCAGTTTGCCAGGTCATATCATCATCAGTTAATTTGGACGTCAATAAATGGAATGAACTGAGCGCCATTCAGGTCTAAAAATGATTTGAGTTAAGCACATGAGCTTCAAGGGTACAGGACAGAGGTCAAATTAGGAAAAATAGATAAATGACTGTCCAGGTTATTTGAGAACAAAGTTTATAATGAAAAGGATCAGTCTGAAATTAAAAACTAAGGCTTTCTGAGGCGGTACAGAAATGTGTAATTATCCAGGATGTGTCATTTCAACTCACCAGAGTCTTTATTAGGACATAAGAGAAGATAAAACAGGAGTTTAAATACAACTAGGGTGTCAAGTGATGGTATTTACCTGACACTTAAAGCACAAATTACAATTTTGACATTATTTTCACAACTTCTGTCTCATCAGTTTGGCCATAAAATGTTTAAAATGAGGGAAAATGTTTTTAAAATTAATAGTTTTTGTCTAATCAACCATTTAGTTCCCAAAGACTCATCATAAGGTGATGTAAATAGTAAAGAAAACAGAAAATAGACACAATTTAGTCGTCAAAACTGACAAATGTTGAGCGCTTTTTGCATAAGGATGACCAAAAACTATTTATTTGAAATTGAATATTTTTTACTTTTTTTAAATATTAATACTAATAAACTTTGAACCTCCACATTTATGATTAATCTGGTTGTTGGTATTTGTGTTTAGGAGCACAAACAAAAGTATCAGTGGATTTTGATTAATTAATTCACTATTTAGTCTCCAAATATCTGTGAGAGAGAAGTCATGTTAACTTATTAATTATCTTCAGGTTTTAACTCCTTTCTTTGTTTTTCATCAGGGCGTCGATGATCCGTAACCACAACAACAACTCCCTCTCAACACCCCCTAATCCTCTACGTTACGGCACCTTCAAATCATCAGAAAGCGACCTGTCCACCTGCACCCTCTCCGGGTCCCGCCTGCCCCTCCCTCAGTCCCCCAGGAGGCCCTCCACCTCCCCCGGCGGCCCCTACAGCGCTCGCGCCCGCCTCTTCAGACCGCACACAGCTTCACACCTCCGACCTCCTCCCACGCCTGAGAGCCCGCACCACCGCGGGTACAACGGCTATCTCGGCAACACCAGCCCCACCGCCAGTCCTAGCAGCGTGTCCTCTCCCGGAGCGATGAGCATGGGCAGTGGGATTGGCAGTTTGAGCGGAGGGGAGCTGGTGCCGGTGGCTTTGGCCCAGACTGAAGGAGACCAAGGACTCGGCTTCAGTTTGACCGCCGGGGGTCCAGGAGGGAGGATGACTATCGTGAAGAGAGTCTGGGACAGGAGGCAGTGCAACTCCCTGCAGCCAGGGGACGCCATTATCAAAATCAATGGAGCGGATGTCCAGAGTCTCAGCTTCTCACAGGTAAAGGAAGACCAGAAGGGAGGGAGTAATCAGCTCAGAAGACATTTTAAATCCACTTTTTCTTTGCCTGAATTTATCCATCTTTGACAAACTCTATTGTGAAAGTGTTCCCAAACACTGCAGTACATACAAACATCATTTTCTGCTATTTCTGTACTCTAATAAGTCATTGCCTACTATTTTTCTCTTGCTGACAGGTTCAAACGGTTCTCCTGGAGCACACCAGACAAGCAGAAGTCGTCTTGTTGGTTTACAGAGGAGGTAAATTGGCGTACATCTTTGAAGAGTCGCTGAGTTTTGAATAAAAAGTTCCTCTCTTCTGATTTTATTCCACTTTTTCTGTCTCATTATCAGGCATCTATCACTCAGCTGTCTCCCCTGGCACCCTCCGAAGACTACCCCCGCCTCTCCTCCGCCCACCTCCTCCACCTGTTAGTTCAGAAACCTCCTCTCTGCTCCCAGAAACTCTGCCTTTGCCTCGCACTTCCATCAGCACCCCTCCGGCCTCCCCAGCCAAGATGCGCACCTCTCTGATCCAGAGCACCAGTTTCCTCGAGTCGATTCCGGTGACCCTGACCATGGAGCCCAAAGACTGGATCAACACGGGCCTGGAGGACGAGGCGAGCGGGGTCACGGTGCCTGATTCGAGTCTGGACAGGCAGGGCGGTGAACGAACTCGGCCGCTTCGAGGTTTCGATGTGGAGCTGAGGAGGAAACCCGGAGAAGGCTTTGGTTTCGTCATCGCCTCTCAGGACGTGGAGAACGGCAAAGGTGAGAGTCGTTTTCATCACGTTTATCGAGTTAAACTTCTTTAAACTGTAAAACTTTTTTAATCAACTGATCTGAGGAAGAACTGGACGGCCATTACGTGTTATAAACTGGACGCTTCTGGCCCAGTCGAACCATTTGGTTACTTGCCCGGGGAAACAAGCTTTATTTGGATGCCCTTGTGGACAAACGTACCATTAAGTAATTACAGATTAAAAAGTGGCCGCTGTGGCTGCACGCCACTGGATGAGTCATGATGCATCATCGAAAAAACTCAGGAAGTCACAGCTTCCTGGAAAAAAAAGAACTGGCTCATCCTTCCCATAAAACTGCAACATGCCTCAGAGCGCGACAGTCTCTTTATTGATTGAACAAACACGATTTGATGTGTGTGTCAGTGAAGTCCAGGGCGCTGATGAGGCAGGCTGTGTTTTCTAATGAGTTAGCGTGGCTGGATGTTTACTCCGTTTATCTTCTTATTTTCCTTTTGCCAAACTAAGAAAACAGGAACACACTTTTGTTTTTGTGATATTTAGCTTTAAAAATGTGTTTGAAATAAGTGAGATATCATAATTGTGTCAAAGTATATTGGACAAAGCTGATTGTTTAAAACACATGGATTATACCAGCAGGGTTGGAATTTCCATACTTTTCCATAACCTAATTTTTAGAATTATTTTTCAAAATACCTGCTTTTCTATTTTAGAAAACAGTATTTTAGAACTGTGGTAATAGTCTGGAAACATAAATATTTACTCGTACTTTATTTTCCATACTTTTTAAGATCTGGAAATTGATAAAATGTATTTCCATACTTTCCATACTTGCATAGGAACCCTTTACCTGGATGGGCTGCCCAAGTATATTTTTATTTACCAAAGTAAATTCACACAGTTTTCAGTTTTTACGATCTCAGTCTTGGATTAATGATTAATATCAGTGCTGTAAGTGATGCTCAAAAGGTCAGAAAAGGCAAAGAAAAATAATTAAAGCTGAAAATAAGTTAAAGCTCCTATGAGCGGCTTCCAGTTTGTGTCAGTTTTGGCGCCCCTTTGTGGACAAAGCAGTCTGTGCTTATTTTTCTCAAATAATGTCTCTCATTATTCTGGCTTTTAACAGTTAAATGCACCATTAGTTGTGTGAAAAAAAGTGTAAAAAGGCTGTTTTTTTAGCTGCTCCTCTGACACCTATCCCCTTGGAAGTCAGATGTTGGAGCTGGGAATAATGTTACACCCGAGTTGACAGCGTTCCAGTTAAAAAGTAGGAAAACCAAGATGGACGCCTACAGTTACCCGTTGTCAGCTGTTGTTTACGATTGTCAGCTGTCGTTGCCTGTTGTCAACTGTTGTTAGTTGTTGTTAGCTATACCAGTTTTAAATAATGTACAACAAAGTACTTTACTCTACAAACACTATAGCAATGTTCACGGTAAGACGTTGGGTAGCAAAACATATACCACTTCTTTAATTTCACAAAAGCAAAACAGAAGTGCTAATAAATAAAACATTACAAGAGCTTTTACTGTTACTCTTTACTGTTGATGCACTGTGCTGTCAAATTGAATTATGACGTTGTCGTCAAGTTGGGGTTGGTGAGGATCGTCCTACTTTCCGAGTCTGAAATCTGACTTCAGTGGGGCGTTCCAGATGAATTTCCAACTCGAGCTTTAAAATCCTGACTTCCGAGTACAACTAGAACGCAACATGAAATTTACCATGTAAACATTTTAATTGTCGTCACTTATGGTCTTGTTTACTATTAAAAAGTCATCAGTCTAAATTTCAGTCAATTTCATGAGCAGCAAAAACTCCTCACAGGAGCTTTAAGCAAGTTATTTAACTCATACACTCGATAAAGTTTAAGCTCGCCCCCCTCTGCTTTATCTTCTGTTATTGTAGGAACATAAAGAGTGCTGTTAGGTGTTATTTCTAAATGTCAGTCTGTTCCTCACTGCTAACAGGTTGCTCTCAGGTTTCATTTGAACCCGTGCTCTTTTTAATTCCATTGTTAGCTTGTTTGTCTCCTGAGCAAAATGAGCTTTTGTTAAAAGTATCGCTTGTATCAGGCTGTAAGCTTCTTTATCCGCTCTGACCTGACAGCAGGTTGAGGATTGTTGTTTGTACCGCAGGTGAAGCGAACACGTCCTCCTCTTATTAGCCTTTAGTGTAGCGCTTCTGAATAGCAGATTCAGCCGCAGCAGCCCCCGTGAGTTATTACCCCGTCCCCCCTCTGCTTTTGTCTTGTACTGGCCGCCCTCTGTTCCAGCAGTGATGCGGTTCAATTTGCTTTATGGGCAGAGCGAACACACATTAACGTTTTCATGGGGGGATTAAGGTTGTAGGTGCACCTGTCTCTGCGGTATGAAGACCTTCTATTTCTACCGCGTCCTCATTTTCCTCCTGTCATGTCACAGAGAGGAGTCGCCACTATCTCTCCATCTCTGCCTCCATCCTCTATCAGTCACTCTCTTTTCTCTCCTCTCCTCTCATCCCTCTCTTATTCTCCTCCTCTCAAGCTCCCGCCTCCTCTCTCCCTCACTCTCTCTCTCTCTCTTTACTCTGCAGTAAAAGCGTCCAGTCTGGTTTTTCAAAGATTAAAACTCTCTCTCTCTCGCTCTCTCTTTCTATCTCTCTCTCCCTCCCTCCATACCTCTGCCTTCCACCTACCTCCTGCTCTCTCCATTACTCTTTGAATGAAATGCTACACTGATCGTTTCCCTTTTCGCGGAGGATCAACAGAGGGGACAGCAGACCTGTCTTTGAGCTCCTGTTGAGTGACACATGTGAATCTCAACACCTCGACGCAGCCTGAGGAGGAATTTAGGAGCTTTTTTTTTGTTGTTGTTTTCATCTTTTCTTCCCCTGCAGCCATGCTGGAGAGACTACAGTCTGCTTTGAGAACTGTGAAGGAGTCTAAACGTAATTATTCGCCTCACTTCTCGTTTCATGTTTACTAAGAGGAATGCTTTGGTGCAGTGTTTCTTGTTGACTTTAGCGCATGAGGATAAAGGTTGTAATTCTGCGTCGCACTCTGAAGTTTTGCTTGACTTTGCAGTGTGAAAGTTCGCTCCACAGGCTCACATGTTGATGTTTAATCAGTCTAGGAGATAATAATCATGATTTTGCAGTATCAAAACAGTAAGGGTGCTTTACGCAGCAGAAGCGTGATGTTATAATGAGGTGGAGGTCTCTTTGTGAGCTGCACAGACAGCAACATGAATGACTGACAGCTACCTTTAGCAGTGCTGAGTTCAGCACTACCCAACCTGCACACTCTCACACTCCTGCATGAATGATCCTGCTATAGATCAACAGCTCTCCCTCTCTCTCCGACACGTACTATGCATCTGCAGGCTGCTGTGGGGACGTCTACTCTGCAGAGAGGGGGGATATTCTGCTTTATTTCTTACGGTAGCTGAGAGAGGGAGGGGGGGCTGCTTTCACTCCTGAGCGGTGATCATTGCGGTGTTATAGGCTGCCTGGATAGATGGCTGCTGGGCATACCGCAGTGGGATTACTCTGGACAGGAGAACATGTAGAGCCAGAGGAAAAGACACTCATATAAAGCAGTCCATTTGGATGCATCTGTGTGTGGTTTAAGCTACGTACGAATGTGTGTGTTTATGTGTGTGTAAATGTGTGTGTGGCTGAGTACATCTGTCCCAATCCCTCTGCGTGTGAGTCACTGTGTGTGGCTTTGTGCACGTGTTTGTGCGTGCAAAATTATGACGTGTGTGTGTGTGTTCATGTGTTTGGCCACTGTTGATGTCAGAGCGATGTATTATGCATGTTAAGAAGACTATTTGCAAAGCTGCCTTGGCTTTGATTTGACCTGATTGCTGCTTCTGCCTGGGTCACCCAGATTAGGCCCAGATTGGAGATGGGTCTCTGGATACACGCTGTACATTTCAGCGGGAGTGTGACATAGATTTAATTGTATATTCTTAGATTTTAACTCTGTGAACGATCACGTCATGGCGCTCTGTAAGACAATTCTTTCTCCAACCTCACAAAGATGCAGAATTACTGCGAATTACTCCGTGCCTCAGCTGAGTGAGAGTCCCAGCGTGATTCTGCTGCCTGATGGGTTACATAAGGCCACCGGCGAGACTCTAGAGGAGCCAGCTGTCACCCAAGCAGAGCATACCCTTAAAGAGGGGTCAGATAAAGAGCAATTGGGAGTTTACCAAGACACAGAAAGAGAAACAGAAGATCGAATTAGAAGTCTGAGCAGACGGAGACAGACTGTCCGGCTGAAAAGTGTAAGAAGCTTTTTAGTTGGAGATTAATGGAGGCAAATTTTCAGCTACTAGATAGTTTTTCTTTTTCAACTGGAGTTACGCTTAATTAAAAGTGTTTTTTTTATAGAAGATAAGTCAAATTAGATCCACAACTCAACCCTAACTTTACACTGTATGAAAAACATGATTGTGAATGTGGTCTCTGTGACGTCACCTATCAGTTTCTGAGGCACAGGAGCATTTTGTACCTCCTCAGTCGCTTCCAGAGATTGGTGCTCCATCTTAGCCTGAAGTGACCATATTTGGACAAGAGGGTGGAGAAGTATTGTTACGCTTTGTCACTCAGTGTCTCCGTCCTGAATCCCAGTTGAGGAGGTTTGTCAGTAACAGGCAGCCTCACTTTAACTAAGACTAGTATTTACAAATCAATACCATACTGTATTAAAGTAGACCTTAAGAAGACTTTTTAGACTTTTTTCGCCTTTTGTTATGTAAGTAAGAAAGTGAAAAGTTAGTTTAAGTGCTTTAGGTAGAAAAACAAACATACAAAAAGTTAAAAAAAAATACCATGGCTACATTAGCCACAGTGAAGGTGTGTGATAAAAGGAGGGATAATAGGAGGGATAATGAAATAAATACCGGTCTGAACAGGTATTTGGTTCACTGCTATTCAGGCGCCACCTGAAACGCTTCATTTTGGCTAACATTAATCCAAACACAGCCAGTGGGCGTTACTTTTTACACAGCTTTGTCATCATGAAACACCCGAAAAGTTCTGTTTGGACTTTACTTGCTGTTAAAATGTTATAGATTGTGGTTCAGAGCTTTTATAGTAAGAACAGTCCCAGATTTCGCTTACGATCAAACCCAGGTAGGCGTGTTTTTGCTAGAGCGGCTAGCTGACGTCATGTTGCATCCGTGTCTTATAACAGGCTGTTCAGAGAAGGCAGGAAAGATGCAACTTTTCCTAACATGAAATTTTCAAAACGTGACAAAAAAATAAGGTTTTAAAACTGTCGACTTAACAGAAAGGTAGTAAATCAGTCCAGAAGTGAAGCTGTTTGCCATCTATTGGTAGCCAGAGAAGTCGCCTCCTGCTGGCTGTTAAAAGGACTGCAGGTTTGAGAAGTAGAGGCATCTCTTTTCTTTTTTTAATTCACTGAATTACTCAGTGTTTTCTTTTATATTCGTTAATTGATTGCACTTCATATCTTCACACCTTGTTCTTGAATCCTGCAGGCCGACTTTAATCCGATAAAAATACTCGAGGATTATATTTGATCCTTTAAGAATTGACTCATGCTAACATTGAGGAGAAAGCGTGAGCGTTTGACAAAATGAGGTGAAAGACGTTTTGTAGTGCGAGTAAAAACAATCAGATATTTGCTGCGGGTGTTTTATGTCTCTGTGTGTCTGTGTGTGTGTGTTTTGTATGCAGGAGGCGTAGCAATGCAGACCGACTGCAAGTTGGTGATTCTTAGAGGAGCTGAGCAATACAAACTGACTCAGTAAAAAGTGAAGTGTGGATATCTTAAGTCTGTTGTTTCGTGAAGTCTGACAGGTCCCTGATGGGGAAATTACGCCTGAGAGCTCTTCTACCATGACAGTTTGTTCTCGAGGAGAAAGACGAATCAGTGAACAGCGAATAACACTTCCTGGTGTGTCAGTGGATGAGGAGATAGGTTGATAGATGGGCAGATGAAGGAGGAGAGGAGAGTGTTTCAAGGAGACGGGTAAGGGGAAGTAAAATAAGGCTTCCTGCGTGAGGTAATTGATAGAGTGAATGGTGCCAAAAACGATCCGCGGTTTAATTACAGCTTGTTTTTTGGGGATTTTTGGCGAACAATCAGGTGTGATAAATCGTTCTGCTTTTAAATCGTGCTTCATTTGACCTCACTTAATACTCATTGATTCAGTTAAAAGGAAAGTTTGGAGGCTATTGTTCTCCCACTGCAGCGTCGCAGGACTTCCAGGCTCATAAATTACCTGCAGAATATTTCAGATGGTAATAACGGCGATTTTTTTCTCTCCCCGCTTCAGCTGCTTCACTCCTCCCACACCGCTTTGTGACCGTCAGACGAGGCAGCCCTGCAGCCAAGAGCGGTCAGATCCGACCCGGAGATCGATTGGAGGCGGTGGAGGGGCGCTCGGTGGTGACTCTGCCACATCGGGAACTGGCTCAGATCCTTCGTCGAGCCGGGAACACGCTGCGCCTCACCATCGTCCCTCGGCCCAGCACCTGTAAGAAGAAACACAAGTATCCAAGAAACACAAACTGAAAATGATCTTTCTTTTTTCTTTTGTGGTGTAATTTTCATTATTGTCTCTTTTTAGATGCTAACAGCCTCTCAGAAACCAACGAGTTTGATTCCACTCACAGAAGCAGAAAAGGTCAGAGGTCGCGCCCTAAGGTAAGAGCAGAACTATGAGCAATACTTCGCACCTCAAGGTCACTGAGTTGGACAGATTTTTGCGATATCTCATCATATCCCTCTCGTCCTCTTTTACCCAGCGTGACTCCAGGTATTACAGCGTGGACTTGGATCGAGGCCCGTCTGGTTTTGGCTTCAGTCTGCGAGGGGGCAGCGAGTACAACATGGGACTCTACGTCCTGGGGCTGATGGAAGGGGGGCCGGCTTCACGGAGCCACAAAATGCAGGTGCGTTTGTTCTCCCATTTTAATAATCATAATAATGCATCAGATTTTTACAGCGCTTTTTGTCAGTGACCTCAAAGCCCTTCACATTGGATACATCATTCATTCACTTATGCAGTCAGTTCTTTGACGGTGGTAAACTACCTTAGTAGCCACAGTTGCCCTGGGGCAGACTGACAGAAACATGGCTGCCAGTTTGCGCCTACAGCCTCTTTGACCACCACACAACACTCACAATCACACACCGGTGGAGGACACACACTGGGAGCAAGGCAGGTCAAAGGTTTTACACACCAGGAGCGTTTTTTTCATGCGATTATTTCAGGCATCACATTTTTTTGCGAACCCGTATCCTGTCAATACAAGCGTTCACATCAGGGACGTTTTCCCGTCCTGCGATATTCCGGCATTTATTTTTTTGGATCACGGTTGAATTTTCTAAAGTTTCACATACTGTGTGTCCACTTCTGACCAATCAGATTTCATGTTGTTGTGACATCTGATTCACCGGTATATCCAACATGGCCGACCGGCTGATTGTTTACGTGTCGGAGAACAAAGTGCTTTTTGATAAAAACGACCTGAAGGATGGTTTGTGTGCTTTAACAGTTTGCTAAACGTCTTTGTTTTAACTTTCATCTGTGCTAAGTAACTTTAGCTCGTAAGCTAACCTGTTCAGATACAACATACCATATGTATTTTCACTGTCTCAAACTCAATCGTGTTGCTGTCACAGCACCATTAGGTCTCAGTTGCTACCTTACGTTTATGGATTATAGTTTAATGTGCTTATCTGGTACTGGCCCCGACTCAGTACATGCTATCATGACAGACAGCCATCTCAACACTAGAGTCTAATCAGAACTGAAAAACACTCAGTCTGCTGTTGTGTCAGTCTTATTGCTTCCACCCGGGACGCATCTTTTTTCTGACCCCGGAAAGTCACAAAATCACGTCGGGCTTGATGAGTACAGTCAGGCGCATCAAAATTCGCCTATATATTTCGCAATTTCATGTCCTATATTTGCGTTGGTCCCGGTGTGTAAGGACCTTAAGTGTCTTGCCCAAGGACACAATGGACAGACTATGGATAGGATGGGATTCGAACCACCAATGTGCCAATTATTAACCGACCGCTCTGCCTCCTGAGCTACTGCCGCCCTAAGAAAGATTTTAGAGTCTGTCTTTCTTTGTATACAACTACTACGACTCAGAACCTGCTACAATAATCCAGAACCCATCTGAGGCTCAGACACATCCACGCTCAGAACTCTAAATCCAGTTTGCAAGAGTTTGCATTTTCAATTTTGACCTTTGCAGCAGAAAAATCCAATTAGAGGAAATCCCCAAATTTCAATCTCTGCAATCCCCGAGAGGGTTATTGTTTTATGAAGTTGCTTGCCAAAAGCCTCAAATACTGTGGTGGCCAAATGAGGACTGACCGTTTTAACCGTGCATCCTAAGACCCGCTTTTCTGACCAGTACCAAGAGCTGCGAGCCTCAACAAAGCTGAGAAACAAAGCACAGATCACCCAAAGGTGAAGAAGCTGAGAAAGGAAATCATTTAACTCTTTCAGGCTTTGGTTCGTCAGCATAACCTCTCAGGTGGAGCTTTTTCTCGACTGCAAGGCTTTGACTTCAAGTTCTCTGTCGATACGGCTCATATTAGCGTCACCTGGATATTGATTGTATGTTCTGTCAGAAGGAACACACAGTCCTCACAGCCCGGGAAACTGAGTAACACTAGATGTACAAGTACAGAAGAAGGAGCCGGACCTGGAAGAAAAACTCCCCTGAATCGAAATGATTATGTAGTTGTTGTTTTGAAACACAGCTGCTGCTCCTTCTGCAATAAGAAACCTTTCTTTGGGGTATTTAAGCGAGATGAAACATACCATATATTTAAAGTCCCGCTGTTGTGGGTGTTTTGTTCATGTGTTGCAGGTCAGTGACCAGCTGGTGGAGATCAACGGAGACAGCACAGCGGGGATGACGCACAGCCAGGCGGTGGAGCAGATCCGCAGAGGAGGCCACCGAATCCACCTGGTGCTCAAGAGAGGAAACGGCTACGTGCCAGACTACGGTGAGAAAGAGGAGAAAGAGGAGAAAGAGGAGAAACAGTGGGAGGGTAAGGAGAGGGTTGAAACTGATTGTGTTCAATGTGTGTTTGCAGAAGAGAATGAAACAGCATGGAAACTTAAAGTTAAAGTTAAATGTAAAAAAGAGAAAACCTTATTTCTTGCATGCACTGTGTTTGTCTTGTCTTGGGTGTTTAATCTTCTCTGGGACTGATCTTTATAAAAGCATAACCATCTTTTCTAATCTCCTTCTTTCTTTCTTGTGTTTCACTCTGTTAACCCCACCTTCTTCTTCTTTGGTTTCTTTGGATTTTGGCCTCTCTTGGGTTCCCTTTTTTCTTTCTTCTGTCTCTCGCTCTTTCCTCCCTTTCTCCTTTCTCTTCTCTCTCTCTCTCTTAGTGGAGCTCTCCAGTTTGTCTCTTTGTATGACCAACTCCAAGCTAGGCGAGCCTTGCTTCTATATCATTGGACGGACCGAGAATACGCGGTTGGTAATGGTTCCTGTTAGTTCTCCCATTTTCTGTCTCTCTACAGTCACCTCTGCTAACCTCTGCATTATGTCTTCTCAGCTAAAGATACGCTGTAAAAATGTGCTGTGTTACTCTGCTTTCTTGTTCCCATTGAAATGTCTCTAAAAAGACTTGTAAGCAGAGTCTATTAAGTTCAGCTCTAAAAAAGATTTGAAGGACGATTTGTGAAATGTCGATAAAAGCAGATTTAGATGATTTGCACTTCATTGAAATCCTAGTTTGGTTGAAAATACGACATATCAAGTGATGAAACTGAAAAGAGTGTTTTATTCAGAAAATAGGCTCACTATTTGATACCAGCAACAAACTTCAAAAAAGTTTGAAACGGAGACAATAAACCCTGAAATACTCGAGTAATGCTGAATAAAACTGCATGAGGTTCTTCTACTAACCAGTTAGGTTATTACGCAAAATGTTAGTAACATGACTGGCCAAACCCACTGAGCAATAGACGACTATTAGACATCTAGTTTTTATTTTAGACCGTCTAGATTCTGTATATTTTTTATATAAGTTTAGACGTTGCACTTTAACCCGTTATTCGATAACTATTTTTATTTCAAAAAGCAACTGTGAGTTGCATAACTGATCTCCAAGTACTTAACCAAAATAATTATGATAGCCGTTGAGCAATATACAGTGTAGTAAAGATATAGCCCAGATTTAGACTTGGTCTAAACTTGGTCTAGCCTGATTTTAGACCAATTGTCTCAGCTACATTTAGATGTCTATTAGACCTCTTTTAGACCAAAAAATGCTCAGAAGGGTTGAGTCTTTCAGAAGTATTGATAGGAAAATGTTCACCGCTTTGTGAGAGACTGCGAGAGCTGAAGTTCAACACATACAAAATGTGCTCCTCAGCTTAAAACTGCAAAGAACTTATGAAGAATCTTTGTTGTGATCTTTGGATCCTCGTGTGTACTGCAGTGATAACAGACATGACTCTGTAGTGGACATCACTGCATGGGCTCAAAAACAGTCTGTAAATGCAGTTTATAGCTGCGTCCACAGATGTGAGTTAAAGAATAAGAACAAGAAGAACTTTATTAATCCCTGAAGGGAAATTCAAATTCTGAGCCATGCAAACAGAAAATCATTTATTGATAATCTAGTAATCAATCAAACTCTGTGGGCCTCATTTCAGAGAGTCCAGATGTAAACACAGGGTTCCTACACACTTGGAATTTCCATACTTTTCCATACCCTACTTTTTAGATTTATTTTAGGAAATACCTACGTTTCAATTATAGAAAACAGTATTTAAGAACTGTGGTAATAGTCTGGAAACATAAATATTTGTCCATACTTTGTTCTTCATTTTTCATACTTTTAAGACCGGGAAATTGATCAAACTACTTCCATACTTTTTTATACTTTCCATACTTGCTTAGGAACCCTGTAAACAATAAGATTTTTCAGTTTCAACATTTGACATGTTTTCTCTGCACATGAGGTTAAAACAATTTACAAACATCATATTTTTCACAGCATCTTTTCATGATTTGAAGTTGTAATAGCACTTTTTATCCATTTTTGAGGAGCATACTAAGAGGGTAGATGTGTCTCATGTTTGAAACAAAGCGTTTTCTGCAGGTTGCTCTCAAAAAAGAGGAGCAGCTGTTGTTACGCAAGCAAACTAATGCCAAAAATCCCCTAAATCAAAACAGTTTCTGGATTTCCGAGCTCTTTAATAAGAGATTATATAAATCTCTCTCCGCCAGAGATTTCCTCTCATTTACCTGCTCATTCAGTCTGTTCTCTCTCCTCCTCTCTCTGCCTCCTTCTCTCCTCATTACATGTGTCCAGGCCGTGAGAACAACAGAATCACCTCCCCCTCCCTCCTGCGTCACCCCGAGGAGCAGGGTTTGGCTGCAGTAGACTCCACGGGGCGGAAGAGGCGCAGCACCAAGCAGAAGAGAAGAAGCAGGTCTTTAGATGAACGCAAGAGGGAGAGATCGACAGCAAGGAGAAGGAGGAGGAGGCAGGGTTCAGATGATGGAGGAGGAGAAGGGGGACGCTCTGATTTAAGAAGCCCGACTTCAGAGGTGGAGGAGAGGTCTCCGGATGCAAGAGCAAGGAGGAGGAGGAGCAGGAGGAGAAAAGGTGTGTCCAAGAGTTTACCGAGAGATGCCCTCAGGAGAAACGATGACAGTGAGGCGGAAAGTGTGGTAGAGAGGGGACGGAGAAGGGAGAGAGGGGAGAGGACGAGCAAAAGCAAAGAGAGGAGAAGAAGGAGTGAGGAGAGGGAGTCAGAGGTAGAGGAGGATAAAGAGGAGGAGGAGAAGCAGGAGGTACCTGCTGTGGAAGAGAAGAGCGAGGAAGTGCAGGAGAAAGCGAGTTTAGAGAGAGAAGAAAGTGACGATGATGTTTTTCTTCCCATTCCAAGTCCAAACCTAAAACTTCCACAACCGAAGCTAAACATGGAGGTGGAGAGGGATGAGAACTGGGACATGGCGGCAGAATATAGAGAGCTGAGGATAGAGGAGGGAGAGGTGGAGAGGGAGCAGGATGGAGAGAGAGGTGAGAACACAGACGCAGAGCTGAACCAGGAGTGGAGAGACGACAGTGAGACACAGAGCGATCAGGTTGAGAGGCCTCTGCCGGGCGTTGATGTGATCGATCCGGTGTCACAGAGAAAGCCCTTCTCCTTCCTCACCTCCACTCTGTCCCTCGAGCAGCCGGCCGACAATGAGTCAGAGTCCGGGGGGAGTCAATCTGATGGCAGCGTGTCGGCTGCCAGCATCTCCGGTCTGTCTCTGGCCGCCGCAGGGGCAGGCGGGCGCAGAGCTGCAGTGCTGCCAGGCCCTTGGCTCCCTCCCAGCGAACAGAGGGTGGCACAGGTTGAAGGAGGGGAGACGAGCCCAGGAGGGCAGACAGAGCAGGAGGGAGGAAGACAAAGAAGAAGAAACCCTTTCTCTTTACTTTTCAAAAGGAAGTAGAGCGTGAAAGCAGCTGTGCACCTGGTTTCACATCCAGTCCGTCTCACTTTGTTAGACCTTGACTTGTTTTCTACCAACATTTCCTCACTTTCACTTTGATATCTGCAGCCATCTTGAGGTCATATTCTTTGTGCCTTTTCACAGCTGAATTCAGGCTGGTGTTAAACATTTATATCTCATCCTAACCTGTAAATAACACCGACATGATATCACGCTCTGCTGGTGTAGCAACTTTAGCATAGTCTTTTTTTTAAAGATACAGATACAGATCATTTTATAATCATTTTCAAGAGAGTTGTCTGAATACCAACCCGGTCTGAAATGCCTCCTACACAGCCTAAAATGCAGTAAGTAGCTCTAGCTGTAAAAATACCCATCTACTCTGATTTGCAGCCCTTTTACACACGCATGTAACTTGGTAAAGCTGCACAGGCCCCATATGTCAGAACAGATTTACCGTAAATCCTCAAATATAAGCCCAGTTTTTATTTGGCTTGTATTATAAACATCTCTTAATATCAAATTCTCTGTCTGAGAAGTCTAAGAAAGAGTGTTTGCATGACTTTAGTGTCTACTTAATCTGTGCAAATGAGCCAAAATGATGTTTTCCACCCAAAGGGTTAAACTGCACTGCCAGGCAAATAACATCTCTGCGCATTAGTGCTGTTTGCAAACATTTGAATGATCCATTATGCGTTCATTTAACAAACCTCAATTTACTAACTAATGTACTAACATCGGTGCTAAAAGCAGCGGGCAGTAAGAGCAACTTTTTTACCATTTAGGCTTGAGTACTTATCCGCATTTTGATTCACAAACTCTTCAGACAACAAAAAAGTCTACAGCCAATCACAATGAGGCAGCTCTTCTTCACTCATTAGGGTCTTGATCCCCGTCATAATTAAGTGTCTATCTACAGATCGAACTTTGATAGTTTTGTGAAGTTCAATGATTCTTGTGTTGTTTCCACTATCCTTCATGACCTGTCTGAACAGGTTGTCCCTGGCAACCACTTAACCACACAGAATTAATAACTGTTGCCAAGGGGTTTTGACCAATCAGGATCAAGTATTTACACAGCAGGGTAACAAGTGAGAAAGCAAGAATATAAAGTAATTCATTAGCTCCACCGTTTCGTGTGTTCATCTCTTCTCTCCAAAAACAGCAGCCTTTTAATCTAATCAAATATGTTAAAGCTGCCAAGAACAAGTACTTGTTCAGAGCAGAGGAGCGTATTTGTGTTAAATTAACATGTATAAAAGCAAATAACACTGTGCTGCCAGCAGAGAGGGTTACATAAGTCTGTGACTGCATCACATTAGCAATCATGCTTTTCTTAAAATCAAGCTTAAGGATGATTCAAATGGTAAAAACATCAAACGAAGTCATTTGATCACGTTAAATATAAGGTCTCTTAAATATTCTGCATACACGAAATGTCTGAGCCGACACTTCTGTTACTTCAGCTCATTTCTACTTTCTCAGATTCTTTTTGTCAGTCCTCTTAGTCAAGCCTCGCAGCCAAGGAAGCAATCATGTTAAATACATACTATTAAGCAGTATGGACAAAGACTGTTGAATTTGGTAATGGCATAAATCATTTTCAATCACACTGATTTCAGAAGGGTACTTGGAATCAGCCAATGATCAATTCCAGGTCTCTGAGAACAATGTCAGGAAGAAAATAAGACAGCAGAACATTTCTAGTTTCCAGGACAACGAGGTATTTCAGACACCTTGGTTTAAATCACTTCCTCACCTCTCTGCATCCCTGTTATCAAGCCTCTCCAGCAGAGCCTCTCCTCTTTTAATCATCCTCATCCTTTAGTGTACAGATACTGCACAGACATTCACTGATACCTCATGAAGATACTGAGCAATAATAATGCAGCTGTCAGAGACAGCCACCCATTTCCACTGCGCCACGGCGACCTGGTCTGAGAGGAAAACTGTGCGTGTGAACAAAATCCTCTCATGTGGACTCTTGCTTCGACTTGTAATGTTGTTCCATTGAAGTGAATATTTGATTGTGATCATGCAAATCCCTTTTATGACAGCAGGTGTGAAAACTATAAACTGTACATATTTGTATAGAAATAAATGAAAGAACCTATTGTACATAGTGTGCTAAATGGAGAAAGCTGTTTGTATTACTTTATTGTAATACGTCATGAAAAGTGGACATAAATATATATATAAATCTATAAACATGCAGTATATCTATATATTACATACCACAGATACCCATACATATTATTTATTATAGTGTGAGGAGAAAACATGTGAAAAGTGGTATATAGCTTTTGTGAAGGCTCATAAAGTAAACACAGACTATATTGGACCTGATATTCAGACATGAATGTTTTGTATTAAGCTGCTGGGGTGTGGTGAAGGCTGCTCTGTGTCGTACCCTCGTTCAAAAGTCAGAAGAAGATGCCAAAAATATGCGCATGCTGTGTGCATATTTCCAGTACTGTTCTTAATGTTGTGTATGTGGGGTCAGAACAAAAACATGATCTAGATTCTAGAGAGTGCTGTGCCCATCGTGCCACGTACAGTTGCCTTGGTAACATAAATCACTTTATCCTAACCGCAGATTTTTCTTACTGTGAAAACCCTTTCTGCTCCGAGGTCCCTAATATGAGATAAGTGGGCGAGCCGTTTAGTAGTTCCAGTCATGCCAAAAAAGGCCCTTACTGTAAATCCACAAAGATAATACTTAGGATAAACCTCCGCAAGAGCTCAGTGTGTGGTGAAGATGAAAAAAAAATAGCACATCATTTAGTTTTTGCCCTCATTTTTTAAGAGTTCTGTTATAAAACTAGGCTGAATGGATACTGTGAGATTTTATTTTTCTATGAAATTATCTTTTTGGAAATACTCAGGTTTTCAGATACTTTGCTCTATAGATAAGCCATTATTAGGAGGAAAAAGCTACAAAGTGACTTCAAACCATTTTCACACTTAATTTAAATGTTATTCTTTCTTTTTCTTTTCTTTTTTGCTTCCAGGCAGCATTAGGAGATGCAGACTGTTACAGCTGTTTGTTACCAGCCCATAATCATCTAAAGGTTGATGCTAAAAATGAAGTTATTCCTCCATTTGTACCCATTTTGAAGAAAAAAAATGTTGTGTTGCTCTGCCCACGTGTTTGCATTGCTGTGCTGCCAGCACAGAGACCAAACCAACATCCTGTACTCCCCAGCCAATGAGCATACAGAGTAGCTTGGTAGCATATATACTGTCTAAGACTTGTTTTATAACGTTTGCTAAAGCTCATTTTTTAGATCTTCATTTCCTAAGGGGGGTAATGTGGCTGAACGGTCAACATGTTCTAATAAAACTCTAAATAAACTGCTGAACCAATTTCCTTAGTGGTCGTGCGTGTCGTTTCTTTTTATTGCTTTTTCAACACTTACAGTAGTGTTGTGTTGTTTCGTTCACGAACGATCCGTTCAAAAGAACCAAATCTTTTAAGTGAACGTACTGAACCGAATCACTTCCTTAAATGATTCGTTCATTTCTGAAGTGGGAAAAATGGCCGGGCCAGCAGCCGGCGAACGAGGAACCACATGCAGCGACGCCTGAATCAGTTGGTGAACGAATCACACATTGAACTACACTCTCTGGAATCATTTTTAATCGGACAAAAGTACCTTTTTAGTTATTTTTTTACTGCTAAATTGCCAATGCAACAACTTGCATACAGTAGGACACAGCATGTAACAAATAGTGTATTAAACCCACAGCATCCTATCATCGCAGCGGTTTGCGAGGGAACGGTGCATGTTCAGTGTGAATTCTTCTAAACACTCAGTGAACGAATCACTTACTGAGCGCAATTTACTAAGCAGACCTGATAAATGGCATACCATAGGACAGTATACTTAAAACATCATGACTTTTGTCAAAGCAGCACAGCCAAACACTCTCATCTCCCAGTCCCAGAAACTATCAGTTCAGGAGGTCGGGGTCGCAGGCCTCTCCCGCCAAGCGTTAAGTGATTCGGTGATTTGATGAACAAATCTTTTTAGTGAAGTTATTCTAGTGATTCAGTACATCTAAAAGAACTGCCATGCCCATCACTAATTTACAGACAAGTTACGACAATGACCAGCAGATGGCAGCAAAGGTGTAGGAAATACAGTAACCTGCTGTTGTTTTAAGGAGAGATGTGGTTTGTCTTGTGTGACTATTTCAAATGTGCAAAAAAAAAAAGGGTTACATATTCAGAATTTGAGAGGATATTCACCTTCTGATATGGGATGAGATGGTAAAGTCAAACTAGAAACAAAGAGGGGGAAATAATCTGATAAATTTTTCAGGGATCAATTATTAAACCTGCTTTTTGCAAGAACATGCTTCTTACATTTCCTCTGCACACCCATCACTCGGTCTAATATTAGTTCCCCATACTGTACACCTGTGTGAGCTCTCACAGAGAAAGCAGAGAAGTGGGTGAATTCATAGGCAGCGTCTCAGTTCAGATATGAGCACTTAAGTACTGTCACTAAAAATAACTGCGCTCTGAGGCTGCCTCGCTCTCATGTTGTCCTAAGCTGCATCCTTCTGTTCATGTCAGCTCAGACGCAAAAAAATAACACCGCAGTGATTCCAGCCCTGCTAGCACCTAAGACTGATCTCACATCAGACCGGGGTGGCCCTAAATAAGTGGGTCTGAACCACTAAGATGTTTTCAGATCAGGATCAGAAATCAGATGGTAGGAAATTGGTAATTACAGGGGGAAGAATAGGGCCTTCACTTGCCTACAGTACTGCGTACTGTACTGCTTTTTACATGTGCACTGTTTTCCACTGGCGCTCAACAGGGTTCCTGAAGTGTGTGAAGCTAGAATCAAACTGCTGAATGAGACTTGGGTCGTACCTTCAAAATAAAATAACATGGATATATAAGTATTTTTTTTCTTTTTAACTAAATGACAGCTGACTTAGATATAACCCTGCCTTTTCTTCAGCCTTATCTCATATCTGTTATATATTTACATAAATTAAATGTAACTAAGCTGGGAGGTGTTGGAAAGCATGAGCAGATGTGTGATACAGAGAAGAGGACAGAAATGCTGTTTTTCTTTATAAGAGGATTTAATAGGATGAGCTAAAGTGCCATTAAACAAAAAACCTAAAACACTATCCAGATGTAAAATGAGGAACATGTATGCAGAGTATATGAGCTTTCTCTACTATTTAAATCAATATCATGTTATGCTGTTTGTTACTACTAGGAGTCAAATTACTATGGGCCTGGCAGACCATCAGGGGCCTTTGTGGCATTTGGCCAACTATCTGCATTCTGTGTTAAAGAGCTACTACTTAAAAAATAGTTAAAAGGTGTGATTTTAGCTTTCCTTTGGGTATGGATGGACTGGATTAAATTTATGATTATATTTTTAACACAATTCCTTAATTATTGCAATTAGTAATTTTTCATATTTTTGTGTAAAATCTCCTTTTGATTGTAGAATTTTTGCTGTTAGAAGACAGAGAAAAGAGACAGTTGATATAAAAGGATCTGAAATATTTAAACAGCCAAGATCCAGAACTAAACTGAAAGAGCGCTGTGTTACAGTGAGAGCAATAAGTTTGTGGAACAATCTGAACAGAGAAACAAAAGAAGCTAAATCTTCAAAAAAGTGTCAAAGCCAGTATATAGAATAAATACAGGGAAATATGTCAATCTAAGTCTTGGTATGTTTGTTTTGTGAAAAAAATGTAAATTTATGTGGTCTTTTCTGTTTGATTTGTGGGTTGTTTTTGAAATATTGAACTGTAAAAAGGCATGTTGGCCTTCAGCTCTTGTCTATTTTTATTATAAGTGTAAGTTGAGAGTTTTCTCCTCCTTGTTTGTACTAAATACATGAAATAAAGTATGAAAAAAGAAAAAAAGAAAAATGAAAGCCAGTATTCCTCAGAATTATTGAATAAAATATATAATTGAATATTTTATGAGTTGCTCAAAACAAAAATCTTTCTTTCCAAACACACCTGTCTGATGCAGCTGCTTTTATTTTGATACGCCTTACCGGAAGTCCTGCGTCAGTGTCGCTCACTCGACGTTGATGCGCGCAGAGGAAGAGCCGCACGCACCGCTGCAGTTCAGTGAAACCTCCGTGTTTCTGCGGCACCACCGAGAAGACTCACCGCTGCTCTCCTGCGTGGATTACTGACCTGACACCGCCAAACTCCACTCAGATAAGTAGGAAATAAATCAGCCTGTCCGTGTAAACCGATTTCAGATCAGCGCCTAGAAACGACAAACACAAAGTCCAGCTCAAAGATTTGCCTCAGCTCTTTAAGACTTTCGGGCGGTCAAAAAATAACCCGGAGATTTTTTATTTCTTTCTTTTTGGCGTTTAGAAGGTCTGATTTTTAAGAGCAGTGTTTTTACACGTGTGAAGTAAACTCCTCGGTAATCTCAGATGAGAAAACCCAGAGGCAAACATTTTAGGAACTGATCTGATTCTGAAACTCTTAAGATGTAGTTTTTTTAGGGGAGCTGAGGGGAGGATTTGGACCCGAAGAATGAACTTAGTAAACCACCTGTGCTTACTTTCTGCGCTGTAAAGACACAGCGAACCATGGGTTGAGAGCGACGATGATAGACTGCGGGGATACTCAACGTGGGAGGGAGCAGAATTTTCTCTGTTATGTAATGATTGACAGCAACTGATAATTAGTGGTCGATCTTTAATAGCAGGACCCCCATCATCCCTTTACCCCCTTTCCCTTTCATTAGATGAAGCAAAATATGGCTTAAACATAGATTCGCCTCAGATATGCGAATATAGATTATATTTTCCTATAGATTTTGTAAATTTCTTCAACCAGAGAGCAGGTATTTACCAAATTTAGTGCACAAATACATTTGAGACATTGGACTTTCTGATTGATTTTCATCATGATGCCCCAAACTCTTGACCGGCACCGTGCCAATTTGGCCAGGTCTTTGAAAATGTCTCAAACTTCAGGAGTCAGCAGTGTTTTCAGCCTCTTTTTTGCTCTGAACTCTTTTCTCTGCGTTGAAACCCTCTCCAAGGCCACTAAGATGGTATAATGCTCGTTTTGACCCTCAGATTTGGGGACATGTAGTCATCCTGACCCTCCGAAATCATTCATCTCAGTGACTTCCTGTTTCTGATCATCCAACACAAGAAGTAAACCTTCATTAGACGTTGGTCCCTCCCTCCCCCCCACTCATCAGGGCTGGTGGGGGGGGTGGATCTCGGCCCCACAGGGGCTAAAACCGTGGTGGTCATAACCCCAGAGGTAGGGTTTCCACCATGGAGACCAGCCCGGAGAGCCCGAACCGGGCAGTGGAGTACCTCCTGGAACTCAATAACATCATTGAGAGCCAGGCCAAGCTCCTGGAGACCCAGCGCCGCCGCATTGAGGAGCTGGAGGGCCAGCTGGACCGGGTCAGCCAGGAGAACCAGGACCTGAGGCAGGAGCGCAGCCCACGTGGGACTGGTTCTGACACCCCTGAACAGAACCACAACCACAACCAGCCTCTGTCCCTCCCTATCCATCATGGCGGTGGCAGTGGCGGGAACAGTGGAACATCTGCGACCCAGGCTACAGCGGGAACTGCCACGACTCCAGGGCCCAGCAGGGAGAGGAGGGGCCACACCAGGTTGACCCGAGGTCTTTCCTGTGGCTCCAACACCACCGAGCGAGACCGGCTAGAACGCACCGACAGCGTGGACACCAACGCCAGCTCCACCATACGCAGAAAGTAAGTACCCCTCCTACACAGAAAGTCCTCTATTGGTCTGATCATCCTCCGGTGAATGATGGACGCAGCTTCATGTCAGATCACAGGAACGTCAGAGTTGTTGTTCAGGTTACTCTAAATGACACTGATGATGACTGCAGTCTGTATAACCTCCATTATAACCCATCATGTACATTTCTAAGCCTGTATAATGACAGGCCGTATGGAGCCTCTCCAGTTTTAAGACATAATCCTCACAGTAATGGGACTAAACCTAAGACGGGAATCTTTAATTCACCACTGTGAGGAAATATGCAGAGTGCAGGAGGATTATTGGCAGAGTGGAAGTGCTCTAGGTGTCCATTTTATCCTAGTGTGTGTGATTGAGCCTGCACAGGGTCTGATTTCAGACATGCTCCAAAACTGTTTTTCTTCTTAAAATGGACGCTTATAACTACACTTGAGTAGTTGATGACACCAATTATTTCATCGATACCACTGTGCTTCAGGTGTGAGGTGTGTTTACACTCGATTATTTGACCACTGCGACTTTGACTTGAATCAAGAATCTGAGCATTCGTACCACGGGTTTGTAAAGGATGTACAGTTGATGAAGTAGACTGTTTATTTGAATGGAAGGTTCAGACTAGACTGTTCGCCATTGGAGTTGACAGCATGATAACTTTCCGGGGATGGCTGGTTTCTGTGGTAATGTGATTGGTGTAAGTGTCAGTTCAGTGTATTTGTTGATAAGCATCCAGCATCAAGGGCAGAACTTGGCCGATATTGGCCAAGTACCAGAAATAATATTGGTATCTGGGTTTATTAATATTTGAAGGAGTTGTAATTGGAAACCTCCTAGTATTCGGAACCTAAAATCTGTTTAATGGGGGCTGTAACAATACTGGTATTGGTGGTATTGGTATTGAAGGCCAATAACTACATTGATATCTGTGTCAGCGGCTATACAGATCCAGATATTGGAGGTCTATAACTGTATAAATATTTGTGTTACTGATATTGGTATTGGTACTGATATTCGCTTTCTCATTGTAGGCCTGTAACTGGACTGATAGCTTGGGCCAATAAAGATCCAGATATCAGTATCGGCAGCGTATAACTGTGTAAATATTTGTACTGGGGGGCTTATGCTAATACTGATACTGGTATTGGTATTAGTGGTGAGAACCAATAACTGAAATGATAGCTGTATTGGGAGCCTATGTGGCAGGGGCCTATAATGGTCACACTATCTGTATTCAGGTCCTATGTTGATCCAGGTATCAGTATAGAGGGCTGAACTGTAGGGCCTACTTATACTGATAGTATCGTTATTGGAACCTACACTGATGCTAGTATCAGTACTGATATTGGTACCAATATTGGTATTGGAAGTGAAAGCCTATAGCTGCATTGGTATCTGTAGTGGGAGCCTCAACAGATGCATAAACAGAACTGTATTGATGTCTGTACTCAGGTCTTACACTGATCCCAGTATCAGTACAAGGAGCTTGACTGTATTGATATCTGTATTATAGGGCACACTGATTGATACTGGTATTGGTATTTGGGCTCATACATGTCAGTATAGGTTGCTTGTACTGGTATTGGTATTCTAATTCGGGGCCTACAACAGTACTAATATTTGTCACTAGGGGCCTATATTGGCACTGATATTAGAATCAGAAAGGCCCTGGTATTTCTGTTTGATTAAATGATCTATTACATCATGCGCCTGGGACCTACATAGTATTATTCAGAGGAAAACTTGAGCCCAGCGGGAGAGCGATGGGTCTTTTCACGATGATGTGATCTTTCCGGGCCAGTGGAGCCCTTCAGCACAAAGAAAAATCCACCTACTATCTGCTAAAAATTGTGTTTTTCTTTCGCTCTTTACTCTGAACTGTGGGCTGGCTTCTTTTTTGTCTTTTCTTCCCCCCCCACCTCCCCAAACTCAAGGCTGACCTGAAGTTAAAAGTGCTGCAAAAAAATAAAAAAAATAAATAAAGAAGAATCTCTGCTTTGGCGAACAGCAAGTGCATCTGTCCTCGCTTTTTACTTCACCACGCACAGATAGAGTCGGCTTTTGTCCCCGGAAGCATTAGGCTTTGTGAGTAGGCAGCAATTCATGTAGAAAAGTACACAGTGCGATATATTGTGACAGAAAACCATTTGTCTCTCAGCTTATGATAAGATTTTTCCACATCGAATCATCTCGGTAATAATTACTGGATTTTGCCCCAGATCCATTTTACAGTGATTGATTCAGACTTCACCAAATCCCTCATTGATTTCACTCCTCTGTCGTCTCTCTCCGCTCATCATCGCTTGGGGTGGAGGGGGACTGAGTCATTCCACAGAAGCACATATTGGTTATTTATGTAGGTGTTAAATGCAGTGATGGTTTGCAAATGTAGATCTTGCATGTCCACCCTTGTTAATTGCCTGTAGCGCTTGTAGCATGACTCTGGATCCGCGCGCAGACAAGCGTATCATACAAAGTGTCACATTTAATAAAGAGTCACCCGCACAGCAGAGAGCCATATTGTCCCCGTCTGGCTGTGACTCAGCCGAACCCAAAACTGGCCGACAAGCTCAGGTCAGAGACGGAGCACCCCCCCTCCTCTGATACGGGATCAGATTGGAACATGGATTTTCTTCATCGCCAAAGCCTGTGTTGTTCTAAATATGGCGTCAAATCAGAGCAAGAGACAGAAGGAAGATGTGGGTGAGGGACAGAGATGACAAGGGGGAGGAAAGTGACTGGGCAACCTTACTCAGCGGGCCTCAGTCTAAAAGAGAAAAGGTGGAACACTCACACTGATTTGCCATCTGTCAGCAGAATGTGAGAGAGAGGGAGGGAGAGGGGAGAGAGTCTGGGCCGGAGAAGGCAAGGCATGTTTTTTTTTTTTTGGACCAATTAGTTTTTGTTCCTCTTGCAGGACTCCTCATCTCTACCTCACCAAACTATTTCAATCCCAGGAAAGGAAACTGAATCAACTGTCCCCATTTTTTTATTTCCAGCCATTCGTGCGGAGGAAACAAAGTCGCCCCTCTCCTCCTCCTCTTCTTCTTCTTCCTCCCGGGGGCTCACTGTAAACAGCTGTCCCAGAATGCCACCTCCTTTTATTCCTCTCCTGCTAATAGCGGCGCAAACAATACAGAGTCGGAGGGGCCTTTGGGTGAAATGATTTTGGATGTCAAGTAGCCTTCTTCAGGAAGCAGCGGGGTTGAGGGCATGGCCGCGTCTTGGCAGATGTTTTCTTGTTGTTATTTCTGTAGAGGTCAGGCAGGAACATTTTGTTGGCATGAGCATCTGCATGTGTGAGTGAGTGAGTGCATCTTTATGTAATGTATGTGCCGGTCCAAAAAGTGTGAAACGGGGAGGGACGTCCACACACAGAGTGCATGAGAGATTAATTAGTGTGACCGGAGTATAATTACTGTTAGCCCTGGGGTGATAATTAATGCTGTGTGTGCGTGCATGTGTCTTTTCCTGCGAGTGTGTATGCATGCACAACAGGATGTATGACCTGGGATGCACATTATTAGACGGTGAATATGAACCTGCAGCCTGCAATCATAGGAGGATGTGACAGTTGTCCCTGCATGGGTGAGAGATCCCATCCTTGATTATGAGCCACATATAAGCTCTATTTTTCTCCCGCAGCTCAGGGGGATGAGCGGCAGGAGCGGCTCCAGTTCCTGGCGATGGCAGCAGTGCTGATACTCAGAGCTGTGTTATTATGTAATGCCCAAAAAAGAGGACCAGAGCTCTCTTCCCCCCTTCTTCACTTCACTTTCACTGTCACAGCAGGAGCGTTGAGGAGCTCCAAAGAGCCCTGCAAAGGTGCTCGTGTCCCCACTCGCCTCTCCATCTCGCCGTCCTTGCGTGCATGCGCTCCCGCTCTCCTCAAAAATTGACATTAATTCCGTTGAGGACGCTAATGGGTTTTTGTTTCAGAAAGAAGCTCAATTTGCTAATTTTGTGCAGCTCTACTACACATTACCCCCCTCCCCCCTTCTCTCCCTCTCTTTTTCTAATACTCTCTCTCTCACACATACCCACGTACACACTCACTCTCTCCCCCTCGCTGTTTCTGTTTCCCACTGCTGCAGATATGACTCAGAGAAGCTGCAGAAATTACTTTTGTGCTATTCTCTTTCTCTTCCCCTCAACACTCACTCGCTCTTTTTCCCGCTATTAACTGAAGCACAGTTTTTGTTCCCCATCAGCGTGATTGAATCTGCTAAGAAAGAGCTCATAATATGCGCTGATTTGAGCAGGCATCCTATAGCTGTGAAGATAGCGCAGATACAACTTGGAGGAATGAACCGGCCCTCAGGCGAATGTGTGGGTTAGCTCAGCTGAGCTGAGCTGACCTGCTGCAAACAGTCTGTGTGATGTGATGGGAGGTAATCTATTCTCTCTCTCTCTCTCTCTGTGGTGAGTTTCAAGACGAAACACAGAGACGCAGCAGCAGCTCCTCAAGAACTCAAAAAGCTTTTTCTTTCATTTCAGAAAACATCACCGATAAAACCTTGTTTAATTTCACCCTGAATTAAAATACCACAGCGGGGGTTAACGACTGCTATGATGCAGTTGAGCTTGACGTAAATTTAAATGATGATATGTGTGTGTTTGTGTGTGTGTGTTTGTGCGTGTGTGTGCGGTGTGTGTGGGAGGCAAGTATACGTGGGTGGTGTTTTTTGCCTTCTCCTCACCATTTCTGAGAGCAGTGAGTGTTCATGATTCTTACAATGTGCATATGTGTGTGTGTGTGTGTGTGTGTGTGTGTGGGGCACACTCTTTTTATTTATATTTAGTTACATGTTACTCAATTCACAAGTGACGTTTTATGAAGCAGCAGTGAACCAATGAGGTGTGAGAGCCAGAATAAACCAACCAATGACTTCAAATCTCTCTGCATATTCAGCAAAATGAGATTTTTGTAACTATGTGTGTATTTTACTTAAAGGTGAAAAGCTTTAAAGTTGTATTTCACGTATTTTTGGAAGCAGACACATTCAGTGTTCATCACTTATTGTTACACCTTCCTGACACATAACCTTGCCTCAAGCCTTCACACTCCTCTCCTTCCTGTCTACCACTATTTTTCATCATTTCATTGCATCACAGCGTCTTCCGTTGCATGTGACGTCTGTGAAAAAAGTGAAAATCTGTCATTTGAAGTTTTTTCACAGGATGTTTATTGTCCTTAGAGCGAGATTGAAGTGAAAGACATAGTTGCTGTGGAAACTGTAAAGCCTATCTGTCCTCAAGGCAGTCGCAGTAATGCAAGTCTTTCCCTCTGTCACTGAGGGGGGGTTGGGAGACAGATGTGGCTCTGGCGGCTCGATTATGGCAGAAATCATGACCGTGATTATTTTGATTAATATCGGAAGTCATGATGAATCAAAACGATTACTCATAATCTGCATGACATTTACTGAATGGCTGCACTTTTTTCAAACTTAAACAGACTCTCAGGAGAAGGAAAAGGAGATAAATATGAGTCATGTGATTGGCTGTAAGGCTGTTTGCCTGTTTATGGAAGTCTGCCTGTCTGTCTAACAGTATTAACGCGATTAAAAAAAATTAAAGCTCCAGTGTGGAGTTTTCTCACATTTATAAGATACGCTGAAAATCATGTTAGCGCTTTTAATGATGCACAAAATCCAAATTTTTAATGCCTAAAACCAGTATTTGTAATCGTTATGCCGGGGATTATTGTGATAGCTTTAATTTAGTTTTAATGTTTATTAGGGGTGGGAGAAAAAATTGGTTCACATGAGTATCACGAATTTTTGTTTTACATTTTTAAATTAATTTTTTTTTATTCCAAATTCAAGAGTAAATCTTAAAAACTGACTTCCATGTGATGTGTATTTTGGGGGAAATATGGTTCCTGGGATAGTCAGTAGACAATCGTAATCATTCAACTGTTTCACTGGTGTTAAAAATGCAGACTAAAAGTCCTTACACACCGGGAACGACGCAAATATCCGACGTGAAATTACAAAATATTGGGAGGCGGATTTTGATGCGCCTGACTATACATATCAGGCGCAGTGCGATTTTCGTCCCAGGTGGGAGCGAGAAGACTGACACAACAGCAGACTGAGTGTTTTTCAGTTCTGATTAGACACTAGTGTTGAGATGTCTGTCTGTCATGATAGCATGTACTGAGTCGGGGCCAGTACCAGATAAGCACATTAAACTATAATCCATAAACGTAAGGTAACAACCGAGACCTAATGGTGCTGTGACAGCCACGCGATTGAGTTTGAGACAATGAAATTACATATGGTATGTTGAACCTGAACAGGTTAGCTTACGAGCTAAAGTTACTTAGCACAGATGAAAGTTAAAACAAAGACGTTTAGCAAACTGTTAAAGCACACAAACCATCGTCATATGAGAAATCCGACGCCATGACTCTCCACAAGTTGTCCTTCAGGTCGTTATCTTTGCCGGTCGGCCAAGTTGGATATACCGGTGAATCCGACGTCGCAACATCACAAAATCTGACTGGTCAGAAGGTGTCACACAGTATGGGAAACTTTAGAAAAATCGATTGTGATACAAATAGATAAATGCTGCAATATCGCAGGACAGGAAAAAAGTACTGATGTGAACGCTTGTACCGACAGGATACGGGTTCGGAAAAGATATTGACGTCCGAAATAATTTCACGAAAAAAACGCTTCTGGTGTGTGAGGACCTTTAAGATCAAGAAAATCAAAAATTTTGTAGAATTGCAATTTAAATCGAATCGGCATCCAAAAAATCGTAGAAGAATCAAATCGGGAGAAAAGCGTATCGTCCCAGCCCTGGAGTTTATATTTACTGAAGTGAAAACCAGACTTGGACTTACTGTCAAGTATTTTGCTCGTACTATTTAAAAGTAGAGGATCTGAGCTCTTCCACCACTTGCATTTTCTCACAGACCTCAACATTCAGTCTTTTCGACCCTTGACCCCTACAACTTGAAGACTTGCTGTTAGATTATATTTAATTGTGGATCATCAGTCACCGTGTTAGCCTGGCAGTGTCAGCTGATCACTCGTTATTGCTCGTTATCTCTGGTTATCACCTGTTCTCACTCCTCATCACTTGCTACCTCTCGTTATCTCTAATTGGCGTTCATATTCATTTTTGCTCGTTAACACTTGTTATCCCTACAGCCTCTCTCTCGTTATGCTCCCCCTTCCTCTTGGCATTTAAACACACCCACACACACACACACACACACATGCAGTTACACATCTGCCTCATCCGTTTTTCATGCTCCACTCCACTCCACCTGTGGCTGCATGATACTTGTAGTCCAAACTATTAAAGACAAATTCTGATGGACAAAGTTTTTACAACTTTTTTGGGATCACGAACTTTGTTACACGTGGATAAGAGCAGTTTGGGAGGAGAGGCAGTGGGGAAAAAAATGTAAAATAGCACCCAGATCACACATAGCAAGGTGGCACAGTCAACGGCTGTGTCTGAAATGGATCCCTATCCCCTATATAGCCGACTATATGGGGGTTAGCGCCATTTTGAGGGATGTATGAAACCTGAGTAATCAATTCCAATGCCCCATATAAGTGACTCAAAATTTCCCAAATGTAGTGACCATCCTATTGTCACTCACCGGTGGTGGGCATCCCGTCATGCATTGCGTCTCCAGCGGCAACGTCACAACAGTAGTGTCTGAAACCTTCGGTGATTGAGCTCACTACATAGTCAGCTTGATTGAGAGATTCATTTCGGACACAGCCAAAGTTTGTCTTTATTGTCTTATTGTCATGACCATAGGTAGGGTGACCATGCGTCCTCTTTTTGGGGGCTGTCCAGTTTGTCCAGGGAAGTTTATAAAATCCTTCAAATGTCTGCTGTTTTGTACGCAAGTTTCCAGTTTGTGTCATGTGGACTTACTGAGTTAGAAGCGTGTAAAAGACACTCAATCTGACTCAAAAAACTCTCAAAATTAACTTCATGCGACTCTGTGACTCCGCCTCCGCGTAGTCGTAGCCTCTTTTTGGGAAGTCAGAATATGGTCACCCTACTAGAGGAAGCCAAAAACTGTAGTTAGTTAGCTAGTTAGCATGATCTTGCTCCAGCTTCTTCCTTTCCTCCTTTGCTTTGTTGTCAAATTATAAGAAGTCCCGCCTCTTAAACGGCAAATAGCCAATAGGATTTTGGTGCATCAGAGATAGCACATCAGAGTGGTGAAATTGGTGGTAGTGGTGGAGGGGCACCCCAGGTTTGGCTTGCAGACACGCCCCTGTCTGTTGAATAATGCAGCTGTGTCTGGATAGCACTTATGTCAGAGCGACAATTAGCTCCGTGAAAAGCAGTCTTACGTTGTTATTAGTGAGGAGGGCTGCGCACTGGACCTCCTGTCCACTCTGGAGTGGGTTAAACATCCATGTGGATCTAATTATGACCCCCCTCCTGGCCTTGTTTGTGCGTCATAACACTCCTTTTATCATTCTCATTGTAATCTGCAGCTCTGAATTTGATTAACTCTCCTTAATTCTGTCCACGGATGCTTCTCTCTAACTTTATTCATTCTCTTTTTCCCGTTCAATTGCAAGATAAGTGGCACTTTTTTTATTTTTTTGCTTTTTTTGGTCGGGATGTTTGTCAAACACTCATGCACGAGCAGAATAGGGAGACTGGTTACCGTGGGAACGCTGTGAGCTCTTCTGTGAAGAACTCTGTGGGCGAGAGACACAGAAAAGAGAGATGGAGAGAAGTGCAGAGAAGAAGAAGAGAGGGTAGGAGTGGGAGCAGGCGCAGGGTGAAAGACAAGCAAGGATTGAATGACGGCTGGAGAAGGAGGTATTAGAGACAGATGAGTGCTGCGGCTTTTATTTCTCACGTTTCACAGGTTTGATTTCATTGAAAAAAGTTTAAAAGTTGTTTCCTTGGACAGCAATCACAGAGAATGAGTCACGTTTGCGCCTGGGATCCGATTCAGGCTTTAACCGAATATTCCTTCGCTGATCTGGAGGGGGTATCACTTTCCGGATCGACTCCCTCTCCAGTCTCCCACATCACATTTAAATGAAGCCTGATTGCTTTTCATTGGGTGAATCACAGCCGCACACCTGCACAGAAACACACACACATAAAAATACACACATGTGCATGCTAACTCACAGGGTACAGCAGGTGCCTGGTGTGCGTAGTCGAGTCGTAACTGTAACTGGTGCCCCTCCTTGTCAGTGCTTTCGCCTGGCACTCAACGCCAAACGCCCACACAGGCAGTCCGCACTGTTGCCAAGCAGCAGGAGACTCAAGCTCACGGTGGAAAGCGATGGAGGGGAGAGGAGGGAGGGAGAACCAGAGGGTTGTTGGTTGTGGAAAAGCTGCTGGTAGAAGGGAAGGGAACTGGAGGGAGTGCGTATAAAAACACACTTGACTTTGGGCTACAGCGTGTGTGTGGTTATCAAACGTCTCTGTTTGTCAGCAGGAGTCAGGCGGGTCACACGCTGGAGGTGGGATGACGCAGCGCGCTCCCACACGCTTATTTCATAGACAATGGTTGGAGAAAGAAAGAAGAACAATTTGAGGCACAATGGCTGAAGTGCAGAAGGAAAAAAGTTGATGCCGTGTGTAACGCGGCCACAACAGCGCTGAAGATGTCTTCCTCACATGTGATCCGGGCTCCCACTCTCCTCACTCATCTATACATAGTCTCACCTACACGCTTGACTCCCCCGTCCCTGCATGCCGCTGCACAGGTTCGAGGAGAAAAAATGCACATTCCATCAGTCCACATCCTTTTTCCATCTCACACCCTTCCCCTCCTCTTTGTCCTTCTTCCTTCCCTTCATCCTTCCCTTGATTCCTCCTCTCTTGATTATTTTCACCCTTGCCTTCCTCCGTGTTCAACCTCTCCCACTCTCATGTAGCTCGCTCTCCTCCCACTCTTCCTGCTGCCTCCAGCCTCTGTCAACTTGCCGCTTTAAATACCTCGCACTTTCTCCTAATGTACCTCTTTTTCCTCTAACCCGGCCTTCCCTGCGTCCCCTCTCACACACTCTCACCTCTGATGTGTCGACTCAAACCTTCACTTTGTTTTTGAGTCGGCATGCGCCCGCTAATGACAAAGAGAGACTCGCTAAGAGAGAGAGTGAGTGGGTAGTTTGTGTGTTTTGTTCTTCTTCGGAGGAGGAGTAGAAGAAGAAGGAGGTGGAGGACGATTGGGGCCTCATGTATGTGTGTGTGTGTTTTTGTTTTATGGCACTGTGGGATTCAGGCATAACTGCTCATGAAGCAAAACTCAGATCCTAAATGAGCCTGTCAACACTCCCCTCACTGGGGAAACTCTATCAGGAGGCATTATCGCTGGTGAAATACAAATCTTGGCAGTTAAAGAGACCACACAGCGAGTACGAGTATTGCTCAGACTTACATAACGGCACCTCTACCTCTCTTCACATCTCCATCCAGAGCTGAACAGGTCAGCGAGTTCATTTGTGCAGAATAGTCCTTTTTCTTTGGGTTACGGATATCTGACGGAGAGAAATGTACCACTCAGAGAGGTCACGTCTCAAACAGTCTTCAGCAGCGAGGGGTCTTCTCCTGTTAATGAAACCTTCAAGGTTGTCGTCCTCAGAATAAATGGAAATGTAAAGGGCATATTTCTCGCACAATTGGCTGTTATAATAGCCACCCGCCAGGTTATTCCCACTTAGTTTAAACTTTTTATAAGTTGTGCCAAGCACCAGAGCGCCCGCCTACATAATTATAACCTTGAACACTCTCATTTTTAACCACCAATGTTTCCCCTCCAGTTAAAACTCTTACTCTCCCGCTAACAGCTGAGATCAGCGAGCTGCATTTGTCTCTTTGTGCGACGCTGCCAACACCCGAGAGGCAAAAGCAACCTAAAACCCCGTCCAACATGTTTCAGTTTCTGTCATCAGCTGGATTAAAGGATAAGAAAGGAGATGGTGTTTCTGTGTGTTTGTTATTGTTATCGAGTCACTTAAAAGGAAACGCCACACAGCGATGCCTCTGAGTCGCTCGAGCATCCCTGAAATGTCTCTGATTCGCAGCGTGGAGTCTTTTCATTCTTTTGGAGGACTGATCCTCCAGAATCTGCAGAAGGAGATTTTTTGGGTCACCAGTGGATACAAGGACAGGGAGGACTGAATCAGCTGAAGTTAGACACACTCTGTAGATTAGTGGTTCTCAACTGGTGGGTCCTGACCCAAAAGTGGGTCGCGGACACTTTCTGGATGGCTCTAGAATAGCTGGTCAAAAAAGTAAATATTTGATCCGCATCTGATGTTTAAAGCGTCTTTTATTTTAGAAAATAGCTTATTTTGAAAGGCACGCGTCATGTCATGGTCGTCCTCGGTTTCTTAGTAATGTGGCCTGAATGCAGAGATGCATAAAAGTCAAATTTTTCATTTTGCTGGTCTCCATTTTGTGCAATTTGATGTTTTCTGTACATGCAACTTCAGCAGTTGTCCTCAGTTCATGTGCTCTGAAATACACTTTACTCAATAAAATGGGGGTGTTTATGTCAAGGATTTTAGTCTTAAACGTTTTTTTTTTTTTAATTAAAAAAAATAAATTTGCTTGGTTTGAATTTAATAAAAGTGGATCGCAACCATAAACTGCATATTCTATGGACAACTTAGTTCTGCCTCCCGCCTGTATACGGATTTGAGGCCAAAAAGCTCTCGGTAATTCTGCAATTTTCCACAGGTCCATAAGGATGGCTGGCAGAGGTGGGATTTATGACCTATACTGCAGCCCGTCAACAGAAGGTGCTGTTCTCGGAGTGGCTTCACCCAGCAATGAGGCAGATTCTGTCCATTCTATATACAGTCAATGGTCACAGTCATGGACCATGGGAAAATGTGGGTCCCAGAGTGAGACCAGTTGAGAACCAATACTGTAGACCGACTTGACCGCCTCTTATCTGCGATTCAGTTGTGTCGAATAAATGTGTGTTTTCTTAATTTGGATTAGCTGGTTAGTTGGGATTTAAATGTCCATTTTAAACACCAGGAAATGATTTTCGCTTGAATCTCTCTAAGAAGTGATCTGATTTTGGTTGGTTTGTTATTTTGCTAACACTCAGCATTTACACTCTGAGCAGTGACAGTGATTTAAATAATCAAGTTTCTGTGTTGGGAAACAGTCAGCCACACAATAAGTCAAAACTCACTACAAATCTCCAAACATCTCTAAAGGAAGGACTTAAATATCTGTTTATTCCTCACTTTGATTTGAGCGGCAAATCTGATACAGTCACTTTGATTTTAATTGATACAGTGTTGGTGTAATAAATCGTAGATAACTAACGTCTGGAAACTTCACAGCTGTTTGCAGCAGACGTTACTCAAACAGGTTTGAATGATGTGTCTGTCAAGGACTTTTTTTCTGTGACTATTCATAGCAGCAGGACGGTGGAGTTGGCTTTACTGAATAGAGAGCACAGAGACAGTTTTTAAGGTCAATATTTATCTTTAACAGAGTTTGAAAAGTATGATGCAGTATTAGGACCACATTATGAAAAAAATGTAAGACTTAGAGATTAAAGTCATTAACTTATGAGGATGAAGTCAGAATAAAGTCCTTATATTCTAACCTGCTGTTTAAGATGATAGTTGTTGAAATTAGAGCCATGGAGCATTTCATGAAAATGTACTTCAATATAAGTTTCTCAAACAAGGAGATAATCTTTTGGCACATCTGCACCACATTATTATAAATATCATAATGATTTTATTACTTTTTTATTTATTTATTTATTTAATTTATTCTCATAAATTAGGATTTTATTACAAATTTATTCTAGTAAATTATGATTTTAGTATGACTTAATTCTAGTAAGTAAATACTTTATTATGACTGTATTCTCATTAGTAATGACTTTATTCTCATTAGTAATGACTTTATTCTCGTAAATTAATGACTTTAATCTCAAAGTCTTACTTTTTTTTCTTAATGTGGCCCTAATTCTCCGTCGTAGAAAAGTGATAAAGCAGAGACTTTATTTTTTTGCTTTTCACTCATAACAAAATAAAAACAATCTCAAAAGTCATCCTCCAACTGTTTTATTTGCAGCTTGTCATAATGTTGTTTTCTCCGGCCGCCATCAGAGTGACGCTCCAGCTGTGACTGACAGTTTGACCGCTTCGTCTCTCGTAGCTGGCCCCCCCTAAAACAAGCTGCTAATCCACTGCAAATCTCACTTCCTTTCTCGCCCGCTCTTCTCCGTCTCGTTCCCACTCCACGCCGCTAAAAACCGACGGGGACTGCTTGTCCTTGACGGCAGCTGGCCCCCAGTGAGAAGAACCCGGCCATTTACATGCTAATCTCAACCGCTGCTCACTCTTCAGCTGCTCACTTGCTCGCTCGCTATCTGCAGATGGAGCATCTCTAATTCCTGCCAGAGTTAGAGGAGAGGCAGAGAGGCTTTTGTGCTACATGTGCACTTTTGCATGCATTACAGAAAGTGGTTTCATATTTTCATGCAGGATGATCCACGGGAGGACTCGGCTGTAGACCTGTATAGAGCTTTATATAATCCGTCAGAGTGGATGGTGGAGTTTTTTTTCAGTGAAATCTCTCATTTAACAACCTGTGAGGATTTATATATATATGTTTCTTTCTTCGACTCTAACCCTTAACTCTTCTCTTCCTCTCACACTTTAACACACATATCTGCCGGGAAACTCCAACCAGAACCTGTGGTGTTTCAAAGATGTTGGTCACCGTGTTATTGTCGGAGTCTGTACAATTTGTCACACCTCTTTTTTTCTCGTTTAAATGTGTCATTCCTTGTACTACCATTGCTCTGTCATGTGCAGCTTCAAACAATGCTCTTCTCTCTGTCTCTTCTTTCTGCTTTGTGGCTGACTCTTTATGGTTTGTGTGTCTCTCTGCTTCTTCCATGTCTTTTGTGTGTGCCTGTCCGTCCCTCCGTCCGTCAGTGTCCGGCCGTCGTCTATCTCAGGGCAGCCCACCTCGGCTCCCAGCACTCCCACTGCAGCTGGTTATGCCACTCTGTTACCCACCAGTCTGACTGTTCACAGCTTCGTCAGCCTCCATCAGTACTGCTGCCCCTCTACTGACCAAAGCTTACAGCGGGAGGACAGGTAAGGGCCACTGCAGGGCGCTGAGATCCCATTAGGAGCCTTGCAGCAACCCCAGATCCTCTAAACCTACCTCCAGATCTCACTGTGTGGCCTTTAACCATCACTTTCCTTCCTTTTCATCCCTGTCTGCCTGACTTAACCTTCTGCAACCCCTTCCTTTTTCTTTTAATCCCCACCATGAGCCCGGTCTTTTGTCTGCTGCCGCTCCCAGGTGTGACTAATAGCTCAAGTTTGGCCCTTAAAGCAGTTTGAAAAAGAGGCAGCTCCTCGCACAGAGCGGGAGGGAGCACTTATTTGTGCTTAGTCCAGGGACCAAGGTGCACTGAGTCACAGTCGAACCTTGTGAATTCTTCCCCCTTCTTTTCTGTCCTCCCCTCATTTATCCTCTCTACCTGATGCTGTTCTCAGACACATCAGTGCATGATGCTCCAACACTGCCACCTAATGGCTTGGCACAGCTGGGATCTGTGCATACATTCACTGTATGGGCAACTGTATTTAATGAGAATGCTTTTTTTTGTCCCTGTTTGCTCTAAAAACACCATTGCTTTATCAAATGTGAGAAAAATCATCACCAAAATGAACTCCAGATGTTTTTCTTCAGAAATGTCCCGTTTATATAGTCTAACTTCTGGGCCTCTTAACTGAGATTAGTGTTTTTTTAGGTTTATAGGTTAAAAAATACAATCTCGAAAAACTGGCAGGGATGCATGATGTGTTTTGGGTCTGATAAGTTACTAGCTTGATAATAAAAATGTCCATTATTGATTGTTATTCCGATAAAAGAAATTTATCTGATAAAATATCTAATAATAGCTGCGTCCATGTACTTAAAATCAACAACCAACATCCTGGTATTAGACTAAGAAAACCAAACTGTCCTCTAGGAAGCACTTCATGTCGCAGCACGGACATACAGGTGAACAAAACATGTCAGACAAACAACCAAAATTCAGATTATTCTGATTGGATAATTAAAAGCAGTTGATGTCAATAGCAAAATCACTGGACGTCTACCCTTATACCCTTTTTTCATATCACTCGGTCCATGCATTTCTCTTAAAGGGATAGTCAGGCGTAAAATTAATTTAGGGTCAAACACATCATAACACCGAGTTAGACACCCCCTCGAGAGATGGATGTTGCCGACCGATTGCTTTTCTAGTTATACCAACTTTAGTAACGACCGCACGATAGCAATACAGAGCGGTCTAAGGAGCCATAGACAAACCTCAACCAAAACGCCACTCTATAGCCACAAATAATGATCAGAACAGCACCTAACTTCATCAACAGTACATATAGGGTCCCAGCCATAGTACTAGCCATCAAACATATTTTTAACTTTGCCTAAGAGACTTAACACAACTCACCTACTCTCTTCCAGCAGCCGCTTGTTTGTAGCAAGACCTTGACCGGTCCATTATGGACTACAGCAGGGTGACGCAGCTCAAGGAAGAACATTCATGATCATTTCTTCATGGATAATACATAAACAAAAGGATATTGTCAATAAATGATTTATAAATAAAGTTTCAATATTGAAAGAGTTCAATTTCCCTGAGAAAATATAAGCACTGCAAGGAGTAAAAATGGCGTCACCATTGAGGATGTTTTTCTCTCTTTCAGAAGACGATAAAACTTGTAAAACATGTGCGACAGTTACTCTGAGAGCTCCTTGAGTTTTATTAAAAACCTTTCTTTTGAATCACACAGGAATTCATCAATTAAAGCTCCTGTTAGGAGTATTTATCTGGAAACAAAACAGACTGAAATGACCTTGCTGTTTTCATGGCTTACATTTGTACAGAACAAGATCATTGAAGGTAGGAGTTGGATCACAAAGAGGTATTAAAAGAATCTAAAGTATCAGGAGCTGCTGCCAGTATCAGCACCAGAGCTGCAGTTCCAGTTTGAGGACTTTAGAAAGTTTATTGGAGACGACCCGAAACCTGACGCAAGTCTGTAAAAAATCACTGAATTGACAGCGCACAGGTGGTGAAAGTATTTACTGCTACTTTACAAGTGCCTCCCCTGTATGATGTGATCTCTTTACAATCTCAGTCTGATCCACACAAATGTCAGTCACATAGAGAGATAAAAAAAGTTTGACAGGGCTCTTTAATTGGCTGCTTGTCTGACACCTTCCCCAATCGCACCTTTAGACATAAAAAAGAAGGATGTAAATATCGCCGGTCTTGTTTGCGTTCATAAAGAACCCACCGAACAACAGATGGCTATTAGACGTCTAGTTATTTTTTAGACCTAATTTCCACCGTCTAGATTCTGTATATTTTTAGACGGAATACAGACATTGCACTTTAACCCTCTATTCGATAAGTATTTATTTCAAAAAGCAACTATGAGTTTTGCACAACTGATCTCCAAGTACTTAACCAAAATAATTATGATAGCTGTTGAGCATTATACTGGTAGATCTCTGTTAGCTGGCTAGTCTAAACTCGGTCTAAATTTAGACGTCCGAAAACTTTCATTTTTAGACCTGTGTTAGAATGATTTTGGACCAGTCGTCTAGACTACATTCAGACATCTATTAGACCTCTTTTAGACCAAAAAATGCTCAGAGGGAAGCATCTGAACAAATTTCAGTCCATTTCATAAACAGGAAAAAATTCCTTATAGGAGCTTTATAAAAGTGATTTAATCAAGAGTCAGCAAGTAAAGTCCATTCAAATAGGAATCTCATGTACCAAAACGTAATATATCAAGAATTAAAAACGTAAAGGATAATATCGGCTATCTTATCAATATCAGCCATCAGAAACAGGTTATTATCAGTTATCAGTTCTCGGTATTGGCCCAGAAAAATAAACAAATCATGCATCTCAAAAAGTAAGTGCAATAATAATGAAAGAATTGATTATATGTGTGATTCACAAATTATTATCTGCATCAGTATTTCTGCTGCAGAGTAAGAGAAAAACTTACAGGCTAACAGTGGACAGAGGGCATTGTCTCCTCTTGTTTGTGGATGAAGTCTTTGGGTTTTTAAAAAGATTTCTGATTTTAGGTTTTTGGAAACTATGAAGAAGATTTTTCGTTTACATTTCTCCCCTTTTGTAGAGTAAAACTTGGCATGTAAATCATTGATTAAAAGAGTCTTTCGATGCAGCTCTGTGCTTTCTTGCTTCATTCTGCTTTGTTGTTTTCTGTGTCTCATGCTGTTTTTCACTCTGCCCCCCTCCCTTCTTCTTCTTCTTTCTTCCCCCCTCCTCTGTCTTGTTTGTCTGCCTCGTTGTGTTTCTCTCTCTGTTTCTTGTTGTTGTTTTTTTCTTCCTTCTTTTATTACTCGTCCTGTGTTTGCTTTCCAAGAGAGGAGGGTGAGGATGAGGGTGCCCATCAGTTCTGTTGCTCTGCCTCAGGCTGCAGTAGCCCCTCCTCTCGCTGAGCCGAGCTGTGACCGACAGCACAACGTCTCGCTCGCCTGTTTACCTGTGAAAAGACTCTCACAGTTTATGCTGCCAGAAAACGGAGACCTCACTGTGTACCAAAAAAAGAAAACAAAAAAATCAGAGTATTTTCAAAGAATTTGAAAAAGAAATGCATGCGACTTGTGGACTTTTGTGACGGTTTGTTTCTTGTGCTTCAACTATCACATCCTCTGTGCTTTCATTCGCATCTTTTCTCGGAGTGTTGATGTTGTTTCCTCCCTGTATTTCTTTGCTGTTTATTTCATCTCTCGCAGCCATAAGAAGCTGTCACAGCGTATTACTATCCTCTCCTTGTTACTGTCGCACTCACGCTCATCTTGGATCCACTAGTTGAGTCACGTCAGTTCGGATGTGCCCGGTAGTCACCGTTTGTTATCTGTGCGCATCACTATGCAGTCACCAACCATTATGCAATGTCAGAGAAGCTCGCCTCATGTGTGATGTAAAGATGAAAAATGTTTGCGGTTTGTTTAACATATTCGTGCGGTCTCTTTATTTCTAATTACTGATCCTCTTTCGTAGATTAATCTCCTTTTGACAGAATATAATCTAATCTAACTCTTTCCTTTCTGAAGCTGAAGTTGATGTAATTTCTCTGTGTTGTTTAAGTCACGCTGGAATGTTGCTTGTACACGCCCAGCGCGCTCACGTCCTCATCCACACACACACACACACACAGTAAAATTTAATCATAGAGTTTCTATTTTCAGATATTGATTTTGTGTTGTGCATAATCCTTGAATGTTAATATTTCTCCTCAGCGGAACAAACAGTATGTACCCAGTTATTGTTGGCAACCAACTTTGGACGAAAATCAGCCTTGTTCTCTGCCAAAAATAGTACAATTTTCCACACATACACAGTGTGTACATGTGTTATCTTTTCATGTGAGGATGAATCATGAAACTCAGGGCAGTTATTATATATATACACTGCAGCAATAACAACTACTGAGCCTCAGAGAGCATGAGTTCTTATAGCTTTGGTTCATATCACTGTAGTTTTTCATAAAGTTTCTGCTTTGTCTCATTTTCAAACGAAAAGCTGCGTTATGTCGTCCATCTGAAAGGCTTTAACACATCATTATCCATGTGTCTGTGTTTCACATTCACTCTTATAAGCAGCACAGACACCGAGACGGTTTTATTTTGAAAGTGGGACACAAAAGAAAACCACATTTCTTATATCTCTCCTCCTCTTTTTTCAATAAACAAACGCACTTCTTCAACGTGTCTCGTCTGCTCCTATTATTTCTTCCAGCTGTGACGTGTTTTCTTTGTTTTGTTTGGTCTTGTAATTAGTGTGACTGTGCATGTATGTATGTGTGTGTGTGTTTGTGTGTGTTTTTGTTAGTGATGTAGAGCAGAGGAGGGAGGGAGGAGTAAGAAAAAGCCGGGCAGGGTGAGGGAAGTTCATAGACTGTCAAGTAATGACTGTGAAGAATGTAGCCTGGACAGCTTTTCAGGGCGAGCGAGTGCGAATGTGAAAGTGTGTACGAAGGAGAGAGAGAGAGACAGAGAGAGAGAGAGAGAGAGAGGGAGTGTGTGTTATTACGCTGCTCCAGTTTGTGTGAGACCTTCTCTGACAGTAGCAGCATGGTAAGAGCTCAACTTTTTCTTTCCCTTTTGCCAACTTTGACTTTAATATAAAGGGACAAAAATGACATCTGTGTGTTTGCGTTTGACAAAAGTGTTGATAAAACGAACCGGAATCCTTAAAAACAAAAAGAAAAGAAAGATAAAGTGATTGATTTAAAAAATAGGGACTCTCTTTTGAGTGCTCATAATTATAATGTGGGTGTTTTTTTGTCAAGTTTTTCCAAAGAATAACTTTTATTTTGAAAGGAATCTGACATGTAAATGGACTTTGACGGGGTGATGAATGAGCTCCTAAGAGGTGTGCTCGGTGTGACAGAGGAAACATGCCGTTCAGATGACAGATCACATTCTTTTCAAAGCCGGGATAATCAGCCCGGCTGACCCGAATGTCAATCACAGGGGAATTTCATGACATAACCCTGAAAAAACGACTCCAAACTCTCGGATTTGTAGCTCGAACAATAACAAACATTTCCACAGAGGTTTGTCGTGTGAGTCTGAAGGGCCCCCGAGGTGGAGGAGGAGGAGGGTATGTCAGCTTCAATGCATTTCTGCAGCCAGCACTCGAACTCTGCAGAGGCAGAATCAGCTGTGGCCAAATCTGGAAGTAAATCAGTCAAAAAAAAAACTTGGAAATTTTGCAGAGAGACATTTGGAGCAGGTCCAAAAATAGCGGATTTCCAATGGAGACAAAGTTTATTGATGTACAAGACAGGGAAAAGTTGTTCTGTGATGGTGCCAGCGATTATCTGATGAGTTTATGCTTACAAAACACAACCAATCTCAAGACACATCAGTCTGCGGCTTCTCTATTATATTTCTTAAAAGTACTGCTTAGATAGAATTGGCACTTTACGATCATTTTATCAAATAAGACCGTCTCAAAAAGCAGCTTTATAACTCCAGATGAAAGAAGATGAATAAGAAAAGTGGTGCTTGGTTTGACAAAATGGATAAACTACATATAAAGAGGAGAAAGTGGTATCTCCAGCTGACAAAACCACAGTTCCAGCTCTGAACTCAGGGTCAGGGTCACAGGATTGAACGGTATATGAGTGAGCGAGATTGTCAGAGGAGAGTTGGCGGTGCAGGAATTCTCCGATGTGACCCATGAATGATGTGATTGTTTCATTTCAGTTCGGCCGTTTGAAAGAACAGGAACAAGAGTTACAAAGAGGGTACAGATTGTTCTGGATGTGGATTTATTTTCATGTAGGAAAACATTACCAGCGCTGTGCTTTTAATCTCTTTAAGCCCTCATGTTGATGGCAAATATTATCACTACTGCTGAGTAATTAGCTGGGGTCTTACTGAATGCCTTTCAGCGTCTCTTATCCTTTTATTTAGGTCACAGGGGGCATTTATATCCGTGTTATTTAGAAAAACAGCATAAGGCCCAATAACAGAGTACATCACATAGACATTTTGTCCTCTCTTCAATGCTATTTGAGGCTCAAGTCACTTGTTGTCGTCTCCCATATGGACACGGTGAGGAGTTCTATTTTTTGTCGATTCACAGAAGGTGTCAGGAAAGAAATGATGTACAACTTATAGAAGTCAGGACGGGTTTGGAGACGATCAAGAAAGACAGAGAACATTTAGCCTGAACTAGGGCAGGGCGATAAAACGATAACCACATATATCGAACATGGTCAATATGCTTTTTCGATAGTCGGCATTAAAAAGGAGAAAAGTGCATTCTCCATGATTTAGCTGGGTTTAGAGCGGCAAGGTGTATGGTGTGTTTCCCCGTTAAAAGACAAGGATACAGATGTCCAGTTTGGTGGTGTGCACACAGGTGCGGTGGGTTCGGAGCTTCTATGGTGTGTTTACGAGCATAGGACACTTGAAAACTCACCGTAAAACACAATATAACTGCACGGTATTTACTTGAAAACACCTTATCAACTTGGGCTTTCTAACAGGCATATTGCCATGTTTTGGTAGATTATACAAATAGCCAATGAAAGGGAGAGTTGCTCCGGGTCCACTTTGCGTTAAACCAATCATGGGATGAATTAAGGTCTTTACACACTGGGAACAGTAGACTGAACATTTTAAATGAGGATGAAGTTCCTCCTGAAAGTTATGAAATCATACAAATTTCATTCCAAAAAGTAAAAGTCGTCTTTCATCATGTGACTTTAGTGTTTCCAAAGTTTCCAAGTATCTAAAATTACTGTGCTTAAAGCTCCTGTTAGTGTTTTTTTACTGGTTTGTACCTGGCTGGTAAACAGACTGATACTGATGCCTCTTCAGTCAAATAAGAGCCACAAGTCTGATATATTCAGAAAACAGAATAAGGGTACTAGCGGTACCAAATTTGTTCACAGGGGGCACTTAAGTCAACACAGACCAAAAGTCACTCACTGCAGCTTTAAATATTAAAAGTGAAGATAGAAGTAACCAGTGAGGACAATGTTGTCATTTCTGAGGTCTCTGGGCATCCAGTATCTCTGTTGAATGCTTTTTTAACTTTCTAATTTACTATACCTCAGTTTTTAACCTCTCAGTTTTGCACTTTCGTTTTCAGTTCAGAAAGCCCCCAGGTAACAAAATTCTTCTCTGGAATCTGTGGGGGACTTTTTATCCTAGAAATGTCAAGTTGAGTGAAAGTGAAAGTTGACAATCATGTTTAAATGACTTCTCGGAAATCCTCTCATGCTCTAATAAAGATACTGTCACCCAGGAATGTTACACCGCTGCTGCTGTTGTTTGTTGTTTATTTTATCAAAGCTGACGATTAAACAGGCTAAAAGTAAATGTGAGATAACAGCTTTGAGTGAAAGCTTTGGTGAAAATGAGTCTACAGACAGATCAATGTAATTATTGGCATCTTCATGGCTGGCAGCAGAGAGGTTAATCCCTCGGCCTGCAGGTCCTGCTGAGGGTTCGATGGCACAGTCAGACCAACTGCTGCTCCTCACACAAACACACTCACACGCACAGAGTCAGCACATCAATATTAAATGAGCGAGGGACTGGAGGAGTTGACATTGTGCTTTACAGCGATCGCTTTTCTCATCGGCGCTCTTGTCAATTTTCTGTCTACGTCTTTTTATCTCTTCGCCTCTATCGCTTCTGTTTATTAGATCCCAACCATCTGCTCCACTTCCAGTTAAATGGTTACAGGTAGTGAAACTCGGGGCCGGTCTTTATGAGGGAGTCTCCAGAGAGCGGCTGGCTCTGGCACTGTAACAGGAATACAGGGTTTCTTACATAAGTAATGAGGTGGTGCAGATGCCAGCTGTGATATGGTCGCACTCATGTTTTATACAACAAACTTTATACTCGTATATCATTCCCACCTTGTGTCTTGTTGCATATTACTGCCCTGCTTTCGCTGCAGGCTAAACCAGAGGAGAGTCTTGTTAAACGCGTGCTCGCCTGGAGGTGGATTGGAAGACCAGAGAAGAGGAACAAATCAATGTTGAAACAGAGTCTGATATATTCAAAAATTCAACCAAACTTTAAGACTTTCAACGCACTCTCTCTTAAGGTGAAGATCTTCCTCTAGTTGCGCAGATGAAGTCTTAAAAGCGTGCACGTGTCTCAGTGAAGCATGCTGTAGAGATAAAAATCTGTGTTTTCAGTCACATAATCCTTCAAACTGGTAACTGATTCAGAGGCCGCACTGTCACAGCAGAAACAAGCACTCTCCCTGAAGGTAATTTGCATTTCTGTCTCCGCTCAAAGTGACATGACAGCTGAAGTTTGTAAGGATTTTCAGGTCAAGTCAATCCCGAGGAACAGCCATGAATATTCAGACGCTTTAATGAACCCAGGCTTGTGGCTCCTGGATTTTTAGCGCTGCATGTATTTCAGGTTTCTGTGACTCAGTTGAATGAGCAAATACCATCTGCTCCTGCTGATGTGCGCAGCAGGAAGTTACAGCGTGGCTTAGTCGCCGCTTGTGTCGACCTGTTGGCTCGGAGCGAAGGCACTCGTAGCTCAGTGGCTCGTTTCCACTCCTTAAAAGGAGGACTTTTAATTCTGAGGAAGACCCGGTTTTCTACCCCTCAGGTTACCCAAGATGTATAAATAGAAATTAGATTTGGACGATATTTTTAGCCCTCCGTTCTCCCTAAACTACCAAGTTTAGACGACTCTGTATTTACATGCTTCATATATTTATTATTCTTCTGTTTTCATAACAAGACAAGTATTATGAAGACTGTCATTCACAACCTGTGGAGCATCTTCAACACCCACCTCAATGGTGATAACCGTCAATACATTGTCATGGCAACTACGCTTCTCATCCTAACAACTGCCTCACCGCCTACAAAGGTCCCACGGCAACCGTCACCAGGCAACCCCCTCCCTCTCCTCAGTATCTCTATTTAAGTAGCAGTGGAGGAGGTGGAATGATAAATGATGCCGCTCAGAGGAAAAATATATTTTAAAGAAGAGCAACAACTCGCTGCTCATAAATAATTAGTGTAAACTCTGTGTGTAAACATTGTACAGCTTGTTCATACTGTTATTAATTCTCTCTCGTGAGGACACGGAGCATGTGTTTATCTCAAATTCTGCAAAGACTATAAATATTAAAGCCACCCTAAGGGGTTTTTGACAGCTTGTGAAACAGATTGAAATTGATACTGACGCCTCTTTGTGACCAACAAAATCTAATAAAACCATCAACAGCTAGACCGGCAATTTCTGAATAGTGGTTTTCGGTGCTTGAAAGAGCTCCTAGGGGTCAGAGACCATCTGTCCCATTATCTCAGTGTTGACAATGACTGTCTTTTTGGAGAACTGGAACATTAATATCTTGCCAAAAACAAGCGTATGGGTTTATAGAAGTAGACACACTGGTTTGCACACATCATAAAATCAAGAAGAGACAATAAAGAAGCAGCTGCTGCGAGCCGTCTAACTCATAGCAACTCTCTGACAGTTTTAAAGCTCCAGTGAGTGAGTTTTTCATGTTTATGAAACAGACTGATATTTATATTTATGCCTTCTGTATATATACAAAAACAAACATGACCATCAGTGACAAGATTAACAATTGTTTTATTTTTGTTTTTTAACCCCTGAAACTGGCGCGAGAGGGTAGGTGTCACCCAAGCAGCTAAAGACACAGACCTGTTTTTACTTTTTCTGCATAAAAAAGGACCTGGAGAGTGGGAGGGGACGAGTCGGAACTACGGGAGAGGGGTGTGCTGAATACAGCGAGGTGATTGGATGAAGAGGCCGAGCAGGAGATTGACCAACCCTATTGGTCAATGTTTTGCAGCCCTGCACCTGCTAGGGTGGACAGATTTTTTCCATTCTTTTTTCTCTTCACTTTGTGGAGATCGCACTAAGTTAATAGAAGACAAAATAAGCATAGGCTTCTCTGTCCACAGGGGGTGCCAAAATTGACACAAACTAACCCATTCACTTTTATGTAAACAACTTTGATATCCAACTTACCTGCCGAGCTCCACCCCTCTGTGATATTTTGGTCCATGACCTACTTTGAGTGCGTTCAGTCAATTAATCTTTTGCTGTGAATTTCCGAGATACCAAATGACAGTAAGCTTGCCAGGTTGCTGACTAGCAGGCTGCTAACATGCTTAGAATGTCCATTTACTCGTCTAGTGAGATTGTATGATTACTAAGTGGTGGAAAACGTCTTGACTCCACTTACTGAGGTTATTTCCTTTGCCTCGGGTGCTTTTTTTGTTGGCTGTTGGTTGAGTTCGTTTGATGGTGAAGAGCATGTTTATGAAGTTACAATACATCTTGAATTTGAGTGATGTTTCCCTGCTAGATTATAGTTTTTTATTCTATACATAAAACAATAAATAAATATGGTAAATAAGTTTGAAATAGTAATCTTTTTAAAATTGGGAAAAGACAAAAAAGCGGCAGCAACTATTTGAAAGCTAGCTGTGGTAGCTTTCTTTTACAAAACAGACATATCTAGATTTATTATTATTGCTAAGTTTCAGGTTACTAATCATTTGGACATTAATACATTCCAACTATCTTTTCAGTGTTCTTTTTTTGTTTGTCTTACTTACAATCTACTAAAAGTATTAAACTTCAAAATAAAAGCATGAGGTTGCAATGCAGAGAAGAAAGCAACCTTTCAAAAATGTCAAAATAAAAGCACAACAACGTCCTCTCCAAGTGTGTTTGAGTCACAGGGCTGGTGATTCGGATAAATCATTAACTTGAACATCGTAACAAATTCTTCATGACATGTTGGCTAATTGCTTTTGTTAGTGATGGTAATGCTCCACCCTTGTCTTGTCTTTCCTCAATGTGACTTTTTTATTCTCATGTGGTCGTAACATCTTGATCGAGATATTCCATGACCACGATGATCATGAGGTGAAATCTGATATCAGTGTAAAGTGGTTTTTCTATCCTACAGGTGTAGGATTTGTGTCTTTATAAGTGAGGGCTGCAGGGCTCTGGTGTTATGCAACATTATAAATCCTCAGTGTTGCTGTTAGACTCAACAATAACACAGTCAGAGCGTGTGCCTTTTGAAGAAACAGGATGTCCTCCTCAGAGACCCTCCACTGAACAACATTTCCCCTTTGGTCTGCAGTAAAGGTTTTCAGTCCTGGTGTAGGAACAGGCACAAGTCGTGTTTCAGCAGCACTTTCAAGATCAAAAAGGTGAACAAAAAAAAAGATCATAAAGGTATCTCCTTGTTCCTTGAAAACTATTCCTTCATATCTTGTTTTCACTGACTAACACAGGAAGTCTCTGGGATCTGAACAACAGAAGGAGTACATTAGCTAACCAGTCAGAGCAGAAAAAAAGTCAAAGTCACGCTCTGGCACTTTTTATGTCAACTATTAATAAGTGATGCAGGAGTTCTCCACGCACAAGAGTGAATCCTACAAAGGCAACCCTCAGCCACAAAGATTTCCCTATTTGTACGTGGTTAATGTCAGACTCCAGCACAGCCCTGACGCCCTGCCCTGCTCTGGGACAGGGCACAGCTGACAGAAGGGGGTGCGGCTAAAACACAAGGAGGAAATGTAGGCAGGGGCATGTGACCGCTGTTTTTCCTCCAAACGCAGACTGACTAATTGACTTGTCTGGGCAGAAGTGCGCAACAGGATACAAAAGGATTTCTGGACTAACTCGCCCGCTGATAAGTTTTGAGTTTTTTTGGATTTGCTTTCATTTGGACACAGCTTTTCTTTGTGTGTGAATTGCTTTGGGCGCACAGTCTTCACAGCTTGCACAGAGGAGATGTTGCCATGTGCTTTGTGTCACGCAGTGATGTAATGCGCCTGTTTTATACCTGCAGCTGATGAACAACCTGGTCTTTCCTGTCAGTATGGTGTCGCTGGTATGTGGAGGAGTGTGTTGATGACTCCTCAGAATGTGATATCACTGCCACGCTTGTCAGACGAGAAGAAGATGTAAAGCAGAAAAGGGCGAGCGAGCTTTTCTGAATGTAGTATATTAACCCGGTAAAAAGAAGAGGACAGAGGTCAGAGATCATCAACTCACTATGTAGGTCATGAATCTTGTCAGATCTCAGGCTGTGAAGTAACACCATGAGTTCCACTAAGAGATGGTTAACTGCCCGCCGCTCTAAGGTGTACATGTAAGTCTTTAAATGATATCTTGCATGTACTTTTCTGCATAACTGGTGAGGCTCTACTTACCAAAGCATTATGCAATTCTTTTCTTGTGCTTATAACACTTCAAAATGTTTGGTGTGATAATCTGTCAGCACCCATATTACTCACAAATGGCTCATTCTCAAAGCTTCTGCTCATTTTCTCTCGCAGTGTGGAAGGGGACTCCCAGTGTCCAGATTCGGGCACCCACAAAGACAGCTCATTCAGCCAGACGCCTTACCTGCGTGGGTCCGAGCGCTACGCTGACAGCAGCAGCAGCAGCACCGTACCTCCCGGGTCCAGGGAGCCTTCACACGTGTCCGTCTCCAGTTCAGCTAGCTTGGCCTGGGCGCTGCGAACACGACATCAACCTGCGAGTTTGGCCCTCCGCAAGCAGGAGGAGGAGGAGAATAAGAGATGCAAGGCCCTTTCAGACAGCTATGAGCTCTCGACGGATCTCCAGGATAAGAAGGTATCAATGCCGAGGCTGATGTTAGTCAGAGGATTTGTGTTGCAAATATTTGTGTTTTTTGGATGCCAACAGAACAAGCAAACATTTTGCAGATCAAGAAATCTTTTGAGTGGGAATTCTTGGGTGCAACACATCGAGGTGGCGATTATGTAATGTTTCTTCTCAACCTCCCGCCAGGTGGAGATGCTGGAGAGAAAGTACGGTGGCTCCTTCGTAAGCCGCAGAGCAGCGCGGACCATCCAGACGGCCTTCAGACAGTATCGCATGAACAAGAACTTTGAGCGCCTCAGAAGTTCGGCTTCAGAGAGTCGCATGACACGCCGGATCATCCTGTCCAACATGAGATTGCAGTATTCTTTTGACGAGCGACAGCCACAGCAGCAAGCCCAGACTCAGACCAACTTCACCCACAGCGTCGCCATCGGACCCCCTCATTCCCCCGACACAGACCGCCAAGGAGACTACACACACTTAGAGGACTCCTTTTCCAAACAGGTGACTGTGTTGTGGGTTTTTACGAACGATCAGTTTGAGAACATAACGTTCTTCAGGGTTCAGTGATGTTCAAAATGTTATGTGAAAGCCTCCGCAGTGACAGAAAGATACAGACAGAGTAAACAACATTCTTTATCTCCTCAGGTAAGCTTTAGACTCTGAGTTTGTGCCGGAGACACAGATTATGTTTCAGAAAAGTACAACCTCTGCGCCGCAAAAGCTAGAACCCCATTTTTCTGCAAATCAAGCAAGATGCTCAACAATTTAAAAATTATGTGTAAAACTGCAAAAAGTTAATCATTCAGTGTACAAAATATACAGAGAGAATCTGAAGAAATCTCAGAGAAAGAGAGAGTCAGCTTTGCATTAAAAAACAAACATGACTCTGTAGTGGGAATCACTACATGAGCTAAAAAAAAATCTCTTTCTGCGTGTGTAACAAAAGCACAGTGCCGAGTCCAGGTTCCTGCAGTCCAAACTTGTCACTCATCCAAAACAAAAATACAACAGAGGAGATCCCAAACTGTTGAGCAGCTGAAGTCCTGCATCAGGCAACGATAGATGAACAAAGCTTCAGAAACCGGTCTCCTCTGTTCTCAAACATTCAGTGTTTTTGAAAGGAGAGGTGATGCAACACGGTGGTAAAAATACCTCTGTACGAACTGCTTTGAAACATGTTGCTCTCATTAAATTTGAATTGTGTTCACATTTTTTATGAAACAATACAAGTTTTTGGTTTCAGCATTTGCTCTATTTTTAGTTAAATATAGATTAAAACACAAACCATCAATTCTCACATCGTGACCATTTTCTCAGCAGTAAAACTTTTTAAAAATTTGTTACGTTAGCTCAGGAGGTAGAGCAGTCGTCCAATAACCGCAAGGTTAGCAGTTCAATTCCCCCCTATCCCTGTCTGTTGTGTCCTTGGGCAAGACACTTAACCCACTTTGCTCCCAGTGTGTGTCCTCCACTGGTGTGTGATTGTGAGTGTTGTGTGGTGGTGGTCGGAGAGGCCGTTTACCGCCACCTCAGTGTGACTGTGTGAGTGAGTGAATGAATGATGTATCCAATGAGGGTCTCCGATAAAGCGCTATATGAAATCTGATGCATTATTATTATTATTATTATTATTATTATCATTATCATTATTGTCATTATTATCATTATTATTATCATTTTTATTATTATTATCATTATCATTATTGTCATTATTATCATTTTTATTATTATTATTATTATTACATGTTTTGTTGTTAGAATTTGGCGGCGCTAACTCACGCCTTAATTTGTCTCCCTCCAGGTCAAGTCCTTAGCCGACTCCATAGACGATGCCCTTACCTGCCGCGCAGGACGCGATGACTCCCAGGAGGGCAGCAGGGAGGGTGGAGGCATCAGTGAGGACTTTGGGGAGTGTGTGTGGAGCAGCAGCAGCAACCCCTCCTCTCAGAGAGGTTTGGGGGAACGAGCCAGGGGTGCTGGAGGAGGGCTCAGTATGCACGGCGACAGCACTGCCACTTCATACAGTGACGTTACTCTATACATGGATGATGGCATGCCGTCGTCACCTCTGTCCCTGGATCGAGCACCCAGCAGCACAGACACAGAGTACTGGGGCCCCGGTGGCGGTGTCGGAGGGCGTGAGGACAGCAGGGACACTGAGGGAGGGGGGAGCAGTAACAGTCGGCGCAGCACTCCTTGTACGGAGTGCAGGGATTACCGTTTAAGGGGCGCACATCTGCCTCTCCTCACTATCGAGCCACCGAGCGACAGCTCAGTGGACATGAGTGACCGGTCAGACCGAGGCTCCCTGAGCAGACAGCTGGTCTATGAGCAGGAGTCTGGGGTGGGGGCTGGCTCCCCTCAGGGGACCCTAAAACACTCCCCCAACACAGGCACCCGCCCTTCGTCCACAGCAGCTGCTCAGGGTCAGACCAGAGCCCCTGGCAGACCCATACCCACTCACATCCCTCATCAGGTGGCTGCACACCACCACCATCACCACCATCCTATCCACCACCATCAGTACCCAGATACACCTTCATCATCCTCATCCCCGCAGCAACCCCCAACCACCCCTCTGTCCTCATCCTCCTCTACGGCACTGCCACCTGGTGGTTTGGAGCAGCCGTGCTGCTCAGACGGAGACAACGACTCGCTCAACTCCACCACCAACTCCAACGAGACAGTCAACTGCAGCTCCGGATCCTCTTCTCAGGACAGCCTGCGGGAGCCTCTGCCGCCTCTGGGGAAGCAGACGTACCAGAGAGAGAGTCGCCACAGCTGGGACTCCCCACCCTTCAACAGTGACGTGGTGCAGAGACGCCAGTACCGCATAGGTCTCAACCTCTTCAACAAGTAAGAGACATAAGAGAGACATGATGATCATTACTGGGTATAAACAGCAAGGTTTGAATGATTGACTCTGTTGTCTTAACTATAGGAAGCCAGAGAAAGGTATCCAGTACCTGATAGAGAGAGGGTTTGTATCAGACACTCCTGTCGGGATTGCTCGCTTCATCCTGGAGAGGAAGGGCCTCAGCAGGCAGATGATTGGAGAGTTTCTGGGAAACCGACAGAAACAATTCAACAAAGATGTCTTAGAGTGAGTATAGAAGTGGAGACCATCAACAGAACTGCTGTAGAGGGGAAGTTGTACTTGTAACACAATATAAGACAATCCTGAACACAAATCATTATCGTCCCTGATGGCTAAAGGCAAAAAAAAAAGCTAAAGTGAAGGCAAACCAGGAGTCTTGAAATGTCATCTTGTTTTGTTGTTGCCAAAGTAGGATGAGCAATGTCTAAAAATGACTCTACCCTGTACCAGCCGACGCTGCATATCAGCAAAAACAAAGATGGCTGTGGTTCTGAGTTTGCAGTACTGAAGGTTAGACTGTGACCTCTGCTGTGTTGCTTTCAGCTGTGTGGTGGATGAGATGGACTTCTCAGGTATGGACCTGGATGACGCTCTCAGGAAGTTCCAGGCTCAGATCAAAGTTCAGGGAGAAGCCCAGAAAGTGGAGAGGCTCATCGAGGCTTTCAGGTGTGTAGAAGATGAACTCAGGTATAATTACAATTAAGAAAATCCTGAGTGATTGGTAACCAGTGTTTTTTTTTTGTTTGTTTTTTGCAGTCAGAGATACTGTGTGTGTAATCCCACTCTGGTTCGGCAGTTTCAAAACCCAGACACCATCTTCATTTTGGCTTTTGCCATAATCCTCCTCAACACAGACATGTACAGTCCCAACGTCAAAGCTGAGAGGAAGATGAAACTCGAGGACTTCATCAAGAACCTGAGAGGTAGAACGAACACAAACACTTTCAACTTAAAACTCTCCTGAAGGAAGGAGTCGTATGTTTTCATGACGACTTTTATCGTTTTGGCATTATTGGCATTAAACAAATACAACATGCAACCCTCTGAGCTGCATGCCTACGACGAGGCTAAGCTAGAGGAGGCATCGTTCCCTTTAAAGGTATTGCATGTACATTGAAAATAAATCCCGACTTGCTTATTTCTCAACAGATTTTCATGCGATTTACTTTTGATTTAAAAAAAAAAGTTTCATCAAATGTTCTGTATTTTTAGCACATGTTTTGGCAATGAAAATAAGTTAAACTGTGTAAAAATCATTTGAAAATTGTTATGTTTTATTTTCAATGAACATCTAATGCTTTTAATAGGAACATTGCCCTCACCAAGATGGCTGCCACTTAAGCACCTCACCTAGCGGGCTGCTACAGTGCACTAGCATATCTCGTCTTTTATATATATCTCTGTGTGTTCTGCCGCAAAAAAAGCACTATCTTTAGGAGCCAGCCTCATGTGGACAATCAAGGAACTGCAGTTATTCAGAACATGAGTATTTCCCATAGACTGTATATAAGTTATTATTATATACAGTCTATGGTATTTCCTCAGTCTGTTTCTGACAAACCAGACACACACTGACAAGAAGTAACGGGTCATAATTTTAAACAGAGTTCTGACACTGTGGTAAATATTAAGGAAAACCATCTCGGACGGTAATGAGTCGCCTGTTTTCTCAGGTGACCAGTATTTTCAGAGTACCACAAACTGAACCTGGAAGCTATTAGTTCGCTTGTTTATGAATCCAATTGGGAAATTATGGAACGAGAGCTCTGAGACAAGGATGAGAAGCTGTTATGGTAATCGGGCTCTATTAGAGCTAACAAACAATTAATACAAATCTTAAGCGAGCGCCTTTGGTGCAGCGCTCACACTGAGTCATTTACATGAGAAATTTAAATAAGATGTGAGTGGAAATCACCATGAATAACCTACATTAGGGACTTTGAGATGACTCCTGTGACAAAGGCAGTCTACAGCTCCTTCTGCTAATGGGCACTTAAAACGGCACTTCAATCTACGTTATTGAGAATTACAGCTCAGTATAGTACCGCAGATCTTTACTTCAAAAGTGATGACTCTACACTAACACAAAATCATGTCCACAAAGGTTTGTGTGCCCGTCACTGATCAGAACAAATAAATCAGGATTTTTATATTTGCCCTACCATTAAAGCTCCTGTATGGAGTTTTTTAATGCTAAAGAAACACTCTTAAACTCATATTATTGACTTTTTATGAAATACAAAAGCAAACAAATTTTCATATTGTGTTTTTTCACGACTGAAACAAATATAGGAGGATAGGTGTCAGCCAAGCAGCAGAACAGACAGACCTGTTTTTACATTAAATTTTCACATTAAATGACAAATGTGGTGCTTAAAAGTCAAAATAATGGGATTTTATGTCAGAGGACATGACTTAAGCTTATTTAAGAGAGGTTAAAAAAAAGAGGCACCAAAACTAAAATTTTGTCTCAAGAGAAAATATCTGATCCTGCTGATATATGACGTCCAAATATGACATTAAATATAAAACATTTTAGAAGGAAATCGTAAAAGAAAAAATGGTGCTATATCTTTAGCTGCTCAGCTAACGCCTACCTCCTTGCATCGCCTACAGGCATTAAAATATTTGGTATGAAATGATCAGCCATGTTGCTAATGTTTTTTATGCTTTTGGATATGATAAAAAGGCAATAATACAGATTTAAGTTTATTTTTAAAACTCGCAGAAGCTTTATATAATACCGTTTTCTTCTTTTTGGCTATTTTATTGCCACAGTCCTCAAAATTCCCCGTTTACCACCATTCATTTCAGATGAACCGCTTTCACCTAAAAGGGTCATTTCTGAGGACTGGACGTGAAGTTTGACAGCTCTCATGGATATGATGAAAGATTATGAGACACCTGAACATCACACCTGTTCAGACTCATTACACATACTTTATTTGAACGTTGTAAGCCAATACAGAGTCTGGATCCTTTGGTGTCATTAAGTCTAAATGTATTTGTCTAAACGCTGTTGTCAGACGTTGATGTTTGACTTCCTCCCAGAGGTGTTTATTAAGGTTCAAGTCGGGTTTTTATGTGAGCCAGACGAGTTCATTCACAACCAGTCACCTCACGCTGTCTATCTGTGATGTGTAAACTATGGTACATGTTTGTTTACTTTGCGTCTCTCTTCCTGCTGCGTACCGCTGACACTCTGAAAGCCTGCCAGCTTCCGTCAATCAAACACAGACTCGCCCTTTCAGACAGCTGAGCTCCAATGTTTACATATACATTTCCTGTATCTGCTCCGATAATCTCCTATGTTTAAAAGCCGACAAACAACACAACACTCACTTCAGTCGGATTTGAACATCTTCCAAGGACGTTTTTTTTTTGCTCTCTTTGTAAGTCGTTTATCCTTCTTGACTTTGTGTTTTTTATAAATAACCGTTCCTGTCTCTGTTTCCAACAAGGCGTAGACAATGGTCAGGACATCCCCAGAGACCTGCTTGTTGGGATCTACCAGCGAATCCAGAAATGGGAGCTACGGACCAACGATGACCATGTGTCCCAAGTGCAGGCGGTGGAAAGAGTCATTGTGGGTAAAAAGCCTGTGAGTGTTAACGCTGATTAAAGCAGCACAAAGAGAGTTTAAGATGTTGACACTACTTAAGAAAAGCTCATTTCTTTGTGTATTCGTTCGTACAGGTGCTGTCCCTTCCTCATCGGAGGCTGGTGTGTTGCTGCCAGCTCTACGAGGTTCCTGACCCCAACAGACCTCAGAGGACAGGGGTGCACCAGCGAGAGGTCTTCCTCTTTAATGACCTCCTGGTGGTAAGACTCGCTTTGGTTGTTTTTTTTACATTTCTGAATTAGCCCTCCAGAATATTAATGCCCCCTTTTGCTGTCCATCAGGTAACCAAAATTTTCCAGAAGAAGAAAACCTCAGTGACTTACAGTTTCAGACAATCTTTCCCTTTGGTTGAGATGCAAGTGCACATGTTCCAGAACTCCTGTAAGACGCCATTTTTCATATATAACATAATTTAACACACCTGTATGGTTATCAAGTACTTGAATTTTCTCTTTTTGCATCCCTCAGACTACCCTCATGGTATCAGGCTGACCTCAGCAGTCCTGGGAGGAGAGAGAAAGGTTCTCATCGTCTTCATGGCACCCAGTCAGCAAGACCGCACCCGCTTTGTTAGCGACCTCAGGGAGAGTATTGCTGAAGTACAGGAGATGGAGAAATACAGAGTTGAATGTAAGTGCTCCATCTACTGGTCATCACTGTAAGTTATTAGTTTAGTAGACCTGATGAATGGCATCTTTTTATCCAGAAATAGAGAAAATGAGCCTCATCTTCCTGGTATCAGATTCCTCTCATTTTGAATCCCCCTGTGACTTTTTATTTACTTCCAGCGGAGTTGGAGAAGCAGAAAGGTGTGATGCGGCCCAGTTTGCTCACCGGAAGTGTGGTTGGAGGTGTAGGTGTGAAGAGCGACGTGGTGAACGGCACCATGGGGAGGACAAGTTTTGATGACACCTGCGAGGGTCTCAAACGCACAGCACTTAGCTCATCTCTCAGGGACCTGTCAGACACAGGTGAGAAAACAGCATCTCTGTGATCCTATTTTCTTTCCTGTCATCTGGGTTGAATCGAATCACAAATCCTCTCAAGTGATTAAACTGCATCCTTTTCCTCTCCCTCACTGCTTTATGAAGTTGTGCAAACGTTTCAGTCTTTCTCTCTTGACTAACCTGATTCTTCCTGGTGGGGTGCAGGGAAACGTGGTCGCAGGAACAGTGTTGGTTCTCTGGACAGTACCATGGAAGTAAGTCTTACAGACCGCCGTAGATGTGGTCTTGTTGATAGACGTGATTTTCCCTCACTGGCGCTTCATCTTTTGAAGCATGCTCAGTGTGCACAATGTGTGTTTACATAGATAGTGTGCACCTGTATATGCATGTGTGTCTGTCCTGCACTGACACCTGTTGCTTAGTTGTGTGTGTGTGTGTGTGTGTGTGTGTGTGTGTGCGTGTTTGTGTGTTTTTACTTACTGTAGCTTGTTTTTTTTGTTGATGTTTATATTTTCAGATTTTTATCTTTTCTCTCTGTGTGCGTAACAACAACAAGAAAAAATGTCCGTCTTCAGCCCTAATGCTCTTCCTAACAGGCCGCCTTTCAAGGGATATTCCAGTGTAAAATTAATTTAGGGTCAAACACACCGTAACACCGAGTTAGACACACCGTCGTGAGAGGAATGTTGCTGACTGCTTGCTTCTCTAGTTATACCAACTTTAGTAATGACCGCACGATAGCAATAGAGAGAGCCACATGCTCAACCAAAACACCACTCTATAGCCACAAATAATGCTCAGAACAGCACCTAACTTCATCAACAGGACATATAGGGTCCCAGCCACAGTACTACACACCAAACATCTTCATAACTTTGCCTAATTTCTTCAGCAAAGAGACTAAACACAACTCACCATCTCTCTTCCAGCAGCGGCTTGTTTGTTGGAAGACCTCAGACGAGTCCATTATGGACTACAGCGGGGTGACGCAGCTCAAGGAAGAACATTGAAATGATCATGTTGAAATGATCATAAATGTTCTTCCTTGAGCTGCGTCACCCCACTGCAGTCGATCGACTCGCCCAGAGGTCTCTGTACAAACAAGCGGCTGCCGGAAGAGAGTAGGTGAGTTGTGTTTAGTCTCTTTGCTACAGAAATCAGGCAAAGTTATAAAGATGTTTGTTGACTAGTGCTGTGGCTGGGACCCTTTATGTACTGTTGATGAAGTTAGGTGCTGTTCTGAGCATTATTTGTGGCTATAGAGTGGCGTTTTGGTTGAGCGTGTGGCTCTCTGTATTGCGGTCTTCACAAAAGTTAGTATAACTAGAGAAGATAGCAGTTGACAACATTCATCTCTCAAAGGGGTGTCTAACTCGCTATTACGTTGTGTTTGACCTTACTTAATTTTATGCCGGAATATCCCTTTAAGTGATTTTCCTGAACCATGATGATGCTCTCTCCTCAGGGTTCCATCATTAGCAGCCCACAGCCTCACCAGCGCTACCCAATGCCAGGTGTGATGCCTGGCTGTTATGGCACAGAAGACTTCCGGCCTCACCGCCCCATCCTGAGCCCCGGAACGGGGGTGGGGGGTGGGCCGGGGCAGCAACATACCACTGCTGGGACAGGAGTTGGGGGAGTCTCCAGCAGTGTAGAGAGAACAGGAGCGGGGAGCGGACCTGGGGGGAGCAGCAACAACAACAGCAGCTCTTTCCTGGGATCCCTATTCGGCAGCAAACGCGCCAAACCGCCAGGCCCACTTATTCCACCGGGGCCACCCTTCCCCGCACCTGTCCCCCCACCGACTACGGGAGGGCCCCCTCCTCACTCCCCTTCATCCCTTTGCCAGATGGACGGGGGACCCTCCAAGATACAGGCGCTGCACGCACAGTACTGTCACGTGGGAACCGTGCAGCCCCCACCACCTTACTACCATCACCATCGCTACCACGTCCAAACTGTCCAGCCTCCACCGCCACAAGGTATTGCCCCGCATACTATACAGCGAGGCCCACTACCCTGTCGGCCGCCGCTTGGCCCCCTGCATACTCAGCACCCGCAGCTGGCCCATCTCTCCCAGCTTTCCCAGCATGGCCTTCCGGGTCGCTACGCCAACATGGTGGTGGGGTGTCCCCCCCCCCTTTCTCCTCTCTCCCAACATTCCCAGAACCCACAGTTCGCCATGTACCACGCGCAGCCCACACACTCTATCAGAGGGGGTGCCGTCCCTGGTACCAAACTACCATTAACCCTGTCTCACTCCCACCCGCACCCCCACGCACACTCCCAAACCCACCCCGGACACGTTCACACGCCCCATCCAGCCAGTCACTCCACCCACCAAACACACTTTATATTCGGCACTCTGCCCCACAACCTGCCGTCCGCCACCGTCAATGCACATCACGCAGCGTCCGCCGGCCCGTATCTGCCCCAGTACCCTCCTCTCTCTTCCATCCCCCCTCCCCCACCACACTCCCCTTTACCCCCCCCTTCGTCCCCCCTTACCCCTCTTACACCTCTCTCCCCTCACCCCCCCCAGCACCCCGTGCAGCCTCAGCAGGGGCCGCAGGTGACGGGGGCTGGAGCGACAGGTACAGGGGGCAGCAGCTCCAAATCCAAGCCTATCAACCGGATAAGCACCGTGGTTTGAGCAGAGTGTCGGGCCACAGGGGTCAAAGGTCAGACTACAGAATGGAGGAGGCTGGCAGAGCGAGAACCAGATCCAAGTCTGCCAGGACGGAAAGTAACAGCAGTAGCGCCAGTGACAAGAGGAAACGCAGTTTGCTTCGTCTCTGCTACTTTCACCTCCGTTTCCCACACATGTAGGTGGAGATAGAAAGCACAGCTAGAGTCAGAGTAGCTCGTGCACGCATCTTTAAAACCTGCGCACACAGGTACACACACTCACATACGAACACACATTTCTGCACATAAAATAAAAAGTCTATAGCCATATAATTTAAAATCAATCTAAATCTATATCTAAATGTGTTGCCTCAGTTCCAACCGTTCGAAGTCTAGTTTAGTCTTAATGAGACTATTTACATGTTAAGTACAGAGATGTGATAATGTGACACTGGAAACACAGAGACCATATTCGTCCAGCTGCTTACATGGGGGTGTAAATAAAGACTAAACCACCGAATGCATTCCGACGCAGTTTGGCATTGAGAAAAGCAGAGAGTTGCAAAAAATGTCCCTCGACTTTGCAATAATTTTCTTGGCTTCATGGTGTCTCTGTCCATCCCTGCAGGTTCCGCTTTCGCTGACAGGCCTCTTTTTTTCTAAAAAGACCTCATGTCGCTTTGTCTTAAGCTTCGAAAAACCAGTGCACGGTTCCTGACAGTCTTTTTGCTTAATGGTCTTTTACATGTCAACAGGGTCCACCTGGCTTTATAATGCATTCCTTGTGGGGTTTGGGAAATTAATGATACAATCAATAATATATTTTGAATGTTTCTAAAGCTTTTTGCTGTTTTATCGATATTATAATACCTGCTATGAGTATGATGAATATTGTCCGATATTTGTTTTGATCAGTGATTAATTATATCAGCAGATGTTTGTACATGGTTATAGAGAGTATATGCACATATAAATCCCCTCAGCTTGCCATAGCCACCAGAGGGTGTTCTGATATGTGAAGTGTGATTTATTTCCATCGTACCATGGTTTCCATTGAGTTCATTTTTTAATTACTAGTATTATTGATCGTTCAAAATAATAAATGAAGTTTTGTTTCGTTCCAATTGATTTGAACATCAACATTATTCCTCCTTCTTGTTTTGTTTGACGTGAGCAAAGGGCACAATCTTTCAAACGGGGCGGTTCACAAAACTTGAATTTACAGAACCGATCGGAGTTTCTGTTGATTTAGGACTTTTTGAAGCTCACTCTTGGAAAAGGGCTTACTTAACGGTGGTGGAAATTGTGGGAAAAAATGCCCTGGAAGGCTCCATTCCTTCGTGGTTATACAGCACCTTTGCTCACCTTCTTGCAGCGATGAGATTTTGTCATTATGTTTCTTTTCTTTGTTTTGAAGAAGCACGCTTTTACATGAGGTTTTGTGGTTTTGCACATGTGATGTCTAAAGTCAAAATGGCCTTCTTCTTATCCTCCCTTCTCAGCCACTTTGAGAGATATCTTCTTATGTCGGCGCTGCTGAGCTCTTCTTGTTTAGAAACATAACAAGAGTGGAGAATGTAAAAAAAAACAACACCGGACAGGAACATTCTGTATCCCCCCTTTTTTTCTGTGATGCCCCTTTTGCTATAGCATTTTTTTGTGGTTGTAGATGAGTACTGATGCCTTCAGTGCCACTCATTTCAAAGGGAAAACTGCATATTTCATGAACTGGGGAGGGGGGGAGTGAGAATGGCTGAGGACAAAGTACAAGTCGATAAAACAAGCGATTTGAATTCACAAGAGAGGATGTCAAGGAAGTTTGGAGAAAGACACGAATGCCATGTGAAGATTTTCTAAAGTATGTGTTGGCTAGCCTTTCTTTTTAAGTGTGTCTTTTTTGACTCTTCTTGCATGAATATATCTGCACTTATTAAGTAGATTGTACTGTATAAACCTGAATGTACAGAATAAACTATACAAAGGCTTCTAATCATAACTATGGGATAAACTCTTCCCATTCTGTATTCAGGTGCGTGCATGAGTGGCACTTAGTGTGTATATAAAAGAGAGAGGGGCAGGGATTGGAGATACTGGCCAAAAGGAATACCGACTTCTTTTTTCTTTTCTTATTATTTCCAGACTGAAGGTGAGAGAATGAGTTACTGTGCTATAAATCGAAGCCTAAAAAAGTTTATATGTCAGTGCACTTATTGATATCATTTACAGCAAATGATTTCAATCTTTTCTTTGTGTATGTATTATGTGTACTGAAAGAATAGAGATTTGAGATGTGAATATTTATTGCTTCTGATAAATTAAAGTGTCCTTGCAGTGCCTGTGTCTGTGTGTCGTGTTTTTGCAAAGCCAGCAACACTGGCACCATTTTTTGTACAGCTCAAAAACATGATGCATGATAAAATAAGATGTAGGCAGGAGAGAAAAGAGATTTTATACTGGGCACAGCCACCACAGTCTAATTACTATGTCCACTCATCCATCGCGCTCATGACCCATTGCCATCTCTGAAGAGGACATCATGAAAACCCACTTCCTCTGCGAATTTGCTCATATTTTTAGGGGGCTGATCCACAAATGTGAATTTAGTCGACCCAGTCTTCTGTCCATGGTCTGCCTATGTCTCAATTAACATGGCGGTACTCCTTTTAAATGTCAGTGCAGCTTTTCTTGCTGTTGACCATGAATTTTAAATCAAGTAGGTCTTATCTTTTTAATGCTTGTAGGTCGGGGACATGATTTTAATTATGGTGTTCCACAGGGAGGCATTCTTGGGCCTATTTTATTCTCCTTGTACATTTCTTCCACTGGCTTAAATTACCTCTTATTTATATGGGATGCTTGACATTAGAGCTGGTCTAGACCATCCTATCTTCGACCACATGAGTGGAGCACTTTAAGCGTTTAGCTGGTTACAGTAAAGAGGAAAAACTTCCTGTTAAATGGAAACTTTGGGATTTTTTAATCTGGGCCTGATTTTCCCATGTGTTTGACTGATGGGTAACAATTTCTAAAATGAGTCCAGTATTGAGGGAGAGTTGAGCAGCCACAGTCACACTGGTTCTAAAGAGACTGTTCAATAAAGAGCGGGACATTTTATATTTTTATGTATCAATACATGTAATTGAACCTTTTTATTATACATTTCCTTGAAGACGAGTTTTGAGGGGCTGCGCAAGACACAACACAAAACAGATGGAGGGCAGAGGTCAGTTTTAAGTGTTAAACTCAGGGGACTGTGAAGGTACAGTGTATTTTGGAGAGGTGAGTTCTGGTCTGGATCAGTTCTCGGACTATCACCCTCTGCCAGTTGTTGTTTGTGAAGTCTGAGAGCACTTTATTTAGACTTCCTGCTTCTCCCTAAGAGTCTCTCTCTGCCTGCTGAAAGCCTCCTTCTGCTCCAGACCATACTTCTCCCCGGTCCTCATTTGTTTTTGGCGAGCAGAGATGGTTAGAGCTCAGCGTTGTGGATCTTTTGCTCTCTGAATGCTTCTTCCAGTCGTGTCTGTTTGGTCTGGTTCTGCAGCTGCTGAGCTTTGAGCTTGGTCACCCGCTGCTCAGGCTGACTGATGGTAGACTCATCTTTGAATGGAGTGACTCTCTCATGGCGAGTCACTCCATTTAGGATAGGTGCACTGAGCGTCATTAATGTCTGCGGGTTGTGTCTGAGACGCTCAGAGTGATCTTCAGATCTTCCTCCAGTTCGCTGCATCTCTTTCTTTCTTCTTCTAGCTCTGCCGGATACTTCTTACTGGTGGTAAGTACGTGTTTTTCCAATAATGAACACATGGACACAGATCAATGATAAGAACTGACTACAATGAAATAAACCAGAAAAGTATTGGCCAGTATTTTACTCATTAATTTGATCCCAGTTCCATCTGTTAACATAAATGAGGCTTAGTCAGTGATCTATTGCTGCATTCCAGTTACCTCGGAAGTTGGATGTCGGAGCTGAGAATGACGCAACACCTGAGTTGACAGCGTTCCAGTTAACAAGTCAGAAAATCAAGATGGACGCCTACAGTTACCCGTTGTTAGCTGTTGTTTACAACTGTCAGCCGTCATTGGCCGTTGTTGTTAGCGGTTGTTAGCAATGCCAGTTATAAACAATGCACAACACAGTATTTTACTCTACAAACACCATAGCACTGTGTTCACAGAAAGACGTTGGGCAGCAAAACATATACTAATTACATTTCATAAAAACAAACCGAAGTACTAATACATTACGGGAGCTTTTACTGTTACTCTTTACTCGTGATGCACTGCGCTGCCATCTTGAATTTTGATGTTGTCGTCAAGTCATGCTTGGCGAGGACCGTCAGACTTTCCGAGTCAAAAATCCGACTTCGGGGGACGTTCCAGATGAATTTCTGACTCGGAGCTTGGCTATCCCGACTTCTGAGTACATCTGGAACGTAACATGTACCTCAACTGGTCAGCAGAGGGAGCTCTAAATCCTTTCGCTTCATAGTCTGTAAACCCTTACAGGTGAATTTAAATAAACAAGCTATGTTATGGTTGTCTCTCTTGTTATTCGACTGTGACCCTACCAATCAACTCATAATTCTTAACATCCAGAAGATCCTAGAGGTGTTGTGCCAGAATTGTAGTCCTGAAAGTGCAGTATCTGGTTCTGCAGATATACATATATATATAAGTTTTTATCATAAGGGTTATTTCTGTTTTTAATGTAATTACATAAAATTTTTCATGTGCTGTAGTTAAAGTACACTGACCAGCTATGACATTATAAACACATGTGCAGTTCCAATATTTAAATCACCTGTCTGATCATGTAACACTTTGAAATCGTGGAAATAGGTCACTTTTGTGGTACATTTGCTATAATAGGCAGCGGATTTGTTCATAATGTTTAGGATGGTCCGTGTAAATTCCTCACTTCTTCCTTAATAGGTGTGATAGGCGTTTGCTTACGTGGGCACTACTTTCAGGGACTAAACGTGAGGGACGTGCTGTGAAGATTCGAGGTTGTACTTCGGTCGTGAGAAAAAAAACTAAGATGGCGTCTCGTCAAGAAAGATAGGATGGCCTGAAGAGAGTGATGATGTTGGTCGGAAAATGATTGATAACGACACCATTGATAAAGTTTGAGACTCTCGTTTATGATTAAACGAACCCGTTTCGATCCTATGTTTTTGACACACCGGAGCGTATGGAGAACTGAGCCTGAGAATCGGGTCAACTTTGCTAGCAACGGTCGCTAGCCAACTGGACCGAACACAGCTGGCCAACGTTAGCTAACCACCAAGTCATCACAACAACAGAGGAGGGAGAGAGCGGCCACTAGCCCTATCAAACCCCGGGACATCGAGGTGTCTTCGGTCAGTCAATGGGATGCAATGAGACACTGAGATAAACAAATACCTGCATGTTGCATTTATTTACGCTTGTAGCTTCGTATGGGATTACATGGCGTACGTCTACATGTAGGCTGCTTGCGTCTATATTTGCTTAGTTCTGCGGTTAAAAATGTTGATGTATTTTCTATCACTCAGTGTTCATAAGCTAACTAATGCTAGTTTCCTGAAACCGTGGAAGCAATGGGCTTGGGCTGAAAAAAGTGAAGGCCTTTGGTGCTAGCGTTAGCAGTAGACGGCCTCTGATAGCCGAACAATGAACCCAAATAGACCTAATATTGTCCTGGAGAAGAGTTTCTGTGACACCGAGGTATCCAACACTTTCTAAATAAGACAAGTGGAGATATTCTTACTTCTTTATTCAAGTATTATGGCTTTCCCTGGGAGGTAAGGTTATTTTAATCCCTAGTTCTTCTAAGTCAAGTGGCTAATAGCTAATAGTTACAGCTAACTGTTATATACATTATTGAGTATTATTGTAAATGTAAAAATCGACATTTAAGATGAACCTATATAGTGTGGTTATTGTGTAAAAGCTGGTTGAGTAACACAGACAAGCCCACTTGTGAGCTGTGATACCTTTATGGCCTCCTATACCTCAGGGTTCATGGCCTTCACGCCATTGTTTGTCTGAAGGCCCATGTTGAACCAGATCTCTGGATCCATGCCTCCCAGTCTAGTATTGTGTTTCATTTCATAAACATTTAAAAGAAAAATCCACCTGGACTAAAAATCATTGACCCCTTTGTGAAGACTCCTTAGAAAGCAGAGCACATTGCTCAAGAACCAAAACACATGTTGCAATGATGATATTTGTAATCTTTTTATTGTTGACGTGAAAGGTGGCTGATACAGTATGATTAAACTTTTGACCCATTTTGCCTTACTGGTTCAGTAGAGCATGGCATTTGTTTTGTTGTGTCTGCTGATGGGGGGAGGGGTTTCAAACAAGGACCACTCTTGAATGAAGGAAAAAAAACTTCATCCTGTGAATCCCCATGTTAATTTTTGTTGTTGACCTACATATGAAGTAGTCGGATAATGATGGACACCGAAACTCGAAGAGGAAGTAACAGCCTGAAATTTAAAGTTGACGTCATTGAAATGCTCTGCTCTGACAGGAAGTGACATTTTTATGGGAAAGGCCGTAAACTTTTGTAATATGCTCCACTGGCTTTTTTTCTTTTTTTTAAACCAAAGAACAGTAGAAGGTGCTCGATTGTGGTGTCAGCCCTGAGAAAACTTCTGAATTTGTTTAGACTTTATGTAAAAAGCATCTAGGATAAGATAAGAGTTCAAATCTTGTGTTTTTATCTCCAAATAAGAGCAGTTTTTTGGGGGGGAAAGGGTGCTGTGTTTTTAGTGCCGGACCTTTTAGTGATTCTGTTCATTGACCTTTTATTTTGCTTTGTTCATTTCCCACTTGTCAGGGCAATGGAAGGGGAAGAGTTTTTACCTCCTCCGGAGTGTCCAGTGTTTGAGCCAACATGGGAGGAGTTCCGGGATCCCCTGGGCTACATCGCCAAGATACGTCCGATTGCAGAAAAGTCTGGAATCTGCAAAATTCGACCTCCACAAGTAAATATATGTGTTTGTTTTGTGATTCTGAGCGAGAAATAGTGAGTTTGCTGTGTTCAGACTGGGTTTAAAATATGAGTCACAGTGATATATGAAGTTGGTCAGTTTTGAGGGGGTTCCATTGTGCTCAACAAAGTCCTCTCTCCATTACCATCTGTTTCTCATTTTCATACAAGCTATCTGTACTGCTGCTGAACTCAGTCGCTGTAATGTTTGTAATTGTGAGGTACAGACGGACTGTCTGAGTACAACATGGATGGACCAACTGTCCACAACCTGTGTGCAAACACTACAGTTACCCTCACTATCAGTGCCTCATTGTCTTAAACTGTGGAGTCTTTTTAATCAGTCCAGAACTTCCTGAGGCTTACTCGCTAAGCAGTCCAACACCATTGCCTCAAATAGATGATTATGAGGTAATGGGGGAGAAAAGCTGCTAGACTTGATTCCGGCTACAGCAACAAAGGGGAGGCTTGCTTCTCTGAGCACCATCTTCTGGGTAATCTACCAGAATGCAATAAAATGCATCTCTCTGCATTTTATATTTGTTCTCAGCTGTTAAAGCCTCGATACCTGCTCCATTCAGTGCGAATAAAAGTGTGTGAATTAAACTCTGTTCCCCTTTTTCAGCATTTATTTCTACTGTTTGTTGTTTTCTTAATCAAATTACATGAAGTTGTTTTAGTCTGTGTGATTATTAAGTTGGTGGTGTGTTTTTCTCTCACACAGGACTGGCAGCCCCCGTTTTCTGTGGAGCTGGATACTTTCCGCTTCACACCCCGCATCCAGAGGCTCAATGAGCTGGAGGTAAGTTTCTTTTTCAGCGGTGTTGGATGGTGTTCAGAGTTAACCGACACTGTTGATGGTGATCGTGAGGTTCTGTTTGTTTAAGGCGGAGACCAGAGTGAAGCTAAATTATCTGGACCGCATCGCCAGGTTTTGGGAGATCCAGGCATCCTCCCTGAAAATCCCCCACATTGAACGGCGCATCCTTGATCTCTTCAGCCTTTCAAAGGTAGAAACTGATAGAAGCACATTCATAAAATAGATGTATTCCACTCCTTGTCTTTGATTTGACCAGATGCCTCCCTGTTCTAGATTGTTACTGATGAGGGAGGTTTCGAGATGGTTTGTAAGGAACGGCGCTGGGCTCGTGTGGCCCAGAGGCTTGGCTACCCTCCCGGCAAGAACATCGGCTCTCTGCTACGCTCACACTATGAGAGGATCGTCTACCCGTTTGAAATGTTCCAGTCTGGTGCCAGCATGCCGGTATCTTTCTCCACATTTTTTGTCTCTCCCTTTAGAGTTACCTATAGATAGCAGCCAGATTTTGTTTATTTGGAAGAGGTTGTATATGTTTTTATGTAAATCCTCTCCTTTAATGTCATTTCCAGCCGTGCAAGCCAAAGCACTATGACGGTGAGGATGTAGACAAAGAGTACAAGCCACACTCCATCCCCCTGCGACAGTCCGTGCAGCCTTCCAAGATGAGCAGTTACGGGCGCCGAGCGAACCGCTGTCAGCCTGATGTGAGTGACTCTCCAGAATTTGCATAACTCCGTGCCCAGTAACCTCACACTGAACACACTCGGTCGCTCGATTGTAATTTCCTGGATCGCATTTCTGTGTTTGCCTTGACACCTCAGGATCGAGCAAAAGATATGAAAAACCGGTGGAAAAAAATAACATTTTTGTTTCCATGGTTACTTCTAAATACCACTGAAACTGTGTGGGTTTGATCCGTCAGAGAGGAGTTTGATGCAGCAGTGGCACTGGATGAAAGCTGAATGTCAAGCTGCACATGATTTCAGCAGCAGATAGACGGGCTGTTTTCATCTCGGTTCTCTTTTTCACTCCTAGTTTCTCTCAGTAATGAAAGCACACATTAAAACCTGCACCACTCCAGATGCAAATAAGTATGTTCAGTTTAAAATAGTCTTGGGTAAGTTAACATTAAACTCAAGTGTAAATTAGGTTTTCTTCAGGGATCCAACAGTGAATATCAAAGTTACTAATGGTTCTGTGACATTTCGATGTTATCGTGTTCACTCTTTAGTGCCAGCTGATTCATCGTCCTTCCTCACAGCCTCACAAAAAAGACAAACTAACAATCTACTCAAGTGTTCATTGGATGGCGATCCTGTAGCGTATGCCATGCTGTCATGTTAACTGTGCATATCCATGTGCCCTTGTGTTGTGGTAACCGTGTAGTGAGTGGAAAGATGTGACAGTGCACTCAGAGCGCATCCCAGCTTTGCTAAGTCTCCATTCTGCCGCCGCTGCTGCTGCTTAACTCTGCTGTTTTTGCTTCCAGCTTTTCAAAGGCTTATTATTTTGTCCTCTGCTTTCTCTATTTTTTTCCACTTCCTTCACCTCCCAGGTAGACACACAGCTGTGTGTGTTTCACACGCCTCATATTATCACTGAACTTTTTTTTTTACATGAGCAACTAACACGCAAAACAAGTTCTGGACCGGCCCACATTCTCATGCTTGTTAGCTGTCGATGCTTAGATCGTAAACATTCATGCACACCAGTGGATTTGAGTTTGTGCACCACTGCAGATGTACAGCTTTTTTTTGCTTTTATTTGTTTATTTGCAGGCTTGAGAACAAAGTCTAAAAGAAGAAGATGTTAACATATAATCAATGCAATCAGCAATCAGATAATTATATGTTACAGGTAGTATGATTAGGTTTGTCTCCTAGTTTCCACAGGGCAATGTCATGATGTGAATGTTTCTTAATCAGCACATGAACGTATTTAAGAGAACATCAGCTGGAATTATATTTAAATAAACTAAATAGGGCTGGGCGATATTGGAAAAACTTTATCACTATATATTTTTTTCATATCAGTCGATATTGATATCACGATATAAAAAGAAAATTTAACAGTGATTATTGGTATCATGTCTTTTGCAATACAATAAGCTACAGCATCTATGAGGTCATTGTGTCTCTTCGTTGCGCGAGAGAAAGCAGAATGCATTGCGCGTGCTCTGCCGCGTGGCGCTGCTTTAGGTGGTGAAAAAGATTTGAGGTATACCCTGATTTTGCGAGAACATGTACTCAACATAATTTGCAGTACACATTAATCTGCTCAATGTCTGACCTCAAAAAACCAAAATACCTCCACACCACCGATGTTTTTGTGCCAGTTTTGTCAACAGTATCATCATCTGTTTAGCCTTCATCTGCATTAATTTTCGATATATATCGGTATCGTTTTATCGCCCAGCCCTAAAACTAAAGTTGGATTACAAAAGCAAGAGGAGACATCTCTTCATGTATGTGCTTATAGCTGAGCCTTTAATACCCCTGTGAGTCAGGTTTCATGCACCATGAAGAGTCTGCTGTCAGCTTATACTTCTCAAACAGGAATTCATTCATAACAGCCTGGTAATGTGCTGGCCCGTCAGGCTGAAAACAAACTAAAATTTTATACATATGTCCCCGAGTCTTTGTATTCGGCCTGATACCTGTCCCGCTGTAACCTTTTTGTCTCATGATGTGTCCCTGTAATATTTCTCCTACAGCTTCTGGCTCTGTTTCCCCCGGGCTCTCCCCCCTTCCTGCTTCATCTCCTTATTTCCTCTTGTCTTAGTTTATTGTTGCTGTTATTGTCTCCCCTTGCAGGGTCCAGAGGATCTGGCCCCCCATCCTCTCACCACTGGCTCTCAACTCATCTCTGCGGTACTGCCTCGTGAGCGTATAAGCTCACCTTCTGCCCTCCCCCCCTGCTCATTTCCTGCCTCTTTTTCCTAGACCAACTCACCCCTGCTGAAGTTGTCTAGATGATTTTTTTCCTTTTGTTTTGAACTAACCACTAAAATATCTTCATCAACATGCAATCATACGCCTTGGTTATGATAGTGTAGGGGTGGCTATAGCCTCATGACTGTCAAGCACATGATGTTTCCCATCTTCAAATTCAAGACCAGAGAGATTCCCAGGCCTGATTCTTCAGTTCTTTAGCGTGTTTGTTATGATCAGGCCTGAAACTGCTGTTTTAAAAAATGTTGGACAAAGGTGTTTGAGGTCTAACAGGTCCTAAACGATCCAGTTTGCTGTTTGTTCTTAAAGAAACTCCTCAACTGCTAAACTCTCCGATTATCAGATTGTCACCTCCGATGTCTTCTCCGACTTCCTGTCTCTCCCTCATGCTCCCTGTCTCTGGTTGTACTTGGCTTGAAATGCTTGTCTCTTGGCTGTCTGTGTGCTTCTGCACTTCCACTGGCTTGCCTTTGCTCTCTGCTCAACTCTGCAGCTCAAGTACAGCTTCAGGATTTTTCTTTTCGTGCACTCACACAGAAGAAGAACTTTGTATTTTTTGATTATTTATTTCGCTTTAATTTCAAGAACAGCTCCGTCGTTTTTTATTTATTCGATTGTTAGTTTCCAGATCAGCTTTTTTAAGCCGAGAACACAGTTTGGTTGCCTTATTCTCTTTGTTGTCTATTGTGCTCAGAGTGAGAAGAGTCAGTGTGTCAGGAAGAGGAACCTCAGATGATTTTCACAGCTTAGAATTGAGAGGATTGAAAGGTGATACAGCAGCCAAATCGGACTCCTGTATCTGTTCTCTGTTAGAAAGTCTGAATTTTCTTTGATCGCTTTGGGATACTAATGTCGTCACATCATGCATATGTTAGTTTTTTTTGCTAAGGGGATAGTGTGACACAGATGGGTGAAATTTTAGATATTTTTTTTTACCTTTTTGCGTCTTTTTGTCTCTCCGTCACTCACATGCACTTATCACACCTTCCTCTGCACAATCAGGTGTTCGTACAAACTGGTTTTGACACTTTCAATTTGTACTCCTTCCAAAATCACTCCAGCTGAATCTAGAATATTCCCACAGAGCAGACTTGCATTTTCATGCTCTTGCTTGTCATGCTTAGCTCTGCACACCGGATCGTCATATGACCAAACAAGCATGCTGGTTTAGAGCAGATGATGGGATTAAACCAGACTCCATCAATCAGATGAGAGGATGTAACGTTTACAGACACATACGCACATTTATTTGGATCCAGATTCGCAGCCTTTTTGTGCCTCATTCTCACACAACGATATTAACCACAACTAGATGATAGTGCACACAGGAATAGAGGAAGTGTTTTCATCTGCGGCTCTTTCAGATAAGCTCCAAACTGCTGGAGTAAGCACCATAAAAGGAAGCTGAGAGACTTGATAGTTAAAACCTGAGTCAATTAGGAGCTTTTATGAGCTCTGTTGATGTCCTGGCTGGTAACTAAAAGCGAGAATAAGACCTTCTATGTTTCTACCCACAGTCAACCACACATGTTGTGTGTACTGTTAGGCAGACAGGACATACTTGAGAGTATTAATCTCATATTTTGACCTGTAATCTCTGCAAAATGGATTTAGTGCAGTAGGAAGTCTTATTTTAGGTTTTAAGCCAAACATCTCAGACATCATGATGCTTCCAGCTGCAAGATGGCAGATTTTACAGCAGTTCAGTGTAAACAGATGCACTTCAAACAGGGGGGCACATCCAAAGAAAGACCAAGAAATAAAGTGCTGCCCCACATGCAGCTGCACCAAAGTGTAACTTCAATCAAACAGTACAGCACTTTAAATTTCATTTACTTAAAACTCTTGGAAAAAGAAACTAACCCAGCCTGAAGCCTAAACATGTTAGAGTCATAAAAAAGTAGTTCTATAACTGCACAAGTATGGCATAGGGCTGAGCGATAAACCAAAGATTTACTCATACAGAAATTTACGACAATAACCAACGTCATTTTTCGCCTATCATAGGCCTGGGCGATTTGGCAAAAAAATGATGATATATTTTGCCGTATCATCCGATCTCGATTATTATCACAGTGACAGGCTGTGCAGACTCCGCTCACATTTACATGCTTTCTGCATGATCACTCAGGCAGTAATTCTTCAAATGATTAAACAGATCTGTTTTGTTGCTGGTTTTTGAGGGCACCGACTGCCGACATACCTTACACATCGGCTTTTTTGGAGATAGCCAAACCACCGCCACACAACCGACGTTGAATAACTTCTCAACAATGACATCTTCGGAGGATGACTCAAAGTCACAGCTGACAACTATTTTGCCGACCTCAGCTCCGCGTTTAGCTCCATGTTCGGTCTTTCTGTTTACTTCTCCGGCAATTTACAGAAGTGAACAGGAAAAGCTCGACTCTGATTGGCTGTTGTGACGCACATTTCTGCCATGTTTGATTGAGTAAATATGCTCACAGCTGATCACTGTGATCGAACTGAAATTTATTACGATTGTCGATCACGATCATATTATCGCCCAGTCCTACTGTATCAGTATATTAGGTATCAAAAAAATAGATGAATAAAAGTTGGTTTTGGATGTGTGAAGGTAGGCTATGGTCTCATGTCCCTTTAAGACGCTGTGACTCCACCCCATCTAGTCCGTAACAAAGAGGGAAAGACAGGTGAGGAGATGGAGGACGGTTCAAAGGTTGTAGCGGCTGAAGTAGACGAAGTTAATGTGGGAGGGGGTGAGCAGCTTGTGGAGTAGTTATGGTCATTTATCAAGGTGAACTGCTCAATATATCGTGATATTGATTTGAGGCTCTATCGCCCAGCCCTAGATCACACACTTTAATGACTTCTCTGATATGAGGTGTAATGGTTCTTTAATAGGCTTGGATATCTGGTGTTTGTGAGGCAGCAGATCAGTTATTTCAGTCTGCCAGGAGAGCAGCAAGGGAGTCTGGGAGCTCAAAAACTAATGGGCACAGCTGAGACCAAAGACAGTTTCACACTCTTGAGTATATTTGTCTTTGCTTTACCTTTTTACCAGAACTGGAAAACCACTCTATGATTTATGACAGCTCTTTTCGTTTTCGACTTTTTACTTTCTCTGTCATTTCCTTTTTTTAACAAACAGACCAAGAGCATTCAAGGATTTGAATAAGACGGTCTCAGTTTTATCCTGCCTTGACTGTATGGTTGCTGGTGATTGTGTGTTCTGGTGGTGGGCCTGACTCTGAACCCTCTGACTGATGTAGGCTAACTTTTCCTTCACTCTCTAACCGAGTATAATCCCTTCTTGTGATGCACTTGCTACGCTCACATTTTTTTTCAACTGTTTGTTCCTCATTTGGCCGACTCTCTCGCTTTGATCTGTGTGCTTTGGAGAGTAGCTGTTTGTTTGTTTCTGCCTCTGTGGCTGAAAATGTACTTTTCATCTACAGCCTGAACCTACAGAGGAGGATATAGAGAAGAACCCAGAACTCAAGAAGCTGCAGATATACGGAGCAGGGCCAAAGATGATGGGACTTGGACTGGTGGCGAGGGACAAAGGCCTCCGGAAGAAAGGTAAGTACTTGGCTGTTGAGTTCAGCATGTATCGGCTTTATCAGATAAATTGTGGGCATGCAGGAGCTCGTGTTTGCAAACTTCCTGCAGCTTCAAACACTCCTTGTTCTTCTCAGACGAGCTGCCGCAAACTGTCACCGTCAAAGAAAACCCGTCTCCCGCTCCCGCCGAAGTTTCGGTCAAAGTGGAGCCACCGGAAACCCCGGAGAAGAAGAGCGACGGGAGCACGTCGAGCCCTGAGCCGCCTCCCCCGAGCCTCACGGTGAAGACCGAAGTGAAGAAAGAGGAACCGGAGGGAGAGAACGGGAAAGAGAAAGACGAGGGAGACGACAAAGACGGGCCGTTCACCAAAATGACCATGAGGCTGAGACGCAACCTTAACAACCAGCAGTGTGTAAGTAAACCCAGATCAGTCAGTTGAAGAGTAAACATCATCCTTAAGGTCAGAGAGGGAGTTTCTTCTTCACGTTTCCCTCTCATTTAAAGGTGGATTCTTTCGTGTGTCGAATGTGCGGCCGGGGAGATGACGACGAGAAGCTCCTGCCGTGTGACGGCTGCGACGACAACTACCACACATTCTGTCTCATCCCTCCGCTCACCGATCCTCCCAAAGGCAACTGGAGATGCCCGAAGTGTGTGGCAGAGGTGAGGGAGACGGTTTGGAGAAAGAAGCGTATCTCAGAGATTAAAAATATGTCGAAAGGTTTCATAACTCCTGGAGCTCTTGGAGAAGTCTCATGTTTCTCCTTACAAACAACTTAAGTGTTTGGTCTGAATCCCTTGAGAAATCTGATTACATGTCCACTCTCCTCTGTAACATAAATATAAGGACAAAAAACTGGGAGAAATATCTAAAAACAGCTCCTCGATAAATCTTTGTTGGACTCATTTCAGTTTTTCTGTTTGGTGAAGTTTCCGCTGACTCTCAGGACACCGCAGACACACACTATTGTCCGTGTTTGTAATTTTCTGACTCTTTCATTTCTTCTCAGGAGTGTAAGAAACCCTCTGAAGCGTTCGGCTTTGAACAGGCCACACGGGAGTACAGCCTGCAGAGCTTCGGGGAAATGGCAGACGCCTTCAAAGCCGATTATTTCAACATGCCCGTACATGTAAGCGCGCACACACAGCAGGAGATCACCTTTTTTTCACTACGAGGCGTGACTCTGCTCCGACTGGTGACAATGTAAGACACTAATCCACAGTCTGCTGTGTCGTTGTCACTAAAGATGGTTCCCACTGAGCTGGTGGAGAGAGAGTTCTGGAGGCTGGTGAGCAGCATCGAGGAAGACGTGACGGTGGAGTACGGCGCAGACATACACTCCAAAGAGTTTGGCAGCGGCTTCCCAATGAACAATGGCAAGAGGAAGCTGACGGCGGAAGAGGAGGTATGCGCATTGTTGCTGCTGCTGTGACCTTTTGTGAACCGGTATTTCCCGATTAGTCTCAGAGATGAAAGTGCAGAAAGATGAAACGGTTGCCAAAGTGTTCAAGTTAAACTGAAATCCACCAAAAGAACTTTTAAACACTTTACGCTAATCTTGACTTTTGGCAAATTTTGATTTCTGAGTTATTGTTTTGAACAAAAATTTTAAGTGTTTGCTTTAATTACAGTCAGTGAGAGGACAGGTGTGATCCATGGGTTATATTAAAGCTAAAAGGTTAGATGATAGGTAGGCCTGGACGATATAGAAAAAAAGCATATTGATAAAAAATAAATCATATTGATCGATATCGATAATTATCGATATAATTATTATAATTATTTAACATATATTTTAATTGCAGCCCTGGATGTTTTATGCTATTGCTTAATGACCTACTTTTAATAAAGAACACACAAGCACTGAATTCAAATTCAAACCTTTATTCAACCACCTTTTCATTTTACCACAACTGAAAGTTTTTTTAAAAAAGAACTAAAAAAAAAAAAGAAATCAACTTAAGTGGCCTGAGTGACGTCAGTAAATACTGACAAACATAAAGACTAAAGTGACCAGAAAATCTGATAAATAAATATTTAAATAGTCTTTTGATGAAAATAAACAAAACAAACAAATATATAACAGGGTTTTTCCTGGCTCAAATTGAGGCAGAGGTGGCACCATCCTGACCATGCGCCACGACGTGCATGTATTTGTAAATTCAACCGATTCACTTACTTTTACAGGCAACATACTTTAAGTTAAGAGTTCAAAAAAGAGTGTGACCATTATTATGTTAAAGCATTCATTTATTAAAACTATATACATACACAAATCAGCTGGCAACTTTAAATTGAAAGTACACTTCATCCACACATCTCGCAACCAGACAGAACATTTCAGCCTCCTCTTTTTCATTCTGTAGAACCTCCTCATGCACTCCTTGTAGTCAAAGGCCTCCTGGTCTGGTCCATCAACGGCCACCTTACAACAGACATCCAAGTGCCTCTCCTTCAGTCTGCTCCACAGAGGTGTCTTCACCTTAAACAAAACAATTCATCATGTATTAAGTATTTTTGTTTTTATTCTGATACAGACATGAAGAGTGATAGTGTTTTCAATCATATATATGTATACGCTGCAGTGTCCTCCCTAAAAAAAAAACGACAACCAATTATTTCTTAAACTATCTAAACTATGTTATTTTAGTTTTTGTAACTTTATTAGTTGAGTTTTTTTAGGTACTACCATCTTTAATATACTTCTCCTTCTCTTCTGCTGCTTTGTGAATGGCTGTCACCTCATGTCTTTTTAATGTGTCCAGCCTGTAGTTGGTTGATGGCTGTCTCACTAAGGAGGCAGCAATTGCCTGCTGTGTTGGGGCACAGTGCTTTTGGCATAAATAGCAGTGCATGCCTTCCTCAGTATGCCTGAGCCAGGTAAATTGATTGAGCCACTGCTTGTCAAAGCCACTGGCTCTGTGTTTTTGAGAAGATCTGGAAAGAGGAATAAAAACCACGTACACGTCGGCTTTGCGTTGTTATGCTCCTGATTGGAAACTAATTAATTAATTACCCTCGCCTCGCCGACTCGTCCTGTCCTGCATTCTGACCCTCGCGATCACCAGTCCCTTGTTAAGTACTTTCAGACCTGACACAAATTTCCACATTGTCACCAACATGAATTGTAGCATTTTAACTGCCTGTTACGTTTTTTCTCTGCTGTGTTTCACCTGGACTCTTGACTTTCCTCCTCGCGAGGTCGCTTTTTAAAGTACTGTCTGATTTTGCCTGTCATATCTAAAACGCTAAAAACGGAGTAAACTTTTTTTTAAATAATAAACACGACATGCTTGGATGCAAAAAAGAGAAGCAGTATTTACCTGTTTGTACCATCCGCCAGGGAAAATCAGGACGCCGATAGCACCAACTAGCGGGAAAAAAACTTGAAAAAACATGATTCGATCCGTTTCTTCTTCGGTAGATGCTTCAGGTCTTTCCGGTGCACTGCTGTTGATATAGCGCCTCTATAGTGGCGCAACGCTGCAACTGCAGTTAAAATACGTTGCTGCTGCATCGGGACATAAATCGCTCAATCAACACAGCTGGAGCTTTACGCTGTGTTGAGCGAAATCAATCGCTCTGGCTGGGGGCGGCACAAAATTAGGTGGAGGCGGCCGCCACGCAATTTTGAACGCAGGAAAAACCCTGTATAAATAAACAGAATAGCTTTAGGTGGGAATAGCATACTACCAGTTTTAACTGTGTGGGAAACTGCCCACAGCCTGGTGTCTGAACACTTAAATATTTCTCCCGGGGTCGGGAGATTTATTTTTTTTAATTATCATGTGATTGACTTAATACACAAACTAAGCACGAGAAGCAGGACTTATCCACGCCGGTGTTGTGTCGTAGAATGCACCCCTGCCGAATGCACCCCCTGCTAGTAGCCATGATCCAAATACTCGCGTCTTTGTAAAATATGAGCTCATTTGAACGTATTTCCTCCGCACCCTTCTCACCTTTTCAACCCCTGACCCATTTTCATGCCTGAAGCGCTGTGTTTGAGAAATACTTGCGGCCGGGCACTTCATATCGCGGGTCGAGAGTGGCTAGAAGCTGGTCGAAGCCAGGCTTTTCAACGGTAGTTATTGGCAGTATGTCCCTCGCTATGGAGCATGTTACTGCATGGGTGATGTCCTTATGCCGCTCGGACGCTTTGTCGTATTTTGGCAAGAAACAAAGTCCAGTTTGGTCTGCTTCACATGCTATGTGCTGGTGCTGGCAGCGGTTCCAGAGGATTCCTCCTCCGACGACGACGTGGAGCCGCGGCGCGGCCGACACAGAATCTACTGCTCTGGGCCGACACAGCTCGTACTCCTGCGGGTGCGATCGGTTTAGATGGTAAAACAAGTTGGTTGTGTTACCAGACTTGGTTTTTACTAATTCTCCGCAAATTTTGCAAACGACCGCTGTTCGCTTTTTGTCAGACTTCTAAAAACCAAAACATTGCCATGCTGGTGAACTACTGAAACCTTTTTTCGGGACAATGTACTCCGCTTCTCCGTGCTGTATCATTTTTTCTAATACACGTGCTGTCTGTTGTGGTTTGATAGGGGCTGGGCTTGGTGCCGTAGCGTACCTGGGTCTGCGTTTGTGATTGGTTAGGAGGAAGTAATGACTGTAGTAAAAGCTACATGATAGGCTATGATGTAAAAGAAAGGGAAACTGTGTTTTTCTATCGAACTTTTTATCGACCCGTTTTTTTTCTATCGCACCACACGTCTATCGATCGATATATATTGTTATCGAATTATCGTCCAGCACTAATGATAGGAAATAAAACGTGTTAAAATTTCACTAAAAAGGATTTTTAAAGCAGCTTATATCTGTTTTTTAGCTTTAAAATATGTCTACATCTGTTTACATGGGGTGTGACGTGTCATGATCTGCTATTTACAAACACAAAGTGCCGATTCATAGGAGCAGCAAATGTCCATAAAAGCCCAGAGTTTTCCACTTTTGTGCCTTTCACTCCTGACTTTGCAGAATGAACTTTTAAGTGCCTTCCACCTCTTTTCTTATTGTTCTGTGGAGCAACGAGGAATCCCAGACTCCTGCTGCTCCTCGTAGACGATACAGAAAACATCATTATTTCTTTGTTTTCCCTTGAAAAGCTGATTTACGAGGTTTCATTCTTTCGAAAGCGTCCTAAAGGGCCCTTGTTTCATTTTCCGCCCGGTTTCGCGCCGTCGTGTCTCCTCCAAGGGTCCTCGAGTGATCTCAAGTTATGAGAGAGGAGGAATGAGCGCGCCCCAAACAGCAATGAAGGAGTGGATGTTAAAAACAGAGAGAATACACTTCAGCACTCCTTCATTTCCAGTGGAGTCCAATTAGCTCCGCGGTGAAATCAGATTTGAGTCATTTTTATTTTGATCGGGCCGTTTTCCCACTTCTGATTAGACATGCTCTCACACATACAGCATCAGTAGTGACGCTCACTCCTCTGCTCTCATGTTGTTTTTCAGGAATACGCCCGCAGCGGCTGGAACTTGAACGTGATGCCGGTTTTGGAGCAGTCCCTCCTGTGCCACATCAACGGAGACATCTCCGGGATGAAGGTGCCCTGGCTTTACGTAGGAATGGTGTTCTCAGCGTTCTGCTGGCACATCGAGGATCACTGGAGCTACTCCATTAACTACCTCCACTGGTACACAATCGATTTTCTGCTTCTCTGGTGTGGGTTTGGTGTGATTTTTGTAGCCGTGGGTTTGAACAATAGCGGCTTGTAACACAGATAATACGATTATGTCACATGTGAGACCTCTTTATTATGTTTTTTTTACCTTGTAGGGGAGAGCCGAAGACTTGGTACGGGGTTCCCTCTGTGGCAGCCGAGCGTCTGGAAGAGGTGATGAAGAAGCTGACGCCTGAGCTGTTCGAGTGTCAGCCTGACCTGCTGCACCAGCTGGTCACCATCATGAACCCCAATATCCTCATGGCTCACGGTGTACCGGTCAGTCTCACAGGGACACACACGTCACACAAGTTGGTTTGTTTTTGAGGACGTTTCTCTCTCTGACCGCTTCTCTTTGATTTTTAATTTTTAGGTTGTACGAACCAATCAGTGCGCCGGCGAGTTCGTCATCACCTTCCCCAGAGCCTACCACAGCGGCTTCAATCAGGGATACAACTTTGCTGAGGCTGTGAACTTCTGCACTGCAGACTGGGTACGACTGTCAGCACTGCAAATCTGAAATCAGGGTTTCATATTCCACATTCAACATCACGCTTTTCTGCTCTTCCTTATCAGCTTCCTGCCGGACGTTCCTGTATCGAGCACTACAGGCGGCTAAGGAGGTACTGCGTGTTCTCCCACGAGGAACTTACCTGCAAAATGGCCGCCAGTCCAGAGAAATTGGACCTCAACCTGGCTGCAGCTACACACCGGGAAATGTTTATTATAGTTCAGGAGGAGAGGAAGCTACGGAAGAGTTTAATGGAGAGGGTGAGGAGCGGATTCAGACCTTATCTGTGTGTCTCTGTTTGTTCAGTCCTTTCTTTGATCCCATCACGACTTGAAAGTTTGTAGCGGCTCTGCCATGTCTGTGTTTCTGAGCGAGGACTCTGACCTGAAAGGAGACGAGTTCTCCTGATCAGATTTGAATTCTCTGGTGGAGAGATAATCCTGTCAGCTGACGGTCATGCAGCTGATGAGCAGCTCGTATGATTTGAGCCAAACTTGACTCAGTAACTGGTGCAGTAAATGTCACTAAAGTACAAAGTAAATAAACGTTCAGAGTTTCAGAGTAAGTTTCGTGCTGTGCTGTTGTTTTAAATTGTGTGTTTTTCCTGCAGGGCATTACTGAAGCAGAGCGTGAGGCCTTCGAGCTGCTGCCCGACGATGAGCGACAGTGTGACAAATGTAAGACGACATGCTTCCTCTCCGCTCTGGCCTGCACAAATTGTCCTGAGCGACTCGTGTGTCTGTATCACACTCAGGATCTGTGCAACTGCCCCACTGACAAACTCTACCTCAGGTATGTTTCTCTTATTTCTAACCCTTAAGAGTGAAAATTAACTTTTCAATCCGGTGCGCCTTATCACCTGAAAAATACGGTATCTTGTTTCTAGTCAGATCTCTGCTGTTACTCTGTTAACCTGCTCTCCTTTTCCTCTGCAGGTACAGATACACCCTGGATGAGTTGTTAGCCATGTTACATCGATTAAAGGTTCGGTCCGAGTCCTTTGATTCCTGGGCTAACAGAGTGAAAGAGGCTCTCGAGCAGGAGGAGGGAAACAAGATAGGTAAGATATCGACTGATAAAAAACCTCACGAATCCTGATTTTGAGAAAAAATAACCTTGAAACGCAAATACAGGAATCGATGACCTGGAGATGCTGAAGAAGGAAGCAGCCGAGAAGAAGTTCCCCGATAATGAACTTCTGCGGAAACTCAACACTGTCCTCAAAGACATCGAGCGCTGTCAGCAGACGAGCACTGAACTCCTCAGCGGCTCAAAGACGAGGTTTGACGTTCACAGAGCAGAGAGGCACATTTTCACTCTGCCTGCTCTGGTATATTCACTTTACCGTGTGTGTTTTTTTTCTTCTTCAGTGAAAGCAGGATGACACTGGCTGAGCTGAAGTCTTTGCTGGAGACGATGCAAAACCTGCCCTGTGTGATCGAGCAGCTGGAGGGGGTGCAGGTGAGAAAACGCAGCAAACAGAGCAAACCGTGTCGCAGATTTAACCTTTTTATTAACCCGGGCGCAATGTGATCTCTCCAGGCGGTTCTGCAGACCGTGGAGGAATTCCAGAGTCAGGCTCAAGTGCTGGTCAACGACAGGGACTGGAGGAGGGAATCTCCGCCACCTGAGCAGCTGCAGTCCCTTTTGGAACAGGGCGCCAAGCTGCCCGTTTCAGTGCCAGAGTGTGATTTACTCAAGGGCCTGAAGGAGCAGGGCCGCTGGCTGGAGGAGGTGAGGCACACACTGGGCACCGTCGGAGGGGAGAGGCAGGAGGTGACGTTGGAGGTGCTGAGGAACCTGATGGAGGCAGGCTGCAACGTAACCCAGAGCGTCTCCGTGGAGACGGCCATGGCAGAGCTGCAGGAGCTGCTCACAATAGCCGAGCGATGGGAGGAGAAAGCTCAGATCTGCCTGGAACAAAGGTGAGACGAACAACAAAATGTTCTGTGTGCTTCACCTGCTGCGGGGGTTTTCTCTCGCTGTAAGAAGCAGTCTTTCCTGTTTTTAAACACACTTCGTTCCTGTGGTTTGTTCTTCTAGGCAAAAGCACCCTCTCTCCACCCTGGAGGCGATAGTCAACGAGGCCCAGCTCATTCCAGTCAAGCTGCCCAACATTCTGGCTCTGCAGGATTGTCTCACTCGAGCGCGGGCCTGGGTAACAGACCTGGAAGAGATTCAGGTGACAGAACCAACAGTGTGGCAGCTCTGAAAATGAACACCAGATAACTGTAGATGCAGAAAAAGAAACAGTTTCTCTCTCTGCTGCAGAACGGGGAGCACTACCCTTGTCTGGATGACCTCGAGGGTCTGGTGGCTATCGGTCGGGACCTGCCGGTCTTTATGCAAGAGCTCAGACAGCTCGAACTGCAGGTAGCCAGCGCTCACTCCTGGAGGGACAAAGCCACCAAGACCTTCCTGAAGAAGAGCAGTCCGCACAGTCTGCTCGAGGTTTGGATGTTTTTCCTGTGTCCTGGTTGTCTGCTCAGATTTTTAGATATTATATTTTATTTACGTGTGCAAAAAGAAGTTTCTGAGAAAGTCTCTTCCATGGTTTCTTCTGCAGGTATTATGTCCGTGCGCCAAAAGGAGAGGGAGGCGAGATGAGACGGAGACCTTAGATGATCCTCTGGACGACTCTGATACCAACACTTTGGGACTCTCTGCTCAGGACCTGAGGGACCCCGCAGCTATAGTGAGTGTTCAGAGCTCATCGATTTCTGTTTATTAGATCTCTCTGAGCGCCGCTGATGTCTCTGTTCTTGAACGTAATCGTTTGGACCTGTCTCCAGGTGGTGGCGTTCAAAGAAGGGGAGCACCAGGAGAAAGAGGCACTACTGAGATTACGGAAATCCAACATGTGTAAATCCGGACTAAAAACCGCAGCTTTCAACGAGGACAAGGAGAACGGGAGGTGGGACGACACCATGGAGACGGACACATCCAGCCACTCAGAGAACTCTGTAAAAGAGAACGGGAACAGTAGCTACACCTGCAGCACCCTCCCTCAGGCGGTGTGCGTGTGTGGGGGGCAGCCCCGTGCCCCTCAGCTGCGCTGCCATCTGTGCAAGGACTGGTTCCACGGTGGCTGCGTTCCCTTCCCCTCCCTGCTCCCCTCTTCAGGACCAACAGTGAACCCCCTCTGCTGGTGGGACTGGGACTCGTGCTTCTTGTGTCCGCAGTGCCAGCGGTCGCGGCGTCCGCGCCTGGAGACCATCCTGGCGCTACTGGTGGCCCTGCAGAGGCTGCCCGTGCGTCTGCCCGAAGGAGAAGCGCTGCAGTGTCTGACGGAGAGAGCCATCAACTGGCAGGGCCGAGCCAAGGAGGCCCTGGAGACCCCCGAGCTGCAGCGAGCGCTGGAGAGGCTGCAGGAACTCAAAGAGACTCTCCAGAGTGAAACGGAGAAAGAGGAAGAATTGGACAAGGGGACAGAGGGGAGTTCAGTGATAGTTTTATCAGACTCTGATGGAGGGGAGGGAGACGATGGAGTCATCGACCTGACAGAGGAGAGTTCCCCGAAAAAGAAGACCAAGGAAACCAACGGCATACAGGTGAACACACTTCACCCTTAAGATATCTAAGTGAAGATGTTTTTAACTTTTTAATTAAAGCTGTTTTTTATGCTCGTTCGCTCACAGGCGGGATGTAGAAATGGTATCAGTAAGAAGTCAAATGCGACAGGTAAGACTGTTGATTCCATAGTAACCAGAAAAAGCTACAAAGTGGCCCACAGGACCCGACTCTGATTGTGTTTTTTATTGATCAGGTGTGGGGTCCCTGCTGCCCCTGCTGCCTTCGCTAAAAGGCCAGGTAGTGGAGCTCTTACCAGCCACCAGGGTCAAACTGGAGGAGCTGCAGCTGGAAGGAGATCTGCTGGAGGTGTCCCTGGACCAGACACTCCTCATCCACAGAGTCCTCCAAGCTGCTTCAGCTCCCCCGAGGGAAACTTTGCACACGCTCATTCAGGTCGGGAGAATCAGTCCCTCCATTCAAAAAACGATTCTGATGTCTGAGTATGGAGCTGGCCAGTTGAATCCTCATGTCTCCTTTCACTCTCAGATCGAGCTTGATGAGCAGAGGCGAACCAGCCGCGGACGACCCAAGGACTCCAAAAGGAAGAGGAAGGGCCACAGAGGCGGGGTCGGGGAAGAAGCAGGTGGGAGGTCACTGGACGCCTCTGAGTCAAAGAAAACCTGTCCTCTCAGCCGGAGCCCTTTCCCTCACTTACCGGTCCAGACCCATCCAGAGGTAAACCTTCGCTTCACTCGTCAGCTGTTGTCTTTACGTTATTGTACATTAAACACGATTGACATCCAACTCTTTTCCTCTGCAGACAGACTTTGTGATGTAGTCGACGCTGGAGCCAGAGTCGACGGAGAACTTGAAGGGACAGATGGTTCTGTGCCAGAAAACAGTGTCAAGTTATAGAAAGATGCAGGACATCCCCCCTCCCTGTCCCCTCCTGCCCCTCCTCATTCCTCATTTACACTCACAGACACTAACAGAGCGATGACTCTTTTTCTACACTCCACTCTCCCCCATCCCATCCCAAACTCAGCCATATCTCACCCATTCAAGATTTTTTCGTTTGATTTCATCTCCCCTCCCCCCTCAAACTTTACTCTCCGCCTCTCCTGGAACACTTCCTCCCTGAACATATACAGACTGTGTTGGAGCGGTGTGTTTGGACTTACCACAGTAGGAGTGTGTTTGGTCTAGAGTTGTCTCTGAGGTCAGTCAGTATGTCAATGTAATCCCCCGACTGTATTAAATGCTAGTTGAGCTGCAGCCTGTCCGAGCGCAGGCTGTGGCGGTTTCGTTTCACTTGAGCTCCCCCCCGTCGTTGAAGTTGGATAAGCTACAGTTTAGTTCTGTTTTCGGAAAAACGAGCCCCGGAGCTGAGGTACAGCAGAAGGTTTTGTCAGCTGATCTTGGACAACAGCAGCACCGTTGTTACACTTGTATTTTTTTATATTTTAGTTGTACTGAATCTTGTGTTTGATGCTGTTTTTGAGGGGACACGCGTTTTGAATAAACTGAGAAAATTTTGGGAAGAGTTAAAAACAGGCATTCATGTTTTTGGTGCTACTTTCCCAAAATGGATATCTGTACCTCTTAGCTTCGTCCTTCTCCTCCTCCTCTTCTTCTTCTTCCCCGTGATGCCTTTTTTTTTCTTCATTTTTTTTAAAAAACGCCCATCCTTTTGACTCCTATATTTTATGCCTCTCCATCTGACCTCTTTTCTCCCCTCCCTCTTTCTCTCTCTTAAAAAGTTAAGGTAACTTCACTGTAACTCACTTTGTCACAATTTATTTTGTTCCTGGGTTCAAATTATATTATTATTATTATTATTATTATTATTGATATTGCAGACACACAGTTGTCGTGAGTTTGTGTAAAAACTTTTCATTTTAATGTTGCCTTTGTTTCTTTTCACTCTTGTAGGAAAATAAAGGTTTAGAATTGTTTAGGACATGTCGCCTTATCATTTCTCAGCTCCTACAAATCAAGTTTTATTTTTATGGCGCCAAAAAGAGCGATTTTGGAGACTCTTCGTTATATTTACAAAGACCCAACATCAAGATAAGGTAAGATGAAGTCCCATTATGTCTGACTAGACCCACTTTTATCCCGTCTTAATCAACAGAGGTGTAATTTACTCTGGTTGCTGGAGTTTTGTCTCTGCACTGGGTTAGTATTTAGAAGAATATTAGTGTTTCATTTTTTGTTTTATTTATTTGTATTATTATCATTTATTTATATATATATATATATTTTTTTAATTTTATTGATATATTTCTATTTTTTTTGTTTGCAAATTACAGCAGAGCAGCTTTTTTAAAATTTATTTTTATTTATTTATATATAATTATTTATTTATATATTTTTATCTTTTTTGTTTGCAAATTACAGCAGAGCAGCTTTTTAAAATTTATTTTTATTTATTTATATAACATTATTATATTTTTATTTTTATTATTTATGTATTTTTATCTTTTTTGTTTGCAAATTACAGCAGAGCAGCTTTTTTAAAATTTATTTTTATTTATTTATATAACATATTTTTATTTTTATTATTTATGTATTTTTATCTTTTTTGTTTGCAAATTACAGCAGATCAGCTTTTTTAAAATTGATTGATTTATTTTTATTTATTTATATATTATTATTTCTATTTATTAATTTTTATTTATTTATATATTTTATTTATGTATATATTTTTATCTTTTTTTGTTTGTAAATTACAGCAGATCAGCTTTTTTAAATTTTATCTATTTTTATTTATATATTATTGTTATTTTTTTATTATTTTTTTTTATTTATTTATCTATTTTTATCTTAGTTTTCGTTTGCAAATTACAGCGGGTTAGCTTTTATTTATTTATTTTTATACATGAAACAGAGCAAACTTTTCATCCAAATTCCCCATCCCATCACCCACACCAAATAAATATAAGAAAAACATGTTGGAAATTATAAACACACGATTAAAAAAAATAGATAAAATGAAAAACCTAAAATAAACGAGTAAATAAATTAAAATAAAATAGTGTATATATAACAATAAGAAACTGAATATGGTTTACAGTATGCCCTTAGGCCGTGGACATAAATACACATATATACCATTTATCAACTATAAATCCTAGTGCCTTCTACTGAGGGTGACAAACGTTTAAAAAGTGCACACAGCAAATAAATACTTCCCAAATGGTTCTCTTGTTCACTGAATTTATTTAGAAAAGCTTTCACTGTGAAATGGCAGACACGGGACACCACAACACTGAAGAAGTACACCATGTTTCGTCTATGCTAGTATTTAAACAAGTTATTAGAAAGACACAAGAGTGTGAGACACAACGGTTACAGCATGTTAAAGGCTTTTTAAATACATAGAAAAAAAAAAGTATTTCTGCAGGAATATCAAACATGCATGAACGCCAAAATGAAAAACCAGCTTTTGTTCATCTTTATGAATTATTCACACCACTGTCAGCAGGTATTTTGTCATTAAAGAGGTTTTTATAAAATGATAATACAGCAGTAGGTTCTGAAAGCACAGGTTAAAAAAGAAAAGTGATTGAACTAGAATGGGGCTGTTGGATCTGACAGGAACATCGTGGGGAAAATCGCAGCAGAATAAAGCTGAATGTTCATGATCAGTGCTGGAAAACTCCTGCGTGCTGATCTCAAAAGTTGAATTTTTCCAGCGGCAGACAGAGCAATCAAAGATTGTGTTTTTAAACAGCAGTTGTGTCACTTTAAATGAAATCAAATCATGATTTCTGTGCTTTTTACGCCATATTTGTGCCTTTTTCTTTCTGTGCTTTCCCCATCAGTAGCTCCAGCTTTTCTGCGTGTCGCTTTAAAACCTGTGCTTGTATATGTACACTCACATCTGTCTGAATGGAAGGCATCGCTCAGCTGCTTGTTATCAAAAGCGTCTGGACTCACAATGGCGCAGCTGCCGTCACTTTGTCGAACCGCAGGAGCATTTTTACAACAACACAGCAAGAATGAGTAATCACATAAAATCGCACAATTTGCTCCTCTGAAAATGTCTTTAGGCAAAGTCCTTTGTGGACTTGAAACAGTTTTATGGCACAGAAGTGGCTTTTTTTTTCACAGCTGCATCGTTCTTACCTTCAACTCTCAATTTTCCTTCATTCTGCTTCTCAGAAAAATGAAAGAAAAAAAAATTACCTGTGCACCACTTCCATAATGGCTCGACAGCAGGTGGTGCCAGCTCGCAGTATTAGTAGTGACGCATCTCAGCTTCTGAAAATGCTAACGTGTGCTCCAGTTCAACTTGCTAAACCCAAACAGTTCTATTTGTGTCCTGCGCGTTGGCTGTGATGTGGCTTTAAATCTGGGAAAGTGGAACGGGTTTCTGTCAAAGTGTTATGAAAAAGGCTCAGGAGTTAAGCTTCAGGTCCACTCAACCAAACAAACTGAGGAAGAGTCAGAGTCACCGTCTGTTGTTTTGCACCAGAGCAGGTTGTTCAATCACTTTGGCACTGTTTTACCCCCGTCTTCTCTCAGACTGTGGTGACGGACAGCAGGGGGTTGTACACTTTCTTCCCATCAGCAGACCTGGCTCCGTGGGCAAGCAGCTCCTGGATGGTGATCCAGTTGTCCATGATCCTCCGACTGCGTTTCTTCATGCTCCTGCGGTGGCACAGCTCCAGGATGGAGTTGGGCTCCTGTTGGTTCGTCGACCCTGGCTGTCCTGCGCCGCCGCTCCCCTGATCCTTCTCCCGCTCTCTCAAACAGTCAAGACGGCTCTGCATCATGAACTCCCTGCGCCGCCGCTGCTCTCTGGCCTTTTGCAGCTGCTGCTTGCGCTCCTCTTTGCTCCAGTATCGACCCATCTTCATTTCACTCACTGCGTCGTCATCCGTCGTCATGCCGCTGCGCTCCTCTCTGATCTTCATGGCTCGTGCCTTCAAGAGGCGATCCCTAACAGGCCGTTTGGCCACATAACGTGAGCCATCGCTGCGGATCTTCACCTTCCACTCCATACGAGGGGAGGCAGGCATCAGTGGGGGAGACATGGGTAAGGGCGCGGCTCCTGGAGTCTGGGAAACATCTTTACATGTGCTGCCCAAGCTCATGGGGCTGGCATCGCCCCCATTCTCAATGCTACCCTCTTGGGGTCCACAGAGCCGCTCAGAGGTGGAGGGGGACCTCAGCTGCATGCAGCTCAGGTAGCGTTGAGGCGCCTTTTCTTCGGTCCTACGCCGGGATAGGTACGGGCTGTTATCTGCACTGCCGCTTCTTTCAACTGTCCCGTTGGCTTTTGGGTTGCGCCTCACTCCTCCATCTGAGCCCCTCCTTGTTCCTGCATCCCGGGTCAAGGACCTTGCCTTCGCTCCGGGGCTGGATGTCTTTGATTCGGTTCCTCTCTTGTGAGAGTGTGAAGTGTAGGGTTGGTTGAGGTTTGCTTGTACCTCGCCCCCTCTTTCAGCCCTGGTTCCTCTCTCTCTTTGTCTAGAGGAGGTTGAAAGCTGCATATCTCCACCTCCTCCTCTCTCCAGGCTCTGTGTAGAGTGTGAAGGGTACAGTTCATTAACAAGAGGGGTGCTCCTGCAGCTCTCCCCTCCAGTGTTGTAGGCACTGGTGCTGTCCTTGTCTGAGCGCTCCCTCTCTGGGAGCTCATTGATATCAGACAGAGCGTGGTGACAGGACTCCTCGCTGACCAAAGAACCGTTCATCTCCAAGCGCCCAGCTCCGACACTGACCCCTGAACTCGCTCCATTCTTCTCCTCCAGAGGCCAAGCCTTCAGACATCGTTCCCTCAGCTGCTGCATCTTCTGTGCCCTCAAGATGTTGCGACACTTGAACTCCAAGTGGCGCAGCTCCTCCTCCAGAAGAGCCATCTCGTGCTGTGTCAGACTCTCGTTCCTATTCACATCCAGGGAGACTCCTCCCTGATCCTGAACCAATCCCTGACCTCCATGTTGCAGCAGACCATTACAGTTCTTCTCATAGTAACACTTGATTTCAAGGAGCTCTTTGTACCTCTCACACTCCTCCTCTGTCAGGCCGGGCATCATCATCCTCATGGGGTCTGCCATGTAGGCCCGCTCCACCTGTTCCAGCCCTCCTCCATTAACACAGTCCAGCCCTAAGAGGGAGTCGGTGCTGAACTGGAGGTCCTGGGAGTGCAGCAAAGGCGGGGTGTCCCCTCTGCTGGACAGAAACTTGCGCATGCTTCCTGGCGTGTTGGTGGCGTTTGTGTTGGGGGCGCTGGTGTGGTCATCTCCCAGGAGGTCATGCTCTGAAGACTCCTCATACCGTGTGCTTTCATCAGTTCGGCCCACCCCGCTGTCCAGCTCCTGACTGTTACTGAGAACCGTCTGAAGCAAATCAGGTGAGTCTCTGCTCAGTGAGCGACTGTGACTACACAACACACCCCCACTTGAGACACTGCTGGGTCCTGCTCCCAGGATGGAGGTGTTGTTCCTCACTCTGTGGCTGCTGGGCAGGTGAGCCGCATTATCAAGCGGCTCCACGTCCAGCTCATCCTGGTCCAGTTGGTTTTCATTCTGATGTGTGAATGGGTGTAGGACACAGGGGGTTGGATTTAATCGACGGGATTGTGGTGGAGAAGCGAAGTTCATGAAAGGAGAGACAAAAACACAGATTGATGTTAACTTCTTTGTGATTTGACTTTTCGTTGTGTTTCAGCATTTAAACAAAGCATCCTTATCTTCTGAGCTGATTCTGACAGATTCAGAGCAGCATCAGTTTCTCAAAAGAAAGACGCTCAAGAAATTCAGCAACATTAGCACAGGCGGGGGCCAATTTTCTGCAGAGCAGGTAAGTATCTCAGCCAGTATGATGCACACAGACGTACACAGACATCTCCTGTGTGTCTGCTTGTTAAATATTCTATGTCCACTTGGGGCTACAATCCAAACATGAGATAATGAGTTTTCAGATTCTGGCCTTTTTAGGTGATAATATTGAGATTTCTGGCGGTTTTTGCTTCACTTGAGTCTGTTGTTGGATTGGCTGGTCAGTGCTTTCACGCAGCTGTAAGCGACGTCTAACCACCTCGAGGTAGTGTAGGGTAGAGATGCACCGATCCATTATTTTCTTATCCAATCCGATACCGATCCAATACTACTGTTGGATTAATAAACGGTATGACTTTCCCTGTGAGTGAAGGCATCAGGCTTGACATTAGCTGTGTTAAAAAAAATAGGTAACAAATTAACACAGATAGAAATTTACTCAATATTATTTCTCAACAAATTGGAACGCTGGATTGGCGCCATTCGTCAGATATCCGATCCAGTTAATTTTTCAATATCAGAGCTGATATCCGATCCAAATATCGGCTCGGTGCATCCCTAGTGGAGGGTGTTTGTCTCACTCTGTTATGTCAGGGGGGTCAGTTTGGGACGTCTTTATTTGCAGACTCCATGTAATATCCTTTAGTTGGGGTTCGGTGCTATAAAACTGTCTTAGAGTTTAACAGGAACCTTTGAATTATTTGGCAATCACTGCGAGTTCTCATTAAACTTTACACATCCATTCATTATTGATATAAAAATCCTATTATAACAGTTTTAACGTGAGTGCAGAGCATAAATAAATGTAGTTCTTCTCTCTGTCACTAGATGGCAGCAGTGCTGTGTCACATTTTACTCTGCAACTGCATCTAGATTCTGTTTTGACTTTTCCTCTCATGACTTTGATTGAATTTTGACAGACATGTTTTGATACGTGAGGTTTTTATAACCTTTATCCAGAGCAGTAAAACTCACTTTTCAATAACAACCCGGCTGTTTTGAGCTCCATCTCCTCAAAAGTTGATCCTGCTTGTATAAATACTTGAACTTGAATTAGTCAGAAACTCGCTACTGGGGCTCGGTTGATCTTGAGCTAATTGGTTTGATTTGAACGTAAACTGTGAGCGGACTCTGAGACCGCGTATTGATTATCTTCATCGTCATTCATATTCTTCTTCAATCCCTCCAGCTCTCTCTCTCTCTCTCCTCCGTCTCCCCTAAGACAACAGATCAAGCTTTAATCTCTGCTTGTGCATTTCCCTCAGATGAGTCTCTGTCTTCACCTCTCTCACTTGAATTTCAATGTTACCCGCTGCCTTTGCAATATAAACCTTGTCAGCCTCTCACAGGTAGTGCTCGTGATCATCTCTCTGAAATACAAGGACGTATTGAAACAGAGGAGAGGCTATTTGTGTGTGTGTGTGTGTTTGACTTAGACCGTTTTAATGAGTGCCTTTTAAATCTGCCCTTTAGCTCTCTCTCTGTGCAAATGCAGCCAGCATACAGATTTTTGTATCCTCACAAATTCTGCCTCCATCTGCAGCTCATTTTCACAATAGCATGCAGTAAAATGAATACGAACGGGGCAGCATATGTTAAGTTGTATGTTTTTTTATTGTTGTAGACTGTCAGCAGTGTTATTGAGGGGCATAACAATGTCCTCATATCTGCTGGAAAAGTGACCTTGAGGCGAACAAAGCGTGGCCGCATTAACACAAGAGCAGGAGTGCGATTTGTCTTTGCCTCTCCCTGCGTGTTATCTCTGCGCTCATCATGTTTTTGCATCTTTCTCCTTTTCTGCCTCCTTAAACAAAACACCTCTGACTCGCCTCCCTCTTAATCTTGCGCTTAAACACCCACACTAAGCTCTCTTCTTCACATACCCAGTAACTTAACTATTTTTTCTCTAAGTAAAGGAGGAGAAAAAGTCATTTTTAGGTCAGTATTCAGACTAAGAGCTCCCTAATGAGTGAATATCTAATTTCCTCACCTCTATCTCGGGCCGTGCGAGGAGCAGGGAGACATTAGTGCTGTCCTCTCGGGTGAGAATAGCAACCGCCTCCTCCCTGTCCTGGATGTCCACTCCATTTATCTGACAGAGAAAAAGGAGAATAAAACCGGTAAATGTCAGGTAATAGAAGAACCTTTACACCGAGGCCACATTTAATCAAATTACCGGTTCCAGGAAATGATTTTTCTCGAGGAGTCAAACCGTGAAAGTCTCCACATTTCTTGGGAGGATACTCAAAGGCTGCAGGGTGCACTATCAGCAAATATTACTCATATATGAAGAACTTGGCTTAGGGGTTAGTTTGCAAAAATCAAAGTAAAAATAAAAATCATAAATATGAGAAAACTCTAGTTTAAAAGCTGCTCGCTCTGCAGTAAACAGCGTTTTTATCTCTTAATCGGTATGATGCCTGACATCTAAGGTCTCCTCTCAGCTCTCATGTGCTCCCACACATAAAGATGAGGCTGATATAGACTGAAATGTTTCTAATTCGAAGCAGAGAGGAGTGCTTCCAAACTGAAGAAGACAAACTCAGTTACAACTTGTTGACTAAACTAGTTTATTTCTGCAGAAAATAGGAAAAAAGAAGTGAGCTGGATCTGAGCGATGAGTGGGCTGTTGGGGTGATATACAGCTGGTTTGAGAAGCCCTGTATTGAGGGAGATGTTAATATAAAATACAAACCAACAAACTCTATTAAAGCACTTAGGGACCTCATGCTAAAAGCTTTTATTTTTACCAACAGTGAGAGGAGGAAAATTAGTTTGTTCGCTCAAATCTGGAGTCTATTTGTCTTGTTTGCGAGGGGCAGTTTGGGTTTCTATCTCCTGCTTCATTGCTTCAACTGTTGCCATAAAGAAACCTGTACCTGTAGTATTCTGTCTCCCTTGCGGATTCGTCCGTCAATGGCAGCGATGCTGTTTGGATTTACCTGAAGAAAAGGACAGAGGTAGATTGCTGATGTGTCTCAAAGTGTGAAAGTGTGATCTTAAATCTTTTTCATTACAGTGTCTCTACCTCTCCCACATATATCCCCAGATCCTCTTCATCGTCTGTTCTGTAACACACTGTCAGCCCGAGTTTATCCTGCTGACGAGACTTGTACAGCTCCACCTCCTACAGCAGAAACAGTAAAAAGCTCGAGTTAAGGACAAAGAACAGTGGGAAGGCTGTCTGAAACGGACTAAAAGCAGCTTATAAACCCTCACCTCATACTCCAGCTCATCCTGCCTGTCCACTTCATGCTGGGTGATATCAAAGTAGTCGGTGGGGTCATAATAGACGGGCTCTGTGAAGCTGAGAATGAGAACATTCAGAAAGTTTGGAAAGCTTCAAAAACCACAAATGTTTGAGCTGAATGGCGTGGACAAGATCCAAGATGGTGGATGAGTTCTGGTCGGCCAGTTGGCTGATTACACTTTCCCCACTCACAGTTCATTGAAGAGGTACGGCTCCAGCAGCGGTGGGAGAGGAGGGGACGGCGGAGGGTCGGGCGGGGGCGGCGCTCCGCAGGGATGCTGGCTGCTCTTTCCCAGAGTCAACATATGCTGGAAGCTGATGTCTGTTTGGGTGCAGCTGTCTACACAGTCCGCCATGCCCATGGTCAACGGCACCGGCGCTCCAGGGGCTCCTGCTAGGCCTGCACGTCTGCGGGCCCCACGCCGCAGTATGCTGGACAGCACAGGGTCCCGTATGTCTAGGGTGGGATCCTGAGAAAGACGGGACAGGTCCTTTCCATTCACCTGGAAAATGAAGACGGTGAAGATTAGATAACGGGGGAGGAAAAGGAGGTTTAAGAGGAGTGAAGGTGCAAAGAGGTGTGTTTGGGGGTTCACATGTAACAGAGGAAAAAGGGCAGAGCGTTCAACATCAGGGTTAATTGACAAAAACATAAGGAAAAGAGGGGGAACTACATCTACACACACCTAAAACAAAGACTTAAGCTATGTTAGTCAACAGAAAAGCTGCACTTCAGCACACTTAGAAGTGTATCTGACTGTTTGTAGGGTTTCTACAGGGACAGAGAGACAAGGGGAAAAAAAAACAGGTTTTAATCTAAAAGGTTCGGACAGCACATCACACCAAGCAGCAGAGCAGAAAGCTGTATACTGAGACCTTTAATCGACCGTCTGCGTCAAAAGAGCACAACATGTTGCCTATCTGACCCTTCTGTGGAAAGAGAAGGAAAGAAAGTGGAGTTAGGAGGAAATTACAGCCGGAGAACTGGTACAAAGTGGCAAAGGCTTCAAGTTAATAAAAGACACAAGTAGAGGTAGTTCAACAAGAAACACATATTCAATATATGAGTCATGGTATGGTTAGTTTTTCCCTAGTTTTGTTATTTAAGTGTATTTTTCAGTTTGTGTTTGACTCTGTTTACCTCATGTTTTATGTGTTTTATTCTTTAGATTAGTTTTCAGTTTCCTGTTTTATTTTGTAGTAGTTGATTCCCTGTGTTTCTAGTCTGGTTTTACTTCCCTAGTTTTCCCTCCTTCGTTAATCACTAACGAGTTGCACCTGTGTCTGCCTCACCTGTTGCTCGTTAACCAGAGTGTGTATATAGTCCCTGTCTTCCCCTCTGTCCTTGTTGGTTCATTGTGTCTGTATGTCTGCCTGACACTCGATCTGTGAGTCCCTACTCTTCTGTTGGTTTTTTGTTTGATTTTTTTCCCCTTAAAGTAAGTTTTTGTTGTTTCAAGTTTAGTCTTTTAGTTTTTTTCTGTGTTTTTTTGGTCTCTTTTAGTCTCTTTCTGAATCTTAATTTTCCTTCATCCACCTACTTTGATATGCCAAATGATTTGGCGTCACACCCACGATTTCTGCTTCTCACAGCAAGAAGGAGAGAAAGAAAGAAAGGAGCCATTAATAATTCAGATTAATTGAAAATGTATCTGAAGAGGAATGAAAGCAGCGCGGGGATTTGACATCGGAGTAACTGAACCAAAATAATCCAGGTTAGGTCGGGCAGAACTTCTCACAAACCAAAGGGATAAAGATTATTTCTGCGTTCGCCGGTTTTAGTCCTGCTATCACCGTGGATATAAGCGGATGGTCGGTCAACTGCTTTAGGCAAGACTTTCCTCAAACATCAGACAGACAGAGTTTAGCAAAGATATTCACGTTCCCCAGAGGATGGATCCGAATGACTTTGACTAAATCCTGAACCAGCAGCTCGTTCAGCAGGTTAGTCTTCCAGATTAGGTTTTTGTGCCTTTATTGAGAGAGTAAGTCAGTGGATAGATGAAGAAAGGTGGATGATTCAGTCACTTTAATAAGAGTATAGTTTTCAGAAATCATAGACCCTCTTGATTTGTTGCAGAAGGCAGACAAGGATATGCTGCTTCTCATGTGTGAGTGATAGTAACAGGCGTTTACTGAAGCAGACAGCCTTGGTAGAGTCTCATTCATGTTACACAGTCACTGACCTTGGCTGTCTGTGACTCTCCACATCTTTACCCTCTCGCTTCATTCTCCCACTCCCACTCGCTCCTCTCGTCCCCCTTTCCAGTAATTGCATGTCAAATCAATGTTCCCTTGTGCAGCCAAGCAAGAAAACTTTCTCGCCGTTTTTCGCCCCCTGCTTGATCTGGTTCCCTCGTTCCACCACCAACACGATTTTTTTCCCCCCTTTTCTGTCGTTGTGTTTCCATTCTCTGCTCCTTCCTTCTCCTGTTTCCTCAGCTTTTCTCTCTCCATGCAGCCTCAGCAGTTCTGTCTGCTCTGTCGCTTCCCTCGAGATGACTCCTCACACCGCTCTCCTCTGTCTTTTTCAGCTGGCTCTTCTCCTTGTGTGTTTGTCCTTCCTCTCTCTAATGTTCCTCCATAAATCTTAGCTGTCCTTCTTAATGAGATTCCTCACCTGGAGAAAAATAAGATGCTTCCTCTCCACACGGCTTATTAGCGACGATAAAAATAAACCCTGTGTTTACATCTTGGACATGCACAACACCTTTAATATCTTTCATTAAAGTGTGTTTTTTTCTCTTGTTGTTGGACAGGAAACACTATTTGTCTCCACGGTCAGAGAAAGAGGCTATTAGGGAGCAGCTCTGCGGCCATGAGTGACAGGTATGAATACTGAGAGAGCAGAGAGGCTGGGGGTTTCTCATTCATTATCAATGAGAGGTGCTGGGATTGCTTTGAAGATGTCTTAATGCAGGGGTAATAGTTGTTGTGTGTTGGGCCGCTTTTCAGCTTCGATTTGACAGAGAATCCATTAAACTCTTAAACTGTGCTGTTTTCTATTATCTCTGGGTTAGTAGGTCATTAAGTGCAGCTACTTTTTTATCGGCAACAAAACAAAAATAATGAAGTCATGGGCGCGCACACTCGCTCCACCCTTACTAGTATATTTGTGTTATTGAAATTCAGAAAACTAGTCGCAGTAGGGGGCGGGAGACGGTGGTTTCTGCAGCCGAGGAGCTGAGGGTGGGGATGGGGGTGAGAGATGAAAGAGATGTAAAGAGTTCAAAGTGTAGAGAGAGAGAGAGAAAGCAAAGGAGGAGAGACACTGGGGTAGTGCACAGGGAGCAAGGAGGGAAGGAGATGAGGAGAGGGGATGAAAGAGAGATGCAGAAAACAAGCTTTGAAGGAAGTGAATGTAAATAGAGAGCGAACATGTGTTGCGCCGGGTTTAGGACTTGTACGCGAAAACATGCACAATGAAGGCTCATGGGAAATCCCTAAGTGGTTGATGAATAATTAGTTTTTATCTGAAAGCCCCTTAAAGAGCAAATGAATCTCCTGTGCTAATAGGCTGAGATGGGGGAAAAAATCTTAAGGTGACGGCTTAATTAATAATACACACACGCACACACACCCTTCAGTGAGTGGAAAAATACACAAACAATCATGATATTCATCTTTTTTATATTCTTGCGGGGAGTATTTTCCTCTCCAATTTTCGTATTTCTCTCTATTTTCTGCGCTTCTTATGCAAAACCTCTCGCATCCATCCCCCCAAACACTCTGAATTCCACTTGTTCGGTAATTGATTTTTCTCATCTCCCATGCTTTGAAAAGCTAGAAGCAGTCATCACTTCAGAAAAATCAATTAATCTGCAGACAGAGTTGACCTGCTCTGGCTCTAACCCCTGATGTTTGATATCAGAGAGTTAATTTAAATAGACAAGCAGGGGAGAGTCGGGCCGACTGTATTATAAACTGATCCGTGAGACGGTATTGATTTCAAAAGCTGAAGTATTCTTCAGAAGGACAGCAATGTAGCTAACAAGCCTCAGAGGGAGTATGGAGTCTATAAATATGTCTTTTGTCGATGCATTCATCTGTTCGGACAAAGGATGAATTATTGGTAGATGTGTTTTTATCGGGGTTGGTGGAGGAGCGCGAATAGGTCTGTAAAAAAGCAGCATGTCAAAGCCTCTAGGACCTTACTATAAATCCCCTCGCCCTCTCTTTTACTGTCACTCCTGTCTTATTTAATGAGAGCGCTCGTCTCCATGCCTGAGAGGTCTGCAAGGGAAAGGACCTCACCATACACGAAAACACACATATATAATGTCCTCTATAGCTGCTCTTCAACCAAGGAGAACCAGTGCATCCCTGACATTAATTAAAAAATCCAATGAGCACAAAGGGAATAATTATCCCATCTAATTAATTAGTACAATCGTTTTTTTACATAGTAAAAGAAGATAGGAGCCAATCAGATTAGTCCTCTTCTTAATAAACATTGAAAGGTTTTAGTTTTCCATGAAAGTCAAAGTATGTATAATACCTATCATTAAGCAGAATTGATAAACAATGTGTTAACATGAAAAGTCTTTTAAAAAACGATTTTATCACAATAAATTGTAGCTGAAAGCAGGCAGATTTTTAGGACGCTAAGGGCCTGTGTCCACTGACAGCAATTTATGAGCTGAAGTACCTATAGCCTCTTTTTCAGAGCGCACTCACCTGCAAACAGGCTGTGAAAAAAATTCCATCACACTTCTGCTTTTATAGCTCTGACGGTTCAGTCCAATTAAAACCCTTCTGTATACAATATATTTATTTTTTTCAATTAATTATTTAAAGAAAGCATATAAAGAAATGCATGGCAATCAATTAAGAAGTATTGCAGCATTAGCAGCAGCTCTAGTCCTCAGAACTGCACTCATGAGTAAAGTAAATGCGGTTAGTTTCTCATCCAATATAAATCTCTTCCATTGTTGTCGATTAGATTGATATCAGAAGCTCCGCCCTCTTTTGATTTTGATTAGCCAGCAACAGATAATTCACATTAAGGTACGCAGGGGCTTTGCAATGTTGCGCTACATTCAAATGAAAGTGCATCAACAAAAACTGCTGACAGTGAGAGTGATGTCTGTCTTGGGAAAATAGTGCTGACAATGTTGAATTTCATTAGTCCTGTAAAGACAATAGGTGCTACCGGTGTAAATAATGCAGTTAGTGGACACAGGCCCTATCTCTGTGAAGTCTCCAGAGTAAATAATGCAGTAAGTGGACACAGGCCCTAACTCTTTGAGGTCTCCATAGCTGGTCTAAGAGAACCAAAAGACATTTTTTTAGAAATGTAAACAAACACAGTTGCAATTACATAAGATTGACTGTAATAATAGTTGCTTTAGTCGTATGGCACTTTACATGCAAAGTTGAAACCAAATGTGTTTTTATAGAACAAGAAAAACACAAAATTTCAACTTAAGCCTAATTTAAGCTAAAGAAATGAGAAAATTACTTAAAATACAATATGTAAACATGAAATACCAGGATGCCAGAAGAAGATAATTCAGCTCAAAAAGAGGAAATATTCTTTAAATGCACTCTACTTCTCTACAAATAAACACTGTATTTACTGTAAATGTGACACAATATAATACCAGTACAGCTGTGTTTTGTGGCTGTAGTGTCTGCTGAGCCCTCACAGTTTTCTATCTGGGATTTTTTTTATTCTCTAAAACCTCGGTGTGTTTGATCACGTGTAGGTTTCTGTGTCTGTCACTCTCGTTCTGTCATCATTAGCCGGTCATTTGTATGTATCGATCGTCGTCTCTTTGCCTTTTCTATCCGTCAGCGTGTTTCTTGGTGTCACCGAGCAGGAGCACATTTACTTTGTTTAGTGACGCTGGTTGCCATGGAAACAGTCTCCTGCATTTACAGTGACAGGGAGAGAAAGAAGAAGGGAGTGGCTGAGGGACTCAGGGGGGGCAGAGGTTTGCCGTATGTGTCTGTGCTTCTGACTGCGTGGGTCAGGTACTCTTTCAAATGTCTGTAAAATCTACATTTACCACCTTTTTAAAGGTTAATGTGATTAAAAGCTGATTACAGAGTCTGTTATTCATCAACCTAATCCTTCGTTCTTGGGTCTGAAGGAGGCACAATTGATCAGACACATGCCAATGGGTGTGTACCAACCACCAGCATGCAGGGTATGTGCAGCAATGGCTCGATATATAATGCATGACTTTCCTTCCTTTGGTGTGAGCCAAGTGTTTTAACAAAGTCAAATTTAACAGCCTGACTTTCCAGACTGGGTACTGACTGCAAGCTGTTTAAAACTGTATTCATTGTGTAAAACCAGTGGCTCAGTAGGGTGCGTCTAATTTGAGGGTGTGATTAAACATCTTTAGTTGAAGAAAAACAGCCCCAAAGCCATAAACCACCAAAGCGAAAAACCATGAAATGTGCACAGAAATGTAATTATGTTTCCTCTTTTATGATGGTTTTTTAATGATTGGACACAGTGTACCTCCATCTTTCTGCTGGCATGTTCTGTGGATTAATCAGCCATCTGCACAGCAAGACTTGGGTGTTTTGTGATCATTATATGTAATAACTGGGATTAACTCTCATGTTGAAATAAACAGCATGTAACCTGTAGTTGCTTTTCCGTTTACATACAGATCATCTTACCCTGAGAAGCCCTCTTAATCTTTGAGACTATGTTGAAAGCATATCTGTTGAATTTGCATTTTTATTCAAATCAGCTTTACCACATTATTGGGAAATACTGACATTTAATTCATCTATACAACTACTTTTAAAAATTGAAGTAGTTTAGGTATATTTTTTATCATCAATTACAATTTCTCCCCACTAGAAAATAAAAAAAGAACAGAAGTTATTGAAAAACTTAAAATATTCGGAAATCAAACAGACTGATAAGGGATCGGGTGTCGAGGCTTACTCTGCCTTTCCTTTCATGACAAAATATTCTGTTATTTAATCATTTAAGAATCACTGATCCAAACTGCATATAAACATCATGCCTAATACACCTTTCAATTATTATTGTAGACAGTCAGTCTGTCGTATGATATCTCACTTTCTTCTATGGTGCTATTTAAGGTTTTACCACCTCTCAGTCTAAAGCTCCCTTCACACCGGGAGTGTTTTTTTCGTGCGATTATTTTGGATGTCAGTATTTTTTTTCGAACCTGTATCCTGTCAATACAAGCGTTCACATTGGCGATGTTTTCCAGTCCTGCGATATTGCAGCATTTATTTTTTTTGCATACTGTGTGTCCTCTTCTGACCAATCAGATTGCATGTTGTTGCGACGTCTGATTCACCGGTATATCCAACATAGCCGACCAGCTGATTGTTTACGTTTCGGAGAACAGAGTGATTTTTGATAAAAAAACACAAATATTACAAAGATAACGACCTGAAGGATGGTTTGTGTGCTTTAACAGTTTGATAAACATCTTTGTTTAAACTTTCATCTGTGCTAAGTAACTTTTGCTCATAAGCTAACCTGTACAGCAAACTCAATCTCGTTGCTGTCACAGCACCATTAGGTCTCGGCTGTTACCTTACGTTTATGGATTATAGTTTAATGTGCTTATCTGGTACTGGCCTCAACTCAGTACATGCTATCATGACAGACAGACATCTCAACACTAGAGTCTAATCAGAACTGAAAAACAGTCAGTCTGCTGTTGTGTCAGTCTTCTCGCTTCAACCCGGGACGCGTTGTCGCAAAGTCGCAAAATCGCATTGCGCTTGATGTGTATAGTCAGGCGCATCAAAATTCGCCTCAGAATGTTTCGTTATTTCGTGTCGTATATTTGTGTCGGTCCCGGTGTGTAATGACCTTTACTGTTAGTATTACTGACAATGTCAAAACTTCATCTTTCTTCTGTTACTTTTACCTTCTTTAAACCTTCTTTATATATTTAAATTTTACAGTATATAAGTCGACTATAAAGCCACACATAGTTGACTTGCTGTAATTTGGGCCTACATAAAAATTTCCTTCAGATTCATAAAGTTGCGTCTTATTTTATCATGTCTTCTCTCTTCGGACTGCATTTTTGCATAGGAGACACATTAGAAATGAATATATTATTGTTCTTCTGCAGCGAAACAGACACCAGCTCAGGCTGAGACTTCCAGGTTTCAACAACTGAATATTCTCTGTTCAATGTGCTCGTCTTCCTCTCAAAGCCAAATCCTGTGGCTCTGATTCAGAGCTCCATCTGCGTTTCTTCTCACTCGTGTCTCATGCTCCTCTGTGCTGAATTTTCAGGCTTACCAGACCAGAATATATGCAGACTTGCTGCTTCACCACCCCAAAGTACATGCTCTAGCCTCCACCTAACCACCGTTCACGCTGTAGCTTTGCATATAACATGACAACTCCTCTGTGTGCGCCGAATCATTCAACAGACTGTATTTTACTCACAGCCACGCCCGCCTGTGAGCCACATGAAGGCCTTGAAAGTGTTTCATGGACGACAGATCCTTGGGGCGCAAACTTTGACCTCACAGTTGCAAGATCAGTTGAATTTATTTGATTTCCATGTTTGAAGAGGTTGACCTGCATGTGTTAGAGTGTCATTACTGCCAGTCCTGGTTAGATCAGGTCATTGATTTCAGCACGCAGCAGCCCTGCTCTGTGTTTTATGATCACCTGACTGCACAGACATCACCTCGCTCCTGTTTTCTTTAGGTTTTTCCACCCTGGGGAATTGTGAAATCACTCAAGCCTTTTTCAATTCACCCCTGCTCTGTGGATGGCTCGAATCAATTACTTTTGGTGTCTACAGGCAGAAAAAGATGGACTGAAAAAAAGGTCCTTCTTTCTCTCTTGATTTATTTTATTTTTTTCCAGTTTCCTAATCATAGTTCCTTCTAAAATCCTTGTCAGGCTTCTGTCCGGGCCCTACTGTAAGATGCACAATGGATAGTTTGTCTTGTGCTGGTGATCTGCACATGAGGGATCAGATTAAGTTCAGGGACTCTTATGGAAGAGTTGGTTAAAGGGATATTCCAGCATAAAATTAATTTAGGGTCAAACGCACCGTAACACCGAGTTAGACACCCCCTCGAGAGATGACTGTTGCCGACTGCTTCCTTCTCTAGTTATACAAACTTTAGTAACGACTGCAGGATAGTAATACACAGCGGTCTGAGGAGCCACAAACAACCTCAACCAAAAAAACACTCTATAGCCACAAATAATACTCAGAACAGCACCTAACTTTGTCATCAGTAAATATAGGGTCCTAGCCACCAAACATCTCTTTAACTTTGCCTAATTTCTTTAGCAAAGAGACTAAACACAACTCACACACTCTCTTCCAGCAGCCACTTGTTTGTTACGGACTGCAGCGGGGTGACGCAGCTCAAGGAAGAACATTTCTGATCATTTTTCTATCATTTCCTTGAAGTAATAATCACCATATTAATCATTTTGCACTGCAGACGCGGTAGTTCTTCTGCCTTAGCATCTCGGTCTGATTGTATTTCCATGAAGAAATGATCATAAATGTTCTTCCTTGAGCTGCGTCACCCCGCTGTAGTCCGTAATGGTCTGGCCCAAGGTCTCGCTTCAAACAAGCAGCTGCTGGAAGAGTGTGGGTGAGTTGTGTTTAATCTCTTTGCTAAAGAAATCAGGCAAAGTTAAAAAGATGTACTATGGCTGGGACCCTATATGTACTGTTGATGAAGTTAGGTGCTGTTCTGAGCATTATTTGTGGCTATAGAGTGGCTTTTTGGTTGAGGTTTGTTTATGGCACCTCAGACCGCTGAGTATTGCTGTTGTGTGGTCGTTAATAAGTTGGTATAACTAGAGAAGCAAGCGGTCGGCAACATTCATCTTTGACGGGGTGTCTAACTCGGTGTTACGGTGTGTTTGACCCTAACTTAATTTTATGCCGGAATATCCCTTTAAGTTTCCCTTCAGCACCATCAAAGCAGCACTCGTCAATAGAGCTATCAATCTTGGTGTCAGACCCCATTTACAGCCGCAAAAAACAAGGCAGAAACTTCCAGTCTTGAAAAATGAGGCCAATGCTGAAAGGCTAAAGACTGCATTTCCTCTAGTGAGTTTTGGCTTCACTCTTGGGGCGCTGTCATGTCAACCCTCCCTGTGGTTTTGGACACTGTCGCTCATGTTTTGGCACCAGATGAAGCCCAGTTCACAGGCTCAAACACCGGACTCCAGCATGCTTCAGAGACTCATCTGAGGCTCCTGGTGCCACAGATACTGAAAGTGTTGCTCTGCATTCCCATGAGTGCTGAGCGCTCCTCATGCTTAGTAAGCGTGTGACTTTTATTTTGGTCACCGCATGCATCATCGAGTCACCGAGCGAGCAGGAGCTTCCTCAGGCGCCACATGGCCAGATGAGCTTACTCACAATCGGTCTGTGCTCCCAGTTGGCAGGTGGTACTGAGGCTGTAACCGTGGCAACCCTTCTCTCTCTCATAACACTTTAGCCAGGCTTTAACAAGCCAACCAAACTGCTGCCTCTGAAGCTCTGCACCACTTCACTTCCTCAACGTTCTCGCTCTATATTATGTAACTGAGCCCCGCTCTGATCATTATCATCATAATCACAGTGACAACTCATTATCATAATTATCTGAATTAGTATCACTGAATGGCTTATTTAATAAAGCCATTAATATCCTGGCTTGAGAGGTACAGAGTGTTTTACACTTGCTTTTCCGAGCTCATGCATACATGCCAAGTCTGAAAAAGTGAGACGTGATTCATGATCTGAGAAGTACCTATTAAACTTATCAGTCGTGTTTTATGCGTCCGCTGCTTTGACTCAACTAATTAACTTCATTCATTGATGAAACATCACTGTCATGGTTTAATCACATGATTTACTCAGAGGCTGACTAATTAAATGGTTGGTAAAAGTTAAAGGACCTAGTGCTAAAATAAAGGTGTTTGAGTGTTTAGTTGGATGTGGGAAGATGATGTTTGGGGTGCTTTAGAAATGGTGTCATTGTGCACTTTATCCAGGAGGAAGTTAGTAATGAAAGTTTACATTAGCTGAGCAGTAATCCATAGTAAATATGTAAATGTTTATGTATAGATTAGTACCTTTGAATTGCCTTAATGGTGGTATATTGGATTACAGTCCATACAGAAAATATTTATCTTTATTTAAGCTTTAAAATTCACTAAATATGCAGCCAAATCAGTCATCTGCTTTTTTTTAACTGCTCATAAATCTGCACTTGGAAGCAACATCTTTAACATAATATCTTTCAGGACCTTGGCATAGTCAAAGGGCTAATTTCAGTGTTGGAAAATGAAGCCAATGCAAAAGTGCCAAGAACCCCAGAACTGAACTGTGTCATGATGTGGTCCGTTAATTTAGTTTTTCACTGGTTTTGTTATTTGAGTGTATTTCTGTGTGTTTTTCCTGGTGTTTCTGTTCCCATTTGTTCCTGTGATCTTGTCTTGTGAGCTTTTAGTTTGTGTTCAACCCCATTTCCCTCATGTTCTCAGTGTTTTATTCTTTATATCAGTTTTTAGTGTTTCCTGTTTTATTTTGTAGTCGTCCATCCTTGTACATATAGTCTGTCTGTAATTGTCTGCACCTGTGTCTCAGCGTCTCACCTGCCTCTCGTTGCTCGTTTCCCTGAGTATATATGGTTCCTGTCTTCCCCTGTTTCTTTGTTGGTTCGTTGTGTGTGTATGTTTTTGTCTATTTTGAGAACTCATACGTTTTGAGGATATTAAGGTTATGAATTATGGATCTTGGGAATAACCAGAGGTGTGACTGACTTGACTGATATGTGGGCGCATTGTAGCTGTTTGTAGCTCCACCTCATTGCCTAATGTGTCAATCAAGAGTTTGGTTGAATTTGTGTTTCCAGTGTGGCGTCTGGAAACCAAAGGGTGAAGTCAAAAATACTACAGCCATGTTTTTTAGATATTAATTATAGCCGGTATGATGGTTTTGCTTAATTTTAACTTCCCAAGACACTGTGGCATTGTAGTTTTATCTTGCTGCCATGTACAGGGGCTGCTATCCTCAAAAAGGCTGCCCAGACTCAACGCCATCCTGCTGCCCCTCACCTGCATGTCACTCCCCACTCATTCTCCCAGTTTTCTGCTCTATCCACTCAAAAACAAGTGTGTGAATAACTACATGCATTTGTAACCTATTCAAAACTGATTTTTAAGGTTTTTGTTGTGGAAATGGTTTGAGATGAAGTGAGTTTGCAAACATGAAAACCTCCTGGGTACGTCTGCCTGTTGCTGCAAAGAGAAGCATCACAACTCTCACACAAAGTCACAGTAAGAAAGAGCTTGTCAAAGACGATAACAATGAAAACTTAGAGAGGAAACAAAAAGAAAGGATTTACTCGAGAAAAAAGGAAGAAAAGAAAGTGGAGGGAGGAGAGAAGGCTCACCTGGAACATGACCCTGTATTGCTCCTCAGGCTTTTGAACCACACACATGTTGCACCCCATCGTGACTTTTTGACACGGTGCTGGACTGTGCAGGTCCAAACAACTGCCCCTGATAAGCACTTTTCACTCTAGTCGTCTCTTTATCGGGGTCTTTGTCTGTGGCAGTGTGAGGAGAGCCCCACCCTCATCCACAGGGCTGGAGTATACTACACTACTCCTCCTCAGAGTAACACATCCGTGCAGGGGATGGACTCGCAGCTTGTTAGGGTGTGTCAGCTCTCTTCTTCTCGTCCTAGTTTCAAGTCTCATAATCCAGGGGGGACTTAAATGTGCAGGTAGTTTCACAGCTGCAGGACCATGTGTTTGTCTCTGTTCCCATTGCAGGCAATAATCTTGATTTTTACTGTTCATGTGCTCATTATCTTCTGGTTTTACGGCGGTCTTGCATCTTGAGAAAAGGTTTCGTTAAGAGTCCTGCTGGTCTGTGCTCATGGTGTTTGGTTGTTTAGGTGTTCCTCGCTGCTTTTGTTTTGTGCTTTAATGCTTGAAACTGCAGGTAGAAGACTCAGCCTGAACTCCCCAACGCTGTTCCCGAGTTTTGTCCACTCACAGCGCTAAAAACCTCCAAACGTCTCTCTCTTTCAGCGATGCTCTTTGAACAAAGTAGACACAAACAAATGCTGCTTTCAAAGAACTTGCCCGGCCGCCTGTTTCTCCTCCCGCTTTCCTCTCTCCCACACTGAGCTTCACACTTACTCTGCCTTCCAGGATTGCTGCTGAGTGTGTCTGCAGAGATAACTTTTCCTCCCGAGAGCGCTGTCAGGACTCGCTTCCCCGCCGCTGTAGACGTGCACTTCAGAATCAATGCATTGTTAAAAGGGTATTTCCTGATTTGGTGCAAGGTGTTGCCCACTACACCATTAGCTGGGATCAAAGAAGCTCTTGCTGTGCAGCTAAGATAAGCTCATAAAAGATGTACACATGCATATGCAGCGAAATATACACACAAAAAAGCTGCCAAATTTACAGTAAAATGAATGATTTCCTTTAAAACCTCTCAGGATGTGCAAACAAAACACCTCAAAACTGTTAGACGACTACATCAGATTGGCCGATGTGTTGTCAGATATCATGACAAGTATTCAACTATTGATCCTGTCGGTTTAGAGCAGACTCAGCACTCTCAATCTGACTGCTCAAGGTTGAAGGCGAATGACGGATTATAATTAAATTAGTGACCTCTTAAGCAGGGATCAGACATGATTCTATCCTAACGGCGGAAAAATCAATACCAAACCAACCTAATGGACCGATTGGATAGTGTGCCGATTGGATCAAAGATGGTTATCACAAAAAGTTAACCAAAAAACATCAAGAAATGTGACCTATTTGGGTGTTTTTGTAACCCAAACTGAGAATTAACTTCCTCACAGCTCGCCTTTACACCCCCACATGTGCTAATATACTAATTGTCTTTGTCCAGTGTCTATAAATAGCCCCAGTCATAGATATAAAAGTCTAAGATCAAGAGAAAGCTAACAAATATCTATCAAATACCTTTCTCCTTGTCCCCTTTTTCCTCCTTTGAGTCATTTCATCCTCGCTAAACCTTTATCTTAAACCCCCCAGTGAGAACTACAGGCACAGAGTCTTGTCTAAAAGGTCCATCGCCCTGTGTGCTGCCAGTGACAAGCTGTTAGAGCTGCTAATCCCCATTCAAAGCCTCTGCTACACCTGTATCCTCCCAGAGATGGTGCAATTCCAAACTCTGGCTTGTAACACACAGACACACACACACTTGTAGATTTACACCTGCACACAAGCACGCAGGGGGGAAGTTGGGAAAAGACTAAACTCTAGAGAGCGGGCGCTAATCGAGGTGTCAGACGTGCTCAGCAGGCAGGTGTGCTTCACCCCCACCTTAACACACACCTCTATCTGCCCGTGTCTCACTCCTACATGGTTAGTCTGCCATCATTATCCCCTTCTTGTTATCAAGTGGCTCCAGAAGTGCTAGATTTGTCTAAAAAGAGGTAAAGCAGATCTTCCTCTATGCACTTGTAAAAGTTAGTCCATCTTCAGTCTGCAGCAGAGGAAAAAAAAAAGGCATTTCATGTTCAGCAGCAGTCAGTTAGTCCATTTTAATTCTCCTTTTGTCCTCTGGTCATTTTTTCCCTGAAATATCCACAGGAGAGTCTTTGTGCAGGAGAAAAAGAAATAAAAACCATGCTGAGTATTCCAGGTGGTTAGTGTAGAGTGAGCAAGAGTGCAGCGCCCGGCTCAGGCCAGTGATAAATCACCATCAGCACCAGCACAAGATGAGAGGAATCACTGACGGCTGATTGGAGGATACTTCTTGGCTTCTCCCCCCCCTTGGGCGCGACGGTAAATGCACTCCCCCCACTGCAGCGGGGGGAACACAAAAGGCGGTTGTTCCCCAGCGGTGGTGGAGCCTGCTGATCGGCACGCTGCTCTACTACTATAGCTGGATTCACACTGTATAATTCCTCCCTCTCTCTCTCTCTCTCTTTCTCTCTTTTTATTTTTCACCCCCGTGGTCTTCCTCTCCTTTTCAGGGCTGGGCTGCTGCTCCCTTCCCCAGTCCCCCATAATTTTAACCCACACCTCATTTGCTCCCCTCCTCCTAACGCTCTCCTCTTTTTCTCTCTCCTGCAGGCAAGAGAGCAGCACTAGAAAGCTTATGCATACTGTTTGAGCAGGACAGTGCAAGATAACCAGCACAGCTACATAAAAGTGAGTGAAATATCAAGGTGTCCATGCACGGGGAATTGGTTCATTCATTTTATGGCACGTAAGCAATTCAGCTGCACCTTGACTTGTTATGAGATGGTGTAGAAGAAAAGGATGATTGCACTTTTCATACCAGTAAAGAAAAAAAAAAAAGCCCAACACAGGTAGAGAGCTGGTGACTGGTTCTGCATCCTGATGAGGGTCTGCTCCGCCACAATGAAGGAAGGGAAAGAAACACAGGGGAGAAAAAGAGGGAAAACAAGTGGATAACAGGTGTGACGGGATAAATTGGGAGATATGGAAGAAAGCCAAGAGTGGAAAATGCAAATTACTGTGTGGGAGAGCAAGTAGAGGAGCGGAGACTGCGTGTAACAACGGGTTTTTCTGCGCTAATCAAAATGACCTGCTGAGGGAGGGTGCAGTCTGAGCATATGGAGACATTTCATTTTAAGTGTCTGCTCAGTCTGAGGGATATTTGTGAGTAAAATTCATCTACGCCGCCGCTCTCCCAACGAAAACTCTGAGACATAATCAGAACACCACTCCCCGCTTAATTTTCAATTTAAAAGGCGTCACTGGCACATTTGCTGCAGGGCTGTTGCCAAGTACCTCTGGGATGGAGAAGTGAGTCTGTCCTCGGGGTAGAGAGGATTAGATCTGCTGGAAAAAACATCTACAGGAGAGGAATTTTCTTTGTATGCAACTGGTCTTAACTTTAGCCACAAAAAACTGTGTTGTTTTTTTTTTACCTCAGAGTGAATTTTTCTAATTAGAAGTCAAAATATCTTATTCTACTTGATATAAAACACATTCAGAGTGTGCAGATTGAAGTGCCTGTGACCTCTAACCCCTCTTTTGGCTGTAGGAATGCCCGTGACCTCAATTTCAGAGCCTCTCCTGAGGGTGCTTACTGTTGCTAGGTTGCAAAAGTTGTCCCATGGCACAGTGACTGCAGACGGAGCACTAGCAACAGCCTTGTACCTGGAAACTGTACCCCTAAAAAAAAAAACAAGGGGGGATTTTTTTGTTCCTCCGTATACTCAGCTACATTTGACAAAGATGATATGAGAGGTCCACTCTGAAATTGGATTTAGGACAATCCTCACCAACCCCGACTTGATGACAACATCATAATCCAAGATGGCAACGCAGTGCATCAACAGTAAAGACTAACAGTGAAAGCTCTCAATGTATTATTTATTAATACTTCTGTTTTGTTTTTTTGAAATTAAATAATTGGTATATGTTGTACTGTCCAACGTCTAACTGTAACCACAGTGCTATGGTGTTTGTAAGAGTAAAATACTGTGTTGTACGTGTTTATGACTGTTACAGCTAACAACCGCTAACGATAACTGACAACAGCTAACGATAGCTTACAATTGTAAACAACAGCTAACAACGGCTAACAGTGGGCGTCCATCTTGGTTTTCCGACTTGTTAACAGGAACGCCGTCAACTCAGGTGTCATTCCCAGCTCCTTTTGTCATAGACGGCTATTAGACGTCTAGTTTTTTTGTAGACCTAATTTCAACCGTCTAGATTCTGTATATTTTAGACAGATTTTAGACGTTGCACTTCAACCCATTATTCAACATACTATTTATTTGAAAAAGCAACCGTGAGTTGCATAACTGATCTCCAAGTACTTAACCAAAATAATTATGATAGCCGTTGAGCAAAAAACAGTGTAGTACCGATATAGCCCAGATTTAGATTTAGTCTAAACTTGGTCTAAATTTAGATGTCAAAAAAACTTTCATTTTTAGACCTGTGGTAGCCTGATTTTAGACCAGCCGTCTCGGCTACATTTAGATGTCTATTAGACCTCTTTTAGACTAAAAACACTCAGTGGGTAGATCTCAAAAAAACAGTCTAAAGACTACTTTAGAGAGCAACATTACTCCTGTGAAAGGATACCTACTTGCAAGTTCACTTAAGAGTCCCATGTTTGGTTTCTGAATATCAACTACCTTCTTATTCTGGAGCTGCAGGTTGAACTGTTAATGATGGCGGCTCATGAGAGAGGAAATCTCTGTCTGCTTAAACCAGTACTCCCATTAAAGACTACCAAGAGCTAATTTAACATCGCATATTTTGTCTGTATCTGTTGCTCTCTCTCTCAAACACACACACAAACACACTTCCCACCTCCCATTGTGCATTATTTGCCATAAGCCGGTCTGAAACAGGATTTCATGGTTGCTGTGTCTGGTTCGACAGGCTTATCACACATTTTAGCCTCTCTCTCAGAAGAGGCTCTGAACACCGAACACCACACACAATCAACAGCTGCTACACACAAATGCAGAGACCCTGGCTCGTCTCGAGATGTGTTGCTGCCTTGCATCACTCAGCCCCAATCTGTCCGCTTTAGATCATCATCTCAGCACATAAAGGTCAGCGTGTTATGTCGAGAAACTGAAATATCAACTGCCTGTTTTACAAAGAGTCGAAGGGAAGTAGAGATCATACATCTAAGCGGGCAGATCGGCCCTGTACGTCTCGTGTCATGATCTGTTTCCAGTTTAAATACCAGCGCCTGTCATCTCTGATTATCCACTTCTGATTTCTGCACGACTTCACTCCTACCAGAACAAAGGGCAGGCCGCCTAGAGTGTGTCACCTTTTTATTCCTCTTCTGAACTCTTCATCTGGTCTGCCCCCACAGATCTGAAATCTCTTTGAGCAACAACCCCAAACGGAGAGAGAGAGAGCTATAAGACATTTCCATCTGAGTGTCCCTGCGACTCTCCACAAGGATTTTGCCACATTCTGCGAGTCGTGTATCACCTAAAATGCACAAAAGGCAAGACTTGTGAGCTTCTGTCCTCTAGAAATGTTAATAGAGGATATTATGCAAACATGAGAACAGGAAAAAAATGGAAGCAAGAGGCGCATTTGACAGAGCACTCTACAAGAGAAGTTTAGAGGAGGAAAAAAGACGTTAAGGAGCTGTAGTGAAGGTGAAAAAAGCGGAGATTAAAGCTATACAAGTCAAAAGAAAAGGAAAAAGGCTCTTTCTTTCTTTCCTTCGTGGCCTCCCTTTTCTTCAGAGACGAGCAGAGGGCAGGGAGGCACAGGGCTGATAGCAGTAAAGCAGTGGACTACTGGCAGAATTTTAACAGTGTTCTCATTATTTATTTACCCCTCTGTGCAGAAGACTGGCTGTACAATCCGTCTGCTGCAAGAACCATATCTTCTGTTTATGTTTGCATGCGTGTGCGAGTTTGTGCATGCGTGTGCATCCAGAGGAACGTGACCGACATATTTCATAGTGAGGGGTCTGACTGACAGATATTAGAGGGGGGGGGAAAGACCCCTCGCAGCAGCTTCATTCACATTCTGGAAAAGTCACTGTGCGAAAGCTATTTCACAGAGGAAGTGATGAAGGCCAGATCCCTCAAAGCGGGGCAGAGAAAGCATGAGATGAGGAGTTAGATAGACTGTGGAGAGACTGATAAAACGAAGAATGGAAGAAAAAGAGAAGCAAGTGTGTGGATGGAGAGGAGAGGAGGGTCTACAAAAGAGCAGAGATAACTGTGTGTTATCATATCTGTGGGAGGACTTTGGTCAGAGGCAGAGGGATGGACGTGTTCATGAAGTGGCTGAAAAAAAAATAACTTAAGACAAACAATCACTGATGCACAGAGGTGGAATACAGAGACTGTGCTGTTCAACTTCTGTAAGAGTAGTCATCCTTGGTGGATTCATCAGTTGTTTGTAGTAGAATAATATTTGTTTGATTGTAAAAAACAAAAAAACAACAACATTGCCTTTATTTTTCTATAGATCATCCGAAGCTGTTGACAATTTTTTGTATTTTTTTATTTTAAACAAGGACAAAAACATAGAAAAGACAAACAAAAACAGCAAACATGTCTTAGATATATAAAACAACTGTCATATTCAAAAATACTCAGAAACTCAGAAACCGGCAAAGAAGAATAAAACATAAATGAAAACACATCTGTGGGTACAAATGTCAAAGCAGGGATAATAACAACAGCGACAACAGCGACAACAGCGACAACAATGACAATGACAACAACGACAACAACAACAACGACAACAAGGACGTCGACGATGACAATAACGACGATGACAATAACGATGATGACAACGATAACAACAATGACAACAACAATGACAACAATAACAACAATGACAACAACAATGAAAATAACAACAACAACAATAACAATAATTATATAAATATTATATATTATTATATTATTATATTTGCAATCTACTCTTATATGCTAATGCTACATGCCTTAAATTACAAGTCCCACAATTAAAAAAAAAGTTGGTATCTCCTCTCAAAGATAGACAAACCATACTATAGTTAATTACACTTTTTACACTGGATTATGCTAGCTCTAACATATAGCTGTGCAATTCCTCTACCCACCATAAAAATCTGGAAAATAAGCCACACTGATATAAAGACAGTCTGTTTTGGGTGTCTCTAAGAAAACAATTTAGCCACATCTTGTCTTTAACTCTGAACTTTGAAAAGTGAAAAATCACTTTTCTGTGAAGGAATTAAAAGTTCCAATTCCTCATCATTTCAACACAGTCTGTGATTATTTTAATTAGAGTCTGTGTGGGTGTGCTGATTGTTTTGTGCGTCTGAGTCATGTTGTTGTGATCTATTGTTCTTTGTGCGATCTGGCAAAGGATTATCTCATAGACACGACATGATCCTTCAATTTTTTTCTTCTAAC